TTTTTTTTTTTTTTTTTTGATTTCTCGAGCGAAAATCAATACTTTTTTTTCTTGGTAATAATGAATGTTAGTAATAAATTAAAAAAAAAAATCAGTCACTTTTAATATGTGTCTGTTTTCTAGGTTACCGTCGGACGGGAACAATATATTAACTAATGATGGTGTACATAGTGGACATATTCATGCACTCTGTTTTTATGGAGAGTAGGCTATACAACTCCCGATTATATATTTGGAGAGAAAGAAACCTATGAATAACTACTATTTGCGGGATTGCCTTTCTTTAATTTTATTTTAAATATTAATAATCTTGCTATTATTTTTATATATAAGAAGCCCAAATAAATTGCTACATTTTATAATAATCTTTTCCCAAAGTGTAATTCTTTTTAATATTATTTACCATTGTAGAGTTATATAACAATAAAACAAACATTAATATTAATAATTACTTTAGGATTTTTAATACATAGTCCGACATTTTATTAGACAAGAAGATAATATATACATTATTATTATAATATATCTTCTATTAACAGATTTTTTACCTCAAGCTTTTTGCGTTAACATAATTCTAAGTGAAGCAACAGAAATCTTCAAAAAAAGATTAACTAAAAGCTTTCGTTACTTTTTAAATATAAATTTCAAGTTTTCTTCTTCTTTACAGATAATGGAAAATGCAAACCTATCAAATACGGCATCATCAGACAACAAGAAACTTACAAATTTTAATTCTCTCGATTTGTCACAGGTAGACACAGCGGTTGCACGTCCACAACCTGCACGCTTTACGTCATCCAGTTCATTCGATGAGGATGCCATCGATATTACACCTGTTGAATCTGCTTCTTCATGTGATTACAAATCAGTCGAATCTACCCCATCTGTGACATCATTAACTTTATCCAATAAGGACAAAAAATTGGCAGCATGTACTTCTACAAATGCTCTTGTTGGTGAACAGACTCATGAACAATCTGATTCCGATGAATCAACTTTGAATGATGAAAAAACATACACAGAGGAAGATGATGACTTCCCTGAAGGTGGTCGTGTTGCTTGGATGGTTGTATTTGGTTCATTCTGTGGATTCGTACCATGTTTTGGCCTGATGAATATTGGTGGTGTTCTTGAAAACTACATCCAAGATCACCAATTGAAAGATGAATCTTCATCAACAATTGGTTGGATTTTTTCTTTAATGTTCTTCATTTGTTTTTCATCCTGTATCTTTAGTGGTACTTATTTCGATAGAAATGGATTCAAGGCACCAATTGTTGTAGGATCTTTACTTCATGTTGCTGGTATATTTGCAATGGCCAATTGTACCAAATACTGGCACTTTATTGTTGCATTCTCTATCTTATGTGGTCTAGCCAATGGTATTCTAATGTCTCCTCTAATGGGTGCACCTGCACATTTCTTCAAGAGAAAGCGTGGTACCGCCACTGCTTTGGCCACTGTCGGGGGATCCGTCGGTGGTGGTCTATTCCCACTGATGCTGCGTAAGTTCTTCTCAATGGAAAAGGCAGGTGTTGATGACTATGGTTACATGTGGGGGATCAGAACCCTTGGGTTTATAGACTTGGTTTTACTTTGTGTTGCTGTTACCTTGGGTAGAGAAAGACTACCCCACGTAGTAGATACACCAAGAAACAATGAATCTCGCTTCAGACATATCCTGAGAGTATATTTGCTACAAAGTCTGGATGTTAAAGCTTTTCTTGATATGAAATATTTCTTCTGTGTTTTGGGGACTGTTCTAGGTGAACTTTCTTTAACCTCTGCTATCACTTATTATAGTTCATACGCAATGAGTCAAGGAATTAGTCAATCTGATTCGTACATGTTAATTATGGCAATCAATTTGGTGGGTATTCCAGGAAGATGGGTTCCAGGTTTCTTAAGTGATGTTGTCGGAAGATTTAACACTGCTATTGTTACATTAACGTGCCTATCGTTAGTCATGTTTATCGGCTGGTTGCCATTTGGTACTAACCTGAAGAATATGTACGCCATTAGTATACTATATGGGTTCTTCTCAGGTTCAATATTTTCATTGCTACCAGTCTGTTGCGGTCAAATTTCTAAAACTGAAGAATTTGGAAGACGTTATTCTACAATGTATTTCGTCGTTTCTTTTGTGACTCTGGCTGGTATTCCGATCACCGGTGCTATCATCGGTGACAAATCCGTCACTAACTACCAAAACTATGTCATATTCTCTGCTGCTACTTGTATGGCTGCTGCAATTTGCTATGTCATCTCAAGAGCTTACTGTGTCGGGTTTAAATTAGTCAAGTTCTAATAACCTGTGTCACAATTTTTCAATACAGTAAACAATATTAAAACTCTGCTGCTACCTCAAATTTGTTGAAACCTTTTCATCCCACTTATGCATATTTGGCTGACGCAATTAATCTGATGGTTATTCCAACTATTTTTTCTCACAGAACCTTATTTCATTATCCATATATATTAATTAATATACAGTAATAGCCTTTAATTTATACAAGAATATTCAATACTAATTATTAGTTTATTTTTTACATCTAGAGTCAATTTTGTTGTAAATATCGTATTTTACCCACTCATCAATGCGACATCCTTGCAAAAGTCGCATTGCATATTCATTTTCGAAATAGTTGATTAACTTACCTGAGTTTTCAAAATCGTATTTTTCTTGACCTTGTAGAAATTGGAGCATCTCTATCCTAAGATATATCAATGGAATCCGAAGGCCATTAATTAGTTTTAAACTGTCTTTGGTAAGAAGATGTGGGGAACACATTATAACGACAGTCTTATCCCGATTGGAATTTGTTACAAGTGATCCAAATGTCCCTACCAATTCCCTCAATTCCTTGGGGGTGACTTTGCTGGATGTGAAGGCTTTACATTGAACCAGAGCCCTTAATGGTAAAATCTCACTTCCAGATTCAATTTTACTGGCGATCGGTGTTAAGCGGGCACCATTTACTGTACATCTCTTTGGGATTTTATCCCGGTAAGGCCCTAAAACCCGTTCCATTTTTTTGTAAATGGGAACGACCGACCAATCTCCAGTAACATCAACACCACCATCATGAGCCCCTCCAACTCTCTCGAGATTTATCATACCGAGCTTTTGACTCATTTCTCTCATTGCTATATTTTCATATAATGTACCTTGGAAGACTGTGCTACCAGTCGTGTGCTTATTGAGAGAAACATACCTTTCAATAGCTGCATTGGTAATTTTCCTAACTTGTACATATGTTAATCTCATGTCATTTGGCTTGAATTAGTTGGTTATCTGAGTGACTTTTTATAAGAGAATTTATGATTTTACATTTATTTATTTTATAATTTAATGATTCTGTTTGATTTTTCCTTTCTCTGGAAGAGCCGACGTTGACTTTTGTAAACAAAATATAGCTGCCCAGTCTTTGCAACATATATAAGAACCGTAAATTTGATTGTTTAGTGCTCACCGAAATATCAGAGGAGAGGAAGATGAAAAGCAAACAAAATCAACAAGTTTTTAGTTCAATTATGAGTACAGATAACCTAAATGTCACTGACACTAGGTCGATCCAAAATGAAAAAGGTGACGAAACTGAAACTAAGAGCAAGACTGTTCCAATCTTTGAACTGACGAACACTATCGAGAACGCTCTTGATGAACTTCAAGAAAAAATGGATAAAAATGAGAAAGATTTCATGAATACGATGAATAGTATCGAGGAAAAGATAAAAGAAATCGAGAACTAATCTGTAATATGGTACGAAACTAATGGCGTCCTATCACATTGTTATATGATGGACACAAGATTGGAGGAATATTATAAATACGTGGGTAACTAAATTATGACAGCTCGCATATAAAAATAAATAAGCTGTTAAAGTGCATTATTTTAATCATGCCTTTGATATATCATTTATAACATTGGCAGAGGTTGCAGGGGAGCGAAAACTGAGTCCTTTCATATGTACTGCATTTTGCCATTTTCCGATTACCGACATATTATACATACTTTTGTTTATCAAATGCTTTAATATTACAATATTTAATCCTAGTTATTTAGAAACTTTTATTTACTATCTATTCAAATTTTTGTTTTTTGTCCTGGTGTTCCACTATTTCAGGATGTGGTTCACTAAGTGCATCATCGGAATTTTTAGTTGATTCCGTGTTTTGTGGTTGTGCAGCAGGTGGAGTCTCTGTCGAACTAATACCGGCCGTATGTATGGTAGTAGGTGTTTCAACAATTACATTCTCTGCGATAATGGTATTCTTTTTCTCAGGGACAGAACTATTGTGGGTTAATGGAATATTGTTTACGCTCACGTCTTCTCTGATAAATTCAGGATGCACGCTTGTACTTGGCGTAGGTGCGACACTAGGTGTGTTCGAGTCTTCCCTGTTAGTCCTTCCTTTTCTTTTCCTCATACCATCTTGGCCTTCATATTCTCTTACAAGTAGCCCGAGCAAGGTATGAGCTCTTTTAGATAATTCATGAACAGTTCTGGTCCTCATAAACCAATCAAAAGTAAACAAATCGCTCATGACTACAGCTTGCTTAACCTTATCATACAGTTTAGAATCCAATAGACCAATCTTACTGATAGCGATAAGGATGAATTTATCTTCCATGGAGTTGTACACTTTTCTAGCATTATTTGGCGCATAAGAAATTATCATTTCTTGTTGCGGATACTCATATTGCTGTACTTTCATTTTCAATATGTTTTCCTGATATCTCAATCTTTCAAATTTCCTCTCTCCATTTTCAATAGTGGTTAAATATCTTTCATAACCAGCAATGTCGGTATACCTTTCCCAAAACACGGCTGCATATTCTTCAACCTCCTCAGGTGTCTTCGAATCTATAGATTCTTTAATATTTTTCATATCAGTCCTACCATATTTGGCACATGCACTGATAAATGCCAGGAAATCTCTTTTGGTCCAGTTGTTATATGCTTGCAAAATCAATTCTTGTTTTTCCGTCTCATCTTCGTCTGTATACTCTTCTGCATTATCAATTTTATCCTGTTCTTCCTTTATCTTAGCAGCCATGGCATCATCAACCTCTTCATTATCGTCATTATCGTTAGAAGAATCATCCTCTGATTCATCATCATCCGAATCGTCTGATTTTCTGGTTCTTTTTTTCTTTTTTTTTGAACTACCATCATTCTCTACATCTTCTTCATTTCTTTTAACATCATAAGACGTAACCTTGTAATGGACCTTTTTCTTAAAATAAAGTTGCTCTTTTTCCTGTAATTCATCTACACGTTTTGGATAGAATTGGTAGTCTTGACCATGAACTATTTTTGGGGCACGAGGCATTCTGGGCTGTGGTGTACCTTTAGAGGACTTAGATGATCCCCCAATTATTTCTTTGTAATAATCATCAACTGAGTACGTCTGTTGTTCCCTTCTTCTTTCCCTTCTTGAAGGATTAATCCATGCGACAACTTTGTCCTTATCTTTCTTTTGAAAATTCTTACCATTCCACTCATAAGCTGACTGGTTCTCAATACCATTATATTTTTGTAAGTCATCCAAACCTAAAGATTGAAATTTTGCATTCAACTGTTGGGTTCTCTCTTCACCCTTTTTCAATATCTCATCTATATCATCATCAACTGTTATCTTTTTTGTGCCGTTATCGAACATATCTTTTGCACCATATTGAATCATATCCAATAGATCATCCTTGGAGTTACCTATATTGGCAGTCTTCTTACCAGTACCTTGCTGAATGACCAATTGATCTAATCTTAGTTTCTGAGCCGCACGTTCAATGACTTTCTCTTCAATTGCATTTTCTGTAACAAATCTGTACACATGTACTTGTTTTTTTTGACCAATTCTATGAGCTCTATCCATGGCCTGTAAATCTGCTTGAGGGTTCCAGTCAGAATCAAACAAAACAACAGTGTCTGCTGTAACCAAATTAATACCTAAACCACCTGCACGAGTAGTCAATAGAAATACAAATTTATTGGAATCAGGACTGTTATAATCATCGATTGCCTCGATACGTTCTTCATGGGATGTAGACCCATCAATCCTGCAATATTCGTACTCTCTAAAGAAGCAGTAATCTTCTAAAATATCCAGAAGTCTCGACATTTGACTAAATATTAGTACACGGGATCCCTTTTCTTTTAAACGTTTTAAAAGTTTATCTAATACAATCATCTTGCCCGAATTGAAAACCAAATGTTCATCTGTAGTATATGGTGGCCCTGGTTCAGCACCTTCAAATAGATAAGGATGGTTACAACATTTTCTCAATTGCATTACAATGTTTAATAAACGTGTTTTACCTTCTCTTTTTCCAACTGCACCATTAACAGCATCAATATCCTTTTCGAGCAAAGATTTATACCACTTAATTTGCATATCTGTCATACCCACGTAAACATTGGTTTCAATTTTTGGTAAAAGAGATTTCTCGACATCTGCTTTTATTCTTCTTAATAAGAATGGATTTAACACAGCATGCAGTTGTTGAACGACCACTTCTTGGTCTTGATCTGAATTATTTTGTTCAAACCATTCATCAAAAACTTCCGAATCACCAAAGACATCTGGCAACAGGAAGTTTAGTAAAGCCCATAGTTCATGAAGATTATTTTGTAATGGAGTACCAGTAATCAATAACCTACTCTTGGAATAAAATAACCGAATAATTTGAGATAGAGAACTTTGCTCATTTTTAATACGGTGTGCTTCATCTATAATAAGATATTGCCATGCCACCTTCTTCAGCACATTTTTTTCTCTGATAATCATCTCATAAGAAGTAACCAAAACATCAAATCTTGCTTGTAACACTTTATTTTGTAGAATGTTATGTCTCTTTTCTTTATCACCATGCAATATCAGTACATTAACGTCTGGAGTCCATTTATTGAATTCTCTTCTCCAATTATCTAAGGTTGATTTTGGTACGATAACTAAGAATGGCCCATCTATTTTCTTCACGTATCTTAAGTATCCAAGAAAAGAGATTGTCTGTAATGTTTTCCCAAGACCCATTTCATCAGCTAAAATACCTGATAATTTATTTTCATGCAATGAGATTAACCAGTTCAGACCCTGTATTTGATAGTCCCTCAGGGTACCTGATTTAACGAACGAAGGAGATTCGGTTACAAAATCCTCTTCATCGTAATTATTCTCATCATCTCCTTCTTCCTCACGCATTAATTCGGCATCTTCCTCCTTTTCTGATTTCCTATGATGTCTCGATCCATGATCCTTATTTTGATTTGAGTTTCCATGAGTCCCTGAGCTCGCATTATTAGTATTATCTATCGATTTAAGTAATTTCTTCATAGTTTTATCGTGTTTAGCTCTCATGCCAATAAAATAGCGAAATAGGTCAGTTAATGATAAAAGATATTGAAATCTTTTATAAGTATCACTAGAATCCTTTTGTTTCGCAATTTTTGGATCTACCGAGAGGATATACCTAGATTTTCTTTCTTTCCAGTATTCTTCATCATGTTCATCTTCTTCAATCTCCGGGGAATTCTCAGTCTCAATATCTTCTTCTTCTTCGTCTTCTTCGTCTTCTTCTTCGTCTTCATCTTTTTCATTATCTTTCTTCTCTATATTATCCTTAGTTACGCTTGATTCAGTATTATTTTCATCCTGGGTGGAGGTTTTTTTATGCTCTTCACCTCCATCTTGATTCAGTTCATTTTCATTACTGTCATCACTATTACTACCGTCATTTAGATCCGATTTATCTACTTTAAAGTCCTCATCATCCTTTTCGTTTTGACTAGTAGCTGACTTTTCCTGTGTATCATTATCATTCATTGGATCTCGTTGCGTTTCAATTATTGATGGTTGTTGTGATGGAGATTTATCTGAAGGGTCTTCGTCTGACATCCTTTAATTGATCAAAATAATTGATTTAATGTTTATTGTATATTCGATTACAAACTTCGAATATAATCAAGATGCAAATTGTGTTTAGTCTTTCTCTCTTTTTAAAAAATCTATATATACATGTATATTTTTAATTATTGAAATTTTTTCTAATTTGTTTATTTATTTATTTTTTGAAATATTATTATTGATTTATTCACTATTTTTTTTTTTAACTTTTCGTGATTTTCCCATTTTGAAATTTCACATCATTTTACCTTTCACGGAATAACAGACAGCGCGTAACAAAGAGTAATACAGAATCCAAGCAAGAGATTCTAACATTAATTGTGATAACCAAATATAATAAAAATAAAAATAAAAATAAAATACGTTAAAATTTGAATATTTGAAATGAATTATTTGATTAAGTATATGATTTCTTAATTACTCGCTGGTAATATACTTATATATATATATATAGAAATAAATAATATAAAGTAGAGAGAGTATAATTAATTATTTACGCATTACAAAAAAAGTAATGTTAGTTTAAATGTGAGATGAATAATTATGATATTGTTAAAATGTTTTTAGTTGGAATTGTGAATAATCTTTTAATATTCTCCTTACAATAACACTCTTTCTTTAGCAAGAACATCAATATTTAAATTCAGTTGCTTCAAATTAGTTGATTTTAATGGTTGTTCCATTTTTAAATCATTCTTTTGAGCTTTAAATACTTCAATGTTATGAAAGAATTTATCAAACATAATATCAGTATCTAATGGACCACCTTTAGCTTCAGGATGAAATTGGGTTGAAAAGATTGGCTTAGTTAAATGAATCATACCTTCGTTTGATTGATCATTTAAATTAATAAAATAAGGTTTCCATTGATCCTTTGGTAAAGTTTCAACATCAACTGCATAACCATGATTTTGAGATGTAATATGACATTGACCAGTAATTAAATCCATTACAGGAATATTATGAGCTCTATTACCATATTTTAATTTTGTTGTCTTTGCACCACTTGCTAAAGCTAATAATTGATGACCAAGACAAATACCAAAGATTGGAATTTTATCAAAATTTGGATTATTTAATAATTCTCTTAAATTTGAAATAGTCTTAACATTCATTGCTGGATCACCTGGACCATTTGATAAGAAAATACCATCAAATTGATCTGCAACTTCTTGAATTTTAAAATCACATGGGAATACAGTAACATTAGCACCTCTAATAGCTAAACATCTAATAATGTTTTCTTTAACACCACAATCAATTAAAGCAATATTTGCTACAGGATTCTTTAAAGTTGAAGCAACGTGGAATGGTTTTTTAGTTGTAACTTGTTCAACTAAATGAGTTGCCATTGGATCAAAATATTCACATGGAGTATCATTACCAATAGTAATTCTACCTAATGATGAACCTTCTTCTCTTAAATATTGAACTACAGCACGAGTATCAACACCAGTAATTGCAGCAACACCTTCTCTTTGACACCATTGTGCAAGAGATTCAATAGCATTCCAATGTGAATATTTGTAAGCATATTCTGCAACTACAATACCAATAACATGAGCATGAGGACTTTCAAAATATTTTAATAAATTGAATTCATCACGAGCGGTACCATCAGGGACACCATAATTACCAATTAATGGTTGTGTGAAGACTAATATCTGGCCACGATAGGAAGGATCTGTCATAGATTCTGGATAACCGACTAAAGAAGTAGTAAAAACTGCTTCACCAGCAATAGATTTTTCTGCACCGAAGGAAATACCTTCAAAAGTTGGACCGTTTTGAATGTTGAAAATAGCTTTAGACATTATTTATAATATAAGTGTTTGTTTAGTAATAATTTTTTTTTAAAAATTTGTTAGGAGTATAGAATTTTTTCTTTTTGAAGTTTTTTGTTTTAAAATTTTAGAAAAAAATATAGTTTCAGTACGAGCTGGTCTTCCAGATGTGATCAGATATGTAGTCTTGACAGGTATATTCAGATTGTGATAACTTAAACATACAACCGAATATGAAATAGAATTGGAAAATAAAATATAAAAAAAAATTAAATAATAATAATATTCTTTTTTTTTTAATTTTTCCAATAAGAAATAAGTTTTAAAATGGATGAGGATGAGTTAAATATATATATATGTTCTCTATATGGTATTAATAAAAACAAGAAATGAAAAATCATAAGAAAAAAAATAACTTAAAATACAATAGAAAATTTAAATAAACTGAAAAATTTTGAACAACGGAAGAAACAAAAAAAAAACCTTGTAGTTGACTCTTCTATATATATATTTAATTTGTGCATATATATATATTTTACAGAGAAGAAAATATCCATATATCTACTATATGAAATAACATCATGATGATGCAGTCTATTGGTAATATCTGAATATCATATAATTAAATGATGACGATACTATTACCATAAGATAAATACGTAGAAAAGAGAAAACCATTCTTAAAACAGAGAAAATTTCGGTCATTGCCAGTGTAAATGGAAAATATTTTTTTTTGGAATTGGGAAACTGGAATAATTGGTCATAATAATTTAGATAATTACGAAGATATTGCCGTACAGAGTATTTATTTTACATAACACAAAAATACTGTCTCTACGGCTAATATAAATTAGAATAATAGAGATATTGAACATTTTCCTGCGGACGTCTCTGACAAAAGAAAGTGGAAAAACTTGTCTTCGAGCGAAAATTAAAATTTCTTTTCTTCTCTTTCCTTTTTTTTATTATCTCAGTACGTGACTCACTCGGTGCCGCTCGTACATGATGATAGAAGATAGTACGCTCTAAAGAACTCAAAAGTAAAAACAGCAAGCGTGAGGTGTACGGGCGATGCCCTGTAGCTTTTTCTCTGTGACCAGAAAATATACACAAATATATTGGTTTACAACGCACTCAGCAATATTGTGGCCAAGGGCGGAAAAAAAGGGCGCCAAACAAAATAATTCTTTGTGAGAGAAGGAAGGCAGGGAATGCAAAACGTCGGAGTGCGGTTAAAATCAATTATTATATGTGTGTGCATGTATTACTTATGACTGTATAAACTAACATAGTGTAGATGTTAGTTAACTAACCAAATATATCTATATTTCAGTTCCTCGAGAGAACATCGCGTCACTAATGATGTTAAAGTGGGTAATAATTCAACTGAAGAGGAATGCTTTGCTTAGGTGGGTAATTTGACATACAACGGATAATAAAGTCCTCTTTATGTCCAACAATTTGACCTATAATAAATAATGACACCGACAGAAGATTGCATAGACGGGCCTCTTTCGGCGGCTATTACCTGAAAATGATAGGGTAGTTCATATTATTTATTTTTTTTACAAGACTGTCTTAAAGGAATAGTGCTAACATATTCTCACAATTACTTTATGTAAAGAAATATATATTTTGGTTTTGTAATTGTTGTCAGGACTATATATTTATATATGTTTGCTCTATGTTATCTTAAATTTGAGTGAGTTTATGTTAGTATAACTATTGCCTGTCTTACACAGATAATCTTTACCACCTAAAATGTAATAGTTATGTACGCACTATATGTTTCCTTTAAAGAAAACGTTTAATCTCTATTACGTGAAAAGAAATGTTACACTTAACTAAAATACGCTACTTAATTACTTTTTATAAAAAATGAGTTGAACTACCAATTGATTTTTTTTTTTGCTTTCACCTTTCACATATAAAATTTTCTAAAATATTTCTTGCATCATCTTTCCCCGTTGTCTTTAAAGAACAATTTTCTTTATAAAAAACCACACGGTATAAGTTGAAAATTAATTCTGGTATTTATTAAATGCTAGATTCGTCTGTTTGATCTGTGAAATTATATATTGGTTCATCGATATCGTTTTCAATTTTCCGTTTATCTCTTATTCTAAATTCATCGAACCATAATCTTAATTTTATAGAAGCTTCAAAAGGTTCACACCCAACTGAGCTGAAGCAGACATATCGATGTTGAATTCTGATTGAGTAGCCAAAATTAAGTAATGTTGATTTGAGGATTGATTATTTTGATGATGATTGTAGTTGTAAAGCAAGTCCGTTAGTTATTTTAATCTAAAACTTGTGAGTGTTTACCTTTTATTATTATAATTTATAGATTGATCAGAATCTAACTCAGATTATGAGCTCAGATTTGTTTGTTTTTATATATTTTCATTTATTCCTGATTACACCCAAATTATTAAGTAATAATTGTAAGGAACTCAATTCTAGTTCTACTCCTCATTTTACTTGTGTGGTAATCCAATTAGTAATTTTTATGTAATACTTTGGTAAAAAACTCTCGTGTATCAGCATTGCACCTTGAACATTAGTAAACCATTCTAGGTATTACCAATCCTGATAATTTCCATCAAGAGCATACTTTTATTAGTAACCACCGTAGACGTCATTAATTTCACCCAAACTGTAATCATTCCTATGAAATACTTCAGAAACCAAGATGTCTAATAATAATGATTGTTAATGACTCAATAGAGGGCAAATAATAATAAATACACTAAAATGTTAAAATTTCATAGAGTTAAATAATGATAAAAGTGAACAATTTTCAAGAAATATAGCTCGCATGGCGTAATGGCAACGCGTCTGACTTCTAATCAGAAGATTCTGGGTTCGACCCCCAGTGTGAGTGCTATCTTTCTTCTCATATTTCCGTGATAGTTTAATGGTCAGAATGGGCGCTTGTCGCGTGCCAGATCGGGGTTCAATTCCCCGTCGCGGAGTTTTTTCTATTTTTACGCTAGATCACGTGAGAGTTTTTTTTTATTACGGTAAAGTAGTTGAGTTATTTTATAAATGTTGATATATCAGTAATGTTATTAAGTAATTTTAAATATTTTATTTCCTCAACTCTTTGTAGAAAAATGCTGCTTAATGACATAACACATCTCGGCACAAGTATGTCCATTTTCTACACTTAACGCTTACAAAATTATATATTTTATTGTCCTATGTATTAAATTTGTGACATCCTCACAACCTAATATGTCAATATGTAATTCATTATATTCTATATCCCGGAACGCAACTGAATATGATTGTAAAACATGCTGTAGAGATAAAGACCAACATACAGCACCATAATCCTCTTTTAAAAAGGAGAGCCTTGATAAATGGATGTTCTACCTTTAATAGTCTACTTCTTCCACCCAATAATGCAAAAATGAAGGGAATGTTTTTAAAACCATGCATTCTTCCTTGTTCTATGTCCACCCCTTCCTGAGAAGTATCATCACCTTTCTTGACATTAAGATTATCGAAATCGTTGTCTTTGAACATCAACCTTTGTGTGATCCCAAACCATGAATAGATAATATCAACTTCATACATACCGCATATGATCATATAACACCCAATGGCAAAAGGTACTACAGTAGTGACTCTGATAGCTCTGCTATATTTTAGAAATATTAAAACATACCCTATCCAAAAGCCTATTCCCAACCATACCATACCAAATATCGTCCTACTTAAGGACGTATAGTTAGAGAACGGGGACCTTGATCCCTGATACCTTATAGAATTGATATTGTTTTTCTTATTCGTTCGCTGTATCGTTCTTGATTGGTTTGTATTATTTGTTTCATCATTATCCTGATGAAATCTCCAATCGGATACCTCATCATGAATATTATGCAATGCCACTCTACTTAGAAATTTCGGAAAACAATCCACCTCTAAGAATTGGTATGTTAACGTCTTTAATTGGTCGAAAGTTTCTGGTGTAAATTTTTTATCTTCCATTACTTCTCTAACAATACCAATCCTTAGATCATCTGGTATATTACTCAGATAACGTTGACTCTCATTAGGAGATAATAAATATGTGTTACAGATATGCTCAGCGTTCGAACGCAATTCATCCGCAGTAATGTGTGGGAGTGGTAGTCCCTCTGGATGCTTCTTAAGCACTTCGTCCATTAAAACAGCAAGATTAGGGTTATCAATATTGAGTGCTTCGTTATGTGTGTCAGAGTGTCTTTTCCAACCTTCTATAAGATCCGCAATTTTCGGCGAGTAATCATTGTTTGTATTATTATTATTATTATTATTATTATTATTATTATTATGTGCATCGCCTTGAATAAAATCGTTCAAACCTTGTTGGTTTTCTAAATCTATTCTTCCATCTTCTAATAATGCGCCCAACAATACAGAAGTTGTTACCGATCTGTTGTCATCATCCTCTTCGCTATTACTATTATCGGAGTTATCATCTGCTATCTGGTCACCATTATTCAGTTGTCCTATTTTTTCATTTTGTGTATCAGAAGCACCTCGTGCAATCAATACCGACTCTCGTACAAGCCTAACATAATCTTTACAAAGCCGTATGTGAGCCATCAAATCAATCCAGAAATCTAGATAGTTTATTGCAAATGGGAATTGTGAGAGATATGTATAAAAGGACCATAAATCAACAGGAACTACGGTTTTCTGTATTAGTACTTCATACAAAGTGGGGAGTCGCTCTTTTTGGACTCTTTCAAAATCTGCATCCATTTATGTTATAATATTAGTGCTTTATGTGCTGTAATTAGATATATATTTTATATTTTATTTCTTCTTTCTCTAATATACTTATGTCTAGTGTCGCTAGAGATTATTTTTTGGGGAGCTAAAAATTTATAGTTTGCAGATATTGTTTCAAAATTCCTATTCCATATATATAGGATTTTCTATGTATGCAATACCAACGGTAGTAATTTATTTACAAATATGTTGATGTATCCTAGATTACTTATGTTATCCATTGGATTGCAAGTGCCTGGTTTGTTGCCAGATGATGAACAACTCCTCCGACAATTCTTTTATTTACATTTTCAACATGTCGAGCACTATTTTTGGTGAACCCAGACGCCAATTTTCTTTTGTACTGCGCTTTCTGTTTCAACAAGCCGTTTTAAATTTATTGTAAATAAAATGCGAAGCAAAAATCAAAAAAAAAAAAAAATTGCTGGTCTCTCTCTATTTATAACATGAAAATCTAAAAAGGTTCAGAAAGCATTGCTTGAAGAGGGTTTAATAGGTATATATAGATTAAACAGTCTAGAACCGACGTCAATAACCATCACATAACCTGTTATCGTCTGCCACTCCGTTTGATTTTTCATCTTGAACGTAGTATGTCTTTATGTATGTATGTTGACATATATTAATAAATTATAATGTAGTTTTATACAGGGTTTTAAAAAGGGTGTTGTTATTATTGACACCTGGCAATAATGCAAGTAGGATAGGAATGTATTCCCTTGGCATCTTCTGCATCTTCTGCATTCTAGTATCAACAATACAATAGAAGTTTGATATTAGAATAGAATAGCCTTTTTCTGTATCAGGATGCTTTTTATTAACCTGGTTATCTTTGTGACATTTAAGTACTTGAATGTACACATCTAACGATCTTGTTAACTGTCAAAATAGTCATTTGCATATTCATCTAAGAATATCAATATATTGTCCTTTACCAACTCGAATACAGACTTTGGGTATCTAGCTGATATCTCGTTAGAAACCTTGGTTAGCCCAATATCTTGGACAACCAAACCTATGGCCATCAACAGTTGCGTAGAAAATTCAATATACCAACGATGATTCCAACAACAAACTTTCACACATAAATCAATAATGGTCATGTCTAACTCATTAATACGTGCCATGATTTGATTAGAGGTCATATTAGAGTTAGGTACGTTAGCCATTTGTCTTGTACGTTGACGTTCTTTAACACAATACTCTAATAATTTTCTTGCAGATTGAGCTGAAAATCTTTGGGATAATGCAGTTTGGAATGCTTTGGCTGCCTCAGGGTAGTGTCCCAATCTACGTGCACATAAACCAAACAATTCCCATTCAAACGTAAGCTTTCTATAATCCGTATTCTGTGCTTCGTGTTGCATATGTTCAGTTTGCCATAAGGTATACACTTTAAAATCTTCATATAGTAACATAATTAGGTTATCCAACCATCTTTCACAAAGACGTTTTGAACGTATTATTGAAGATGCACTGGACGTGATTGTATGGCTACTATCCATATGATTAGAATTGCCGTTTTGCGTATTAGTAGATTCATTGTTTGGTTGATTTGAATTTCCCGCACTTTCAGATTCAGGAGAAAGTGAACCCTCATTTGTATCTACAGGTATATTGTTCAAAGATGCCGCTGTATTTGCATTTGTTGAAGAATATGCGGTTTCTTCAGATGCTACCCTTTGGTAATCATTTTCCATAATAAAAATTTGAGCCCTAAATTTTAATAAATCATCCCAACCAGTAATGGCCACAATTTCAGTTAATAATTTGTAACAGAGTAAATAAGTAGATTTTAAATTCGTTGAAGCAAGGTTAACCAACGCGAGATCGGCTGTCTTATGTTCTCTTTGTATATCCTGAGGGTTCAGCGATGTGACACCATCTAATACTACATCAACTGGAAGTGGTAAATGTAATGACATTTTAGTTGGGAATGGGACCACTCTCTTTAAAGAATATTTCTCCTTTGATATTGCCATTGGACAGGCATTAAGTGTATATAAGGCATTTTCAACATCATTTAGTCTAATATATGCCCTTGTTAATAAAAACCATGGTCTAAATTCGCTTGGAGTACAACTGACAGCACTTTGGGCCACATGTTGTGCCAAGACATAATCATGTTTCACATTTATTAAAAATTCCGCTTGAACGCAAAGTAATTCAGATTTATAATCCAACTGCAAAGGTACCGAAGGATCACTATCCTCGTTACTGCCCATACTTTCACTCTCTTCAATTTTTTCTAATTGGTCACAAATTAATTCGATAGCATCGACTTCCATATCGCTAGCAAACAAAACACGGGTCAATAGAATGACCACCTCTGGGTAAGTCTTCATTAGCTTTTCTAACATTTCACGACACTGATCAACTGAATGGGTCAATTTCACAATCTCAATTAAGGTTTCCGCCAGATAATTATTAGTTCTTGAAGTATTAATAACATCACAAGGAGAACCTAACAATTCACCCTTTTCGTACACCATGGGAAATAAATCGATAAATGTATCTGCTACCGCATCAAGTTCTCCTGAAGTTAATGGATTGACAATTAATGTCTCCACTAAGTTTTGAACTTCACCATCTTCGTAATTATCCTTCATCAGCATCATAGATCTTACTACACCACTAACAAACGTTTCCGCCCAAATGATTTTACTTTCTTCTGAACTTGGTTCAATATTTATTTGGTCATCATTAGCGTCCAGGATAAACATCTGCACTGTACCCGGCATATGAACAATAATATTCATATCACATTTTCTAAAAGTGTTCCATGTTGACATGGATACTCTTGCAACTTGGAATGGCTTTCTTTTACCAAACCATACTTGAGGTTCTTCAGTAATCAAATCAGCAATTTTCTTTAAAAATATTGTAATTGATGTAGGGTCGGAGGTATCTGTCCCTAGTGAGTAAAAATAGGTACCAATTTCACCTTTCAATTTATCATGAGAATGTAATTCTGTCAGTATAGTTGCAGGATCCACATTTGCAATTGAAGCGGAATCTCCTAGTTTTTCAGATATCTTGGCAGGTGTAGATCCACTAGTAGATGCAATATATTTGACTAATGTAATAAGGTCCGGAGGGCCCAAATCTAAGAATTGAGAAAGTTTCGTTTTCCGTTCATTTATGGCAAAACCTATCTGTTCTTCCTTAACTTCAGGAATAGAGCTTTGTGTCAACATTCCTAATTGATACTTTATAAGTTAAAGAATGCAGCACTTCCTTTTCCTGTTTTCTTTGGTAAACAAATAAGACACTTGCCTCTATATGACGAATATTACCAATTAATTTGCAAGAAACAGTCGTGCTATTTCAAACTCACAATCTTTAAGATTATTCTTATTTCAATATTTAACGGTTCTATGAAATAAAGGACTCAATTAATATATCTATGGCTGTACATATATCATAGTTTATCAATGAAAATAAATATCTTTAATTAATGCCTAGATTGTTCATTCAAACAACAAGGCGTTGTTTTGTTTTCTGCTCTCTTCCGCCTTCTTTCCACCTCTCTCCTTTTTTTTCCAACGTAATGAAGAAAATCATCAAGTACGAGCCTAGACCATACATAATAATGTAAGATTTATTCATTAAACAATATCATATATTCTACATAGAAGCAGGGATTTTATTTATATCACTTCAATACAACATTACATTCATTTGTCTTTATTAGCTGTTCCTTATTAAGCCACTGTAGCTCTAGCCATCTTTCAAGTTTTTTTGGTTTCAAGTTCAAGATATATGGTAGCTCGTGTTTGCGAATATCTATCATGACGATAATTGGATCAACAACGGTTGAAATATTATTGAACATTAATTCTATTAATGAGGGTGCAATTTGTTCTAATTGGATACCTCGATGTACTTTTAAATTACCCTTGTCATGATCATGTCCATCATTTGTATACTTCACTCTGTAATAAATTATAGTAAAATCGTACATGAACTGATTCATTTGAACATCTGTGTCAGATAATTTAATTAATTCAGTTTTATCGTGTCCATTGACTACCCAATTGTCTGTCTTATCATCAGTATTGAGTCTAGTAGCAACTTTTTTATTTAAAGAATCCGTTACTTTAATTAACTTATCCCTATGAAATATTGACCTCTTCGCATGTTTTTTGGGAAAGAACTCTTGAAAAGCAACAATGATATTTACAAACGTATTAAATCTTGGGTATAGTACATTATAAAATTTCGATACGAAAGGGGAATAGTTTTCATTAATTTTACGTTGCATCATTCCAAGCTCAGTTGTAAGAATATTCACTTCAGGAAACACTATCATAATTTCATTACCATTTTTCTTAAGTAAATTTAGTACTGATTTACTTGTTATTTTAGAATTCTCATCTTTTATTGCAATATCCTTTAATATTTCTACTTGTATCAGTTTAAATATATTACCCCATCCAATAAACCGTATTCGTAATAAATTATTGTACTTTGATATATCATTTTCAAACCACAATTGTTTTAATATAGTCGCTTTTGAAAACTTGTCTTCTGTTGAATTCAATTGTTCATATATTAAATGATAAATTAAAATATAATCATTAATTGATCTATGATTTGAAATTATTAAAGTTGTAACTAAAATATTATTTTCTATAATTTTAAATTCTTCACTTTTTTCTGTAAACAAGATTGGAACTGTTTCTTTATTCCCAAATAATTGATCAATTAAAGTTACATTAAAAAATAATTCCCACACACTTATCAAGTTCTGGAGTCGTGGAAGTACAAAGTCTAATAAAAACTGAACCGAATCATCAAGTAGCTTGATTTTATAAATGCCACATATAGGTATCGTTTTCCAAAAATTTATATATATTCTCCTAAAACTCAAAAATATTTTAGAATTGATTTTGCTAGCTAAAAACATGTGAATAAAATATGTCAAATAATATAAAAATATGAATATGATAATCTTACATAATGACACTGTAAAAAAAAACAATATATTAGGGGACAATTTAGTCACTTGTACATTATGCCCAATTATATGTGTTTTGAAAAAAGATAGAATACCCATAGAAAACAATTTGTAAAATATATACTTCCTTTTTGGTTATTCTCTTTTACTTATTCAAGTTAATTATTCTATTGTTGTTTGTGTTACCAAGATTTATAACCCTTAACTAAATAAATTATTTGGAAAAAGTGTGTCACATCAATATTCGATATTCGGCATTTCTCTTTCCTTTTTTATTTTTCGCTTTCTCTCTCAACTTGTCAACTGGCAAGGCGATGTGATTCAATTGGACTAAATCACTAAAGATGAACAGTGAAAAAAATATGTAGAACTACAGTCAACAAGATGGTTATCTGATCACCTAAACGTTCATATTTATAGGAACTTTTTTAATTGGATAAATAACCAACTGACTAAAATTGTAATGTTCTCGAGAATACAATTAGGTTTACGCTCTAACAAGCCCTTTCTTCAAGGAAGCATCAACAGAAGCAAAACGGTCTGCTTCATACCAAACTGTACAAGATTTCAGAGCACCCAAGCAACAAATACGGATGATAAAGTTATAAATAATAACGAGATAGTCAAGAAAAATGGATCACCTATAACAGAGGAAACTAAGACGGTAACCAAGAAAGAATCTTCCAAGAAGACTACAAGGCCTGGTTATTTTACTCCGCCCAAAGATCCTGGTCTACATGGGAAATTCCAAGAAGATTATGAAAGAATTACAAAGTATACACTAATACCATTGGTATTAGCTCCATTTTGCACGTCGTACGCTGGGATAGCATTTCACCCGATGCTGGATGCAACTCTAGGGAGTGCATTTTTATTGTACGCACATTACGGATTTTCCTCATTGATCTACCAATATTTACCTAAGGAGAAATATCCTAGATGGAGCACTGTGTCTCTTTGGACACTATATTCTTCATCGTGCCTGGCGTTTTATGGTCTTTATGAACTTGAAACTGAGAACAATGGTATTGTCGATCTCATCAAGAAACTTTGGAACTTTGATGATAGGAATGTCTTTGTCTTTAGTACTTCATAACATCATGACTCTAACAAAACATATTAATATTAGCATTTATTACCCCCCCCATTGTTTCATTGGTTAAATACATTATGTATATAAAGAAAAAGTATTTAAGAGATTCTGGGAATTTTTACCAGCATTATTACGTGTCGTGATCTATATATTTTATTAATAATTATCCGATATGTCATTTTCTTTAAGTTAATACTATACATTTTAATTAAATGAGTACAATACCTGTTCAGTTTTTAGCTGCACCTTGCCTAGCGAGCTCATCAGCAATTTCATTACCCTCATGACCTGCATGACCTTTAACCCATTCTATTTCAAATTTATTACCTTCATCGAAATGATCATTATTAATCTCATAATATTTCTTAACCTTCACATAATTCTGAATTAAAGGCTTAATTAAATCATTGTTAGGTAACGAATTAATCTTATCATCCGAGTAAGTGTGATACCTATCATTTAAAAGCTTAACAACGTATTCAGAATCAGTTTTAATCTTATAAACTTTTTTATCTTCAGCTGAAGTCAAATTTCCCCAAATAGTTTCAAGAGCGCTAGAGACTGCTTGTATTTCTCCCCTATTATTAGTTTGTTGTCCTCCCTTTAATCTCTCTGAAATATTATTTTGAGGTTCACCTTCAAAGTAAACACCATACCCTGCTCTTGCATTATTTGTACCATTAGATAAGGATGAACCATCACAATAGACATTTGCAGATTTGGAATATCTTTGATTTTTGGTTGCAATACCGTATTTTTGAGTGAAATTTTCCTGAGTGTCATTTATATGACCATAATCAGTCGAATCATTAGAGACACCACTTATATAATTATTGGCACCACCCTCAGAACCAAATTTCATATAAGATAACCCTTTTTGTCTATGAACATAGGACTTACAATCATCCCAATTGCTAAATATTTTACTTTGAATTTCTGGGTTGTTACTCTTTACGGCATAGTAGTTCTTAGAATTTGATGCGACTGAAGATGTCGGAGAACGTGCCTTAGCGATGCCTCCATAGCTTCCACTATTATAATACGATGATGGGTAAGAAAAACTTGATGAAGAGTTCGATTTTACAGTAGAAGTTGTATTGGAACGAGGGTTAGAATTGCTCGTTCGAGCACTAGAACTACCATATGAACTAGAGTAGCCACCGTTATAGTAAGAACTACCGTAACTGCTGCTTGAGGCAGTGCTACTACCAGCTCTATTACTAGATGAATTACCAGAATACCCCGTATTGGAGTTCGAGAATGCTTGGGCTTCGCTATAAGATGAGAATTTCTTATAAACTGAGCCAGCATAACCATCGGTTTGAGATTTACAATCATTCCATGAATCATATACACCTTCATTACGTCCATTTTGGACGGCATAATAATACTTTTTGGCCATATTTACTTTTATTTCCTTGAGAGTGAGTGTGATACGACTGATAATGTTGTGACGCATATAATCACTAACAAATCAAATATTGTTAGTTTTAGAAATGTTCCAGTAAACTGATATTTTTACCCTTACCTCTCCAAGATATATTTGAAATTGCACTTCATAAAAGAGAACGAAAAGAAACGAGCTCACAGATCAGAAGAAACGAGCCTCAATGATAAGCTCAACTTATTTATTTTATTTTTTCGCGTGGCGGTAACATGAGGTGATAAGCTGGCCAACCAAACGGCGTCATATAATATATCTACACATAATATTGTTTAATGCATTAAAAAAGAGTATATACATAATTAACATAACTTACAAAATACCTACTTGAGGGTGCGATTTATAATATATATATCCATAATAATCATGATGCGTTCATTTCTTGTATTTGACTCTATGACCTTTTGAAACCTTGTCTGCAATAGAGGTGATTGCTATCACCTTTCTTTTTAATTTTCTCTCATGTAAATGTTGGTAAACAAAATCTGTTTCGTTTTTAGCAATAAGAATTCGAAGTATAATATCTAAAAGTTCTGAATCACGCTCTAATGTATCAATGGAACCGTCCGGAGCTTCCCTATCCAATTGTTCTCTTGTCTTTCGGAAACTGTCTTTCATTATCGTTTTACGTCTTTCAACCGAGGTTAGCTTTCTGCTTACTACAATATTAGGGTTATTATCACGGTATTTCTTTTCAATATATTTGTAATATGACGGTGTTAATCTTTGAACCTCTTTTTTCAGTTCTATCGAACTCTTATCGTAAAATGCAGGAATAAGTAATAACTTTTGATAATCCTTGTTTTTCAAATCTTGCAAAGGAGGTCCTTCACCATTATTGTAAAAGAAATCAATACATAGAGCATCCAACCAATTAAAAACTATTTCTACTTCTTTAATAGTCAATGCTCTACCATAGCCAGGTAGAGTGGCAGTATCATGTTTCCATATGGAATTTTTGGTCAAGGCTAATTTGTTCTTCGCAATAGATAACTGAGGTAGAAGAAGATTATCCGCAGTCTTTAAAATACTAAACCAAGCTTTTAACATAACCATAATCAATAATTCATCTGTTAATTGTGTCGCCAATATTGTTAAATTGGAGTTTAGGTAATCGAATAAAGGTACAATTGCGTCATAAATATTATCATCAGTGGGATGAAGGTGCTGTGCATTACCACATATGCTTTGTAGAGTTTGCCTTGAAATTGAATATGCAACATAAGAAGAAAATTTACCAACGACTAATTCAACTGCCCTATCCCTACTTCTCGATAAGAATCTATATGATCTTCCAAAAGAAAACAGCGCATCATATTTTTCAGTCTCTAAAGAAATTTGAACAAATAATTGCCCTTGCGTGTCTAAGTCCAACGTACGACTATTTGGGAAACCATCATCCGTAAAATGCTTAGGGTCTAATATCAAAGTTGCTCTACCACAAATATCATCTCCAGTGAAGGCTTTTAATCTACTCGAAGAGTGGTGCCAAACGTTAAAAGTAAGATTTGAGGTACTATTGAATGGAAGATCAATTTCAAATTCTTCATCCCAAACCGGATTGGTCGTTTTTGGAACCACACCCGTCATTCCCGATTCTCGCTGCTTTGTGCTGCATCTTAAGGACACAGATGCGTTTGACGTCCCATCTTTACCATAGCCCCTTATATCTTTAGCTTCAACAACTCTAACGGAATATACTTGTTTTAAAGGTTCTTCCAAATCCATAAGTTTTTTATCTTTCAATCCACTAGATGCCTTTCCCTTTTCGATTTCTTGCGAAATAGTCTCTGGTCCGATCTTTTCATCCAGTTCGTTTACCATTTTTATCATTGTTTCAAGATCATTTAACATTACGCAGGTCCCTTCCCTATATTCAAATGCGGGTGGTATGGCCCTTTTTTCAGGTTCTGATTTCAAAGCTTTCTTCATTTCATGAAAAGTCCATTTTTTCTTATCCTTAACATCAGATCCCATAATACGATCCTCTAAAGTGTGATCTTCCATAGCTTTTTTTAACGCATTAAAACTCGATTGCCGTAAGTCTGTTTGAATTAACTTCAAAGTGCTTTGTGAATAAATCTTAATATCATCAGAAAATGCCTTCAGAATTAATGTAAACGTAGTGGCCAACTGATAAAAATTTTCCCAACCCAAATTATTTATAAGATCTATGGACTCGTTCACCATTTTAAATATATCAAGCACTGAATGACTGAATGGTGTTTTATCATTAATTCTCTGCCAGCGTTCATTTTTTAAAGAAGTAATTATCACACTCTTAACATTTTTCGTAATCTCTTTAGTAATGTTACGCATGTATTTATAGAACATACTTTCTAAATCAAATGGAAATCGATGTTTTGATTGTACTTGCATGTAAACATCTCTTAACTCCTTTAGTAAACTATACAGTTCTAATGCATTGACAGGAGCGATGGATTCGTCATTATTTATTTTGTAATATTTTTCAACTCTCTTCATCATCGATGGGAAATCAGTTGCGTATGCTGCTATTAACATATCTGCGGCAATAAACGATATATTAATTTTATCAAGTAGTGGTTTGGTATATCGCTTTTGTATATCCTTGATGCATTGAAGAATTTTTTCCCCAACATCTTGAATATGTTGAATTTCGAGACCTTTATCTTTAGGAATAGTATCTAACAATGAAATGTAGTATAATTCTGCAGATTTGAAAATAGTTTTCTTTAGTCGCCTAATATCATTTTTATTTGTGAAATGAGTATACTTCTTAAACATCAGAATTGCTGGGTCTATTTCGACTTGAGAATAGTAAAACGATAAAACTGGAGAAAACTTTGGTTTCGTATTAGAGAATAACCCTGACAAAAGATTATCCAACGAATTCATGCATCGCTTTTCGGTTTGTAACATATTAATTATCCACTGTTTTTGATCTCTGTCGTTCCAAATGGACGTATTCTTATAAATATCTCTATTCAGTATTTTAAGATCAATCATACTAAAAAGGTTCTCTGTAAGAGGTATATTTATTTCCTCATCCCCCAGAACAGTCAAATTCATTGATGTATAAATTATGGATGCCAAGGTTGAATAATAATCTACCATCCAATATTTCGAAAATTTGGAAAGGAAGAATAAAGCATCTTGTGTGAGGTTTAAAGATGTGGATTGGTAATTGCAGTCCTTTTCAAATACTTTGACCATCAGGGCTGTGAAGACATCTCTAGGATTTTTTGGAAGAATGTTGAAAGTTTCAGAACTCTTACCTGCATTAACAGATCGACTCTCATATTTTTCAAACACTATTACCATCTCATTCAATAGATATAACTTCCATGATTCATAATCATCATCACTCGAAAATTCTGTGTTCCTGAGAGGCCCTTCATCATTTTTAATAGATGTATGCAACTGTCTTAATTCTCTACAGTATTGATCATTACTGACGAGTTTAGACATCTTAGCAATATCTTGCTGAAGTATCAACGGGTCCACACCGAATAGCTCTGAGAAGTATGATGAATGGGTAATTTGTTCTATCCTGAATGTTGGTACGTTTTTTGATGCTCCAGATATATAGGGCTTATCATCTACTGATAATTTATTCGATGTTTGGTATACAGAATTTCTTTTAGAATGCAATGGCTGACTTCGATTTTTCAAAGAGCTTTCATAATCGTTTAATCTGGCAATAAAGAGTGATGAAGCTTTTGAAGCGTTCGCAAGCTCAATAAGTAAAAAGATAAACTTTGAGATTTGACCATACAATTCATTCTGAAAATTTCCTGATTGAAATTTTGTAAGTTGACTACTAGCTGTCTTAGAAAAATACACTATCATATCTTCTGGCCTTTTTATTTCGTTCATAGTTTTCCGAAGGGTTGGGTTTAAGTAATAGTCATTGTAGTATTTCATTAAACTTCTTCTATAATTCTGGTTCGATATGCTAATTTGATTGATTGTAACTTTATTCAAATATGACTCTAGTTTCTTCTTTAATACCATTAAAGCAGTACCATCGTCATTCTTATCTTCCTTTATTATATCATTCCCTCCAGAGCCCAATCTTGTGATTCTCCCATTGTTCATATCACCGGGTCGTGTATACAAATGTTGCCTTTGATTAAGACTACCAGACTTTGAGACTCGGAACCTTGGCTCATTGATGTACTCTAAAATTAATAGTTTTAACGAATAGGAATATAGATCTTCAGGGCTAACTGTTGGTGAATATAGATCTTTCACAGAAGGAAGATCGGGATTATTCTGAGACAATACACTGGGTGTGGTGGATGTAGTAGATATCGTAGATTCTACCCTTTTCATACCTTGCCGACTCTCGAATAATTTGGTCTTCTATACCGTTGGTAAAAATTGTGTACTAAAAAGTGTATGCCATACTTCTATTTTAATTTTAACTTTTTGTTCGTAAACAAATGATCGCTGTAAATGCACTTGGCGTTATTCTAAATTTGGAACAATGTAAACGATGGAAATATAATCTTAAAATATTGTTGTTCTATACATACATATTATTTAGATACGGTACCTACCTTTACAAATATATTTCGGAGGATTCAAATAATAATGTAACTTACATAATCAATACCTTTTTGCTGCGTAAGCAGCACCCTTTGGCTACATTGCCTAATAGTTGCCAAATTTGATCCATGAACCACTATGATCCACCTTAATTAGGACTAGACGAACCAGCCGACCCTCTTACTGTAGTATCAATACCTTACAAGAGTAAATGATTAACCCCATTAAGTGTTGGTATTATCTGTGTTTGGTTCCTCTGAGCTAAAATATTCACGACCACTGCTCTCGCTTTCAGACGTATTACTTTCTTTATCATTTCCCTCACCTGAGTCCACGTTTTCGTCAATTGAACTTAAAGTATAGTCCATCGAATCAAGAGATTTCGTGTAGGATGTATTACTGCTCTGTTCGGAATCTTCGAGTTTTACTATATGTGGCAACAGTAACTTGTTCATGGAAAAGATGGTGACTTTATCCCCAAAGATAGCTTTCATACGATCATCGCACAAGACTTCCCGTTTGTCTCCTGGATTTTGTAACTTGTTCTCTCGTATATATACCCATATCAATTTTACAACTTCTGTTCTTGTTGAATTTCTTATACCTAGTAAATTCTGTAGTGGTTCACTAAGTTTAACAATTGCTTTACTCATGTGATTTTCTGGAATCTTTCTTGGCTTCTTAGGTTGTGAAAGCTTGTGAATGGTCCCTTTTGTGTTGCTAGTACTTTCTTTTTCTATTTTCTTATCCCATCTTTTGAATCTATTTAGTAAAAGTCGCCTTTCTTTGTCCACATCTTTACAAGGGACATGATGCAAGGTTTGATCTTTAAACTCATGTATTTGATTTGTAATAAATTCATTTAAGTCACTTTTCCGGTATTCTTCTAGATTAACCAGGAAAGCGTCACCAAGGATCATTTTGATCTGATTTAAATTATCATCTTTAGATATTACTTGAGGTAATATTGCTTTCACATACGGTATTAATTCCTCAAAATGACACGATGTATCACTCTTTCTTTTTGCCATGGGTATGATATTTAAACGCTTGGAGCTCTAAACATTTTGGAAGACTAATAAGAATTTCTATATTCATTCCCTCTTCAAAAGAAATATATCAAACTTAAATTATACTAATTATGTTATTGTTTACCTTTCGGCATTAAAATAGAATTAAGAATCGGCCTTCCTTCAAAATTTCATTAATAACTAAATGTCGAAGCTTCGAACTGCCAGAACATAGTTGAATCCATTTATCAGAATGAATAGATATGATAGACTTAAAAATTTGTATGTTATCCTAAATAATCATTTATATATATAAAAATTACAGATGACCTAGATATTAAAATGAAACCAACATTAAAGATCGCTTAGTATCTTCTGTTTGGTCTAGCATTTTGTCTGGTATTTTGAGATCTGTCTTGGATGTAAGTACCTGGAACAATGTGTTCTGGTAAGTGCAAGTAGTCTCTTAGGTATTCAACACCTTCTTCAGTCAAGGTGTAGTAGTAGTATTGCCATGAGAATTGAGTCTTGACGTAACCCTTGGAGGTCAAGGATTGTAGAGCCTTGATGACGTATAGGTTTCTGGTGTCAATTTCTTCATGCTTTGGTTGGTTGAAGTCCTTCTTAGCAACACAAACACCTTCTGTTTAAATAATTAAATGGAGAATTATTACAATAATTCAACTTTATTTCGTTAGTAAATCATTCAACAATATTCAATATAATAAATTGAAACAAAGACGTAGATTGTTCAAAAGGGATACTGGAAATATATGCATTTTATTCTCTTAGCTGAACTTTAGTTCAGTCATTGTTATAATCTCAAACTTTTATATCATCATTAGTGTTTACTCTAATTTATCGATTTTCTTTTCTTTTTCTTCATTTGGAAATGCTCTTCACTATCTCCTTTTAATATTTAGGAATCCACTCTTTTGATTAACCATGGCCTTCATCTAGTAGTGGTTAAAATCATCTGACAGTCATCTGTAGATATTTGCCATTTTCATCAATTTTTATAAAAAATAGAGCTCCTTTTAACTTCTGCTCGGATAAACTATGTTTTATTCAATTCCAATTATTCTTTCTCAAGTTATAAATCCTCCGTTTTTCTAACGTAATCGTTTTCATTATATTTCTTTAAATTAAAAACATACCTTGGAATAAGTATCTGAAGATCTTGTTTCTTTCGTCCTTTGGCATCAACATCTTGGCTATATTATATGTATTATTACTACTGGGTTGCTTATTTTATTCAAGTCACAACTAAAAATTGTATTATGTTTATATATATCTTTATTTAAGCAGAATAAACGTTAGTATTAGCAGATTGTTTGCAATGATACCTGTACAGTTACACCCTTCCAGTAAAGAAGCCATACAATAAGATGACGGTGGAAAGTAATCAGTACACGTTAGAAACTGTCTAAGAATGTTTCATAGATAGTGAAAATTTCAGAATCGGAGCCACCACTACTGTAGAAAATCGTATTGAAACGTAGCCAACAGTACGATAGATCGTACAACTGGTGGTGATGGAATAGGACCTCTTACCAAGAAGACGTATCATGGAAAGATGTTACAGTAGAAATCATTGGCCTTGACAAGAGTTGCTAGGCAGAGAAGAATTCTACCACCCCTGTGGAAATTGTGGTTACAGCTAGATAGAAGGGGCTATGGAATTTGGTTTCGCTGGAAGTGCTAGCATTAATTGTCTAGTAATGAATTTTCGGGAGTGAGAGATCGGCGCGCTCTCTCCATCAAAAATGAAAAAATTAAAAAATTGTAAGAAAAAATACTGTAAGAATGTTAGACATCTGGCTGGTGCACGGATGTTAGGATAGTCAAATAAATTGGATAAAGTTCAAAAAATATGAGATGAGCATCCTCTCAGAAATATTTGATCTTTTAATAAGATGTAACGTATTTAGATCTATAAGTAGCATATATTACAACCATAAACAAATTGGTTTAATATTGGATTTCTGAGATGTGTTTTGAAGGAAAACTTGTTCTTACGGAATGATAGTTTATGCTCGATATGCCATCAAAATTGATTCTACGGCATTGATTATCACGGAATTCTATTTGAAGTCAAATCAGCTCGATATGTTGAAATATTAGGATAAATTGACTTACCGTAACCTATCGGATATATCTTTGTCACCTTTACTTCAATTAATGCGAATTTAATAGAAAAAGGGCAATGCTATAACCGGGCGTAATGATATAATAACAATATCCCACGGGCTGGTTGCGCCGGTCCCTTTTTAACAGGACTGTATCATATTAAAAGGTGAGCGATACAATTTAAAGAGCTTTCAAAGAGGACCAAACATAAAATAAATAGCTGTCATTAATAACTTATCTTTATAATAGGTATGCCCATTTCGTTAGAGGATCCTGAAATGCAGGACTCAGATAATTTATCTGATGATAGTATCGTAGAATTAACGGAATTAACAGATCGTAATGATTCTGAAAATAGGATCGTTCATAGTGTTAAGAAATATATAAAACAACTCCAATTCTTCGTTCATGAGAAAAACATCTACCACCTCACATTTACACATTATACTCTCCTCATTATATGGTTTACCTTTCTCATAAAGAATATTGCACAATATCAAGAGAGGTATCAACAGAGTCGACTGAGAGCCTCGCGATATTTAAATACAATACTTTTTGGTTGTTCTGATATTTTGGCACAATCAATAACCTGCTATTATTCCCAACGCATTGACCCGATAAATGGCGTGTTTGGTACTTCAACGAATAACCTACTACAGAGATTTCAATCAACAATTCTACCGGAAGAATCTAATTTGAATAGTGGCTATGAAAGCGATTCATTTTCAGTATTCAATGACTATGGAATTAGTCCAGTTTCTTCAAGAGAATCAAATATTATTGTATATGAAGATCCTGATGAACCGACTATTACAAAATTTAATTTTACAAGATTTATTACATTTTCTATGTGGGGTCAATGCATATCCTTTTTTCAGGTTCCATGGTACAGAATTTTAAATTTCTTTTTTACTGAAGATCCATCAATTGTTCAAGTATTCGAAAGAGTTCTAGCAGATCAATTATTATATTCTCCACTCTTTTTATTCTTTTTTTTTACTTATTCAAATTTTGTTATGGAAAGAGGGGATAAAGAAACATTTAAAATTAAGATTCAAAAATTATATATTTCAACTTTGGGTTGTAATTTATTAGTTTGGCCATTAGCACAGTTAATAAATTTTTCGACTATACCGAAGCCATTTCAAATACCTTTCAGTTCTTCTGTAGGTGTCTTGTGGAATTGTTTCCTATCTATGAGAAACGCTTCTGGTTCAAAGTCATTATAAACATTTATATTCATATTAATAGAACTAGCATTTTAGATAACAGTTACATAATGTAGATAATAATAAATTATTACTATATTTAGTCTAACTATATTTTCTTTCTTTGAATATTTACACAATTATAAAATAATTAAAATTCATTTACACCACATAACCATCTAACTCTTCTCTTATAATGTTCTTGTATTTTTTACTACTTTTCCTCTTTTTAAAGTATGGTTTTACTAAAGGTGGAATAATTAATTGCACATAATAATTGAAAAATGCCCAGATGAGAATAAATAGCTTCATACTATTCGAAACATCAGTAAGTTGGAATAATGCTCCGGCCCATGATGACACAGGGATATACATTACTACAATACTAGCAAAAATAGACGCTATAATATCCAATATAAATCCTTTATTCTTCAACATCGGTTCTCTATACGGAGGCCCAACTGATAGAACGATAGCAACCAAAATATACTGATAATTGGATATAAAAAATAGAATAGTATTATCGGAAGATTGCACAGCATCATCTCCACCTACAATAGGTTTAATATACCATTCTTTCCCTTGAACCATCTTCCAAGGAACGATTTGGAATATTAGTATAATAACAAAACTAATAAAGAGTGGGATCAAAATCTTCAATGATACCAGATTTGCAGATGGCCTTTTTTTGGCTAGTTTATCATAAGGTTTTGACCATGACATAAATATAGCAATTGGGATAATCAGAAATAAATCAATATATAAAAATTGGAAATCACCAAGATTAGAACCCCTACTGTATAAAATTGAAATGGTAACAAACTGAATGGCAGAGTACAAACTCATATATTGAAAACAGGAGAATGAAGTAACTAATGAAGCACGCCCTTCTTTCATTACATCAATAACACAACTAATATCGAATATCTTAGAAGTGAACGGGGCCGCAACTGATGCTTCTGCTTCAGATAACGATATCCCAACATCAGCCGCTTTAAGAGCACCACAATCATTTGCACCATCCCCACAAAATCCAACTGTATAGTCAAGTTTTTGTAGTTGCTCAACCAATTCATGTTTTTCATCTGGTGACATTCTTGCGTACACTGAAGATCTGAGGAGAACATTATCAACGTAGACTTGTGAGAAATTTGCTTCATTAGAAAATATAACACGGAATATATCACCAGTCACAGCCATAGTATAGTTTGATACATCACTATCCTTTGGTGTTAAGGTTACTGGATCTAACATATTATCTGGATCGTTCAACTCTCTCCAAAGAATAGGATACTGTTCATTTTGGTCACTCAGATAAGGGAGATAAACATTGCTTTCCCTAATTAACCCACACTCTTTACCAACAGAAATAGCAGTTAGTACATTATCACCAGTACACATGACAGTCCTAATCTTGGCATCGTTTAATACTGAAAGCGTTTTAGGTGTTGCCTGCTTTAATCTATTTTCGAAAATGATGAACCCCAGAAATTCCAAGTTTGTCTCCACTTCCTCCCTTGAGACTTTTTTTGCATATAACCACGTATGTTTTGGCAAAACTTTACCAGCACATGCAATAACTCTATAACCAGCAAGAGTATAATCGTATAATTGTTGTTCATAATTTTGTGGAATAGTATTTCTGTTACAGATATCAGCAATGACTTCTGGGGCACCTTTCGTGAAAGAATAATATATATTATCACTACTAGGTTTGACAATGACACTGAGACGTCTCAATTCAGAAAGAAATTCAAAACTTCTAATAATACCTAAAATGTTTTGTGGATCATTCTCAATAAATTTGCTGTTTTTGTCTTCACTATTGGGGTGAACAACAGCAGGTATAATATCTTGATTTTCAGGAAATACGGAATCTTCATGTCTTTCTTCGTACACAGAATGAAATGCTTGATTTTGGAAATCTTCGTCATAAGACCAACCGGTAAACTGGAACATTTTAAAATCCAATGGATCACCGATTAATTCTCCATCTACAACTCTAAGAGAATGGCAGGTTAATATAGACATTAAGAAATTTCTATTTCTTATATCTGTAGGAGAATTACAGTCATTCAAAGAAAATTTAGGGAAGACCACGTGTATATCATTTTTTAGTTCACCAAATGCATAAGAATTACGACTGTTTGGTTCACAAACCTGAACCCCTAAAACATCCAGATCATCTTCAGTCAATGTACCTGTTTTATCGAAACACATGATATCCACTTTACCACCAATATTAACTCTAGTAGGTGAGATACAGAAAATACCTTTCTTTTTTAGCCTGTTCAAAGCAAAACTTGTACCAATTGTCAAAGTTGCAGGTAACGCAGGTGGCACAACAATAGTAATGATATCCAAAGCACGTAAGATCATAGTTCTCTTGTCCAAACCAAGTTTCATGAATTGTAGCCAACTGATGAAGAAACCTAACATAGCAACAACAGTCATAACACCAATATATTTAAATGAATCCCTGTAAAACTTAAATCCTACAGGTTTCGGGAAAACCATAGAACGAACCAAGGAACCTTTCGTCGTAGAAAATCCTGTACGTACAACCATTGCCAAGGCCGACGTCTGACCCTTTGAAATCTTACATCTAATAATGATAGTACCACAAAATAAAAAAGATTTTGAGACAAAGCTCGATATCTGTGTATCTTGGAAATCTTGAATTAATTGGCCCATGGTCATTTCATTGGATGCAAGTTTTGTAACAGGAACAGACTCACCTGTTAACATTGATTCATTTACGATACAATCACCAGACAAAAGTATCGAATCTGCAGGGAAGACGGTTAACTGTGGATCGGACACTTCATATACATCTCCGGGAACCAAATCTCTTGAACTAATAGTAATCCAAAACCCCTCTCTAAAGACACGAACCTCACAGTCAAAATGAGACATTTCTGCCAAATTCTTGGAGGTTTTTCTAGTTTGAATAAGTGTATCTACAATGGACATCACAGAAATTATAAATATGCATGCGGCATAGTAGTAATACTCATCTAAACTCCATAGGATAATTGAGAAAATTTGAAAGATATAAAATGGATGCAGGACCTCATCCCATAACAAATCCATAATACTTTTTGTTTTTAAATCAATTTGATTTTTATCGAACGCCAAGAATCTGTCTTCCTGAATTGCAGTTGGTAATCCTGCATAGACAGTCTTTAAATCGATCCAATCTGGATCAGCCCAATTATTATTTGTTCTAAAAATGTCTTCTATTGGCGAATATATAAACTTGATATACCTGTAATGAAAATATATCAAAACAGGAATATTTGGATTTTTTTCGCTGGCGTGATGATGGTATAGTTCAGTATCTAAGTTGTCAACAGCGTTACCTTCATTATGGAGAATGGTGCTTAGCGGTCTGTTATACCATCGTCTTTGAACTGGTTCAACTTGTATTTCCCCAAATTCATTTTCGATAACAACCCACTCAGCTTTCCCAAGGGGGCATCTTTCACCACAAATTTTAACTTTCTTGGAAGGTAGCCACAGCATTAATAAGTAAAACAATCCTAAAGTAAATACACATGTTAAACGATACAACAGAATTCCTAAACGTGAGTTCTTGTAACCAGCAATACCTATTACTAAATCTTCTTCACTAATATAAAATCTCTGGAGACTTTGTTCCGCCTGGTGATTTGGATAAAATTTTTCATGGTAAATAGGCTTTAAAAACTCGTCTTGATGTCCTGACTTCTTATGATGTTGTCTTGATTCTTCTTCAGAAGAAATAATCTCAGAGTCTCCATCTGAGACTTCCTCGTTTTCTGGTGACGGTAAAGGTGCAGACGCAGATCTTGTATCTAAAAATTCATCTAAACTTCCTTCTAAATCTGTTGGAATCCTATCCCTTATAGTATATCTAGATGAACTCGAAGACGAATGTGTTGATACTTGTGACATCGGATCTATCGAAGCTTGACGTTGTTTATGAGCTCGTCCAGTTCTTGTCAATGGATGTCCCTTATAACTAGGGGTCCCATACTGACTATTATTGGAGAGCGACGATCTAGGTGACGCACTATATATTGATGACCTTCTGGAAGCATTTTCTGACCCAAATAAACGCTGTTGTTCATTAGCTGGCATCGGATCCCATTCTGTATTAAAATCAGTATGTTCTAAGGTTGATGCCCCTTCAGCATTATTAATTTGTTCTTGTGTGAAAAAGTTAAAATGTGGATTACGTTGTGAACTGATAGAACCTCCCCGAGACCGTTCCATCAATGGAACACTATCTGATAATCCACTTACTTGAGGTTCAATATTGTGGGATGCAATTGATGTACCAAGGAAGTTACTCGATTGTAGGGAGTGAGGGTGATGGAATGATACAATAGAACTTGGAATTGCTTCAAAAGGTACGCCTGAGAATGGTTCTGTACTATTTTCTGGAAGTAGTCCAGATGTTAAAGTTGCAGACGATGATGATGTCATAGCTGATGAAAAGGATCTTCTCTCTCTGCTAGGAGGTTGTCCATAGTTCTCATCCCCAGTCATATTTTGATCATTATTATAGGATGACATTAATATTCACTAATGAAAGTTTATACTTTTTTTACCCAAAGTATAATGAGTTATGAAAAGATCTGATATTTTATTTAAGCTTCTCTTAGTGGTTATTACTTTACCGTGTCAAATAGTTTGTTCCGAGAAATAGTCCCTGAAATTTAAACCTTCTAATTTTGTTAAAAGATATGATAAATAGGGTGCCCGATCACGTGCAAAAAGAGTTTAATTACCCTAAGAAGACTGTAAAACTACAAATTAACTGCACGATATGAACTGTCGAAAAGTACCAGAATACATAATTTATTACAGAGGTAAAGTCCCTTGAATATATATATATATATATGCATCTACATCAATCATTCTCAGTCGGAGGTTTTCCCTTCTTTGAATTTTTCAAGTTGTACTTACACGTCTTCGAAAAAAAACATTGCTTGCATTATAGTTATCTTAAAACATAAAACAATAGAATTCTTGTCCTTTCATAGGTAGCCATTGTGAATGGCCAAAACACACATAACTATGGTCTGATATATTTTAAAATATTATACCGAGTTAAGAAGTGGCTCCTCAATACCGAAACACAATAAAACTTTCAATACTAAAAACATTCTGAAAAACGAAAAACACAATCAAAAAAAATTATTATGAAGCGATGAGATGACTTGAGCGATGAGGTCGTGATAAATGACTGAAAAATTTATTTTCTAGAGATGAGCGAAAATTTTTTTTGATATTAATATTACGGAAAGACCAGTATAGACCGGCGATGAGTATATATAATAATAACATAATATAATTAATTGAAGATTTTATCTTATTTAGGGTAGTCAAACAACTATAATTAGATAAGAGACTAGCACTTTTTTTATTCTCATCGACCATAATAGAAGGTTAATTATCAAAAAAGATATTAATATGGCTCCTTCTACTAAGAGAAAGAGAGATGAGGAGTTTCCTCTCGCAAGGGAAGATGCCACACAACAACCAATAGCATCTTCATTGGTCAGAAATACAGAGGAAGTATCATTTCCAAGAGGTGGTGCATCTGCATTAACTCCATTAGAACTGAAACAAGTTGCAAATGAAGCTGCTAGTGACGTTTTATTTGGTAATGATAAGCCTGTTCCAGAAACTTCCAGACCAAAAAAGAAGAAGAAGACAACCAAAAAGGACAAGAATGAAGGTGCTGGAAGTACAGAATCTGATAGCACCACCGAAAAATCATCTGCCATAGTACATCATATTGGCTTCAAGAACTTGAAGGTAGGATCATACTTATTGGGTCAAGTCTCCAGTATATCTAAAAATGATATCGGTGTCACTTTTGCAGATGGCATATCTGGTTATGTAAACATGGCTCATATTTCTGAACAATTTACAACTATGTTGGAAGATATGGATGAAGATATGGAAGAAAAAGAAAACAAGGACGATTATGACTCTTCCGATGATGAAGCACAGGATAAGATTAATGAACTGCCTGACTTACACAATTATTTCAAGATTGGTCAATGGTTAAGATCCTACGTTACTGTCAATACTGCGCTAGAGACTAGAACAAAAAAAAATCACAAGAAAAGAATTGAATTATCTCTTGAACCTAGTATCGTCAACACATTTGCTGAAGAGGATTTAGTTAAAAATTGTACAATTCAATGTGCTGTTAAGAGTATTGAAGATCATGGTGCAATTTTAGATATTGGTGTAGATGGATTTACCGGTTTTATTTCTAAATCAGATGTTCCAAATTTAAATGATTTGTTACCAGGTACTGTTTTCCTAGGTAATATTACTAAGAAATCAGATAGAACTGTCACTGTTAATACTGTTCTTGCAAACAAAAAAAATAAAATCACACAGATTTCTGCTGTAGACGCCGTATTACCAGGTCAAACAGTTGATTTACTATGCGAGGAAGTATCTGAAAATGGTATCACAGGTAAATCATTTGGTTTAGTTCCAGGTTTTATTGGATCATCTCATCTAAGAGTTTTCAAACAAGAGGATATGAAACATAAATACGCAGTCGGTTCTAATATTCAGTGTAGAATTATCGCAACATTAACAACAGATGATGCCGAAAGAACTTTGGTTTTATCTACATTACCTTCAATCCAATCTCTAGATACATCTTTATCAAGTATAGAAGCTTTAGAAGCCTTCCCAATTGGTTATACATTCGAATCTACCAAAGTTTTGGGCGTTGATTCACAATATCTATATCTAAAATTGAATGATGATCGTGTTGGTAGAGTTCACAAATCGAATGTCGGTACTTTGGAATCCAAAGATAATCTAATGGCCAGAGTTCTTGGGTTTGATGCTGTCGATAATATTTACGAAATGACCACCAACCCAGATACTGTTAAATTAAAATATCTAAGAGCTTCCGATGTTCCAGTAGGTGAGTTATTATCAGGTTGTGAGATTATCAATGTTTCTAGTTCAGGTATTGAACTAAAAATTTTAAATGGACAGTTTACTGCCAAGGTTCCTGCATTGCATATTTCTGATATTAGATTGGTATACCCTGAAAGAAAATTCAAGATTGCATCCAAGGTTAAAGGTAGAGTTCTTGCTGTTGATCACAGAGGTACCATATTCGTCACCTTGAAGAAGTCATTAGTTAACATTGAAGATAAAGATATCTCCCTTGTCTCATCATACCAAACAGCTGAAGATATTAAATCTAAAGGCGAAAAGACTGTCGCCTCCGTTCAAAAATTTACGCCATCAGGTGCTATCCTAACCTTCTTCGGTGGTATTACCGGGTTTTTACCTAACGCTGAAATTTCAGAAGTTTATGTTAAGAAGCCAGAACAACATTTAAGATTAGGTCAAACAGTCAATGTTAAACTATTGAATGTCGATGGAGAAAACCACAGAATCCTTGCATCATGTAAAATTTCTAGTCAAAAAGCTCAAGAACAAAAGGAAAAAATACAAGACATAATCCCAGGTAGAACCATTATGAAGGTTACTGTCGTTGAAAAAGCGAAGGAGTCTCTAGTTGTCGAAGTTGCTGATCTTGGTCTAAGAGGTGTCATATACGTTGGCCAACTTTCGGATAATAGAATCGAAAATAACAGAGCTGCTATTAAAAAAATCATCATTGGCTCCGAATTGGAAGGTCTAGTCATTGACAAAGATACCAGAACTCACATCTTCAATCTTTCTATGAAGAAATCTTTGATAAGGGATGCTAAGAAACAAATTCTTCCATTAACTTATGAAGATATTCAAAAAACTGACAAATCAACCCCATTAAACGGTTATGTAAAGTCTATCTCAGACAAGGGTATTTTTGTTGCATTCAACGGGAAATTTGTTGGTTTAGTTCTTCCAAGTTATGCAGCTGAAAGTAGAGATATTGATATTTCCAAGATGTATTATGTCAATCAATCTGTAACTGCCCATATTTTAAGAACAGATGACGATAATAAAAGATTCCTTTTAACCTTGAGAGGTCCTGCTGATGAAAAAAAGAAAGTAGTGACCGAAAAAAATTTCGAAGCTATTGACCCAAGTATCAAATCTGTAGAAGATTTTTCATTTGGTAAAATTGTTAAATGTAAGATTGTCGGTATAAAGAAGAATCAACTTAATGTTGCATTGGCCGATAATATTCAAGGTAGAATTGATGTATCTGAGGTATTTGATAACATTAACAGTATTGAGAACAAGAAAGAACCTTTGAGCTCTTTCAAGAAGGATGAGATAATAGAGGCCAGAATAATTGGTACGCATGATGCCAAAAGTCATAAATTCTCATCATCACCAATCCAAGTCACAAAGGGTTCGATCCTAGAATTATCTATGAAACCTTCTGCACTAAAGGCAAAGTCTTACGCCCCAACTGAATTAGCCAATGTCAAAGTGAGTGATGAATTGGTAGGTTATGTTAATAATTACAGAAATGACGTACTATGGTTGACTATATCACCATCTTTAAGTGCTAGAGTATCCGCTTTTGACTTGCTTGAAGATGAAGAATCTCTACCGGAAAATATCGAGAATTCATTCCCAATTGGTTCTATAATCCCTGTAAAGGTTGAAGGAATCGATGCTGAACACAATTGTGTATCTGCTATTACAAAAGCTCATAAAGCAAAAACTATTTCCGACTTGGTCGTAAGCTCTAAGGTTCCAGCACGTATCAGCAAAGTGGGTGACAATTATGTGCTGTTAGATTTGGGTAATAAGTTAACTGGTATTTCTTTTGCAACTGATGCCCTTGACGATTACTCTCTATCTCTAGAAGATACTTACCGTAAAAAAATCAACAAGATGGTTGTGGCTACTATTCTATCTGTCGATATCGAGAAAAAGAAGATCAATCTTTCTCTTCGTTCTGATAATCCAAAGACTCCACTAATTACTTCTCACAGTGACATCAATGAGGGTGATATTGTTCACGGTATTGTAAAGAGAGTTATGGATAAAGGTATATTTGTTTATCTAAGTAGCAAGATTGATGCTTTCGTTCCTGTTAGTAAGTTATCTGATTCTTATTTAAAAGAATGGAAGAAATTTTACAAACCTATGCAACCTGTTGTCGGTAAGGTTGTTCAATGTGAAGAAGACTCGCGTATTTTGTTAACTTTAAGGGAATCTGAAATAAATGGTGAAGTTCAAATACTAAAGAACTACAGTACTATCCAAGTAGGTGATATTTTCAATGGTTCTGTTAAGAATGTCACAGATTTTGGTGTATTTATCAAACTGGACAACACTGTTAATTGTAGTGGTCTGGCCCACATTTCTGAAATCTCAGATGAAAAGCCTGAAGATATCTCAGCACTATTTGGTCCAGGTGACAGAGTTAAAGCTGTTGTAATTAAAACAAATCCAGAGAAAAAACAATTATCTTTAAGTCTAAAAGCTTCTCACTTCTCCAAAAGTTCTCCAGTTGAAAAGCAAAATGAAAAGGTCGAAGAAGATGACGAGGAAATTCAATTCACTAATGATATTGAATCTGATGATGACATGGATCTTGACGAAGAGGAAACCAAACCAAAGCGTGATATTACTTCTATGTCTACTGATGGTTTAAGTTTGAGTACTGGCTTCGACTGGACCGCTGCTATTTTAGATCAAGCTAATGAAGCTGAGTCAGAGTCTGAAGAAGAAGAAGATTTCACAGAGTCCAAAAAGCATAAGCACAGAAGAAGAAGGGAAAAGATTGTTGAAGATAAAACCATCGATATTAATACAAGAGCTCCAGAATCTGTTTCTGACTTTGAACGTTTAATTATTGGTAACCCAAACTCATCTGTTATTTGGATGAACTACATGGCCTTCCAATTACAACTAAGTGAAATTGACAAGGCCCGTGAAATTGCTGAACGTGCCCTAAAGACCATTAACTTTAGAGAAGAGGCTGAAAAATTAAACATATGGATAGCAATGCTCAACTTGGAAAATACCTTCGGTACCTCTGAAACTTTAGATGATGTGTTTAAGAGAGCTTGTCAATACATGGATTCGTTCACTATTCACAACAAATTGATAAGTATATACCAAATGAGTCAAAAACTAGATGCAGCTGCTGATTTATTGAAAGCAACAGCCAAGAAATTCGGTGCTGAGAAGGTGTCCATCTGGGTCACATGGGGAGATTTCTTAATTACAAATAACAGAAAAGATGAGGCTGCGTCTGTCTTGAGTAATGCTTTGAAGGCTCTACCAAAACGTGATCACATTGAAGTTGTTAAGAAATTCGCTCAACTTGAATTTGTAAAGGGTGAACCTGAAAAGGGTCGTTCATTATTTGAAGGTTTGATTTCTGATGCTTCAAAGAGAATCGACATATGGAATGTTTACATTGATCAAGAAATGAAAATTAAAGAAAAAACCAAGGTCGAAGACTTGTTTGAAAGGGTTATTTTAAAGAAATTAAGTAAGAAGCAAGCCAAGTTCTTCTTTAACAAATGGTTAGAATTTGAAGAAGCCAGCGATGATATTAAGACTTCTGATTACGTCAAGGCTAAGGCTACTGAATATGTTGAAAGAAACAATAAAGATGAATAAACTAAACCGTTAATCGTCCTCATATAATCTGAAGCATCATTACGTCATCATGTATATTAAAATTTGTAAAGTATTTATGAATATAAAAATCATAAGAATAAAATCTATTAAGTTACATAAATTATAACTATCAAATGAGACTCTTCTCAGATTGGGAAACACTTTATAGTGCGTGAGTTCTATTATTTCTCAGAAACTTTATCTAAACCAACTTTAAATTCTTTGTATGTAATACTACTCTTATTACCTTCGTACCGAACTACATCCACAAAATATTGATCATAATGTTCCATAATTTCATCTATATTGGACAAACAACCAGCCTTTTCCAGCAAATTCTTGAACGTTTCACTTTTATCCCAGCCTTGTTCCGTCATAACATCGGGTAGAAAAGTAGCTGACCTTATTTTTGAACCATGTGGATCTTTGAATCTCAATTCAATTCCATGTTTCCCTATTGTCCAGTTAAATATGTCATTCTCTTTAATTCTTTTTTTATTGTCGTATATAGTCTCGAAATTCTGCAATACATTACAGTAACATTTCAAGCGTGTTAAGTCATTTTCCGAAATTGGATGAAACCTTGTGTCTTCTAAGGCAGATACTAATGCAAACCTTTGAATACCTTCATCAAGTGGTAATTTAGAAAATGTTCCGATGCAACCCCTTAACTGGTACTCGTCCTTTCCACGAGGTTTTTTCTTCCATGTAACAAATAAAGAAGTTTTTTCCTCAAGATTAACTTTAACTGATGGATATAGCTCTCGACACACTTTTGAAAGAGTCATTTCATGACCTTGCGTTTCCATAAAATATGAGTATAGGCAATAAAAAGCATAAAAAGCTTGAGGCGACCCTGATATTATAGATTCTGTCATTTAATATTGTTTATTTAAATAAATATAATACTTTAGTTTGAGGTATAATATTAAATTAATGGATCGAAGTAACTACAATGTGTTTAAAGTATCATTTATTTATAGGTGATGAACTGAGAATAATAACCCTTAAAATAGCTTTTACCCTTTTTATTCAATTAATTTTGCCTAAATATAAGAAAATTATAGTACTGACTATTTTTTTTTAGCTACCGGCCCGGTAAAGCTTTTTTGTTTAATTAAAGTGGAATAATAGTTTTATTTGACGTAATTAATGTACGTTTATAACAATAATTGCCAGTATAAGGTTGCAATAAATATATTTCTAATATATTTCGAAACTCTAATATCTGAACATTTATTATTGTAAAGAGATTGAAAGTCTGTTGAACTTTGGTTTTTAATTATTATTTTTTTCAATTGAATTTAAAATATGAGATTGAACATACTCACAAGGCTGTTTATATGGGCATTGCTATGCGAAATATTTGTAAACTGTCAGAATTTTTATGACTCTGATCCACATATTATAGAGGCCACTGAAAGGAATTTTGATAAGATAGTTTATTCTACAAACCAAACATCTTTAGTTGAATTTTATGCACCATGGTGTGGTTATTGTAAACAATTAAAACCAGTTATGCACCGTGTTGGTAAAAAATTAGATGGTATTGCTCAAGTTGTTACAGTTAATTGTGATCTTGACCAAAACAAGGGCCTTTGTTCAAAACACGGTGTTGAGGGATTCCCAACTCTAATGGTTTTCAGACCCCCAAAAGTTTACAGAAAAGGACAGAAACATGCCAATGAAAAATATCAAGGTGAAAGAACAATGAAACCTATTGTTGAATTTGTTAAATCTAGAGTTAAGAACTCCGTAAAGAAATTGCGTGCTATAAGTACTATTCAAAGTATGTTGAGTAAACACCATGAAACAATTTTAAATAATTATACTGTAATATTATTTTCCAAAGTCGATATCATACCACCTATCTTTAAAAGTATTGGTATTGATTGGCTGAGTCAAGTGGATTTTTTTATGATGCATAATAAGAATATAGGTCCAATCGATGAGACAGATAAAATCCAAAGTAAATTCGCCTCTTTATATCCCAAAATGTCTAAGTCTTTGAATGATATATTACAAAAACAGATTGATAACAAGGATTCCAACAGATTAATATTATTGGATAAAGTCAATGACGAAGTACATATTTATGATGGGAAAAAAATTACAAAGCTTGCTGTTACAAAATTCATTAATGAAATTACGAATCTAGTTCCTCAAGAAGGTCCACTAAGTAAACGTCAAGCTTATATAGATGCAGTGAAGACAGGAAAGAAAACTAAGAAGGCAAAGAAGAATCACAGAAAACATGCGAAGGAAAATATAAAGGATGAACTGTAGTTACAGACGTCATTTTAAAAGAATTCTTCTATTGTCATTGATGGCCTTTGACCGTCTTATTTCCTATATATATCTGTGGCTACGCATTTTTGTTAAATGGAAATTATTCAAAAATGAAAATTTTTGGTGGTGGCATTTTCCGAAAACTCTGAATAAGCGATGAGCTGAAAAATTTATTTTAATTCAATAAGTAATAATTTAATACTACTGAGCATTAAGCAGAAACTTATATATATGTAATTTATATGTGGCTTAAACTGTTGAACCTTTAAGCTTTAGTGTTTATAAAAACACATCACGTTTCAACTGACCAATAAGAGAAATGTCGTATTTTTTCCAAAACATAAGACCAACTAATGGATCTGATGAAGAAGACCAATACGAAGAAGATCCTGATGAATTAAGAAGAATTTTACAAAGACAACAAAGGAATCGTAAAATTTCTAGAGATCATGACTCAGAAACAGAGGATAAAGACGACGATGAAGAAGAAGATGATGAGGATCTTAAGACTTTGTCATTTGGCGCTATTAAGAATGCAGACAATATCCTAGAGAAAGAAACAAAGACTGAACGACGTTCACAGGACCACAGAAGACCTAAGAAATTCAAAGAAGAAAAATTCGTGGAATCTGATAGTGATAGTGATATCCCTCAAGGACATATTTCAGAAAATGATTCAGACTCTGAAGGTGGATTTTTTGAAGAAGACAGTGAAGATGAAGATGACAACGACAATGGCAATAACAATAATAGAAGAAATAGGAAAAATGGTTCTGATAAAGTACAGAGACATAAGCATGCCCCAACTGAACAATCATCTAAGAGACGCGTATCAAGAATTAGAAAGATAGATGGCCTTAACGATAGAGGGAATGGATCCAGTTTATATCAAGATATTAGATTTGAAAAGTCTACAGGGAGAGCCACTGATCAATCAGTAATTAGGCGACGTTATGCATTCCTTGATGAATATAGAGAGAAAGAAATTTCTGACCTTGAAGGTTTATTACATGATCGTAAATTTACAGATAAGTTGAATGATAAAGATCGCGACGATATGGAAGGTAATTTAAGAAGTATGAAATCTCGTTTACAAAGTATTAAGAATAAAGATCTTGAAAAAAATATTATTAAAGAATATGAAGATAACATGAATAAAGATAATCAAACAAGATTCCATTTAAAGAAAGCAGATAAGAGGAAGGTTGTTCAGAAATGGAAATTCGATCATATGAAGGCTAAACAACGTGAAAAGGTAATGGAAAGAAAGAGAAAGAAGAGATTAGGTAAAGAATTTAAACAATTTGAATTCCATCAAAACAGGTGAATGGAATTACTATTTAATAAAGTAGAAGAATATAAATAAGTATATATATTATAATAATATGAACAAACACACACATATACACAAAGAGGTATGAGATATTCTGTATAGACATGGATTGGAATTATTTAATATCACGTCCACCATTGGCTAACCATTCTGTCATAGACCCTGGGTATACTGCAGTATTTGGGTAACCATTCTTACTGGCAATATCCTTAGCAGCTGCAGCTCTGATACCTTTAGCGCAAAAGAATACTAATTCTTTATCCTTTGAAGGTTTTTCAAATCCCATATTAACCTTAAATTGAGATCCACTTAATGATAATGCATCAGGTTTCGTCTTATAAGGAATATTAATAGCATGTGGTAATTTATAATCGGCTAATTCAGATGGTTCCCTAACATCCACTAATACAACTCTTGAAGACGGATTCTGAACCAAACTTTTAAATTGATCAAAAGAATAAACTTTATTGGCATTACTGCCATATGTACGGTACATTAATCCCTTTCCCAAAATAGATTTAAACATTTATGTTAACTACTAGAACAAATTTAGATATTAATTTAGATCTATGAAGGTATCCAAATAAATATAAGTATATTATTTGATTATTTTAAAATCAATAAAACTGTTCTGTCTAAGTTAATATACTTCATTACCTTTTTTTTTTATTTTAGCAATGTCCCTAAAAAATAAAGAAACAGAGAGATATTCCAGGGAAGGGGGCAAGAAAATTACTACATTCCAACGAATCAGTTAAAATTGACCAAAATTTTCTTACAATAAAAAGATGCCACTCATATAAATAATAACCATAAATAATTATCAGTAATATTTAACTTCAGTTCGAAAAGACATTATATTTGTTTGATTTGCATATAGTAAATAAGTATATATATATATATATATATATGTGCGTGTGTGTGTGTGTGTGTGTGGATAGCATGTATTTAGTCAATCATTATTATAATAATTATATTCAAAGATTTAATTTATCACCACCATTACTAACCCAATCATTCATAGAACCTGGATAAATAGCAGTGTTTGAGAAACCATTATTAAATGCGACAGATCTTGCTTTAGCTGCACGCATACCAGAAGCACAGAAAAATACTAATTCTTTGTCTTGAGTTGGTTTAGCAATTCCAAAAGAGGATTGAAATTCTGATGCATCCAAAGTAAAACCATTTGGATGAGATTTGTAAGGGACATTAATTGAGCCTGGAATATGAACAACAGAGTATTCGGATGGTTCTCTAACGTCTACTAAGACGACAGAAGGGTTACGTTTAGTAACCAGATCTTTCATCTGCGAGAAATTATAACTTGGGCCAGTTGGTTCATCGACAGGCATTGGTAATGAACCGCCAGTACCAGTGTATGGATTATTATTACCGTTCCAAGCGTTGTGAATTGCAGTCCAGATACCCATGATTTAAAATTTATTGATTTAATATACTGTTATATGTAAAGAATAGTCTTAAAGACAAATATATATGTATATGTATAACGAACCTTCTAAGTAGTTCTACATCTGTGAAATATTTTGTACCCTTATATTTAAATGCATCCTTATATATAAATTTTGGAACGAAGAATTGCTATTCGCTCCACACTGAAAGAATGTTTGGTTGAATTAACGGAGAATATTCATCGCAACATTTTCAATTTTGACTGGTTTCGCTGACTAAAAAAAACATATGAAGAACAACGCCTTCTGCGACGTAATCTGTGCGTTCGCGTTGTCATGAAAAAAAGGTATAGAAACCGATTTCACAGCGCGAGAAATTTTTCGTTTTCACTGAAAATTGTATCACTTAGTCAGCTTAAGCTGTACGTGAATGGATGATGTGAGTTGGGATGAGTAAGCAATTCGTTACTGGAAGGATGCATGTACATTACATTGGTTAACGGTGGCATGCGTCATGATTGTGGGGGGGGGACATAATGGCATGTATTTATTGGGGGGGGGAGTGTGGTGGAGCTCAGATTTTATGTATAATGTATATAATTACGTGTAGTTACTAATACCTTTTTTGTCGTTGTTGTATTGAAATATTTATCTATAAAATGTATGGTTGTGAAAGAGATTTGAAATATGTTCACTGCTGGTATATTGTTCTATCTTTTTTGTTTAACGTAACCTTAGGTCACTCACAACAAATTCACCATCACCTAGATGTTGAGTGTTACCAATACTTTTAACAATAAACTGTTTTGTGTCCTTCATATAATCAACAATCGTAACAGATGTATTGAATACAATAATCTTTTGAGCATCTTGTCCATTATAATCTAACCATTTTAAAATAGTTCTAATAGCACCACCATGGCTCATTAATGATATGTTTTTTAAATTCTCTTCATTACTTTCGTCCACGGCATGATGAATACCATCAGTTAATCTTTTTGTAAATTCTTCGAATCCTTCTCCAAAATCTCTAAAGGAACCTTTACCATGTTTATCGGCATATCTTTCAGCATCACCAATATGCATACCTTCAATGACACCCATATGTCTTTCCCTTAATGCAGATGTTAACTCTACAGGTACCTTGGTTTGATTAGAAAATTTTAATACAGTTTGTAAAGTCTCTTGACATCTAATTAAATCACTTGAAAAGACTTTATCGAAATGAATATTTTGTTCTTTTAAATAAACACCTAGTTTTTCAGCTTGTTCAAATCCTGTATTATTGATTGGAATATCTTTATGTCCTTGAAGAATTTTTAAAACATTATGTTCTGTTTGTCCGTGTCTTATAATAAATATTCTTAAAATATTATCATCTTCATTATTAGTATAAAATGGATTTTGTTTGCTTATAGTCATGATTATATTGTATACCAGTGGTGAATGTCGCCGTTGTTGCTTTTAACTTTGGTAATTCAAAATACTAGTATTCTAATGGCAAACTGATTTATATATACCATAATCATTATCATAAAATGACATTCTTTCATCATTTACATACTTAAACTGCCTTAAATTATGTATTATTGTCCGATCGCTGTAAGAAACACAGGCAAAAAAAAGCAAAAAAGTAAAAAAGAAAAAAAAGAAAGCACGAAAACTTTTCAGTGATGATGCCATAATAGTACTACTCGATTTATGGTAAATAGATCTTTTTTTAGATTCTGTTACCCTTTAAACCAGCAATAAATAATATTTTAAATAAACATATATAATTGACTGAATTTAATTAATTTATTAAGAGAATTTGCATTTCAACCAATTAAATAATAGAAAGAGAAACGATAGTGGACAAAATTCTAATTTTCCCTATATTATAAATACAATGCAGAACGAACCTATGTTTCAAGTCCAAGTTGACGAGACTGAAGATACAGAATGGAATGATATCTTAAGAGCTAAAGGTGTTATCCCAGAAAGACCGCCATCTCCCACAGCTCAATTGGAAGAAGCTTTGGAAGAAGCTTTGAAAAAACAACATGAAAATAGATTGGAAGATAAAGACATTAGTGATTTAGAAGAATTGGAAGATGAAGAAGATGAAGAATTCTTAGAATTTTACAAAAAGAAACGTTTAGCAGAATTAGCTAGTTTACAAAATAAATCAAAATTTGGTGATGTATATCATATTAATAAACCAGAATATAATAAAGAAGTAACTTTAGCTAGTCAAGGTGGTGAAAAATTTAACACAGATGAAACAAGAAGTACAACATTCCTTGATAATAACCAAACAAAAATTGTCTCAGAAGCTGCAGATGGTAGTACGGTGAATGGTACTAAGGACGATATTGCTAAGGACGCTGTCTATGTGTTCGTTCATTTATCATTACAAAGTAAATTACAAAGTAGGATATTGGCACATATTTTCGAATCAGAAGCACCAAAATTCCGTGAAATTAAATTTGTTGAAATACCTGCAAACAGAGCTATTGAGAACTACCCAGAGGCTAACTCCCCAACTTTACTTGTATATCATAATGGTGATGTCCTAAAGAATCTAGTCACATTACTTGAACTTGGTGGTAATCAAACAACCACCAAGGATTTTGAGAAATTAATGGTTCAACTAGGTGCGGTAGATGAAAAGGATAATAGATTAGAAATGAATCAAGATGATGAGGAGTCTAGAGAAGCTAGACTGGCAAAATTCGGTAACACATCTAGTATAAGGACCGGGATTAAATCAAAATTCAACGTAGGCGTTGGAAGCGATTCAGATGAAAATTATGATGATGATGATGACTTCTTTTCATAGGCTCTATAACAAACGATATATATCGATACATGAATAGGTAGTTAAAAAAAAGAATTCCCCTCTTTGGCATCTCGAAAAAAAACTTTCCACATTTACTTACGCTAACACAATTTGTTTTACGAAACTCATTAGTCGGTTATACAATATGCTATTTCTTATTTTCTTATTTATTTATTTTACTTCTTTAATCATATAGAATAATAAGTAAGCTTCATCATTTAATGCTTGTTCCTGGGATATTTCTGAAACCATCGAATCATTGAACCTAAACCATTTATCTTCATTTACTTTCAAAGTAGATATATAATGACCCTCATTAACTGTACCTTTATGTGAGACAACTCCAATCAACTCAAATGTAATATCCTTCGCAATAACTTGATGATCCGTTTTACCGTCATCGAAATATTTTGTCACATTTAAATATAACGGATATTCCACAAAATTTGTTAATTTAACATTATTACCATTAGGTAAATGTTCGAATCGTTTTAGCTGTAAAGTTAGCATAGACCCCAGTTTATCGATAGTTAATTGTTTTGTTGGATCATCTGTAGTATCACATTGTGGACAGTGGTAATGATAATCGTTCAATGTTTCCCTCTTGTGAAAACTATCCAAACAGTTATATAATGTTGTTTTATCCTTAATATCTAACGATAAATCCATGAATGGGTCTATAATAGTCTTTGAATCATCGTTACAACTTGAACAAACAATAGAACTTTTTAAAGCACCTTGAAACATGGAATGTATCAAACATTTACAACTAGATCCATCAGTAGTGGTGCTAGTTCGATGTTCAACCCTTTTGTAATCGTTATGCAGTTGATTTAATAGAAACTGTAGAAATTCATGAGCATCCTGTTGTGAATAACCAGCAAAGTTCTGGTTTATCTTCCACGCACAGTTCAAGAATGATATGAACCCTTCATGTGGATCTACTGGAGTTCTACTATCTGAATTTTTATTCCCCATATTCCCATATGATTCTGCTATGATGATATCTAAAGAGCATGATATACATCCTGTTGGATCTTTAATTTGGCATTTGTTATAATGTTGTTGACTCATTGAAAAATTTACAATATAAGGATTATGAATCAAACATTGTATGACACTGCTGATGAAACAGGTAGATCCCATATTAATAAATCCATAGAGACCATCTCTCCGTTTCATTTGTGGAATATCTGTGGTACTATTTATTTCATCCCATGATTTGTTTAGGAAAGAAGAATTAATCATTTCAACATCTCCAACATAATCCTGACATTTGAAACAATATAATAATTGATTACTTGAATTAATTCCGAAAATATGATTCTTCTGAACAGAATGGTCTTTAAAATGAGTATTATTCCAACAACCTACATATTCACATTGTAAACATATAAAACTAGATCCGGCATTAACCTCGTTACATGTCGAGCAACACATAGTATACATTAACTTATCATTTTGGGATGAATGTGTTAGAATATATTTTGTGATATTGAATGTTTTCATTACATTATCTCTGAGCTTTGGTTCTCCAATAATCTGTTCAATATGGTTACAATGAGTCATTTTCTATTGTGTAGTTATGAATAGGTTAGATTAGTAGTCTATGTTGTGCTTAATTTATAGTTATTTTCCGAATCTATGTTTCTTAAATGAAGTTACTCTGAGTCTTTAATGAGAATATGATATGATGTAGGAAAAAAATTTATTCGAAAAAAATTAATTTGGTTGAATAATTATAATGATTAATCTTTAAAAAATTTTAAAGGTTTCACAGGTTCACAGATCTACTGGATTATTAATTTTTGTTTTGATTCGATTCAACCTAATTACACTTTCCTTTTGTAAATCAAGCTAAGTTTTAACTTCATAATAGGTAACAAAAAATATTCATTAGAATTTCGTACTTGTAAAATAATACATTCAAATGTATTTATTATGATCTCCCGACTGTGTAAACCTGTACAGAGGTTACCCATATTAATGATATTTTGTTAAACCGCGAAGAGTGAAAAATTAATAAGAAAAACTCACAAATCAAGCAATCCAGAGCAGAATTGACAGAAGTTACATATTTGAGAATAAGAAATAGTAATAACGACTTTAATTAGGTGGTAAGAAATATTGCTGTATAATTATTATTCTTTCCAACTTGATTTTTCCAAAAAGAAAACAAACAAGAAGAAGGTCCTTGTTGATAAGATCATAGTAACACGTTTCTATATAACAAAATGTATATCTATTTTACTGTATTATTGACTAATTAGTATAAAATTGTTAAACTTGTTCTAAACAATGTTTATGTAAACTCGGTATTTACTAGTTATATTGCCACAACGCCTACATATATATTACTTTATTTTTCCTATTATGATACTTAGTATACCTAATATACTAAGGATAATAATGTATACTACAGATGAAAATTGATTATTATACGACTCTAGTCACTCCATACTAACGAATTAAGAAGTTGTTCCACCCAATTATGATGCATGCATATATATATCAATTATATGTTTTTTGGCTTATTCTTCTATTTTCTTCTAGTAAACTCTTAAATCAAAAAGTTGATATACATAATTTCACTCAAAGATAGCCGTAGAATTGCAAAAGAAATAGATTATATAATACAATTTTTCCCAAAAAAAAAATAAATTTGATGACGCGGGCATCACTATGACAACCTAATTTGGAAAATGTGGAAGAAAAAAAAGAAAATCTGCGACATTAAGTGGATAGTGATTAGTAACAAATCTAACGATGATAATAAGTTTATGAATTAAGTTTCCATTGAGAGTGTCCCATTATAAAGTTTTTGTTTTTTCTGAACTACACAAAAGTGCTAGTAAATAGGTTTAATCTGGGTATCAAGCTTAAGAAGACTAACAGAAACAAGCAAGGATAAACAAATATAAAATGACTAGCAAAGGTAAGATTTTAATGCTGCATGGTTTCGTGCAATCTGATCGTATATTTTCTGGTAAGACTGGTGGTTTACGTAAAAATTTGAAAAAATTAGGTTATGAACTATACTATGCTAATGGACCTGAAGTGGTAGATAAATCAACGTTACCAGGTGGCGACGATAATAAGACTACTGAAATGCTTATTGCTGATGCAAAATCAGACGATTTATATGGTTGGTGGCTTAGAAAGACTTCTGGACCAAACGCATTACTAGACTATGAAATTAAGCAATCTACATTTGATTACTTACACGAGTATATTATTGAAAACGGACCATTTGATGGTATTGTTGGATTTAGTCAAGGGGCTGGCCTCGGTGGTTATATTGTTCAAGATATTAGAAAGATTTTAAATTTAACTGAAGAACAACAACCTGATTTGAAGTTTTTCATTTCATTTAGTGGTTTTAAATTGATTCCTGAAATATATCAAGAGCCTTATACTTTACGTCAAGCACCACCATCTTTACATGTTATAGGTGAAACAGATGCTGTAGTGAGTGAAGAAAGAACGATACAATTATTCAATGAATGGGAAGATGATAAGAGGGTTATGTTGAAGCACCCAGGTAGTCATTTCATTCCAAACTCCAAGCCATTTGCTGTACAAGTCTGTAATTGGATCAAGGTTACCACTGACGAAGAGGATAGGGAAAATGTCAAGACTTTTAATGATACAAAAAAATCTACAGACCCTGGTAGTTTAGAAGATGATTTAATGGACATGATGAATTCCATAGGAAAATTATAGAGATATTTCATATATAAAATAGCATTTTATAACAATTAATATATATATATTAATAATTTATTCAAAAAAATGTAGGTGAGTGAAATAAATCAAGGACTTGTTTCTGTTTTATTGGTGGTTATACATAGACTATGAACGAATATACCATTATTTTAGTCTATTTCCTCATTTATTTATGAAATTTAATAATATGAAAATTTAGTATTATCATGTTTTGCTCTAAATCAATTTGTTTGTTTTTCACAAATTTTTGGCGACGCCAGTAATCGATCGTTGTAAAAAAAAAGACGAAGAAGACGAAGAGGTAAAAAAAACCAAAGAAAAGACAGACAGAGATTAACGCACACATTGGAAAGTTCCTCAACAGAGCCAAGTAATAGAGAAGAATTCTTGAAATTAGACGATGTTTGAAACAAAAATTAATGAACGTGAGGCTAAAATCATTGAAACTTTGAGGGATGTTGCTTAATAATTTGTAGGTTGAATTTGTAAGTTTATATTAAGACAGAATTGTCCTTCTATTTTGAATAATTATTTATATCCTATTTTATTCTGATTATTTTTTTTTAAAAAAGGAAATTAGAATATTAAACTAATTAATTCGTGATTAAGGAATTAAAAAAGGTAATATTATATTAATTATTTTGAATTCATTAATTATAATACCCCCATTTTGATACTCAGTTCTAAGGAAAGACAATTATAAAATATCCTTTTTTATTTAAATTGAATAATAAATTTGATAAATATTTCATATCATTATTTAAGTCACTATATTCATTTCTGGTATTATTATATTTATTTTTATTTTTTTAAATTTCTTTAAATTTTTCCTTTAATATTGTTATCAATATTCTAATTATTTTCTTATTGAGGATACCACGTCAGTACTGAAAAGAAAGGAAAAAAATATTTTACGAACAGCATAATAAAATAAATATTTAATATTAAATTAAAATTGTTTTTTAAAAAATTAATTAAAGACTCAGATATATATATTTGAACAGCTCAAAAATAATAGACAAATTAATTAATAAATTGAAAAATGACGACTGGCAAAATTAACGACAATCTAAACACAATTAGAAAATTATATGAAAAGACAAAAGAATTGAATCAAGAAATTAAAAATATCGTAAAAGATATCAAGCCCATGGAATTCGAATCCTATGCAGATTATTTTTTGATTCATACCTTTAAGAGAGGTATTTCTGAAAGTGGCAGAGTTAATCTTGATGGCTTAAGAAAAAGAGAACAATCTATCTATTATAAAAGAATAAGAAAGCCTAATGAACAAAAAATTGATGAAAATATTTCATTACCACCAAAGAGAGCTTCTTCTGAAGAAACTTCTACTTCAATTACACCAGCACAAACAGTACCATCTTCTGATAAGGAAGATATATCAGATTCAAAAATTGATATTAATGATCCTGAGAGAAAGCCAGTAAACAAGGTTTCCGCAGAGATCTCGTTAAATAGTATAATTTCAGCTGAGGATGGTCAGAATGATGGAGCTCATAATATAAGGAGATCGTCTAGAATATCACAAAAGGATCGTGAAGATAAGCTAAAGAGAGAACATGAGAAGATAGAAGAAGACGCTCAACGTATTCTTTCAAGAAAGAAACATAGAGGACCTGGTAGACCATCTAGATCGAGTTATAATGATAACGACGACGGCAACGATACAGGTGAAAGTTTTGACTCGGTATCAGATTCAAGTAATGATAAAGAAACGCTCGATTCAGACCTTATTGTTATCAAAGACTTATATGAAACTTTAGTTCCAAAAATTAAAGATCCTCAAAGAAGATCAGATTGGGTTCTCCCACCAAGAATGAAATATACACAGGAAAAACAATTACACACAAGGCCAGAATATAAATCTGTCAAGATCAATGAATTGGTTGGTACTAATAGAATTAGTACAATATTATCCCGTTTTGAAGGTGGATTGGCTGGTGTACGTAGGTAGATATAGTTTTATCTTTTATAATTTGTTAATAAATATATTCAACGTCATAAAAAAGGATTAATAAAATAAATATGTATATGGTTAATAAATAGATAAATAAATAGATAAATATATAAATAAATACATGTGAGTATGAATAAATAAAAATAAATAATTTCAGAGTTTTCTGAGAAAATTCTTCAGGATACTCTTGGCGTGAGATTTCAAATCTCTTCCTTACTGTGATAAATGGCTATTAACAAAATTTTGAAGCTATAAATGTAAAAGAAAGAGGGGGCTCATTTAAGAATTGAACTAGTGTTGAACTGCTGTTGTCATTGATTTTTGGAAACCATCGATAGCACCTAGTAAAGAATCTGGTGTTGGTTCAGGACTAACGACTTCTGGGTTGATACCGTTATCTAATAAGTAATTGTTTGTTGTTGGACCGATACACGATATCTTTAAATCTAATTTATTTTTAATACTTGGATTTTGTTTTAAAAATTTAATGATATCTTTTGCACCTTGAGGACTAAATATAACCACCCAACAACATGATTTGCTGTCACATTCTTCTTTATCGGCAATATCTATTAGTGTATTTTGGAATCTGTCTAAGTTATCATTTAACACGCTAGTCTCATAAGTGACTACTTCCTTTACTGAAAGGCCGACCTGCTTCAATTTGTTCTTGATAATATCTCTACGAATTGCACCGACAAGTGATAAAATCTCTCCGTTGTAGTCGTCCCCTATATCTTCAATGATAAAGTCAGATAGTTTATCCCCATTCCCCATATCATCACCTTTTACATTATGAAACCCTACTCTTCTTAAAAAATCACCAGTAGCGGGGCCTACAGTATAAACAGACAAACCAAATAATTTTTCTTTCTGTTCATTTGTTAAAGTTGGAATGATACTTTCACGCAGACATTCAACAGTTCTCTGTGACGTAACTATAAGGTACCTTAAACTACTTAGATAGTCGTTGTTCTTCAAAAGGAGTAGCGCCTCCATAGGGTGATGTGTATGAGCGATTAAAGGTAAGAACTGAACATCTGAATATTGGTTATCCTTAGATTCAACCTCGTACTTATCTAATGGGGTAGTTCTATTCTTCAAAAAAATAATGTTGTTAGACATAAGTTTTGTTAGATGTAAATTCTAAATATTTGAATGAAAGACACAATCGTATATGTGCAAAGCACAATATGTGCAAAAAAGGCTTCTTGTTATTATTGAGTTTATATCTTTTAAGTCAAAAAGTTCCTTTTAATATGTTGTTTAATTTTTATATATCTACTTATTGCGATGTATATATATACATGCGTTTAAGATTGTATGAGTAAGCATCACTTGCCATAATAATTCCTAGCCCTTCATTCATTTTTTGAAGTGACCATCTGATGGGCAGCCATTGGGCAAACGGTACGGACTTTATTGAGGAGAAAGTTTCACAATTTTTCAGAAAAAAAAAACCTTTTTTCCTTCCCCTTCACTTTGCATAGATTATCATTTCACACGGTGTGGAGGGGAAATTCACGTGATTTATGCCGATAATGACTTAAATAATGACTTAAAAGATAATAATGATAATGGTAGTTGTAATTCTTCCAATTATGAAAGGACAGTTAAATTTCTTATTTATTTATATGTGTACATAGGGTTATTGTGAGGTTTTATTTATTGATATGAGATGTTTTTTGTTTTGCTTTTTTTAATTGTGAATATGCTTATTCCCACTCGACAGTGGCAGGTGGTTTAGAAGTGATATCGTAAGTGACTCTAGCGACACCATCGACTTCGTTAACGATTCTGGAGGCAACCTTCTTTAGGAAACTGTGTTCGAATGGGTACCAGTCAGCAGTCATGAAATCAGTAGTTTCGATAGCTCTTAGAGCAATAACTTGCTCGTAAGTTCTTTGATCACCCATAACACCGACAGATTTAACAGGTAGTAAACAAGCAAAAGCTTGAGAGATATTGTTGTAAATACCAGCTTTTCTGATTTCTTCGATGTAAATACTATCAGCGTTTCTAGCAATTTCAACTTGAGCCTTGGTGACTTCACCTAAGACACGAATAGCTAGACCTGGACCTGGGAATGGGTGTCTCCAGACTAATTCATGAGAGATACCTAGTAATTCACCTAGATGTCTGACTTCATCCTTGAACAATTCTCTTAGTGGTTCAATCAATTTCAATTTCATGTTATCTAGTAGACCACCAACGTTGTGATGAGTCTTAATGGTTTGAGATGGACCCTTGAAAGAGATAGATTCGATGACATCTGGATATAGAGTACCTTGTAACAGGAATTGGATTTCTTGACCATCCTTTGGCTTGATTCTTTCAGCTTCTCTTTCGAAGACACGGATGAAAGTATTACCGATGATCTTTCTCTTTTTTTCTGGATCAGTAACGCCCTTTAAGTTACCTAAGAATTCTTCGGAAGCATCAATGACAGTCAAATCAATACCTAACCCTTCAGTTAAAATTTTCTTAACGTTAGTAGCTTCGTTTAATCTTAAGACACCGTTATCAACTAAAATAGCATGGAATCTGTCACCAATAGCTTCAGTCATCAATTTAGAGGCAACGGTAGAGTCAACACCACCGGAAACAGCACCGATAACTTCAGCGGTTGGACCGACCAGATCTCTAATTCTTTGAATTTCAGTTTCAATGAAGTTTTCCATTGTCCAGTTTTGTTTAGTGTGACAAATATCAACAGCGAAGTTCTTCAATAATTGTTTACCGTGGGTGGAATGAGTAACTTCTGGATGGAATTGAATACCGTAGATTGGTTTGGATTCATGAGCAATACCACAGTATGGAGAGTTATCAGAAGTAGCAATGGTAATGAAACCATCTGGTAAACCGTTCAATTTGTCACCGTGAGACATCCAAACGGTGGAGTGGTCAACACCTTTAAATAGAGGGTTAGATTGATCCTCAACATTCAAAGTAGCTGGACCATATTCTCTCTTTTCACCACGGCCAACCTTCTTACCGTTTAACCATGCAAGTTCTTGCATACCGTAACAAATACCTAAGATTGGAACGTTTAAGTCGAACACAGCAGGGTCAACATGCGGAGCATCATCAGCGTAGACGGAGTATGGACCACCGGATAAGATGACACCCTTTGGTTTCCAGGATAATTCAGCAATCTTTTGAGTGCATGGTAACATTTCAGCGTAGATGTTAAACTCTCTTAATCTTCTGGTGATTAGATGAGAGTATTGAGAACCGAAGTCCAAAACTAAGATGGTATCGAAAATACCGGAGACTTGTTCAACAGGAGACATAATTGCTGTTAATATTGTATTGTATATTTCAACAGTCGTTGTTGTTGTTACTGAGTACAGAGTGGATTTACAAATACAAATTACTCTTCGAATAAAAAATGGTCATAAAATAAAGTTAAGGTTTCCTTATATATATATATATGAATTGAATAAACTTGTTCCCTTAGTTGAAAATTTTTTTTTCGTGAGCTCATCACTTCCTTTCTTTCTTTTTTTTTTTCGATGGGCGAATGAAAAATTTTACGGGAGGCCATCCCCGGGAATACCAACAAAATATTTGATGGTGATGACCTGAGAATTCGCATAGATTAGTCCCTAGAGATAAAAAGAAAAGAGAAAACAATTTTGCAATAATAAATGATCGCTAACTTAACCATCAACGAGGTCAAAAAAGGAGTCACTAACAGATCAGTCAACTCAGAGAAATAAAATTTTTAACAGTCAATTACTAATATATAGCACGTAAGAATATTTTTGATTGTTTACTTACAATTGCGTTCAAGATGTAGAAAACAAGATAAAAGAGTATCAGATTTTCAATAAAAATCAAAATACTTGAATTTGTAAAAGCATATACTCCCAGAGCGAACCAGATATCACATATCACCTGTAGTCATCTCCATAATGACGTCCGGAAAGATGTCTGAAGGGACTGGCGGTGAGTAAAATCAGGATTATATAGCCAGGAGAGGTTCTCTTATATTCTCATATAAGAGGAGTTGGTTTGTTCTACTTCCAGCCATTTGTGCGTTATGGACATACAGAGGAATAAATGTCTTTGCTTGGTAATCCGGAAGGGTCAGTTTTGACCCTTTTTCAGCAAGAAATAATTAAAGAAAACAAAAAGAACTTTTATAACTAAAACTTAAATTAGATATACTAGAATCAGAAGAAAATATAATTGAAATCCATTCTCTTTATATATACTGAAATATTTGATTTTGCATTCACTGACAAATCTTTGTCGCCCTACAAGGTCGTGTGCAATATAATTAATCGCAAAAAAATAAAAAAAATGAAAAAATTTGCACTATGAAAACTATGAAGCCCTAACAATATTATTACATTTCATTGGAATATCATTGTGTACGTTGTGCATATTGAATAATACTGCACCAAAATGAAATTTCTATGATTTGTTTATTTTTTTTTTTCCAATTTTCGTCTCTCAATTTTTATATAAGACAGTTCTACATCAAGATTTTAAAATTAATGTGCATTTTGGACGTTTTTTTATTTAATATGTTAAAGGAGAGTATGGGATCATTGATAATTTCATGTGTCATTTATTGGCGTCACTCAATATTATGCTCTCAATATATTGAGTTTTTTAGATGCCTGATAAATACTAGTCTTTGGTTCCATTTTCAATCTTTTACGATGCATGATAAAGCAATTTTTACAAAAAAACGATGTATCTCCAGCTGTTGATATAGAGTGGGAAGACTTTTCTCTTCTTGTTCGCCTTTACAAAAATCTGATACAATTGGTCATTTTTCGTTTTACATTTTCTTCTTAGTATTCTATGTTTTTTTATTATTTAAAAAATAAAATTATAAATTCTATAAATATGTACGTATTCATAATTCATCTTTTATCCTAGAATTCTTGAGTGTTTGCGGTATTAACACAATGTATTCCACTAATAAATCTCCAAATTGACCCTTCTTGTTTAATAGCGGCATACCAAACCCTTTAATTCTTTCAATTTCACCATTATGTACAATTTCATCAGTTTTACGTTTTAATACAACTGTCTTTTTCTCATCTAAGAATGCTAATTTTCTTTCCCAATTACCCTTTAATGCTTCCTCTATTGAGATCACTTCAGTTCTATATAAATCGTCACCACGTCTTCTATAACCCATATTATCTACAGCTTTTTCATTGAATTCAAAGATCAAATCACCTGCTTCGAAATCAGGACTCTTTTCAGCTTCACCTTTCTTTACAGTGACGTATTTTCTTGGTGCACCTGCAGGAACACTAACGTGGAATGGTTTATTCTTCTTCATCACTTTATGACCATGACATGTCTTACAAGCATTCTTGACAACTTCACCACTACCACCACAATGTGGACATACTTGTTGAATCTGTTGTGACATGAACCCCATTTGAATTACTTGAATAGTTACACCACGACCTTGACAAGTCTTACATTTAGTAACTTTCCCATCTTGAGACCCACTACCATGACAAAAATCACAAAAATCGTTCATTGAGAAAGTGAAATCAATTTCACTACCTGAATAATAATGTTTTAACGATATTTGTTCACGAGCAACCATATTTTGACCACGTTGTTTTCCACCCCTGGCACCACCGAATGGATTCCCACCTTCTTGACCATGGAACATTTTTTCAAATATGTCAAATGGATCATGGAATGGTTGACCACCAGGTCCCCCTGGACCTCCACCGGCACCATTCTTCACACCTTCAGCGCCAAATTGATCGAAGATCTTACGTCTTTCTGGATCACTCAATACTTCATAAGCTTCACCAATTTCGATGAACTGATTATGAGTTTCCTCATTATTTGGATTTTTATCTGGATGATACTTCTTTGAAAGTTGTCTATAAGCAGATTTGATTTCTTTTTCGGAAGCTCCTCTTGAGACACCTAGAATCTTATAATAATCTTGTGCCAATACCAAAAATGGTAAACAAGTTAATAATGGTATTAGTATAAAAAGAGCAGACCTCATTATGACCTCTCTCTCTCTCGGTTTTTTTTATTTTTTTGTGTATAAATTAACTTTTTATCCAAATAATTGAGAAGAAGAAGTGTTTAGAATTTTGATAATAGAACAATATCTATATGTATGTAACCTTATTACAATGTTTACCTAATATCAGTTCATCATTTTTTATTTTTTATGTATATCTCTCTATCTTTAAATGATAATCGATGCCACCGCGTACTATTTACGTGTACGTAAGAGAAAGAAAGACACTTACACCGCGAAGAGACAGGCTGTCAAAAATAAAAAACCAAAACATGTAAATATTACATGATACAGTGAGAGATACATAAGAAAGTTATATAGTTTAAAAGAGGATTTCATAAAAATAAACAGTAGCTAATATATATGTTGTTTATACCTCATATGGTAAATATTACATTTAGTAACGTGGTTTACTACTCTTTAGCAATTGAGTGAAATCCTTTAATTTTAAAATTATGACGTCTTTTGAGTTGGCAAAACATCCTTACTTGAAATTATCAGTATCTTGTTATTTTAATGGCATGTCTAACTTACAAAAATAAACAAATAACTATTGCACGTTCATGGAAATAATTGGAATGTGTATCTATTTATTAAAAATGATTCAGTTTATGTAAAAAATGTTGATTAAATATGACTATACATAACAAAGAATTATAATAATAGTTATATTACTTACTCGTCATCTTCATCATCGCTAACTAATGCAGCAAAAGTATTGAAGCCGTGAACTTGTTTATCGGTAATGATATCACTGTTATCAGCAGGTCTGCTTGAAGAGATGTGTCTATTGTTTGGCTTAACTTTAACAGTTTCTTTAGAGATACTGGATGTAGTGGTGGTGGTGGCATTATCAGAGTTGTTTTCACTGTCACCTTCTTCAGTAGTCTTTGGTTCGAAAGTGGACCACCCATTTTCATCTGTAGTAACCTTTGGCTTGTGTTGCTTTACCTTTGGTTTACCGTGGTGTAAATGGGAAGATCTTCTACGATTGAAATGACCATGATGGGTAGCATTGTACTCTTCTTCCTTTAAAGCTTGAACTTGCTTGACCTTTTCAATAATAGCCTTAAATTCGACAGCATCAAAATCGACGCTTAAAGTCTCACTTGGTTTCAACTGAATTAACTCTTCGATAGTGTAAGATGGCATCTTGTCCTGTTTGGTTCTTTCTAATAAGCGTTAGGATCTCCAACTAATTTTAAATTTTGCTAAGAAATAAACAAGAAAATTTATACAAAAGACATAATTATACATGCATATAAGGTGATTCTAATAAAATTAACGAGTCTACATCACGATCTTAATACTAGATCCAAGGGAGAATCAGTGGTTTGCCGCTTACGATCATTAATCAAACTTACTATCTTAGATTGATGAAACTGTAGCAACCCTCAATGGTCCGCCATTCAATGAATATTGTTTGACCGACGCTCTTCCAATATTTTACTAAATTAGAGAGAACTTGTTACCATCACTGCACTCTACTCAGATAAACGCATACAAATTCACTGAATTTTTTGCTTTCTGAATTGAAAAATTTTGCGATACTTTTTTTCTTTTCGCTGGAAAAAGTTTTTTGCGTCATGAAAGAAAAAAAGAACATTTTTTTGGGAAAAAACTGTATTACCCGGTTGTTGGAAATTTTTAAGCACGTGACCTAACGGTCTTTATGCTAACCATCTCTTAAGTGAAGTGATGTTGAAGTTAAAGTTTGAACCCCTTTTTAGTTTCAAAGTATTCAAAACTTTTATGAAGTATGTTGATAGTAGGGTCTAAATAGGTTTAGGTTAAGTAGAACTAATCGAGAAAGAATGAATAAATAAGTAATGGAGTTATTGGCAATACCGTTCAAGAGGACGTTACAATTTCATTTAGATGACAAGCTAAGTGAATTGATTGATTCAACTTTTTACCAAACATCAGATACATTCCGAGATGATTTGAAGGAAATTTCGAAGTTACGAGATGAAATCTCAACAAGTACTGAGATTTCGGTATCACAATTGGCACTATTATACAAGTATTATTTTGTAGTGATTCAATTACAAAAGAAATTCCCAGAAAATCAAGTTTTGTTTGCTTGGTGTCAAACCATCTCTACAAAATCAAACATTAAAGAAAAGAAATCTTTGAAATGGGAGCGTTCAAATATCATATATAATTTAGCGTCCATGTATTCCCTGCTGGCTCGTGAAATTGATATATCTCTAGACAATTTGAATACTAAATATAAATATTATCAAATCGCAGCAACTTTGTTCCATCATATATCAAAGCAGGGTCAGGATGTTGCATCTGTAGATAAATATACTGCAGATACACTAGGTAATCTAATGCTGGCACAAGGTATGGAATGTTTCTGGTTGAAAGCAACAAAAAAGGAAAATATTAAGGATTCCATGGTTTCTAAATTGTCATCTCAAGTCAGTGTATTTTATGAACAAACATTATTATCTGCTAATAAAAGTCCCTTAGTGACTTCGCAATGGATTAATCATATTAAGGAAAAAATTAAGTATTTTCAAGCTGTCACATATTATCGAATGTCATTAGTTTTACAAGAATCTCAAAAATGGGGTAAGATGGTTAAAACTTTAACGCAATGTGTTGAATTATTATCCAATTGTAATTTAGAATCAGCACAACAATTTTTCGAAATTGCTAGAGTTTTACTGAAAGAAACCACCAAGGATAACGATTTTATATATTTACAAGTAGTGCCGGAGTCTGTGCCTGCAATGGTGAAACCAGTAAACATGATTGAACTTTTGGATTTTGAAAAACTTATGACTGAAGGCACACAAAAATGGCATAATATTCAATATTTTAAAAATTTGTTACCATTAGAATTAATAGATACATGTAATGCTTACAGTGAAAGGCAAGCACAATATGTCCAGGAACGTATAATTCATCCAATTGAAACAATGAATGAACAGTTGGAAGATAAAAGGGTAAATACTGAAAATTCAAGAAAGTCAACGGTAGAACCAATAGAAATGATAAATATTACTAATTTGGAAGTGTCTTTGAACAATTTGATCTCTCTCTCTGACTCTATTGACAGTAAACTTTTACTTGTGAAAAATATCTTAGAAGATGAAGCTGAAACAGATGCAACGCTACGTGCCACCCATGGTTCATTGCGTTGGATATTACCAATCTCGAATGAAGTCAATGGTGAATTGCACTCTAAACTAAACAAACTACAGGAATATCTGGCACAAGGTCATAAAACTGATGGCGAAACTAGAGATGTACTTAATATGATTGATCGTGTTCTACTAACATCGAGTGAAAAGGATTATCTGGGAAAATCATATGGTAAAGAAAGCAAGGATCCATTAATGAAAGAAATAAATGATATTGAAAGTAGCAGACAATTGTTTTTAATTAAGACTCGTGAAAAGATGACAACGAATACTGTATTGTTGAAGATGATAGAAGCCTTTCGGGCAAACGGTGAAATTGTTGACCAAAGACAATTAGAGACCCAATTTCAAGAACATTTAACAATATTTCAAAATGATCTTGTGAGGGTCATACAGGAGGAGAAAATCAATGAACAGTTGTTTGAACAATTAGAAGATTATTCCACTAATTCTAACAAAGGGGACTCGATTAAACGACTCACCCCTAAGGATTTATATATTGAAGATTTTAATCATTCAATGGGATTGTTAAAACAAGTACGAAAAAGTGTAAATAATGGATCCCAATTTTATAAGGATCTAGTCATGTCGACGAATGCATTGTTGGCCGAAACTGAACAATTTAATGAGGATCGTAAAAGCGCCAAACGAACATTAGATGCACAATTATCTAGTATATAATTATATATGAAAAGTAATATCTATTTTTGCATTATTTATTTATTTCTGTTGAGCCATTTTCCATTTTTCATATGCAGCTTTTTTACTACCTCTTGTCAAATTTCCTTTATGTCTACGACTCTTCAAATGAGTTTCCCATTGTTTAGAGCCAATAGCAATTAACTTATTTCCATCATGATCTTTACAAATATCGCAAATAAAATGTTGACAGTCCTCATTTGAAATTCCCCTCTTTTTCCCAATGGTTTGTTCATTAGAGATCAAATGTATTAACTCTTTTGGTGCACGAATCATCTCTTTTTTTTCGTTACCCTTTATGTCATCATCTTTCATATTATCTAAAAAATTTGCAGCTATGTCCGATGCCCGATCGCCAACTAATTGATGCCATTGAGATAAATCTGTCGCATTTAATACATAAATATCACCACCAATATCCGGTATTAACATCTTTTGAATCCATTTGATTTGTCTACGTGCATATTGTCGCGTATGTAATTTCATTCTATCAACACCTTCATCCCATAATTTATCATTACTTTTCTCATCTTTTAACCATGGTAAAAATTCTTTAAAACCAATGACTTGCCATACACCACCATGGTCATTATGTTCAGGTTGAGAAAGATAGAATTTATAAAGTTGATCGATCTCAGCTAATGCACCCATTTTAACCATATCATCTACACGAGAATCCAATCTAGTGTCTAAAGGTATAGGATCACTGTATAACCAAAGGAATAATGCATCATACCTTAATTGTTTTGCTTGAGCAGCAAATAACTCACTAGGTCGTTTACCTGTTGTGAAATATATTTCAAGCATACGACGTACACGACGTTCATCATTTGGGTGATACCTTGAAGCAATTTGCGGATCTACTTCTTGTAACGTCTCGAATATTTTACTTTTATCACGACTATCTAGTATCATTTGTTCTGATTCTGTAACTTCTCTATTTTGATCTATCTCTGAAAGAGAAGTGTTACTATGGTCATCAGTTGTGTTAGTGTTAACATATTTATCAAATAAAAATTGTAAATAATAATGAGTACCACCAACAATAATTGGTAATTTACCTCTAGAGACAATATCGTCAATTGCATTACGAGCATCAATTTCAAATTGATGTAAATAATATTCTTTATCCCAAGGTAAAAAATCCATTACATGATGAGGTATACCCTTTCTCTCTTCCATTGGATGTTTGTTTGATACTATTGGTATATCACGATACACTTGCATAGCATCACTATTAATAATTTCACCATTATAGCGTGTAGCTAACTCAACAGCTAATTGAGATTTTCCTACACCTGTAGTTCCTGCTATAACTATAACTTTCTGTTTCATGGCTGCTATAGTATTCTTATACAAAGTACGACCTATCATTCAATAAAAACATCAATATATACAATATATAGCTGTATTGTATAAAATCGGTGTACCTATCATCTATTTTATTCATTATGATTTAATTATGCCGATGAGATGAGATGACATAATTACCGAATGAAATTCACTGTGTCTGTTTATTTATTTATTTATTTTTTTTCACTATGTGTGCCTGATTGAAAAAATACACAAATCGTACACCATGATATCATACTATACGAACAACTGGTATGGCAACAAAAACCGCTTTTAACCCTTCAAAACCCCGAAAGACCAAAAAAACAGCGCGGACAGTTTAAAATTACCGGACGTAAACAAAGTTATAACCGAAGTAGAACATCAAAATTCGATTGCAATCACCGGACCCTGCGTGGTATCCCCGAGGCTAAACCCACTTAATATGTATGTAACGTACATACATATTTTTGTGTCCCTTGTTCTATTTCTAGTTCCACACAGAATGTCACGCAGCGAAATGAATCAATAATTAATTAAGTATGTTAAGAAATTTTCTCATTTTTCATTGGTTTAACAATGAAGTAGGCGGATCGTTCTCTCAAGAGGTATTAATTAATAATAGTCATTTCGATAAACATTCATAGTAGAAACTAGACAGTATTGGTCTTAACTGGTGATTATAGTTCAAAATTTGAAAAAATGTATTGATATTTGTTGGCGTAAATATGTAAATAACTGCACAACGTTATATTTTGTTTACTGCAGTAGTCAGCGTGGGGGCTTACAGAGGGCCCATTATTTATTGCTTTATTGCCATTCATTCATTCATCTGTTTTCTTGTCTTTTTGTTGAACAAGAAATAGCTAATAATAAGATTGGATATTGAGTGATGAATGGGATGGTTGAACTGAACTGTGTAACGAAATCTATATTTATATATATATAAGACAATAAGTAACCGATTACTTAAAATCTTGAATAACATATAATTTTCCTTTTCTTATTTGTTATTTATATCAAACAAATAGAATAACAGTAAAAATCATAATTTTTATTTAACATATTAAGAAAAGAATATTTAATCCTATATTTTAAATATTTTTTGTTTAACTAATTATTGGCAATGTCTGCTGTAAATGAAAACGGAATAGAGGTCAGTCCTATTAGTGGTACTTTAAATAGAATTCCAAGTGACCATGGTGATAGTACTAGTGATAATACAATGAGTAAGATGGATACTGATATTATCAATGATGGCCACAATAGTATATCGGAAACATCAACAGCGGATTCTTCAATTTCCAATCAAAGTTCGGCATCTACTTCAATTTCTAATGAAGTTTCAGATAATAATAAAAACAATAATGAAGAAGAAGAGATTGATCCAAAGGATTTGGAATGGGATGGTCCTAGTGATATGGATAATCCTCATAACTGGCCTTTATGGAAAAAATGGACAGCTACAATGACTGCCGCAATGTTATGTCTTGTAGTTACGATGGGTTCATCCTTATATGTTGCTTCAGTTCCAGAATTTGAAGTACGATACCATATATCTCAAACTCTAGGTTTAGCGGGTCTTACATTTTATTTATTAGGTTTATCAACTGTTATCGGTGCTCCATTAAGTGAAGTATTTGGTCGTAAGATTATTTATTTGACATCATTACCTTTATCATGTTTATTTACAATGGGTGTAGGTTTATCTAATGGTCATATGAGAATAATTTTGCCTTGTAGATTTTTTTCAGGTGTATTTGCTTCACCGGCTTTATCTATTGCCTCTGGTACAATTATGGATATCTTTGATGTTGATGAAGTTTCTACCGCTATGACATTTTTCTGCGTTGCTCCATTTATGGGTCCAGTTATGTCTCCAATTATTTCAGGATTTGCTGTTGAATCACAAGGTTGGAGATGGAGTCAGTGGATTCAATTGTTTGCAGCTGGTTTAATCTTCCCATTTATTGTAATAATGCCTGAAACTCACAAAGGTGTTATTCTTAGAACAAGAGCTAAAAAAAGAAATATGAAATTAAAAGTATTTTCAAAAGAGGATCAAAAACAATTTTTAAAGATTACAATGACTATTACTGTTTTAAGACCACTAAAGATGTTGGTTGTTGAACCAATTGTTCTAGTTTTTTCAATCTATATTGCATTCATCTTTGCTGTGTTATTTGCATTCTTTGAAGCCTATCCAGTTATTTATCGTGGTGTTTATCATATGGATCTAGGTATTTCAGGTTTACCTTTCTTAGGGATCGGTATTGGTCTTTGGATTGGATGTATCTTCTATTTATATATTGATAGAAAATATTTGTTTCCAAAGGCTCCTGAAGGAACTCCGGAGTTAGAAAATCCAACTTCATTACGTACCACGCCATATAGAGGTCATCGTGATCCAGAGACTGGGAAACTAAAACCTGTTTGTCCTGAAGATTTCTTACTAGCATGTAAGATTGGTTCTTTGGCATTACCTATTGCATTATTCTGGCAAGCTTGGACTGCAAGAGCTGATGTTCATTGGATGGCTCCAATTGCTGCAGGTGTTCCATTTGGTTTTGGTTTAATCTTAATCTTTTTCAGTTGTATCATGTATTTCTCTGCTTCATATCCACCATTGTGTGTCGCTTCATGTATGGCTGCTAATAATATGTTAAGATATGTCACATCATCGGTATTCCCATTGTTTACTGTACAAATGTATGAAAAGATGCAAATCAAATGGGCATCTACATTATTTGCTTTAATTTGTATCGTAATGTTACCTATTCCGTGGATTTTTGAAAGATGGGGTGAAAAATTAAGAAATAAGTCCGTCTTTGGTTATGCTGCAATGTTACGTGAAGCTGAGATGGCTCAAGGTGAATCAGGTGATAATGTAACTGGTGATTTGGATTTGACTAAATTAGCAACTTTACAAACTATGGAGACAGAATTGTCAAGAACTGATTCTCATAGTGGTTATTATGATGCTCATCAAGCACCTTTGAAAATCGATAGAACACTTTCTAGAAAGAGTAAATATTCTCAATTAGTTAATGGCACACGTTTGGATGAGCAAGATTTACATGATGAAGATAAACAGGACATTGATCCTACTGTAGATCGCGTAAGACCAGAAAGTATATATGCCAATGTGAATCAGGATCAAGATAATGAGAATTCTCAAGATGCCCAAGAGGAACTTTCTTCTAGAATAGTATAAATTAAGGTTCTTTGATATACATCCACACGCATGTACACATAAACATCCATGGATACTTTGAAAATTTACATTCACACAACATGTACAATTTTTGCACATTTATCATATAATACTATTCATTAATCATTTCATCGGACAATATTATAAGAATGTCCCTAATACCAGTTTATTTTTCCTAAATAATATTTCGTTTTTTATACATAAAATTATACAATTATTTTAATAGAGCATAAACACAAGTATATTTTCTTATTTCATCCTCTACTTTTTATAGAGTATTTCGGTAGTTCCAATTGGTGTTTGAGCTGCTGGCAGCAGTATCTGATAAGTTTATTCCATTATTCTGTTCTTAATATCTATTCCAAGTGTAAAAGTAACTTACTAATTGATTCAGTAATATCAGATTGTTTAAAAGAAATGTTTACTTTAATTATGTACTCTACTTGTGTACTTTACTTGTGTACTTTAATTGTGTACTTCAATTGTTTACGTTAATGGTTTACTTTTTTTAACTTTCTTGTTTCATTTTTTTTAAGTTTTGTAGCGTTCCGAACAGCTATCTTTTTTTCTTCTTTCAAAATATCTTAAAATTTATTATTCTGTTATGACCATATATATATATTATTTTTTACATAAAATAGAGAGAAGAGAAAAGAACATAAAGTACTTGGTATTCTATTCGAGATTATTGTTCACTCTTAAAAATATTATCACCCTTATTTATTTGCACTTTCTTGTCCTCACCACCACTAATAATACCTACTTTCTCTGCCCATTTAACCGCAAATACCTTATCTTTAGTTTCGCCATTTTCCCTTGTAATAGTATACATTGGGGCAGTAGCTCTTACATCCCATACCTTAACAGTACCATCATGAGAACCGGAACATAGCATGTATTCATTCTCAGGACAAGTATCCAAAGAGACAACAAAGTTCTTGTGGCCAATTAATTGTTGTTGTGTAATCTTGGAAGAACTGGAATCTGCACGAGGGTCGTGCAATGTAATATGTCTAGCACTTGAACCACAAGCCAATAGCCCTAGAGAGCTTAATTGGGCAATACTCAATAATGAGTAAGAAGTAGTCTTGGTGTCTACACAACGAGCGGTGACAAGATCCCAAGTCTTAATAGTGTGATCTTGAGATACAGAGTAACCTACTGTGTTATCATTGAGATCAAATATAGCTTGTTCTACGGGAGCTGTATGAGATTCCAAAAGTGATAATGGTGCTCTTCTTCTAATTGAACCATCCTTTAGAGCCAACTTTCTTCTCTTCTTGGCTGCTGTAGAAACTTTATTGTTTGTAGATTTATTTAATTCTTCCATTGGATCAACGGCATTCATGGCTTTATAATCTGTAGACCAAAGACCGATAGATTTATCATAGGAAGCTGAAATGATTCTAGAAGTCTCTGTGGAGACATCTAAGGATACAACTGGTGCACTGTGACCTTCTAGGATAGCTAATGTTTTACCTTCTTCAACAGATAATTCATCATCAGCATCTTCACCACCATTGATGGAGCCGACTGGTGAATTTTTAGTCTTCCATATACGTAAAGTACGATCATTACCTGCGGATACAATTCTAGTATTGGAAACAAATTTCACAGCTCTAATGGGAGCTGAATGGCCACTGTACATCTTTTCAACTTGACCACTTAGATTCCAGGTTCGCACAATCCCATCGTAAGAACCTGTAATAATGGATCTTTGTGGAACTTCGACACCTGAAGTAACATCGATAGAACTGATCCAATCTTCATTTGAAAAACTTGAAAGATAGGAAGGTGGTAGAACAGCTCTAGTATATTCAATGTCTAATGCTACTTCTGAAGATAGACCATTTTTTACTAAATAGTCATCTAGAGAAGAACGTAATAATTGCCCATCAATTAAAAAATCAAATGGAGTGGTAGCTACATCTTCATCAGAACGTTCGCCGGATAACAGATGATTGACAATTTCAGACAGACCATATCTTTTCAATTGAATTGGAACATACATAGGAGTATCCTGAACCTGTAAGGATTCATCCTTCTCACGGGTAAAGAATCTAATTTTAACCTGGGACTTATCGTCTGACATTTTGACTTGGGATACTGTATTGTATATTTAAAGAAAGAGTATAGTCCAATATAACGTTCGTTTATATATTGAATTACGTTTTAAGATACTTTATGAAATGAAACGTTTAAACTGTACTATCTACTCTTTAAAATTTAGAGATGAGATGAGCTTTGAAATTTTTCAAATTTCCGTTTCGCTTCACTTTGAAAAATTTTCGCAATTTCCACCGCCTAAGCCAAAAAGCAAAAAAACATAGCATAAACAAACACAAATGAAATTTTGTAAACAACATAGTAATAAATTTGTGACGTGAACAAGCTTGAGATGTGTTATACAAATTGTAAATAGTACGGGGTATTTTATTTCTCTATGCTTTACAACTACGACAATAATTTGTGCAAGTAAAAAGTGAAGCAAGCCGTCCTTCTTATGTAAGACATCCTACAAAATATAACTTACTAATTAATCTTAAAGCAATGAATTGGCGATCTTGCCCTCATATTTACCTTATCTAATTTTAAGAAACAACTAGCACTCTAATACAATTTCCCCACATATCTATATATATACATATAGATCTTCACTTGTCAGTATCTACCACTGACAGATCGAAAACATTACAATTACATGGTAACTGTAAACACCGTTACCGGTGAATTTCTTTTACAAAACTGTATATATTGTAGAATCTCAAGATTGGTCATCGCGCGCAGTGAAATTTGAATTGTCTTCGAGTCATACTAACGTATCTATATATATATATATATATAGATAAATGTCAATATATCAGATTTACAGACAAGTTTATTCTTTGACGCACTTAATAGAAGGAATACCCTTTTGTCAAATCAAGTTATTTACGTGGTTACTATAAAAGAGTTCTAAATCACCGGCTTATTTTCTTTAGTACTTTATTTAACTATACAGAAAAAAAATGGCATCTTCAGTTCCAGGCCCAAGACCACTTCCAGAATCTCGTTATGATCTGTCTACTTATTGGGGCAGAATTCGTCATTGTGCAGAAATATCAGATCCTTCGATGCTATTGACTACATCCAAAGATTTGGACGCTGCCCGCCAAGTCATTAAAGCTTACCGTAATCATGAGATCGAGGCACCTACCCCAGCTTTCTGGAAGGCTAAGAAACAATTGGATTCAACAGTCCATCCAGATACAGGAGAGACAGTATTACTACCGTTCCGTATGTCATGTTGTGTTTTATCCAACCTAGTGGTTACTGCTGGTATGTTAACGCCAGGTTTAGGAACCGCAGGTACTATCTTCTGGCAATGGGCCAACCAATCATTGAATGTCGCAGTCAATTCTGCTAACGCTAACAAATCCCATAGATTGACTACTACTCAATTAGTGACCAATTATTCGGCTGCTGTCATTGCCTCCTGTGGTGTTGCCATGGGTTTAAATGGGCTGGTTCCTAAATTGACAAATATCTCCGCAAATACAAGATTGATCTTAGGTAGACTTGTTCCCTTTGCAGCTGTGGTATCTGCTGGTATTGTCAATGTGTTCTTAATGAGAGGTAATGAAATTCGTAAAGGTATTGCTATTTCCGATGAAAATGGTGATGTTATTGGTAACTCCAAGAAAGCCGCTTTAATTGCTGTTGGTGAAACAGCTTTAAGTCGGATCATCAATGCTACTCCGATCATGGTCATTCCACCATTGGTTTTGGTTAAGCTACAAAAAGGTTTATTAAAGGGAAAATCTATGGGTATTCAAACTGCTGTTAACATTGGTGTGATCGCGGTGACCTCATTTGCAGTTCTACCTGCTGCCCTTGGTGTCTTCCCGCAGAGACAAAGCATCAGTGTTGATAAACTTGAACCTGAATTTCACAGAGCTAAGGATAGAGATGGTAAACCAATCACCAAAGTATATTTCAATAGGGGTATATAAGAAAAGTGTATAGATTACATAATATAATTTTGTTGATAAACAAAAGAACATTAAATCTGCGTTATTGATCATCTCATACGATTAGAACCCTTTAATACGTACAATTTTATTTTTTTCTTAATTTTAAAATTTGGCTGCAAGAAATTGAGAAAAAATTTGTAGTTTGGCTGCCTTTTTGTTATTACGGCATAATTAGTGACAAAGAAGCAATACAGAGAGAAATGTGATGAACTAATAGTAGTATAGTGAAGCCATAGATGATTTAACTATTTATTCGTTGCAGCGGTTGTCATTTATTGCAAAGAGAATATATATCCATATATATATGTATACAAAATTGCCAACACCTCTTAGCTAGGTTATTTTCAATTTCTTTCTTTTTGTTCTTTTCCTTTTAAGAACTCCTATCCAATATAATTCAAAATACACTGAACCGTAGACGTTAGCATAAAGTTAGAGTGGATTAAACATAAAGAGACTTTCCAATTTTTGCTTTTATTTTCTATTTTTTTCTCATTAATTTATATTTGCTATCGATCCCATAACTACGATACACCATGTCTGAAAAGGAGGAAGCTATCTTTCGTTCAGCAGAGATGTCTCTGTTGCAATTCTACATTCCTCAAGAAATTTCTCGTGATGCAGTCTATACCTTAGGTGAACTTGGTATTGTTCAGTTTCGTGATTTGAACTCTAAAGTTCGTAGTTTCCAACGTTCATTTGTCAATGAAATCAGAAGACTTGACAACGTTCAAAGACAACACCGTTATTTCTTTAAATTATTGCAAAAACACGGTGTACCTTTGTTCGAAGACCCAAATTTGATGTTCCAGGATACTACTGAAACTGGCAGTGACGCTTCCAGCCATGGTCCACATCTACCTATTAGTAGTTCTGTCATTGATGATCATGTTCAAAATGGTACTTTACTTGAAGAAAGACTGATTCAAATTGAAAGTGCTGCAGACCAAATTCAACTGAAGAGAGCGGACTTAGAACAATACAGAGCTGTCCTACAATCTGGTGATGAATTTTTCTCTACCCAGGACGCTGCTCAAACATCTATCGCTTCATTAAGAAGAGAAAGTATTATCAGTGAAGGTAGAGGACCCGCTGATGACAGTGCAATTAGAACCCACGTTAATTTTGTCACAGGTGTCATTCCAAAGGATAAAGTTAACACTTTGGAACAAATCCTATGGAGAACATTAAGAGGTAATTTATATTTCAAACACGTTGAATTAACTACCCCATTCTACGATACCGTCACAAAGGATTTTGTACAAAAGGAGGCGTTTATTATCTTCTCCCCAGGTGACTTGATCATTCAAAGAATTAGAAAGATCGCTGAATCTCTAGATGCTAATTTGTACGACATTGATAATAACGAACATATTAGATCTCAACAATTGAGTACAGTTAATCAAAATCTAGATGATTTATACAAGGTTCTTGACACTACAAACAAGACTTTAGAGAGTGAATTATATGCAATTGGTAACGAATTGAACCAATGGTACCAAGACGTCTCAAAGGAAAAACTTATTTTTGAAACGTTGAACAAATTCAACTTTGACTCAAACAGAAAGACATTGATCGCCGAAGGTTGGGTCCCAACTGATGAAATTGATTGTCTACAAGATGCTTTAACTGAAATGACTACCAGGTTAGGGATCGACGTCCCATCTATTGTCCAAGCTCTGGAAACCAACAGAACTCCTCCAACTTTCCACAGAACAAACAAGTTTACTGCAGGGTTCCAAAGTATCGTCGACTGTTATGGTATTGCTCAGTATAGAGAAATCAATGCAGGTCTACCTACCATTGTTACTTTCCCATTCATGTTTGCCATTATGTTCGGTGATATGGGTCACGGTTTCATAATGTTATTAGCTGCATTAGCACTTGTCTTAAATGAAAAGAAATTAAACAGAATGAAGAGAGATGAAATTTTTGATATGGCTTTCACCGGTAGATACATTGTCTTACTGATGGGTTTCTTCTCCATGTACACTGGTTTCCTATACAACGATATTTTCTCCAAATCAATGACTATTTTCAAGTCAGGTTGGGAATGGCCAGAACACTTCAAGAAAGGTGAAACCTTATTTGCCAAGTCAGTTGGCACTTATGCATTTGGTTTAGATTGGGCATGGCACGGCACTGAGAATGCATTGTTATTTTCTAATTCATACAAAATGAAACTTTCTATCTTAATGGGTTTTATTCACATGACTTATTCTTACATGTTTTCTCTTGTCAATCATCTATATTTCGACTCCATGATTGATATTATTGGTAATTTCATTCCAGGTTTAATTTTCATGCAAGGTATCTTTGGTTACTTATCTGTTTGTATTGTTTACAAATGGTCAAAGGATTGGATTAAGGACGGTAAAGCTGCTCCAGGTTTATTAAACATGCTAATTAATATGTTTTTGGCTCCAGGTACCATCGATGATGAATTATACCCACATCAAGCCAAGGTTCAAGTTTTCTTATTGATTGCTGCATTGATCTGTATCCCTTGGTTATTATTAGTTAAACCATTGCATTTCAAATTTACTCATAAGGCTGAAGGTACAATTGCTTTACCAACAAGTGATGATGTTGAACACAATGTCTCCACCACTGAAGATAATGGTGATCGTGAATTCAGTAATGAGGAAGTTGATGAAATTTATGAAGGTGATGATGATGACGAAGGTACTGGTAATCATGGTGAAGAGTTCAGTGACATTATGATTCATCAAGTTATCCATACAATTGAATTCTGTTTGAATTGTGTTTCCCATACTGCATCCTATTTACGTTTATGGGCTTTATCCTTGGCTCATGCTCAATTATCTACTGTTTTATGGACTATGACAATCGAAATTTCATTTGGTATGAAAGGTATTGTTGGTGTATTAATGACATTTTTCCTTTTTGCTATGTGGTTTGTTTTAACATGCTGTGTTCTTGTTGTCATGGAAGGTACATCAGCTATGTTACATTCTCTACGTCTACATTGGGTTGAATCTATGTCTAAGTTTTTCGTTGGTGATGGTATTCCATATGAACCATTTGTCTTTGGTTACAATGATATGGAAACTGCTGTCGAAAATAGTACTTCAAGCACTAGCGATTAGTGGTTGTTTGTCACCTATATACAAATGCATACACACACTTATCGATAAAGATTTACAGTCATACTTTTTCCTTTTTCTTCTTTAATTATGAGGAAGGGGTCACATATACTTTTCTCATTAGAGACAAACAGACTAACCATTATACATTAATATATAAACTATCATTACTATTGATATAAAACAAAAAAAAGAAATAATTATATAAACAACTTATATTTCGAAGAAAGAATATCTTTATATGTATTTATAAATTCTTTGTTGCCATAGTTACACTATAATAGGGAAATTTATCAGTATCCCCCACCAAAAAAAACAACATTTTTGCCATGCGTATACAATCTTTTCTTTTTAAATAGAAATAACAAGAATAGTACAACGGTACATCAAACTTTGGATACGATTATTTTTACAGTTTGTTATATGGCTAAATCAAGCATCTGGGAAAATTCGAAGTGTCATCAACGATTGACACAAATAAATAGATACCCAATTCGAGTGCATTCATCGAAAAAGTACTTGGATTGAATTCTTTCTACCACTGAAAACAAAAACCCATGGATAAACTTCAAATCAAATACAGAATACCGTTAACAAACTTAAACAAATCAGTTTTGTATTCTTAGTGTCATTTAATTTTATTTTGACAGTTACTGTTGTCTTGTAGTTCCCTCATCCCAAAATTACTGATATTTTTTTATTAGCCGACGGTTTTGTTTACCGACCGCGGTTCATGTAACTGAACGACTTATTTTGACTAATCTAAATGTTTTTGTCCCTTCTATCCGACTTTCTCTGAGAAACAATTCGCGCGCTACTTTCTTGTAGAAAAACACACAACGCCGGTAAGAAACATTCGGGGAACCACTTTCGAAGAAAACCCGGAATAGAGAAGTAACGAAGTGCGGAATAATAGTACCTTTCAGCGGAAGGATAAATAAAAGAAAATAAAGGATGCATTATCTCTCTCTCGCTAAGAATTTTAGTTTTCTAAATATTTTTTTTTCTCTCAAAAACATCTCGGATGTGTGAAGGCAACAAAGAAAGTATCGAAGGACACCGGACAGGTTCAAGGGTAAGTAAAACGTAACAAAATTAGAGCGCTTCAAATTTGACTGAAACAAAACAAAGAGAGAAAGAGAACAACCTGTCATTGAAAATTGATTTTATTATTAGGTAGAAAAAAGGGACAAATGATCTCTTACAAAGAGTTTGAGTAAGGAAGCCTCTGTACATTTGTTAGAATGTGCTTCATTCAAAGGTCCCTTGGATTATCCATTTTAAACATTGCCCAATACTGCTATACTACCATTGCTAGATTGTTCAAACTGAAATAAAATCAACATTCAATAGCTGAAGCTCTTAAAAATTTCGGTGAACTCATTGAGTGGTTTTTCAATGGACAATAATAATAATGATAATACAATTTCTACTTTATAGAAACTATTTACTTTCTATCCTTCCGGTGGATATTATTTTGTTTGTTTTCTACGTACAACTGTGTAGTATATATAAAATAGTCTCCCGTCATTAGCGCTTTAAACAGGACCCTCGTCTCTTGTTTGAATTAAAAAAACATAACTGATTTTAACTGTGTGTATGTACAGTATTGTTTCTTCCTGAACGATTCTCTTGTCATAATATATATTGTACATATGTAATATTAATACCTCTTTCTCTCTTGTTATCCTTTTGTAATGGTGTGAGATACTTATTTTTAATAGTGATAAGATCAATTCACCAATTATGCATAATGTATATGTATGTATGTTTATATTTTTTATTTAACGAAGATAGGACTGTAGGTCTTTTCATCTTGTACACAATAAATTCCACTATCTATTTTAATTTTTGCAATTTTTTCAATAATAACCAAATAAAATGATTCAAGCCACTTCCCTGTATTAACCCAACATCTAATGTGTCTTGTTTATTTACTTACTCTTAATATATTTCTTTTAGCGCTTATATATATATATACATGAGAGAGAAACTCTACATTTCAGTTTTAGCCTCATATTTTACTTATCTTTCAAGTTCTTATTAGTCAAAAGAAGTTTAGTCAATCAAATAGTTCAAACTTCAATTAATTTGCCCATTTCTACACTTTTACAGAATATCCAAACTCCGTACCTGTATATATATATATACATACACTAAAGAAAAACTACGACGAAGAACTCATTGTTCATTCCCTAAGCCATTAATAAACTAAATCATTAGCTTCTACGTCTTCCTGCCCCCCTTTCTTTATTAGTATCACCATATATATATATATATTTCCCCAAAAAGTGTGATTCCTTTATTCATCGTCCCACACACACAAAGACGGACAGAGAACCGAACGCGAACGGAAAACCAAGACAGCGTCCTTTTAACTCTTAAAACCAAAGAGAAAAAACGCACTACAAAAACAATTTTGTTAGATATTTATCACATAATAAACTATTTTTTTATTTTTTTTCGTCCTTCAAAAAATTGATTTTTCTCTCTCTTTCAGCTTCCAGTTATTATAATACTAAATATTTATATTATATTTAATTAAGGAGGTGGTGAAGTGAAAAAAAAATTGAACTAAAATAAATATAGAAAAGAAGAATATTCAGATCTTACAAAGGCAAAAAGTTATAATTCAACAAGTTTTTTCTATTCTTTGTTACTTTAAAAATACTACTATTTTAATTTATCTCCTATAAATTATAAACTATATTTAGTTATCTTTATTTTCTCTGATCGTTTAGTAACTATATTGAAATTGAATACAGATACGAATAACAAGTAAAAAAATAATCGAAAAATATTTATTTATTCTCTTCCTTTCAAGTTTGAAACATTAAAAGAAAGCCCCCCTCCCAGACGTGAAAACTCTCTAAAATTGGTAAATATTTCAGAAGAGGAAAAACTGATTTAAAATCGTTTCTAGTCATAAACATATAATATTAAGATGCCAATACTAGGTAGAAATCCATTTGTTCATCATCATTCGTCGTCTTCGACGCATTTGAATGAAAATGTAGATTCGAATGGTTCTTCTCCAAACAGATCAGGAAATACAGCTAATAGCAATTCTAATAATAATAGTAATAATAATAATCATAGCCATGTAACTCAACCACCTATTAGAAGAAGTTCGAAATCTTTCTTAAGTTTCATGAGTAGGAAACCTTCATTAGAATCTATTAGAAGTGAAAAATCAACAGATTCATTAGTAAATAGTCCTACATCTTCTCATGTTATGAATTCAATGCAAGACAGTCATCAACCACAACATACTCATAATTTAAGCCATGGTCATATGCATGATAACCATATGTCACCAAAACCAACTCATTCAATGGTAGAATTAAAAAGATTTTTCAGATCTTCAAAAATTTTATCGATGACTCATGGTCATAATAATAATAATAATAATACTAATAATAATCATTTACATGGTACACATGGTGGTAGTGGAATTAGTAGTTCAACAACAAACGTACCATCAATGTCAAGACATACACCGACTCATAGTAAAGGTTCTTCTGTTAATAATCATCATCCACATTCAACAACACAATTGAATTTGAATTCTCATTTTCAAATGACAGCCAATGACCACCATGGTCATACTCAATCTGCTATACCACCAAGTTCTGATTCAGTACTATCTTTATCTAATACTATTAATATTTATCATGATGATACTATTTTGGCTCAAAAATATGGTAGACTTGGGAAAACTTTAGGGTCAGGTGCAGGTGGTTCTGTGAAAGTTTTAGTTAGACCATCAGATAATGCAACTTTTGCCGTTAAAGAATTTAGACCAAGAAAAGCTAATGAATCTGTAAAACAATACGCAAAGAAATGTACCGCTGAATTTTGTATTGGTTCTTCCTTACATCATCCGAATATTGTAGAAACTATTGATATTTTTTCAGATTCTAATCAATTTAAATATTTTCAGGTCATGGAATTTTTACCAATAGATTTCTTTGCAGTTGTTATGACAGGTCAAATGTCTAGAGGTGAAATTAATTGTTGTTTAAAACAATTATGTGAAGGTGTAAGATATTTACATTCTATGGGTCTTGCTCATAGAGATTTAAAATTAGATAACTGTTGTATGACTGAACATGGTATCTTAAAGATTATTGATTTTGGTAGTGCTGTAGTATTCAAATATCCATTTGAAGATGATCAAAGAACTCATAATGCTCATGGAATTGTTGGTAGTGATCCATACTTAGCTCCAGAAGTTATCACCTCTACAAAATCTTACGATCCACAAGCTGTGGACGTTTGGTCCATTGGTATAATATTCTGTTGTATGATGTTAAAGAGATTCCCATGGAAAGCTCCAAAACTATCAGATGACAATTTCAAATTATACTCTATGCCAGATGATATCGAAAGAGATTATACGCAATCTGCTAAACATCATGAACAATTATTATCTGAAAGAAGAAAACATCGTGAAAGAATGAATCATCCAGAACACTGCCCAGATGATGAAAAGAATGATGAAAAATGTAATAATAATGATCGTGAGGAACAAACTACAAAGGGAACTACAAACATTAAACAATTACCTACTCCACAAGAAGAAGAACTTCCAAATAATGATAATAATAATAATAATAATAATAATGACCAACAGGAACATCTGAACACTGTTCCTGAAGACGAACATGATAAAGGTGAAAAATCAATCTGTAAAGATACTAATGATAACAATAACACTGAAAAGGTTAAGATTGATGACCATAATGACAATAAGGAACACCAGCACTCAACTGACACGGAAAATAATGACAATAATCAAACCCTACAACATAACGAGACTGCACAAGATAATAAGTCTATATCATCTAGCAGAACTGCCGCTACGACACATACTCAACATAACGGACATCCTCATAAGAGGGTAATACACGGACCTTATAGATTATTACGTTTATTACCACATGCCTCTAGACCTATCTTATCTAGAATCTTGGAAATCGACCCAAGTAAGAGAGCCACCCTTAATGAGGTATTCGATGATGTTTGGTTCGATGAAATTCCATGTTGTACTATGGACAACAAGAAGACCATCGTTAGAGCCCATGGTCACCATCACACAATTGTGAGAGATGGGAAGACCTTTAAAATTTAATGAAATATATTGTTATATAGAGACTATTCTAATATATGATTAGATGTTATGTGAATATAATTTTTTTAATCTATCTACTCCTCTACTTAAGCAAACCTTTTGAAATATCATTCCGTAGAGCCCAAAGCTAAGATCAATATATTCCTAAGATAAAAATTCGAAAACAGATTTCATTATTTACATGCTTATATACTACATACTATTTACCGTTTGATAAATAATTTAAATGCGGTTCATCAAATATCTCTACTTTATCACCAAATTCCGATAATGTTCCGGGGAAGTTCAAAATTGACACATTATTGACACCCCATTTATTTGTAAAATTCGAGTTTTGTGTGGGTGATAAGATATCAACGTTATCAAATCTAAAACTCCAATAAAGAGCCATTCTCCACAATAGAAGCTTTTTACCATTATCATTATTCACCATAGTGTTTAAATCTTCATTTTTCTTATAAAGTTGTCTCTCTGCAATCATGTTAACCAATTCTCGTTTAGAAAATGTTATTGTTCCAGAATCTTCTCTCATTATATTTTTTAGAAGTAACCAATCATCTACAACATAATACTCATGTTTGTTTGCTACGAGATTTGCAATTTTCGATTTAAGGTTAAACGCCTTCCAAATCGATAATTTCCAACGTGGGGTCTCGTTAGTTGGTAATTGTTGAAGTAACCTCTTCAAAGTGCTTATATCCAGGTCATATGGTGACGAAATAGAAGAAATATTTTTACCAACACCCACAGTTCCACATAACTTATTTTGAAGGTCGTCTCGGAATAGATGACTTTCGGTAATCTTCTTATATGCACCCACAGATAGAGCTGATCTAAGTCCCAATTTTGGCCATAAATAAACCATTACCAGAAAAAGTTCCTCAAATATGAAAAACATTATTAGAAACCTAGGTAATTTCCAAAATTCATTCTTTCTATACATTTCAACAAAGCTTTTTCTGGTGATACGCTTATCCAATGAATTAAACTCTAAATCTTTTAATAACTGTGGATTAGAATATAAGATGCTCGACACATTTTTATATTTTTTATGAATTCTGTATGAATTTGTTATGGCTTCTCTGTATATTTTCATTTGTGCTCTTATTATTCTAAACCATAATGTGGGAGTCTTCCTCCAATTAGGTACAATTGAATTTGTATTAATCTTTTCTCTCTCTAATGCAATTACAGAACGAGTTCTTGGTAATGTATTCAAAGAGTTTATATCATTGTCAATCTTTGATACTTCTGAAGAAACTAATATTTGGTTGTTTTCGATCTTCTGTTTCAAATTATGATACAATTTGTTCTTTTTGGCTGATTGCTGAAATGATTGTTTTGTATCGAGTAAAAAAATGGATGGATAAGTTTTATAATGTAAACATCTTTTTGATATTATGCGGTACATATCCCTCAAACACTATGACGGGAACTCTAAATATGTAGCTATAGACAATTACCTGAAAGTTATGTACTGTTTGGAGTTCAAAAATATATTGTTTTATTACAGCTATGGCTCAATTTTTTAATTACATTTAATTGAGCGAATTAAATGGACAACTAAATTTCATGGATGGTGAATAAGATCATAAAAAAAGTTGTTGAAGATGTATATATCCATACATAAATATATGAGGTCTATATTTAATTTATAGCGATATAATTATACAATACATTTTACTTATATGTTTCCCCCCAAAATATTTTAGAGACAGAAATAGATACATATATTTCTGTTCACAATTAAAATATCCTAATTTCGATGCACCCTAATTCCAGAAAGAGTATGTCATATACCCAATACTTCTAAAATAACCGTAAAACACATCAAAATATTAATTTCTTAATCTATTTTTGTTCAACTGTAGCCAAAAGGGTCTCTGCACTCTCTAAAGCAGCGGTGGCTGGTTCTGTTTTTTCTATGCCCTTGTAAGATGCTAAAAATTGAGAGAGGTCATCTTTAAATTCGCGAATCTTTTGATATAGCGTAGGTAATAATCTTTGAGTGTCTTCCAAGACTTCCACTTGCTTCTTCAAGTCGTAAGGATCGATCTTTGGGTCATTCTTCAGGTTTTCAACATGAGCGGCTTGATCCTTAGCCTCTTGTTGATAATAACTCTCTTCTTTTACTAATCTTTCTAAAGCTTTAACTTTAATCTCTAATTGTGTTGGAGCCATTTTTAGTTTAATTTTTTAATAATGATATTTATCAATTCAGGATTATCCTTTTCGAAATTGAGTAAAGATTTTTGAATGTAATTAAATGGGTCATTCATATATATATTTGTTATTATTATATAATAATTATCACACCAAGGTTATGTATGGCGTATTTCTGTTCTTTTTTTCCCGCGTTTACTTAAAGTTCAAGCATTTTGATATCAAGGAACTCATTAAACAAATAATTTGGCAGCTGACCAGCAAGAGGTTTTAGTCATGTCATAAATATTATTGAAGCAAATGTATATATATATTTAATAGTATATATTCGTGATTAAGAAGTGTATAGAAGGCTTATGAATAGATGCTGCTCGATATGCTTGGGGTATTATCTGAATCAATAATTGATATCCTATCAATTTTGGCTTGTAAGTCATCTACAATATCAGAAGTCTCGGAAGATGAAATACTCGAATGAACTATGTGAGCTGAAGGAATTTGGTTATATGTAACCATTTTACCAGTCTGAATATCTCCATCGGTTCCTTCAGTATCACTTACTTCAAATTCATCATCAAAGTGAAACATGACAGGAATAATGCTTATTTTATGACATGATACTTCTTTCAATGTATTACTATTTGAAAGTGTAGAAATTCTCTCTTCCTGAGAAGTAACTGGAATATCATGAATATTTAAATCTGCAATTTCTAAACTAGAAGGTATTGTCTCTTGAGCAGTCTCATATCCATCTGTATTAGAACTAGAAGATACAATATCTATATCATCCTCTGTCCATACATCTGAGCTACTACCGTTAGATTCATCATGACTAGATATAAGATCACTTAAATGTTTAATATGATGAGATCCAGATTCAATTGAGGATGTATCTGAGTTATTTTTATTACTTGACCGGTCTTCTACTAGATCCTCATCCTGTGGAGCGATCCTTTTATTCATCTCGACAATATTTTGTCTTTTTTGAACGTGCTCTAATACTCTTTCAATTTCTGAATTTAAAACCGACGTTTTATTTTGATTAAATGAGATAGCCTCTTCATCAATGGATGGAATTGACCGACAATCCTCATCGGCACGATATGCATCTAATATCTCATCAAATAAAATTTCATTGGTACTTCTACTACACCCTGGATGATGTAAGTCCAATTTAATATTTTTATTATTCCTCTTTGGTCTTGACTGTGGCATTTCTGGAGATTGAATAACAACTTTTGGTGGTTGGACACGGTGTAGATTAGATGTTACCATTGTTGGACGTTCAGAACAATACCTATATGCTGGACTTTGTGAGACACATCTAGCATTTCTTTGTAGAACACGTTTGCAATTATGGATGCTATTTTGTCTCTTAAGATTAGTTTCCTTAATGACAGGCATCCTTTCAACAGATAATAATTGAGCAGGAATATGTTTTGAATGCTCATCGTTGTCTTTATTTTGACGTTTCTTAAAATCATGAAGGAATATTTCAGGTACAGATTCTAATCTTTTTTTAAAATAGATTGTACCACCATATTGTCTTGATAATCTTTTTAATTTTTTTTGTTGTGGTTTATCAGTATTGTTATCCATACCGTGCAAAATTAATGACTCCTCAGAACTACTACTTGGAATTGGAGGAATCATACATAGTTCCTCTGCAGTCAATGTAAGGGATGGTGGTCTTAGGACATCCACACCTCTTTCAATCTTTTGACCTAAAAACTTTCTAGGCATTATTATTATATTTTTGTTTCTTTTTGGTTTTCAATATTATTTTGTAATTCGATAATATTTAGTTCTGTGATATTCTTATTATTTTGATATATTCTTGATTAATAAAGTTATTCTTGGTTAGTTAATAGAAAGAAATTAAACGTTTTTTTAACAAATAGCACTTATTAAAGAAAACGCTAATATATATACACATATATATAGGAATACACGTTTTATCCTGCAACTTGAACCCCCAAGATGAATGGTATAATTGCCAATAACAAATTAATACAAATGGAAATTTGTCAAAGAGGGGTTTTCCCTTCTCTTGGCTATACTATTGTAGATCATATCATTATCCTCCAGTGTCATAGAGATACAGCTGCATAGTTTAGAGGAACCCAGTAAGAAAATAGTACATATATGCCCTTGTGATCCTCTTTTGTGCATCTCTCATTCAAATCGTTTAGCAATATAAAACAGTAAGTTTGCAAATTGGCCAGTTCTAGTTTCATCATGGTATAAATTGTGACCATTGAAGCCAGCATTTTCTGATCCTCTTAAAAATGTCAACAATAACAATAGAGAAATTCAATGTAAGGTGAATTAGGAAATTTACTTATTTGAGATAAAATGGCTGGCTTTTTTCGGTCTCTTGTGCGGCTTTTTTCTAAGAAAATTATATACCGATGCTGGATCTTCAACAAGAAAATGACAGCAAAAAACAGAAATACAGACCACAGTGCAACTATGAGCAACTGTAAGTATTACCCATATATTTATCTCCACTGTGCACTGTGCTACGAGTGATACCGGTTTCAGTGAGATTTCGTTACCTTTCCTTGCGAGTATAATCTAAGTATGTTAATTTTGGTACCAAATGATCGTTTGGTCTCGAGAAATTGGCTCTTTTTTATTTCTTACATTTATTACGTAGTTCTTAAATAAAATATGAAATACATACCAGAATTGGCGCTATTTGTTGTTGTTCTAGCCACTACTTCTTCATTATTGTCAAGATTTACTTTTTTTTAATGATAGCTATGGGTATCCCTTCCATTCATAAAAAAAGGGACCGAATAAGATACATCTACAACCACATTAAAAATATGAGACTTGTTTGACTTAGTTTTGATACATAATATGTACAAACGGAACATAACATACTATATGAATATATGATCACCAAATACCATACAGCTCTTATTTATTGCTTAAAGTCAACAAGAGGTACCTATTGTTTCAATATATTCAGATAGATATATCTATTTCTTGTTTACCTAACATAATCTGTACCTTGCTTTTCTTCCCAATCCTTTAATGCCCTATCCCATTCATCCTCATTATCCACATCAATCTCTTTTTCTTGCATCTCTCTATCCTTTTCAATCTCCTCCCTTCTCTTCTGCTCTGCCTTATCGTATAATTCTTTATTATCTATCCATCTATCCTGGATATTGTTCTCACGTAAACCTTGATCTCTAGTAGCCTCTGCCCATACAGTATCACCACCAACCTCGGAAGCCCCAAATATATAGCCATTAGCCTTATCTACCGATAATTGTAAATTGATCATACTCTCTTTATCGTCCACAGCAAGTACTTCAAACGAAACCAGATTAAAATCAGCTACCATTTCACTTATCGTCTCGGTTAATTTTGCATAACGTTTACCCATGACACTATTACTCTCTTTCTCTACATACGGTAGAAGATAATCCAGATCCTGTACTTCTGTGTAAAAATCAAGATTAAATGGAAGTTCCCCATATGATTTGATCATATCGATCTTAGAGAATACATTGATCTGCGGTAGATCCATCATAAGCATAGATCTCAATGCCAGTAAAAGAATCGAAATATATTGGGAAGGAGACGTTAGGTAGTAACAATCTATAAGGTTTACTACGCAAAATCTCATATCTAGTTCTTTCTCTAATCTTTTAAAGATTTTAAAAAGTGAGGAATGATGGGTGAAAAGCTCAACTTGACCTGGACAATCAAATACCAAATAAGCTTTTTCTTCCTGTACCAAGGATTTGATTTGTAATATAAAGAGATCTATAGATTTGTCCAGGGACTCCATAGCATACATTAGACCACCATTAGGGCCTAGTTGTTGTTCTTGCATGATTTCTTCAATTGTGATGAAGTCTCTAATATCAACTGCACATGGATAAGGAAGTGCATCATTAGCTGGATCCATATTTACTATCTGTCCATGTCTTCCTATAGCATTAAAGAATTGTGATGTACCATTACAGTATGTTGATTTTCCTGAACCTGGTGGTCCTATAACGATCTGTGCAAATGACATTATTGAAAGTAAAATAAGTATATGGTTGTTGTTGGTATATTTGTAGTACAAATAGAATATTTAAGAACCTGTTCTCATCTTTCGTAGTAAAATAATCAAGGTGTGGCACTTCTTAAATTATGTAATTATGTAATTAACGTAGGAACCTCATCGTTTTTTCCATATCTGTTATTTTTTTTTTCCAGCAATGTTAATTTTTCATATTCCTTCTGCGTAATTGAATTTCTCAATGTGATCGCATATAATAATAGTATTTTGAAGAGTAAGACTAGTCAAATTATTAAAACACATAATATATATACAACAAAACCGGAGTTATTTCTAATATTTTTATATTATTAACAAATTTATATTTTGATTTTAAATATATCATATGATTATAAGTTTCTATACAGTATTATATATATAAGTGTGTATATATATGTGAGATGCGTTCAATATATGGAGTTTATTCAAACAAACGAATAAACTAATGTGTTTTAGGAAGGGCTAGTTCTCTTAACGTTCAAAGAGACCATCATCTTCAAATTCCTCATCATCGTAGTACTCCCCACCATCACTTTCTTCTTCATCAAAATCATCAGAGTCAGTATTGGAATCATATATGGCATCGCTTCCATAATCATCAAATTCATCCTCATCATATATTTTCATCAAAGTTTCATTCTTGAAATTACTCTTTAAATCAATAATATAATTACCTTCCACATAACAACTAGTCAATTTAGATTTCTTCCCTATTTTAGCATTTGGACCAATGATAACATTTTCTAATATACATTCATCATCAACTTGAACGTTATTTAATAAGATAGAACCAGAGATACGACATTTATTACCTATAGTACAATTGGCATTAATGGAAGATAATTTGATACTATTCTTTTCCATCAAAGTAGCAGTTGAATCAACAACAGAATCTGCACCAATTGTAGAAGACATTGTTGAAGTTGTAGGTAAATTACTCGAATTTGATTTAATCTTTAAAATAAAACGAGTAGCATCCATATAAGAATTCAAATCATTGGAACGGATAAAAGTAGATTCTTCTGGTAAAATGAAAATGGAGATAGTTTCTCTTTCAGTAGAATGTTGCCATGATCTTCTACTTAAATCTCTAAACAATTTTGCTATTGAACTCTTTGTATTGATAGTATCCTTAATCAAATTATTTGGTTTACTCAAATAAGATGGATGAATCAAAGTTGGATCTATAGGAGAATTATTAGTATCTTTACCATTGCCGTTCAAGTTATTTTTATTTGAGATTAAAGAGTTTTGACCCATGGAATTACCACTGTTATTATTAATACCATTGTTCATAGAATTGTTTACGGTGCTATTACCATTATTATTATTGTCATTATTATTATTGTTGTTATTGCTATTATTATTGTTAATATTGTTTGAACCATTTTCTGTAGTTAACAGATTATTATTAGTATCGTTTTCATCCTTAGTTAATAATTGAACTAATTCATAAGAACAAAAATAAATAAATGAATTAATTAATTTTTTTGAAATTGAACAATTTGGGTAATTCCAAAGTAAATGATCTCTAACTTTTAAATATTTACCCTTTGTTACTTCACTTGTCGAATATGTATCTAATAATACAGGTTGTTTTGAAGTATGTTGATTTTCACAATATAATGTAAACATTTTATCATCTTGTTTATTTTTATGAGATTGTTTCTTATCAACAACATTTTCTAAAGAATTTTTATAATAAATTGCCATTGCAATATTATCATCATCTCTATTTTGATATTGATCTAAAAATATTTGAGGTGGTATATCTGTAATGAAATCACATGGCAAAATAACAAAATCTCTATGGATTTTATCTAATAATTCATTTTGTAACAATTCACTTGTATATGAAGATTTTGTTGAGATGAAATTAATTTTTTTTGGTTTCTTTAAATGATGAGTATGATTAGTTGACAATAAAGCTTTTGCAATTAATTCATATTGTTGGTCTCTTAATTTTAAAAATGATTTTAAACCTGCTTTAATAAAATCAATTTCATCAATATGTGCAACAATATTAATTTCAGAAAAATCTGCTTGATCACACCAATCAATAACATATTCAATCATTGGTTTACCAGCAATTGGCAATAAAGCTTTTGGTAATCTTGCCAATGCTTCAACATTAAATTCACTAATATTATTTAATTCTTTATCATTTACTGATGGATCAATATTTGGATTAGACAAAGGTGATAAATTTGAACCTTTCCCACAAAAGATAAACGATTGTAGAGTTTTCATCTTTGAACCTTTTTTTTTTTATTTCACTCTAGATATTTATAAACTCTTGGTTATATTTCTACCTCTTCACTGATAATCTAGAAAGAGAAATATAGTGGTGCTTAAATTATTTGCTACTCACCAACTTTAAAATAAGTCTTATATACACTCATCTGTTCTATTCCCAATTAGAAGTATCTTGTCAAAATTAACAAAATTTTTCTTAGATGACTGAAAAAAAAAGAGAGAAGCCCATCCAGAAAAGCGAAGAAAAAAACAGAGAGTGGTGGGCAAACCAAACCAAACCAAGCTGGTCGCATCTCTCTCTATGCTAACGAACACACACCCATACAAAAATTCCTCTGTGCGTGAGTGTGTGTCTCTCTCTCTTTGCGGCTGTTTGTGTGTAAAAATTATGAAAAATTATAAAAATTGCCCGAGACGGCGCGAAGTAAGAAAAACGAAAATAAGACACACCACACGCACAGCAGTGGCTATAAGTTGTTACGGCGTACAAACTCGCTGCTACTATTCATTTACGGTTCATTGACTGGTTTTGTTAGTTGGAAAGCAGCTTTCCCCGTTCTTCGCTTCTTATGGGTGAACTTTCACTCTATTTTTCTTGCACATTGGATTCCTTGATTTTGGCTTGCTCAGAATATGAATTTTGCCACCCATTGAAATAATAGAAATATGGAAAATACAAATGAAATTGATATTAACTGAGAATAATAAATACATATTCTGAAGATTGAATTGATAAACATACTGGATATTTAATAAAGGATATACAAATTAAATTATTTAAGTCCTCTTTGTTTGCTGTTGTAAATTGAACCAAACTTTCACTGAATATTATTTAGAATCTATTTTGTTTTTTGGGGTGCAAGCAAATAATCTCTCGAGATAGAATTAAAAAGGGAGTTAACAAGAAATATTTTTTAACAAATAAAAAAGATATATATACATACATATTGAATAGTTATAATGAGTGAAGAACAAGATCCACTGTTAGCTGCTTTAAATGATGAAAGTACAGATGCAGGTACAAATGCCACACAAGAGAATCAACCTACTAATGAATCTACTGGTGATGCTTCAAGAGAACCAACACCTGTACCTGTTATAGATCCAGAACAAGAATTACGGAATAAGACTTTATCTCTATTTAAGAAGAAGTTGATGGAACATAGACGTTATGATGACCAATTAAAGAGTCGTAGACAAAATATTAAAGATTTAGAGAAAAAATATAATAAAACTGAAAATGATATTAAAGCTTTACAAAGTATTGGTCAATTAATTGGTGAAGTAATGAAAGAATTATCTGAAGAAAAATATATAGTTAAAGCATCATCAGGTCCACGTTATATTGTTGGTGTTAGAAATTCTGTTGATCGTAATAAATTGAAAAAAGGTGTTAGAGTTACATTAGATATTACAACTTTAACAATTATGAGAATCTTACCAAGAGAAACTGATCCTTTAGTATATAATATGACATCTTTTGAACAAGGTGAAATTTCATTCGATGGAATTGGTGGTTTAACTGAACAAATTAGAGAATTAAGAGAAGTTATTGAATTACCATTAAAAAATCCTGAAATTTTTCAAAGAGTTGGTATTAAACCACCAAAGGGTGTCTTATTGTATGGTCCACCAGGTACAGGTAAAACTTTATTAGCTAAAGCAGTTGCGGCTACAATTGGTGCAAATTTTATCTTTTCACCTGCATCAGGTATTGTTGATAAATATATTGGTGAATCTGCAAGAATTATTAGAGAAATGTTTGCTTATGCAAAAGAACATGAACCTTGTATTATCTTTATGGATGAAGTTGATGCTATTGGTGGTCGTAGATTTAGTGAAGGTACCTCTGCAGATCGTGAAATACAACGTACATTAATGGAATTATTAACACAAATGGATGGTTTTGATAATTTAGGCCAAACCAAAATTATCATGGCAACAAATAGACCTGATACATTAGATCCTGCTTTATTAAGACCAGGTAGATTAGATAGAAAGGTTGAAATTCCTTTACCTAATGAAGCTGGTAGATTAGAAATTTTTAAAATTCATACTTCAAATGTTAAAAAAATTGGTGAATTTGATTTTGATGCTGCTGTTAAAATGAGTGATGGTTTTAATGGTGCTGATATTCGTAATTGTGTTACTGAAGCTGGGTTTTTCGCAATTAGAGATGATCGTGATCATATTATTCCTGAAGATTTAATGAAAGCTGTAAGAAAGGTTGCCGAAGTTAAAAAATTAGAGGGTACATTAGAATATCAAAAATTATAAGTATCATATATACATACATATATACATATGTATATATATATATATATATATGTGTGTACAAACAAACAAACATAGTATAATATTTTTTCAATGATTAAAATGATTAACCTTTTATTTCTTATTCATTAGTGGGAGTTTTTTGATTTTTTTTTTTGCTAAATAATATATAAAATTACATTGAAGGATCACTTAACTTAAATTAGTGATTACCAACTTTTACTTGGTGTCTTTTTTTCCTTTCCTTTCATTTAAAAAACACATAAAATAATGAGAGAGACATGAAAAGCACAAATATGTATGTCTTTTTTTTTAATTATCTGTACAAATCGCAATGAATTCGTCTTCATCAATTTCTCCATCTCCATCCATATCAAATTCTTCAATCATTGCTCTCAATTCTTGATCATTCATATTTTCACCTAACTCCTGTGCAACTCGTCTTAAATTTTTAAATGATATTTTGCCCGTATGATCATCATCAAATAATTGAAATGCTCTCTTTATTTCTTCGATTGGATCTCTCTTTAAAATCATTTCGCCTGCAACTGTGAAAAAATCATCATATTGCATTAAATGACGACCATCTCGATCATATCGATTAATGTAATCTAATATTTCTTTTTTTTCTAATTGGAATCCTAATGCACGTAATGCTACTTTAAATTCATGAAAATCTAAATATCCATCATTGTTCATATCAAACAGTGAAAAGGCTTCATATATTTCTTGTTTCTGTTCTTGTAATAAATCACTATCGACTGTAGGCTGATCATACACTCCATTATTATTGCTGTTAGATGGTGCGTAAGTTTTACTTATGGGACTACCACCTGCTTTGTTCGCCCTTAGATTGTTCATTCTTTTACAATATGAATATGTACAAAACGAGTCTCTCTTATAACACTACTTTGTCTCAACTCCAGATATATATTAAGCACCAATAATATACAGACTATTCAAATTAGTATCCTGAAGTAATACTCAACATTCAAAAGGCAAACAAACACAGCTATGTAGAAAGTTACATCTGATCAAGTTGACAAGTAAATCAAATCACGTTAAAATTATCACAGAGCCACTAACTAAATTTTTAGTTTTTTTGGGTTTTTCTTTCTCGTTCCGTGTCTCTCTCTGTCTCACCACTAAACCCACCGCTTCAGCTTTTGATAGAATCTTTCACTTTGTTTGAGAATTACCGTAAACGGTACAGATATTGCTGAAGAAACACAGCGTGAGGAAGACGAAAAGCTTTGAAGTGAACAAATCATTCAATTATTTTTGACAGCTTTCAATGAAAAAACTTGAACACTATTGTTTGCGCCTTCAGTAATAATAGTAGACAATAGACAATAGGTAGAAACATAATAGACTCAACTGGCATTTTGACGTTAACCAGATACATCTACTCGAACTTAGAAGTGGGAAAATTACCCTAGTTGTTGTTCCTTTTATTTTATTTTTTTCATGAATGAATGAGCAATAGATTCTGCGAAACAGTACCAAGTTTATAGAATTTTATACCCCAAACTAACCTAACTTTTTTACTTGACTCAATTTTGCAAATTAAACACCTTATATATTGGTATCGAAAGGTAAGACAAATATCGAGTCAATTTAGGTAACTACTATTCATTAAATTAAGGATATAGGAGTTACATTTCAACTTATTATATAATAACATTTATTTGAGATGACTCGGGACTACCTGAATGTCCCGACAACATCGGGTGCAAGATCCAAGGGCCAAAGATCGTTATTACATCCACCAACATATGAAAGAGTAGACTCCCAATCTCAGGATTCAATAAGTATAGATTTCGATTTGGATTCTGAAAATTATGACTCACATAACGATAACGATACAGATTTTGACAATTCTACACATTATTCAAGTGATATGGATTTTGAAGATATCGATTCATTTATGGAAAGAGGTACATTACCAGAATCCCTAAGTAAACTGAAATATATCCAATATAAATTGAACAGAGCATTAATACGACCTGTTCAAAAAAATATCGTAAATCCATTAAATGAAATGCAATTAGTAATGAATAATGAAATTGATAGATATTTAAATCGATTTGGGAACCCTTTGATCTTAAAAAGATTCATATATATTGCTATTATGACTATTATGCTTTGGGTAATTGTATTCTTCGGAGATTTTGCTACAGGTATTGCAAAGGGTTCAAAGGGTTCATTTTCAAGTCAACGAATATTATTTGATTATTCTAAAAAAATAATAAATTTGAAAAAATTTGAAACAGATATGGAATATTTATCAAGTATATCTCATGGTTCTGGTACAAAAGGAGACATATTATTAAAGGATTATATTAAAAAATCATTTGAAAAACAAGGCTTGGATGAAGTCTTTGAAAACGAATTGAAAACATATTCAAATTATCCAACAAATTATTCAACTTTATCTGTATTTCATACGAATCTAAAGGAATTGACTACAATAGAATTAACGGAAGAAAATTATACTCCTTTAACTATCAATGGAGAATTAAAAAAACTAAGTTTAATTTATGGTCATTATGGCACAGATGAAGAATTAAAACAATTGCATAAGATATCTGTCTTAGGAAAATATACAGGCAATTACATCTTATTGGTTAAATATAATAAAGAAATTATTGTTAGTGAACAGATATTAACCGCACAAAAATACAACGCCAAAGGGATTATATTCATCTCACAAGATTATAATGGTAATAAGGATGTCTTACAAATGAAATCTGCTGGTTTACCACAATATGCTACAGGTGATATATTGACTCCAGGTTATTATGGAAGTAAAGTCAATGACATAAGCCCCGAAGATTCGAAATTATTGACAAATATTCCTATAGTGACCTTAACAAGAAATCAAGGGGAACAATTATTATCTAAACTTTCCAGAACTGGTCTTCTTTATAAAGATGGGAAATATAGCGGTAACATAAATGATCTGAGGATTGATTTAAAGAGTGAGACTGTTGAAAAGAGAAGACAACCTGTTTATAATATCATTGGAAGAATTGATGGTAGAGAACAAAACGATAAAGCTATTATTATCGGATCTGCGAGATCTGTACATGGTCCCGGAGCATCATACCCTAATTTTGGCACTGCAACGCTAATGAATTTGGTGGAAATATTTCAAAACTTAAAGTATAGATTTAATTGGAGACCATTAAGAACCATATACTTTGCATCCTTTGGTGGTTCGGAGTTCAATTTTGCTGGTTCGACTGAACAAGTTGAATTGGATATGATGCCAATTCATGATGGTGTTTACTCATATATTGATATCTCACAACTAGGCTTAACAGATGAAATTAATATTCAAACAAATCCACTAATGTCAGCCCTATTTAATATGGAGGCCAAATATATGCGTACATTTAATGTCACAACATGTCCTATTCAACAATATGGTGATTGGATCCCATTTGTTGCTAATGGTGTCCCATCAGCAGCGCTTGCTTCACCACCTGTAAAAGAACGGATGTTACCGATAGAAACTATTGAGGATACATTCGAAATGCTCCACGAATTATTGGGAGAAAAAGAAAATCAAGAGAATGTTAAAGATATTATCTTTTACCTGATCGAAGTTATCTTAAAACTGGTTGATGATCCTATCATCCCTTTTGATGTCCTAGATTATGTCCAAGAAATAGATACATCAGTACAGTCTATGTTAAAACTTTACAAACACAAGATTGATCTGGCGGCTATGCTGAGAAATATACTGAAATGGAAGAAAACTGGGTATTCATGGAACTTATGGTTAAATCATTGGAAAGATTCAGTTTGGAGAAAAGGTACTAGTTCCGAGAATGAAGAAAACAGAGAAAATAGATTACGTTGGAACGAACATCTAAGTAAAATTAACAAACTTATGTGCGATGAATATGGTCTCCCTAATAGACATTTTTATAAAAATGTTTTATTTGGCCCACCACTATGGAACGAAAAGTTTTTCAAATCTCATGATTATAACCCATGGAGTTTTCCAGGGGTCAAAGACGCCATCAGTACACACGATTGGAAACTAGCAAATGATGAAGTGAAAGTAATTGGACAAATGTTTTCGGATTCGTCGGAAGAGTTCATGAAGGATTTGAAGATTTTAGTTTGAGTGATACCATTATAAATGTAAGTTTTAATGCCGTTTGACAAATTTTTCACAGGGTATTTTAATATTCACATACACTAGCTTCTTTAAAGCTACGTGGTATTTGTTCTTACAATAATGTACCTTCCTACATTAGCATCATATATGTATATGTATATATACTTTGCATTTTAATAAAATATTAATTTTTTATTACAGAAATATTTTTTGAGCTGTGATACAAAATATATATGAGTTTGTGTATGTACTATGCGGTTCTTCACGTTATCTTCCTAATTTCTTAATCTATATGTTTTTTTAATAACATACCATCGATGAGACCTTCAGTGGTTTTGAATAATTCTTTCAATGGCTCTTCCTCTGATTCGAAACCGTTATCTTTATACCAAGCTATTTCTTTGTCGGCGTTTACTGGTATATGAACGTAAACATTATGCTGATGATGTTTCTTACATTCTTCGATTATATAGTTCAAAAACTTGGTCTCTATCTGGTTGTTTTGGTATTGGTCTAATACAGCCATAGATTCAATATGAACACCTTTTGGATATGTATCACCTTTCTTTTTTGGATAAAGTTTGGCTTTACATGCACCAACTGGAATTTCACTGTAATAGGCTAATTGAGCAAAAAATGTATCTTTCTTGGTATCTTTTGGGAATAATTCATCGAAATAGTGAGCTGGAAATTCAATAGTTGGATTTACAGTCATACAAATCTTCTCGAGCATACCGAGATTGTTAGCGTAAACATTATCCAAATTAATTAAATCACGACCCATTTTGCCTAGAAAACTAAATTGTGTATATATATAAGCTTAGGAGATTTTTTGTTTCTTCAGTACTGCTTTGTTTATTATTTTAACTTCATTTCATTATGTATCAGATTACCTCTTTTAATTAATTGTTGTAACATATTTTTTTTCACTTGAATTTCTGACTAGTTAAATTTACACGGGCATACTGAAGATGTCAAAGAAAACAATGATATTACATGTACTACAATAATGAAAAAAATAGATAATAGATATCATTGCTATTCCTCTTGGTTAATAATGTACAATCGATTTCTTTTATATATTTATATGTTTATTTATCTTAATATCCGTATATATGAAGCGTGTCTAAGTATTTTCTTTTCTTTATTAGGGACTTATGTCAATAACAATGAACCAGGTGTATCTTGATATCAGCTCATTTCGATATCATTTGCTACTGGATCACTTGTATTTAAACCACCACCAATAACTTGTTTACCATCCGAATCTATTCTCATCAATTTCAGAGTACTCATAGAACCAAAACTGTTATTCCATTTCCTTAAGAATTCAACATTTTTAATATCGGTTAAATCTGGGCACAAGAATCCCTTATTGAATTCTTCCATCTCTAGATCTCTTTTACTTTGTAGCATTTGTTGTTTTGTGGTAGGTGGACGATTAGATCTTCTCTTCTTTATTAAGTCGTTTAATTCTTCATCATCTCTCTCTATGAATTGATTAATGAAAATAGCTATCTCTTCAGTAGAAAACGTTGTCTTATTCTTAAAGGAATCTAAATTTATAAGATTTTGGATGTATTTCACACGAGAAAGTTCGTTAGATTTACGTTCATTATGTGCTCTCTTTCTGGTAGCGATCTTCTCCTCACGTAATGTAGCTCTTGTCAAACGTTGGAATTTACGACCCTTTGGATGGATGGTCACTTTACCCTTCTTGGCTAAACCCTTCTTGATCTTGGACAAAGTTTTACTTACTGGCATTGTGTATGTGTTTATAAATAAGTTTACTATATTGTAAAGTACCACAAATATAATAATCTTAATGATCAATTAAATGCCTAGTGATTTTGTGTATGTTCTTCAAATATCTTGGTTAAAAAAAACATTCATCTCATCTCATCGCCTAAATTGAATTCAAAAAAATTTTCAAGACTTTTTTCTTATTTTTTTCTGGTATTTTTCATAATTTGCTAAAGAAGGGACGAACAGTTCTTTTTTTACTATGGCTATATATTACAGGTTTGGATAGAGTATGGATTATAATTAACAGATAGTTCGTAGTTGAGTGATATTAAGTCCAGATTAGATCATCACCGTAGTGTATCCTCTGTATTGTTTTTGTAGCATATGCTGTACAATATGAGCTGACATGACTAAAAGAACTGAATGCATTAAGTGACTCGTTACTATCTTATTAAATTACAACATTCGAAGATAAACAAGTATTATGGATTTTTTTTTTTCAAAAAACCAGAACAGTCTTCTTTATACCACACTTCTTGTTATATAGCAAGTCATTTATTTACCTTCTTCATATGTATTTTTATCTGTAAACCACACTTAAGTAAATGTGATAGAAACAGGGAACTACGAGAAAGTCAAAAAAAAAACCCAAAAAAAAACATTACAGATAACAGTGGTATAACCATTTAAAACTTGATCGATATAAATACATGATTTAGTAGCATAAGCCTATCATTAACTACCAGTGAACTTAAACTATCACAGATATTGAACAAAACAATGAGTTTGTATAAGTTAATTACACCAAAGAAGTTTGTTGAGTTGGTCGCCAAGGAGACAACCCGTAGAGTTGTACCTGTTGACTCCACTTGGTATATGCCAAATCTAAACAAAGATGCTAAAGCAGAATTTTTGAATGTCGAACGTATTCCACATGCAGTCTATTTCGATATCGATGAAATCAAGGATACCAAGTCTCCTTATCCCCATATGGTACCAGACTTGGATACCTTTAATAAAGGAATGAGTAAATTAGGCCTAAAAGAAAATGATATACTTGTAGTCTACGACAGAATTGGTAATTTCAGTGCTCCTAGATGTGCCTGGACAATTGGTTTGTTTGAACATCCAAATGTTTACCTATTGAACAACTTTAATTTATATAAAGAGGCCGGTTATCCTTTAGATACTTCTAAGAAGGAAAATTTTTCAGAATATTCAACATCTGATTACAAAGCTGGTTATAGTTTAGGCATTGATGAAGTTGTTCCTTATGAAAATATGATTTCTTTGGTTCAAAGTGGGGATATAAGATCTAAATACAACGTAGTCGATGCAAGAGCATTGGACAGATTTGAAGGTAAAGTTCCAGAGCCAAGACCTGAAATTCCCTCAGGTCATGTTCCAGGTGCTAATCCATTACCATTTAATGAAATCTTAAATCAAAAAACAAAAGCGTTCCCAGAATCTGCTGAAGAAATGGCTACCTGTATTGATCAAGTCACTAAGAAGTTAGGTTACACTATCGACCCTAAAAAACCAACAATTGCAATGTGTGGTACTGGTGTTACTGGTACTATTATAAAAACAGCACTGGAACATGCGGGATTCAAGATGGTCAGACTTTATGATGGTTCTTGGACTGAATGGGCATTAAGAAGTAATCCAGAATTAATTGCTAAAAACAGAGATTAGAATATATATACTTATTGTATAACAATATATAATGAACTAATGAATAGTAGTCCACATATCAATCCCTTATTCATATATCTCTTGTTGAACTATATTATGTCCCTGCTAGGATCTTTATTAGAGAGGCTTGATCATCTGTTTAATTTTCAACAATATCTTTAATAATTAGGCGATACAAAAAATTTGTTTATTTGTTATAAAAGACCTATAATATGTTCGATAAGTTCGGAAATTAATTCATAAATTTTACATAAACAAAAGAACAAGTTAGTTAGTTTCAGTCAGATATCTATAACTTGATATAAATCAAAATGTCTTTTTTACCTGGGTTGACTGAAGAGGCTCAAGTTCCAGATATATATATCGACGTTAATGAGGTACATACTCAAATTCTTCCCATGGGTACCCTTTGGAAAATAAAAGTACCTTCAGAGTCCAAAATGAGCATAAAAATTCTTACGGGTATTGCGGAAATTTTTGGTACTGAGTTGGCCAACAATATTGAATATAACTTCCAGAATTGGAATTTCACTGTTTATGCTGTCGAGGAAGTCTATCTTGAATGGAAAGGTACTGATCCTCACCCGGCAGTCGAAGGAGAAGATATCATTCCAAATGATTCTGCCAAGAATATATACAATTTACACTTTGCATTAGAAAAAATGAGGAATTCAACGTTTGATGGTCCAAAAGTAATGATTATAGGTAATAAGAGGGCTGGTAAGACAGCTCTGTGTAGAACATTATGTTCATATACAATCAAATTCAAGTCATATCAACCAATGTTCATCAATCTGAACCCTCAGGAGAGTATATTCAGTCCTCCGGGTTGTCTTTCTGCCACACCTATATCTGATATCCTAGATGTTCAGTTACCGATTTGGGGACAGAGCATGACAAGTGGGGCAACAGCATTACATAGTAAACAGCCTTTGTTGAAACTCTTTGGCCTAGAAATGATTCCAGAAAACAGAGAACTATATATGGCAACAGTGAAGATGTTAGCAGAAGATGTAAGTGAACGATTACAAAGAGATGCATTAATACAGAGGTCAGGATGTATAATAAATACCCCACCGTTATCACAATTAGACGATACCTTAAAAGAATTAGTTGAAATTATTCACGATTTTAAAGTCAATCTGGTCATAATGATAGCAGATGAAAGCAATGATGATGACATGGCCCAATTCGAACGAGTATCTCAGGTCATTAAACCATTCGTAGGTGACTTTCTATTAAGGTTACCTCGATTGACTGGAGTAATAGAATCTGATGATACATACGAAAGATCACAACAACGCAATGCAATTAGGGAATATTTTTACGGTAATTCGCACACTGCATTAAGCCCATTTTCTGTTTCAATTGACTATGAAGACTTAGTTTTATGGGAACCAATGAACTTATTAGATCCAGGAAGTAATGAAGTATCAAATACCTCTATTGATAAATTAGAACTGAGACAGGTTCAGATTACACCAAGTGTAATCCAACATGCATTAATATGTATTACATTTGCCGATAAACATGCTAAAGCCAACGATGTGTCTAAATCATCGATATTAGGGTTTGCACTAGTGACTGAAGTTAACGAAAAAAGGAGAAAGGTCCGTATATTAATTCCTGTGCCAGGTAACTTTCCAAATTGTGCCACTTTGTTGACAAGTTACAGGTATTTGGAATAAAGACAATGTATGGACCACACAAGCAGTGTAAAAAAAATCATTCTCCATAAAAGAAGGCATTCATAGAATAAATAATAATTTGTATTCATCAAATAAGATACTAAAATAGTTCTGAGCTTTGGGCCTTTTACAATATTTAAATAAAACTTAAATCTTTAACAAATAGGTTTCTGCATATATGAAATTATTTTGTTCACCACGTCGCTTTGTTAGCAATTTCATAGCCTAGCACTTAATGACCTTTATATAAATGTATACAAAAAAAAAGGTTTAGGTGCCCAAGGAACAAGACACAGACAACTCACCTTAGCCGAATCAAAGACAAGGAAGAAAATAGTAATCAAGAGAGCGAAATAATCGTTTTGTTATCGTATGATATGAACTTTCAAGTAACGGTGTCTCTAACACCCTATGATTTAGCGGTCTTAGTTTTCATTTACTTGCATTGTATCCAAGGAGCCAGTATCCCATGGGAAGTATTTGAAGAGCTCATTGGTCCAACAATCGAATCAAGTTCCTTTGATCCACTTATTAATCGAGATTCTGTCTACAATGGTCTTACTCAACCTTTAATACCCGACTTGGAAGTGATAATTGAACGTCTGTCAAAAATTGAAGGCATGGATAGCATCTTAATGGATTATATCAGTTGCATCACATCTATAAATACATTAGAAACGTTCTATAATATGCTAAAAGCGCTCAATGTGTTGTGTTTAGTGAAAACTTCTAAAGAAATAACAGAGAGAAAGAAGTTTAACCCGTCAGCTAATATTGTGTACTTTACGGAAAGAAGTTTCTTAGGAAAATATGTGGTAAACTCTTTAATGAAGGTTGAAATAGGTGGATTTGAAGATAAGAATCTTTTACTACATTGTTTCAAGAAGTTTGTCTATGAATTCAAACAAGCAAATATATACATGGCTTTCAAACCATCCATCAGGGATATAAGTACATCGTTAATATCATGGGGATTGATATCTAATGAATACAAAGAAGATGAAAAAATGATTGATATATTTAGCAATTTTACTAAAACTTTGGAACGTAGTGAACCTCCAGACCTTACAATTACCACTAATCATTTAGAGAATATTTTAGATTGGTACTTGTACAATTTAATAAATGGTACGGTCACTTTTAAAGATGACCCTTCATACAATTTCGTACAATCGATTATCGATAACATAACGTTGCATAATAAAAGCCTTTTCCCAAGAATTCACATAATACAATATTTGAAGTTCCTAGAAACTAATTCGTATGAAGATGCATTCAGGTCTCTGCACAACTATTTTGATTATGTTCTAAGTCAGAATACAGATGCATATTTTCATATTTCTTCATTATGCTTAGCAGCTTTCTATGTACACTTTCATGATGCAGACCTTGCAATTAAAAGTTTTGACGAAGCAACAAAGGTTGCAAGAGAAAATAGGGATTCAATTACTTTGAATTTAATAATAGTGCGGATAATAAAATTTATTGAAAGTTATCCTGAGCATTCCGCACAATTTAATGTTAAAGTCGAGCAGATAACAAGATTTCTAAAATCTAGTTCGGATTCTATCGATGCGTCAATATTTGAAAATGCATATAGATTTGATTCGGTAACGTTATTTAGACGTCAAGATGATTTGATTTCCATGTTTGAAGCAATTTATAAATATACTGTACTTTCCATGGAACAATTAAAATCAGAAAGAGGTTTAAACAACCTAATGCAGTTCAAAGCAAACTTTTGGAACGAACTTGGGTTTTCATCTCTTGGAAACATATATGACGGCTTTTCTAAACCAAGCGTAGCAGTTGAAGAACTTAATCAAATGTACCAAAGCCTTGAATCGGATAATCTAGATATCGTTAAGCGATATTTGAAGACTACAAATTTTAAACTTCTGAATTACAATGAGCGAATGAGCACAAAGATGTTACAAGTACGGTATCTGAGAATCATTGGAGAGTATGATTTAGCATTAACAATAATTGAAGAATGTTCAAAACAGTGTGTTTCTGTATGCTCTGATTATAGAATGAAAACTAATTTTGAAATTGAAAAATGTCTTTTATTTTTGGATGCAGACCTTGGTAGTAGATGCTTACATCTTGCGACTAACTTGTTAGAGTATAACCAATTAATTCAGAACGGACCAGGTGTTGTTAGATGTGTTTTCATTTTATTCAGAATATTAAAGAGAAATGGTAAGATTGAAGAAGCACATCAATTGTTGGAACAAAATATGGTTAATATCATGCAATATCCCAAATTCAGAGAGCAAGTTTTATCCTATTATAAAGAAAGAAATCTGATTGCTATATCGACATGAGCATTCGATGTGTTGTTTTTTTGTGGTCAGGCATGTGTAGCTGATGGTTCAGATATATCTATATACTCATTAGCATTCAAATAAAAATTAAATATTACAATAATATAGCATAATAGGGATTATCCCTTCAGAAGTACATAATGTATATAAGAACATATAATGTAGCAAGCTATTGAAAAAAGCTTAAGCTGGAAGTAACTAAGCGTCGGTTATGAGTAATTTTTCGCTAATATTTTTTAGGAGCTTTTTAACGTTGGTAAATATGTCTAACCTTAGTTAGTGTTGGTATTGTTGGACCATTGAGCTTGACTAGAAGGTATAGAAGCGGTAGAAGAATCAGCAGTAATAGTCACAAATGACGTAACTGGGTCTGCAGTAATTGTGATGTAACTAGTGACAGGTTCTAAAGTGACATAAACAGTCTTGATATTTGAATCAGAATTGGATGGAGCTGAAGTTGGGGAAGAAGGTTGGTATGTGGAATTAGAGTAACCTTGAGTAATGGTAGAATATAAAGTGGAAGTTAAATAAGTAGTTTCTTCAGAAGAATTAACTACGTCGGTAACTGTAGCTTCCTTATTTTCGACAGTGATTGTAGCTGGAGTTTGAGCAGAAAGGGTGTGTGTTTGGTAAAAAGTAAACGTGACAAAAGAAGTAGTGGTATCATCACTTAGAGTCCATGTGGTAGTTTTAGCTTCGACAGAGGTAACTGGAGCTAAAGTAGTGGTAGTTTTATCTTCTGGTGCAGCGTATGTAGCAGTTTCATTGTTGAATGCGGCTAATGCTGAAGCACATATTGAGAGAAGTGTAATTGACTTAGAAAGTAGCATTTTAAAAATTGAGTTTAAATGATATATTAAAGGTATAATAAAAAGTAAAAAATAAGGAATGGACGAGACCTAAATAGAGTGGCTCAATGGAATTATTGGTTTTATATTATACTGATAATAACTTTGGTATGCTGTCTTTTAAATACAAATCAAGAAGAAAAGTATATGAAGAGAGAAAAGAAGCTCTAAATTTAAATACTTGCAAAATGGTAGAAATCATGGAGGTTCCATAAAAATAGAATCTCACAATGCAACATATCCATGTGTATATATATCATATGGTATTTTTGGAAGAAACCAAAGTTTCAACAGATTTTTTTAAAAAAAAATATTTTTAAATAAAACTTTTTAACCTCTATTGTTTTGATTTACGCTATATTTACAACAAACATCATGATTGTTATGGCAAGATACAACTGTAGGGGCTTGTAAAGTGAATGCGGGATCGATTGAATTTTTAGTGCTTTAAAATGGTTGAGCTACTATATCATCAAGTGTTGAAATACTTTAAAATTGAATTTTTAAATTATTCCATACTAATCGAGGGATAAAAGAACAGGAATGAGAATCAAACTACGGTATAATTGTAAAACAAAATAGAGGAAGCAAATAATCGCCTCCAATCTTATAATGTCGATTCTGCGTCATTAAAGTCTCCTATTCCTTTCCATCCTAGGAATTAAAGGCTTTCGGTTCAATGATTCCGGTGAGCTACATGCTTATGTAGCCATCGCTACCGTGATTGACAACTATTGTAACAGTATTTGTCATTGTTATTTAAAACAGTGACATTTGATGTGGCGTGTTCTGAATGGCTCTCACATTGAAACCGAGTAGTTATTTAAAGAGAAACTCTCAAACGCGAAATGTGAATCTTAAGACTCCAGAGCGTGTCTTTTCTGCTACTTTTGGAGTCCTCTGATTTTGTGTGGTGTATTCTTCAGTTCGCGCCGCATCGCGAAATAATATCTTTCAGTTTCGTACGGTAGAGTCTTCTTGATGTCAAATTCTTAATTAAACTATGTAGGCAAGTCACTAAATATATTGATGAAAAGGTTGTATTTTTGATTAATTATTCAATAACTATTTGAAATAAACAACGACATGTTTGAGATATATCACACTATTTCATTATAAGAACACTGAATTCTCTTAGAAGTATGAAAGTCTAAGTTATATTTATTGATGTTGTATGAAATTCGTAATCAAAAAGGTTGAGAACCAACGGAGAGAACATTCAAATAGACGTAGCTGTACTTGGTAGGAGCGTTTGTTGATTCCAATACATAAATCAAACTATTAGATTATAGTTATCTGTTAACATAATTACTTGGTTGTTCAAAAAATTTTACTTTAAAAACCAGTGAGGAAAATAGTGAGGTAGTTTACTTGGCATGACGGCATTATATTTTTAGCCGTTGATGTATTTTTTTACACCTTGCTTTATAGAATGGGAAAACAAAAGTTTTTATTGTGCTTGTTTTCATGTTTGGTTACGTAGATTCTGTTAGATAGTTATACAGTATATGCGAAGTGTGTTACAAAACTCAGAAAAGGTCAATTAAGTATAATACTAATGTTGTCTCGTTGTTGTTACCTTGTTCTTTTCTTTTTTCCTCAAACATTTTTTGCTATAGTCTAGAAAAATTTTGTCGCAATTTTCTTGAGGTTTGATTCATCTTCAGTTAGGGTCGCTTCTGTTTTTGTAAGGTTCAATATCATACCAGCAATAAACTTACCGTTGTTAAGTACACTTTCAACTCCGTTCTCTTTCCTATCCTTCATATCCAAGATTGTAGTTAGGATTGTAGCTAGTCCATCAGATTGTTTCTCAAATAGATGGTTATTAGAAGTAGCCCCAAGGTTACAGTTCTTCAAATAAATACCTATGGTCTTGGTAATTTGGAATAATATGTCAATAGTTAGTCCTTCATTGGAATTGATTGAGTCTTGGAAACTAAATACTGATCCCCATAGTTTTACTAAAATAGCTTCGTTTGTGGTATTCCTGGATACTAATAGTTTATCTAGCACCAGACACGCAATGAGTGATCCAGAGTTTAATGTAATGTCTAACGTTGCGATTGATGTGTCATTACCATTTACTAAAGAGTAGATGGAACTACTTGGTAAGACAGCAACTAACTTTTTAAAAAGATTCAATAATAGTGGGAGTAAACTTTGAAAATATTTGGTTTGATCATAGCACACTTTTAACGTTATGATGAGTTTACTTAGAGTATCTACGGATAAACACATTGCATTGGATGTATTCAATAATTTTCTTAAAAGATCTAGGAATCCTGAGAATTGCATAGGATCTGTCAGTTTCCCCGTTGTGCTCTCAATTATGCTTTCAATATTTAAGCGCTCTAGTAATTCATCAACATCTGATCTGGAATTGATGGAATTTGATAAGATTACAAACGATGCCGCCAACGAGTATCCATTTGCGGGGTCTTTTATAATATTAATGCACATATTACGGTCATTCTTATTGGAAACTCCTTCATTAGCTGAAATGAAACCAACAATAGACACAAGACGTCTCATAGTTATCATTTTATTTTGAAATTCTTTCTTCCCCAGTTTGTTCAACGCCTGGAGTAGCGCATTTTGTGTAAGAGAGACAGTATCATCTAAACCCTTATATTTTATATCATCTTGGTCATTTTTTGTAACGATGACCTCTAGACTCTGTACAATATTGTATAATAATTCTACATTGGGATCTTCTTCAATTTCATTTTCATGATCCTTTTCTTGAGAAATAACTATATCATCTGGTACAGTGTTGGCAACAAGAGAAACCGTTTGAGCAAAGAATAAAATATCCTCAATTGTGAAACCATCAGAATATACTTCAATTAGTTCTTCTAGTAATTCAGAGCTTAATACCACAGTCTCGATATCATCTAAGAACACATGTCTACTATTCTTGAGTAAAGTGAATAAGGGGCCTCTAACATATGTTGCTACCCTCTTGTAGTAAGCTTCGTTATCTAAACATAGATTTCTTATTAATATTATTGTTTTTGTCTGTAAAGATGAAAGTAATTCTTCCTCAGCACCATTTGGTAAGTCCATTAAACTCAATATTCTACCGACATAATAGTCAATCATTACATTCCTCTTGGAAAGATCACTTTCTGTAGGTTTCCCGATAAATATTTCTCTGTTAGCATCATTATCTACTAAAGCATTTGCGATACATCTAATCAATTCATTGGCTAATTTAAAGTATGCTATCTTGTTATTGTTCAATGTCTCCTCTTTGAATCCCATATCTAAGATAACGGAAAGGACCCTCAGTAGATTAGAAAGCAGACCGGTTTGTCCTACGATATCTCTATTTGAAGGAGATCTCAAGCTAACTGCCAATTGGTCCAATACAGTTAAATAACTGTCTAAGTAAACAGTTTGTAACGGAACATCGGTAATCGATTGTGCATTTAGTAATGGTTGCAAGCCAAAAAGTATATCTTCGTAGTTCATTGGCTCTTTATTTGTTTTATAAATTCAAAATGGACAAATTAAGAAGTTTATCTTCTGAATTGTTCAAATCTTTCAAGAAGAAACATAGAATGGATATATTTCTTTATATAGTTTGTAATTGATAAATGAGTGGCTTAAGATTATTAGTAAAGGTTTCATCTCATCCACAATTCGGCTTATGTAAGGCGACGCACAATAATTTTTCAGGCTGACAGGAAAAACTACGCAGTACCAGTGGTTCAAAATAAAGAATAATTAATTATGTCTATTTTAACGCTAGAAAGATAGTAATATGGCAATTTTAATTTAGTGTACCATTATAAATGTATTGTATCAATTTGGAATAGTTTCTAGATATATGAGATGATACATCTATGATTGATATCCTTTAAATAGATCGATATATATATAATACGATGTGTCAACGTCCTTACTTAACTAATTCGTTTCATGGCATGATACCAATTTCAATTAATAAATATTGTTCTCTCCGTAGTGTGTAAGAGTATAGATATGTATTATTAATAAAGTAGGTTTATTATATTTATTCAAAAATACATAGTCTCTTCCCCCAGGTTTATTAAAATTTGACTTCTCTTGCAGTACTGAATGGGCCAAACTGAAAAATTTGTTCATAGCGACAAGGAAAAAGCAAACAGCGGAGGGAAAAAGCAGCAGCAATAACATAATGCATTGTTTGTTTTTAATTTATGGCTTTTCATATGGAGATGAAGGCATCTCTTTCAATATTTTAAATCAATTCTTATTTTAAAATTTTGATAATATTTTTGCAATTTGTATTTTATTTATTGAAGCCAATAATACGATTTCTTCTAAAAACTAAACGTACTTCTCACCATACTATATATCAAATAAGAAGGAAAAAAAAAGTAAGAATCTCCATGCTAAACCCTGACGATTTACCATTCTTCGACCCTACAAAGACTGAAAAGATTGCTGTGGTGACGGGTGGTCACAGTGGGATTGGATACTACACAACATTGCACTTATTTATGCATGGTTTTACAATATATATATGTGGGAGAAATTCACATAAAGTACATAAGGCAATGCGAACAATAATAGACGAGGCTACAGACCGTACCAATACATTACAATTAGATATAAGAAATGAAAGGCGATCTTTCTTTGGCTCAATACATTATATACATATTGATTTAACGGATTTGAAAAGTGTAGAACGTGCTACATTAAAATTACAAAGAAGCGTAACCCATATTGATGTGTTGATAAATAATGCGGGTATTATGGCAGTACCTTATCAATTAACGAAAGATGGATTTGAAACTCAATTACAAACAAATTATATATCACATTTCTTATTTACAATGCGGCTGTTACCATTATTGAAAGAATGTAATGGAAGAGTAATATCATTATCCTCCTTGGGTCATCTTTTAGAGTTCAAATATTGGAAATTAAGTGAAAAATGGAATATTTGGCCTGATATAATATTTACGTGGTTTAGATATGCGATTTCTAAGACATCTCTTATTCAATTTACTAAAATGTTGGCTATTAAAAACCCTGATATATTATGTATTTCACTACATCCAGGTCTAGTAATGAATACGAATTTATTCAGTTATTGGACTAGATTACCTTTAATAGGTATATTCTTTTGGGTATTATTCCAAGTAATTGGCTTCTTTTTCGGTGTATCTAATGAGCAAGGTTCATTAGCTACATTAAAATGCGCATTGAGTAATAATATGTCTACTGAAAATGATAATGGTAAATATTACACAACTGGTGGTATAGAATCTAAGAGTAGCTACATTGCAAATAATCTCGATGATGCAGCATCAACATGGATATGGACGGTCCACCAATTAAAGGATAGAGGATATAAAATATAAGAATATCTCACCTCATCTTAAATTTTTGTAACAATATAGATCATTAAGTAAATAATAGCTTAATAAAACTGAGAAACTAACATCGTGAGAAATTGATATAAATTTTCAAAAGTACTCACCTAATAAGTTATGTCGGTGTTAGAGGTAGGCATCGCTGGAAGTAAAACAAGACATGCGAAGTATTCGAATAACAGAAAAATTGAATTCTGTTTTTTCTGGTTTCGTGTTATATATTTTCAGTAATTTTTTTGAAGAAATTCTCGAGATTTACAGCAAAATTAATAAATTGGTATACATTGTTGAAAAGACTGGTTGTGAAATCTACGAACAGATAAAAGTGCAACACTTGCTTAAATGGTATTCCTCTTTAAGATATCCGAATTTTCATAAGTATCTTTTTCTCCTTTCAAAATTGCCATCTTTACAAGTCCTTGTTTCAAACAGCTTTGAGAAGATTTACCTGTTCATAGTCTATATTTCTACCGAATGATTTTACAATGCCTAGATTTTTAAATTGTTCATCGCTCAGTCTGGCACGTCTTTTATGAAAGATCCCAGAGGCGACACTAAACGATTTTTCTGCATGGACAGATGTAGCAGGAACAGTATTGATCAAATATTGACATGACTCATCAATGGTGACGTAGTTTCGTACTGTTTCCAACACAAGAAGTTCTCCCTTAGTGGCAGGAGCCATCAAGCAGTACTGGTATAAGAATAACAAGACGTTCTAGTGATTCTATTGCAGATAGGCAGCGAGTTTTACAATAGGATAATGGACCTTCTACACTCGATGAAAGAGTTGTTTTGTATTTTTCGAGAAGTGTTTCAAAAACATTTTTTTGTGAGATATGGCAATCTTATTGCACACAATGTTATTTTATTCCAATAACTTGTCGCCAGTCACGTATTTAACAAGTACACTGTCGGTTGCAAGTTTGTCGAAATATTTCGCTCATGATGAGCTCCCCTAAGTCCCTGAAATCATTATCCAACTCCAGATCAAAAGATTCTTCAGCCGATTCTAATGGATTATCCAAATCTTCCCTATTTTGGAGGATCATTTTCCGTGACCCCTCAGATATCTCGTGATACAATACTTCACTGGATTGACGTATTGTACCTTTTGGTTTTTCAAATAAAAGGGTGTTAGTGATGTTTGTCGAATGTAATAAACATCGAATGTGTCCTAAACACTGAGGACTTATTGACTCATTGGCCATTAAGTCTTCCCCTACCTTCAGCGTATTTGAGTCATTGTCAGTAGACATACCAATAGGAAAATCTTGTAGAGTTGATAATAATCTAAAATAAACCCCTAAAAATTGCGTTTCAATTACTACCATAGTATGTGAATTAATTTTTGGAATGTCAATTAGAAAGGGAATTATGTTTTTTTGTTTACTGCATTACTAAAAAAGCCAATCTAAGCTCTAGCGAAAAATTGAGTATTTAGAATGATTTATTTTCAGAGTAACTACTATATTCCCTCTGTTTATATCAAGATCAGAATTATAATAGGGATAATACTAAATAGAATGTATCTCATGAAGAATTGATAATATAACCCATCTAGTATTGTACATTATTCAAGATATTTGTGTGATAGAAAATAAGTATATGTCGTTTTGGTACTTTTTTCGAGGTAATTAAGTTATCTTTTACTTACTTCCTTTAAAGACAACCATACGGGATATTATGATCATTTCTTTATGTAAGAAGAGAACATTGAAGTTCCCTCACACTATATATATGCATATATATATATATATAATAATGATATGAACTGCAAATTTTCACTCAAATATTTTTTGTGTTATTATTAGATAGTATAGACTAAAATATTGCAATGGATATTCCAATTGCCATCGAAACGAAATTTTAGCAATGAGTGTTTCTCAAGTTAAATTCCTTACCAATCTCTAACTGTGCGGTGACGGGCTTTGATCTCTTCCTCACTTTACGTTTTGGCTGCTCCGAACGTTTGATTATCTAATAGTGGCCGGAAAAAAGTAAGTAATTTCTTTCTTTTTCGCTGCGTCTTCTCCTGGCAGCGAACAAAAACAATAGCGGAGACGGGCTCACTTTACTTAACGATTTTTGGCCGTGAATAAATTTGGTGACAAAAGAAAAAAATTTTCATCTTTCAATGAGAGAAAATAGGCTGGAAGAAAGTAACTGAAACAGTAGTGGATCTCTTACTCTCTCTCTATCTCCTCAAGAAACTATCTCGAAGAGGATTACTCACAAGGGCAATATTGACAGCAGCAATTGCAAAGGAAATTCAACTGTGTTTCTTTCTTTTTCATTTTTCACTTCTTTTATATATATCTTGACTAGTCGCAATAACTGTTCTATAAATTACCTTATAACTTGTTAATTTAATTTTAAGTATATTTCGTTTCCATTTAAACGATAAAATAACTGATAAATCATACTATACACTGATCTACACCCATCATGTCTACTGAGGCCAGTGGTTTAGTGCTAGAAAATACATCTCGTAGAGATGCTTTGATTGCCATTGAGAAGAAATATCAAAAGATTTGGGCTGAAGAACATCAATTTGAATTAGATGCACCATCTATCGATGATGAACCAGTCACTATGGACTCTGAGGAATTACAACGTAAATATCCAAAATTTATGTCTTCTATGGCATACCCATACATGAACGGTGTATTACATGCCGGTCATTGTTTCACTTTATCTAAAGTTGAATTCTCTGTCGGTTTCGAAAGAATGAACGGTAAGAGAGCTTTATTCCCATTAGGTTTCCATTGTACTGGTATGCCTATCTTAGCTTGTGCCGATAAATTAAAGAGAGAAGCCGAATTATTCGGTACTGACTATAGTAATGTCCCAGTTGAAGATGCTGAAGAAGAAGCTAAACCAGAAGTCAAAGAAGAAGCTGTTGATCCAACTAAGTTCAAAGCTAAGAAATCTAAGGCTCAAGCAAAGAAAGGTCGTGGTAAGTACCAATATGAAATCATGATGCAATTAGGTATTGCTAGAGAAGATGTTATCAAGTTCGCTGACGCTCAATACTGGTTAACTTATTTCCCACCTCTATGTCAAGATGATTGTACTTCCATTGGTGCCCGTGTTGATTGGAGACGTTCTTATATCACTACTGATGCCAACCCATACTACGATGCCTTCATTAGATGGCAAATGAACAGATTAAAGGGCCTAGGTAAGATTAAGTTCGGTGAACGTTACACTATTTACTCCGAAAGGGATGGTCAGCCATGTATGGATCATGATAGACAATCCGGTGAAGGTGTTGCCCCACAAGAATATGTTGGTATCAAGATCGAAGCCACTGAATTTGCTAAGGATGCTCAAGAATTATTAGACGGTTGTTCTGCGATTGACAAATCCAAGAAGCTTTACTTTATTGCTGCTACTTTGAGACCAGAAACTATGTACGGTCAAACTTGTTGTTTTGTTTCTCCAACAATTGATTATGGTATCTTTGATAACGGTGACTCTTACTACATTACTACTAAGCGTGCCTTTAAGAATATGTCCTTCCAAAAGCTTACTCCAACTAGAGGTGCCTATGAACCTCTCTTGACTATTCCAGGTAAGGCCTTTATCGGTTCTAAGATTGATGCTCCATTATCTGTCCATAAAGATCTAAGAATTCTACCTATGGAAACTGTTATTGCCACTAAGGGTACCGGTGTTGTTACTTGTGTTCCAAGTAACTCTCCAGATGATTACATTACTACTAAGGATTTAGCTCATAAGCCAGAATACTATGGTATTGATCCATCTTGGTTAAAGCCACTTGATGAACTAGTTCCATTAATCAAATCTCAAAAGCATGGTGATCTTATTGCTAAGTCCCTTGTTGAAGAACTGAAGATTCAATCTCCAAAGGACAAGAACGCTCTAGCTGAAGCTAAGAAGATTGCTTACAAAGAAGATTACTATGGTGGTGTAATGGTTTACGGTCCATTTACCGGTGAAAAGGTTGAAGTTGCTAAGAACAAGGTCAAGGCTCAAATGCTTGCTGATGGTCACTGTTTTGTTTACAATGAACCTGAAGGTGTTGTTATGTCCCGTTCTGGTGATGAATGTATTGTCTCCCTAGAGGACCAATGGTACTTGGACTACGGTGAAGAAAACTGGAAGGCTGAAGCTCTAGAATGTCTAGAAGGTATGGAAGTCTTTGCTCCTGAAGTTAAGAATGCCTTCGAAGGTGTTTTAGACTGGTTGAAGAACTGGGCTGTCTCCCGTTCCTATGGTCTAGGTACTAAGATCCCATGGGATCCAAAGTACTTAGTTGAATCTCTATCTGATTCCACCATCTACCAATGTTTCTACACAATTGCACATCTATTATTCAAGGATTATTATGGTAAGGAAATTGGTCCTCTAAATATTAGTGCTGATCAAATGACTGACGAAGTCTTTGACTATATATTCCAACACACTGATGATGTTAAAACCGATATTCCAATTAGATCTCTACAGATCTTGAGAAGAGAATTCGAATACTTCTACCCATTAGATGTTTCTATCTCTGGTAAAGATTTGATCGGTAATCATTTAACTTTCTTCATTTACAACCATGTCGCTTTGTTCCCAAAGAAGTTCTGGCCAAAGGGTATTAGAGCCAACGGTCACTTAATGTTGAACAATGCTAAGATGTCTAAGTCTACTGGTAACTTCATGACTCTAAAGCAAATTGTTGAAAAGTTTGGTGCTGATGCTTCCCGTATTGCTCTTGCTGATGCTGGTGATAGTGTCGAAGATGCTAATTTTGAAGAATCTAGTGCTAACGCTGCCATTTTGAGATTGTTCAATCTAAAGGAATGGGCTGAGGATATCATTAAGAACCAAGATAAATTAAGAACTGGTCCAATTACAGATTTCTTCGATGTTTCTTTCGAGAATGAAATGAATGCTTTGATTGAAAAGACTCATGAACAATATTCTTTGACTAACTATAAGAATGCTTTAAAGTATGGTCTGTTTGATTTCCAAACTGCAAGAGATTATTACCGTGACTCTTGTGAAACTATGCATAAGGATTTGGTTCTACGTTATATTGAATTCCAAGCTTTAGCCTTGGCTCCAATTACTCCACATTTCTGTGAATACATTTATCGTGAAGTTCTAGGAAAAGCTGGATCTGTTCAAAACACTGCTTTCCCACGTGCTTCCAAGCCAGTTGACATGAAAGCTCTTGCTGCTTTGACTTATGTCAGAGATTTACAAAGATCTATTAGAGAAGCTGAAGGTCAAGCTCTAAAGAAGAAGAAGGGTAAGACTGCAGACGTTGATGCTACTAAGCCAATTAAGCTAAGTATTTTGATCTCTGAGGACTTCCCAGAATGGCAATCTGACTGTGTTGAAGTTGTTAGAAAGCTATTCGAAGAGCACAGTCTAGACGACAACAAGAAGGTCAGAGAACACATTAATCCAAAGGAAATGAAGAGAGCTATGCCATTTATTAATTTGTTGAAGCAACGTCTAGCCGTTGAACCAGCTGAAGATGTTTTATCCAGAGAAATTCACTTCAATGAAAATGATACTGTTAAATCAACCATTGAATCTTTGAAGTCTGCTAGTCAAACTTTGAAACCAACCGAATTCTCTATAATATCCTTCGCTCAAGGTGCTAAGACTGGTAAGGATATATTTACCGGCGCTGAAGTTGAGTTAACTCAACCAGCCAGAGTCATTGACCGTGCTTTACCAGGTAACCCAGGTGTTATCTTTAGTAACATCTAAGCAGGTGGTATTTTGTCTGAATAATTTCTATTCCATAATACACCTATGTAATAATGTTTAGTTGTAAATTTATACGCGCAAAAAAATAAAAATAAAGTAATAAGAATTAAAAATATATCACTATGTTTCCATTATTGGATATGAATTTTAATATAATGTGTAATTTTGTTTGTTAGAATATATATGTGTGTTTGACTATGTATGAATAATTATTTAATTATGTAGAGATGCACAAAATGAAGTCACTCATGGGTGTGGATATATTTTCATAATAATTGTTTTTCTCACAAATTCTAATATTATATGCAGTAGCTACTGTTGCAGATTAGATTTGAAGAATGTTGAGAAATAAAACAAGGAAGAGGAAAATAAATGCTGCGTAAATCGTCGTGAATCAACGTTAAAAGAATGGATGTAACATGAATGTGTTTACTTTTTTACCTAAAATTTCATCGAATTTTAGAAATCTAAGAATTTGAAGGAAGACCCATTTTTTCAAATAGAACATTACCACTTGCTAAGTGTCTAAAGTTTTGTAATAAAGAACCATCTGAGTGTAAGTCCTTAATATCTTTCTTTATATTTGTATTTATTACAGAGACACTGTTAATAAACAAATAAGGTAATTTTTGAGTAGAAGTTGCAGCTAACTTTGTAGTTTGAATGTAATCTTGCAATTTATCACCGTTAGAATGTTGATCCAAATCGACAATAGAAATTTCTGGAGAAATTTCATATTCTTTTAATAATAAATTTTTCAAATATTGTGAATCTTGTTCTGTAGATCTAATAAATAAAACTACAGGAGAAGTATTCAAAATTTCTTTAAAATTAACCTCTGGATTAAAAATCTTTGATGGTAATGAAGTTTGTGCAGTGTGAGGAGATAAGATAGTAGTTTTCCTTTCATGTGAAATTTCGCCTCTAATTGTCGATATTTGTTCTTCAACTTTCTTTGAATTTAATTTACTTTCATCTTGAGAGGCTTTGTCACCCATAGAGTATTTATCCTCGGTTATTAAGCCCACTTTGGTTACAGTAGTGGTTGATTCAGAAGTACCTGTATGATAATTTGACGTTTCCATTTCAGTATTGGTAGGTTTTTCATTTTGAAGAAAGCCAAAAGTTGAATCTTCTGAATAATCATTCCATGTTACGAACAAAAATGCAAATATACCTAGCATAACTAAAGCAGCTGTAATCAATCTATTATGTCTAGATCTTTGAGTATGTAACATCTTGTTGTTCTTATTATTTGATACCATCATTATTATATTATTGTTATTTTTTTTGCTTTTCTAATTGCTGTTTATTTATTTATTTATATATTTATTTTCTCTTGTCCTATCTTAATAAAGGGTGTCCTACTTAATTGTATAATAATGAAAACAAAAAAGACTTATATCCTAACATATTTTGGGAAAGTAACATGTCAGTAACATCAAGACAATTCCACGATACATAAATATACTTCTTATATATATATTTACATAAACAATCAACAATAATTATGGGAATAGAAAAGTGTGCCAAAGTCTATTCAGTTCCCATTTAGAGATCATCATAAAGTGAATATCTTCCTATTTGGTACGAAACTTTAACGAAAAGAGTTAAGATAAAGTTAAACGGTTGAATCTGTAAAAATTACCAAATTATTGACCCTTTAATGTTTCTATATTATTTTAACCTTTTACTTTTAACGACTGAAGATTTACGGAGAGATGCACAGTAAAGGTGTGAGCGATAATATTCAAGTTAAAAGAGAGAGAATGAAATCTATAAAGATTTCCGCGTTTTATTACAAATATTTGTTTTCTGTAATTTTACTACTGTAAAAATAGTCGTAAATTTCAATTTGTCATATATTAAATGCCAGCAATACTATTTAGTTCATATCTCCTTTCTTCCGTCCTTAGAATATTTACTTATCTAATATTTTTGGATGACATTACAATTGTTTATACGTTATATTGCTGCAAATGAATAATATTTCAAAGGGTAAGAAAACTACGTAGAAAGGGCGAAAGAAAGAAAACGAGATGTTCCATTTAATCATTCCTCGAACGAAATACATATACATTTTTCTTTAAAAGAACAAGAAGTGAAGAGTTTCGAGATGAGGCAGTGCTAGTACAAAATTGAAGTATAATGTATTGGAAAATAGGATTTGCGCAGCAGTACGTACAATTGATTAGTTTTTCTCTCTCTTATAATTATTCTTTTCAATTGATAAAAAAACGCGAAGAGAACGAATTTCATTTGGAAAACCTGCGAAGAAAAAAAAAAATGAGTGTTTATTCATTTTCAATACGAAGAAAAGGCATGTAAAATCTATAAGTAAAATTTCTACATTTAACAAGTGTCCAAGCAATGAAGAATTGTTCGTACAAGGGCATCCAATACACAAACGTATCGGAAGGAACTTAAAACACGTTGTTAATAATAGATTGTACAGAATATATTTAGTAGAGAAAAATAAATTCTGTATCTATTTCTTCCGAAATGAAATTGAAAAACCAATGAAGATATTGGGGCAAAGCCCTCATTAAATTATCCATAATGCGGTAACGTACTTCAAAAAAGAGTATTTCCCGAAGGTAAATCGGCAATGATTCTAATGAAATAATTAAAATGAATAAAGTTTGATCTACGTTCGTCTCGTCTTCCTTTTTTTCTTTCCGAGTTCCAGGTTGCTACGTCGTTTAAAGAGAGAAAAAAAATCAAATATGCTTGCCATGCGCTTTTTCTCGTTCGTAGAATGTGAGAATACATATTTTCCACAGAAATAAACTGAGAAAGGCTACATATTTAGTTGCCTAATTAATAACTAAAATGGAAAGTACTCTTGATCTCCTTAAGTATTTACTAAATAGGTAAAAATGAGCCACGATTGATGTAATAATTTTTCCATATTTAATTTTTTACGTGATTGGTTTCAATTCAGTTTCGCATTTTAATACCTTTATTAAACTGCTAAGCTAATAAAACAGTCATCAAAAAGAAATATTAGTTGATCGTTATAGAAAGAAGAATAAGAAAAAGGCTAATTTCAGAAAAAAATCTTAATCTTGTTTTACGAAGATGTTTGAACAACACCCTTATAATAAGATAGTTATTTGTACTGGGTCTAACTCCATCTTGTTATAACTGTTGTCTGGAAACAGACCTAGTACAAATCTAAAACGTGAAAAAGTTTAATGATTCTAACGAACTTTCATATATGAACAATATCAACATTTATCGGGAATAAAGGTGAACTACATTGGAAGCATATCAACGAGAAAGTCTATGAGATGATAATGAAGAAATTTATATATATAGTTCCGATCTACTTTTTGATTACAATTAGAAATAGGAGTTACTACTTTTAAATATTTTAATTTATGGCTACTATTTAGAAGGGTATATGCACCAGGCCAAATCAATAAAGAAAACCCCCTTGAAGGACTTTCTTTAATGAAAATGATAACGTATAAATAGCCTCTTTCAAATGTAACCCACATGTAGCTTGATGTCAGCGGCTAGCACATCTAATTTTTCATAAAATAAACTAGGGTTAGGTATATTAACCCTACTTTTCTGAGTACAAGCTATTTTAGTTCATATTCTGTTTTGTGCTTCTTTAGTCCCCCCCCCACACAAATTTTGTTACCGCCCCGCGCTCTCTGTTTCTTCTACCCTTAATTTTTAAGAGAGGAAAAAGGGGGGGCACTGAAATTTGCTTTACTTTGTCAACGCTCATTGGTCCAATATTCTAATACAAGATGCAACGGTTCATATAGTAATACAAGTTTGTAGTTATTGTTCAGGACTACTTTATGTATATGTAGTGGGGCAGAATTCCGATTTATCGGTGTTTATCAACGGTAATACATATTACTTCGGCCCAGCGGGTAGAACTATTCTTAGACTAAGTTTATAAAATCATAACTCGTCTCTATCAAAGTAAGAAATAACAGGATTTTAATATCTTGTACCCTTTCAACTTTAATAGACTAGCAACAATCGGTAATTGAAAAGAGTAGGAAAAGTGACACTTTTTGTTATAATATCTCAATTACGATCCTTCTGTAATATCATTATATCTAAAGTGGCACAAGTAATCAATAAGATAGTTGATAGATACAATATAGTATATATACAGAGATAGAGGGGGGATTGTTATAACTTGTGTAACAGTTTGACTTGTATCTATTACTGTTTTCTATTACCTATGCTTGCTTAATCTCTCGACCAATAATATACAATCCTTTATATACAATTTTGTCTTGGTTTTTCTCGCCTTTGTAAAAAATGTATGGCCGCATTACTTGCATTGGTCGTTAATTTTCAAAATAAGTAAAGAGACCGAAGGGAAGGGAGAAATAGTTATAGCGAGAGAAAAAAGGATATTTGAATATTGTATATTAATGATAATGGGTAACTCCGCAGAACGTGTTGTATGATTTTTACTTGATTCCATAGAGACTGTGATATATATATGCATCTGTTTCTTTTAATCATTTATATATAAAGAAGTTATACTCATTATTATTATTATTATTATTATTATTATTATTATTAAGTTTAATATTTAAGAAGTTTTAGGGAAAGGGTTTATATACATTTTAAGACTAGGTTATTCTTTTTTTTTTTTGTTATTGTTGTTAAACTGAAAAAATAGAGGAAAAAAAAGTAAATATAAATATACAACTTACTTTTTTGTTAATATTCTAAAACATACATATAACTTAACATATACAATCAATAATGTTAAGAGCAATATCGTCAAAGACTGGCTCAAGGTCATTGATGAAAAATGTTCTACTTAAAAGAACATCAACTATTCCATATTTAACTTCACAGAAAAGATCTATTGTTACTGGTACAGATAATTTTTTATCAACTTCAAATGCTCAATATATTGATGAAATGTTTGAAGCTTGGCAAAAGGATCCATCTTCTGTTCATGTTTCATGGAATGCATATTTTAAAAATTTAAAAAATAATACAGGTGCACCTGCTTCAACAGCTTTTCAAGCTCCACCAATTTTAATTGGTACCCCACAAGGTACACAATCAAATCCATTAGGTGTAAATTCTTCAAGTAATGGTGTTGATAGTAATGTGAATTTACATTTAAAAGTACAACTATTATGTAGAGCTTATCAAGTTAGAGGTCATTTGAAAGCCCATATTGATCCTCTAAAAATTTCATTTGGTGATGATCAAGTTAAACCAACACCACCTGAATTAACTATCGAGTATTATGGTTTTACTAAAAATGATTTAGATAGAGAAATTACGTTAGGACCAGGTATTTTACCAAGATTCGCCAAGAATGGCAAAAGTACAATGACTTTAGGTAATATTATCAAAGAATTAGAATCATTATATTGTAAATCTTATGGTATTCAATATACTCATATCCCTTCAAAAGTTAAATGTGAATGGTTAAGAGATAGAATTGAAATTCCAGATCCTTATAAATATACTATTGATCAAAAGAGACAAATTTTAGATAGATTAATTTGGAGTACTTCATTTGAAAGTTTCTTATCAACTAAATTTCCAAATGATAAAAGATTTGGTCTTGAAGGTTTAGAAGCTGTTGTCCCAGGTATTAAAACATTAATTGATCGTTCTGTTGAATTGGGTGTTGAAGATGTTGTTTTAGGGATGGCTCATCGTGGTAGATTAAATGTCTTGTCTAATGTGGTTCGTAAACCAAATGAATCTATTTTCGCTGAATTCAAAGGTTCAACTAATCAAGATACAATTGAAGGTTCTGGTGATGTTAAATATCATTTAGGTATGAATTATCAAAGACCAACTACTTCAGGAAAATATGTTAATTTATCTCTTGTGGCTAATCCATCTCATTTGGAAGCACAAGATCCAGTGGTCCTAGGTAGAACAAGAGCTTTACTACATGATAAAAATGATCTTGTTGAAAAAACAAAGGCTTTAGGTGTTTTATTACATGGTGATGCTGCATTTGCAGGTCAAGGTGTTGTCTATGAAACTATGGGATTCTTAACTTTACCTGAATATTCAACCGGTGGTACTATTCACGTTATCACTAACAATCAAATTGGTTTCACTACTGATCCAAGATTTTCTAGATCTACTCCATATCCATCTGATTTAGCAAAGGCTATCGATGCTCCAATTTTCCATTGTAATGCTAATGATATTGAAGCAGTTACATATATCTTCCATTTAGCCGCAGAATGGAGAGCTACTTTCCATACTGATGCTATCATTGATATTGTCGGTTGGAGAAAACATGGTCATAATGAGACTGATCAACCCGCTTTTACACAACCTTTAATGTATCAAAAGATTGCACAACAAGAAAATGTTATCGACACTTATACCGATAAGTTGATCAAAGAAGGTTCCTTCACAAAGAAAGATATTGATGAACACAAGAAATGGGTTTGGGGTCTGTTCGAAGATGCTTTTGAAAAGGCTAAAGAATACGTTCCAACTCAAAGAGAATGGTTAACAGCTGCTTGGGAAGGTTTCAAATCTCCAAAGGAATTGGCTACTGAGATCTTACCTCATGAGCCAACCAATGTTGATGAAACAACATTGAAGAGTATTGGTAAAACCATTTCATCATGGCCTGAAAACTTCGATGTTCACAGAAACTTGAAGAGAATCTTGAATAACAGAGGGAAGACTATCGAAACAGGTGAAGGTATCGATTGGGCTACTGGTGAAGCTTTGGCATACGGTACTTTGATGCTTGAAGGTAACCATGTTAGAGTATCTGGTGAAGATGTTGAAAGAGGTACTTTCTCTCAACGTCATGCAGTTCTACATGATCAGAAATCAGAGGCAACTTATACACCATTGAAGCATTTAGATCCAAAACAATCAGATTTCACCATCTCTAATTCCTCTCTATCTGAATATGGTGTTATGGGTTTCGAATATGGTTACTCCTTGACTTCTCCAGAACATTTAGTTGTCTGGGAAGCTCAATTTGGTGATTTTGCGAACACAGCTCAAGTCATTATTGATCAATTCATTGCCGGTGGTGAACAAAAATGGAAACAACGTTCTGGTCTAGTTTTATCCTTACCTCATGGTTATGATGGTCAAGGTCCAGAACATTCTTCAGGTAGATTGGAAAGATTCTTACAAATGGCTAATGAGGATCCAAGATTCTTCCCATCTGATACCAAATTACAAAGGCAACATCAAGATTGTAACTTCCAAGTCGTGTATCCAACTACACCAGCTAACTTGTTCCATATTCTTAGAAGACAACAACATCGTCAATTCCGTAAACCATTGGCATTGTTCTTCTCCAAGCAATTGTTACGTCACCCATTAGCTAGATCTAATTTATCTGAATTTACTGAAGGTGGTTTCCAATGGATTATCGAAGATGTAGAACATGGTAAGGCCATTGGTACCAAGGAAGAAACAAAGAAATTGGTCTTGTTAAGTGGTCAAGTCTACACTGCTCTACATAAGAAACGTGAAGAATTGGGCGATAAGACTACCGCTTTCTTGAAGATTGAAGAATTACATCCATTCCCATTCGCTCAATTGCGTGATACTATCAACAGTTATCCAAACCTAGAAGAAATTATTTGGTGCCAAGAAGAACCATTAAATATGGGTTCATGGTCTTATGTTTCTCCAAGATTACAAACAACTTTGAAGGAAACCGAAAACTATAAGGATCATAGTGTTAGATACTGTGGTAGAAACCCAAGTGGTGCCGTTGCTGCTGGTAACAAGACATTACACACTTCTGAAGAAAACGCCTTCTTGAAGGATGTCTTTGGTCAATGATTGATTGAAAATATTCATTTCCCAATATGGAAGTTTCTGTTTTCAATTCACTATCGTTTTACATTCTTTTTTTAAAAAACAAATTCACAATAATAACTATAAAATATTCGTATAATGCCAAATAAAATTTTACTCTGAAAATGTCTATCTACGACTGTTATCGCCCAATTACACTTGAGATACATGTTTCATATTTATGATTTTCTGAGATGATCAGAATTACTGTATATTTAAATATCTATATATAACAAATAAAATACAACATTATTAATCAATATTTAATCTTTGGTTTTGTTACAATAATTGAAAATTCACTTACCATTGTTGTATGGCTGTATAGAATAAGTTTTTAATTTTAGCAGTGACCCAAAAGATTAAAGTCAATTTTTTACATTTAGTAAACAATTCTTAATGGAAAAACAAATGCTTTGAAATATAAACACACACACACGTTGTTTCCAAAACTAATAAATATCTAATCTAATTTATTACACAATGGGAACCTTACAGGTGTACTACGATAAAATTTTAATTGTGTTACCTTCCAAGTCAGTATTTTACGTTTAAGGGTCAAGTAATGTTGTTAAACTCCCATTAATTATTTATTTGCTTGAGTTTCGTAGAAAAAGTCGCTATACTTTGAAATGCATTAAATTTGAAGATAGAAGATCTAATATATATTTTGCCAATTTCCTTATAATATTCAAAAAATCTAGAACATACGCTTTTGAATAGTTTACCTGCAAAAGTAACCTTTATTTTCTTGATTTTGAAGTTTACTTTTGAACATATTATCTACTGCCTTACACTATAGAAAACGTTGGAGAAAAAAACGCAAATGCTTCACCGGCGAAATAATCAATATTTTTCTTTTCCATCCAGAGAAATATATATATATATAATATTTCAAAGGGAGTAATGAACACTTCAAGGGGGCCATATTCAAATCACCACCATCATAACATCAAAGACGAATAACTAAACTCAAACAGACCAACAATAGTAAGAGCAAAAATGTCTACCACCACTTCGAAAAAGATTGCAATTGTTACAGGTGCGTCTTCTGGTATTGGTTATGCTATCACTAAGGAATTAGCTCAACACGACTACATCATCTATGCATGTGCGAGAAGATTAGAGCCAATCCAACCATTAGTCGATGAATTTTCCACTTCAATCATCAAACCATATAAACTTGATATTTCTATTATTGATGAAGTTGTTGCATTCAAAGAATTTTTAGAAAAAGAGTTACCAGGCCAAAAATTAGACCTTCTTTATAATAATGCTGGTCAAAGTTGTACATTCCCAGCCTTAGATGTCTCAGATGCTAACATGCAAAAATGTTTCCAAGTTAATGTATTTGGTCATGTTAACATGTGTCGTGAGTTATCCAAATATTTGATTAATGCTAAGGGTACTATTGTATTCACTGGATCATTAGCTGGTATAGTATCATTCCCATTCGGATCTATATATTCTGCTACAAAAGCAGCTATTCATGCTTACGCTAGAGGTTTACATCTAGAAATGAAACCATTCGGTGTACGTATCATCAATGCAGTAACCGGTGGTGTTGATACAAATATTTCTGATACTAGACCATTACCTGAAGGTTCAATTTATGAATTCCCAGAAGGTAAAGAAGCCTTTGAAGGTAGACAACGTATGGCTAAGAATCATCATCCAATGTCGGCTGAAGTATATGCTAAGAAATTAATGGGTGACATATTAAGTTCTAGAGATCCTGTTGATGTCTACAGGGGAACAATGGCTACATTTTTAGGATTTGTTTCATTGTTTGTTCCTTATTGTATATTAGAGTTCGCATTAATTAAGAAATTTCATTTAACAAAAGTTTTCAAAGTATTGAAGGAGAGAAATGCTCAAGGTAAAAAACAAGATTAGGCCAAGATAGATATGAAACAATCGAAATTATTCATTGATTCAGGAAAATATTTACAATTTTTCTTTTTCAAATTTGCTAAGACAATAAGTTTTATAATGATACCATTAATTCTTATATTTGCTATATACGTGTAAACATTAAAAATAAAATATAATAAAATATTCTTGTTTTGTTCCAAAAACGATTTCCTGTTTTTATCAAAGAAGTTGATGTAATATTTAACTCAATGGCATTATATTACTTCGATACCTTATACAAATCAGTATATTATTACAAAATTACATCATCAGTCAAGGATTGTATATTCTTTACAATCGATATAAGGTATTCTGTTTTAACGGTCGAACTTCAGAACAAACAATAATCACTGAGTTCAAAAAAAAAAAAAGCGAAGCTTCACCATGTTCTCCATTTTATTCTTTTTGTAATAGTAGCCAAGATAAAAATTATCGTGTTCTTAACATAAATTGATGTAGATCAGTGAATAATTTGGTGATTTTACGTGTAACGACCCCTTGAAACACGACTAAAATAATTTACAATTCGAATTAAGTAAAATACACAACAAGATCGAGATCACATCATTTTGTTGATTAAAGTACAATGCGAAAAGGAAATAATAAGAGCCTAAAACATACAGAAAGGATACAAGAAGACGTAGTTGATTGCTTGACAATTATCGTAACTATAATGAGAAATAGTACGAATATTGTGAAAGGATCCAACATTCTTTCTTTATCTGTTACGAAACAAACAAAATCAACATGGAAGAACATCATGTTATTTTTTGAAGTAATTTTTAACGTAAGATATATTATTGTTATTCCGAGATGATAAATATTCCGTAGGCAAACACATCTAATTTTTGAAATTAATTAAGCCTGGGGAAAATAATAGTATTTTGAGCATTGTTATTTACGGTTGTTAGTGTAACAAAATATCATGAGTAAAAGATCAGTTTAGTTTCTTTTCTTCCTTTAATTCATTGAAAAAAAGAAATATGAGACCATCAACGATTCTTCTGCATATTGAATGATTACTTCATTAAAAATCTCTTGGTGAAGAAACATTCGTACAAACAATACATTAGATGAATATCTTAAACTATACGCACATTTTACTGCGACAATTTTTGGGGGGAATTACCAAAGAAAAATTGCGAAGTCAAAAAACGAAGAAAACTAAAACCGAAAATGAACCCATTTTTTGGTTTCTACGGAGATTTGTTACTGCTTTGGAGAAATTATTAAAGCAATACCCAGCAAATAATTATACCGTACGATGATATACTAACGTACAAAATTATATCCGTTTATCAAGTTTTACTGTGCTGTTTACTCGTTGTTTACGTATACTATGTGTTTCATAACATACGTATTTACTTTTGTTTATTGTTTGTTTGCTTTTTTTATTTTGGTTCTATTCATACCAGCTATAGTTAAGATTTTCGTTTACATATATTAGAAACTTTCATATATATATATAAAGAAGAGCTATTTTGTTAAATGTTTTTAATAACAGGTTACTATATTTTACATCATTATTTTTTGAACTTTTGACCCTTTTTTCTGTTAATAAAACTATAAGAAATTCAAATCTCTATTACAAAATTTTGCTTTAACTTATACCAAAATCTCGTTATAAAAGAATAAAAAGAATATTACTAACTAAGCTTTAGGACCAATTTTAATTACTTCGAAATAATCCTATTCTGAATATACTTTTTTTTATATCTTTTAATCCAACTATTTACACTCCTTTAATCCAACTATTTACACTCCTTTTCACATTTAAAACTCTTTTTTTCTTTTAATTATTATTATTACTGTTTTTACCATTATTGAATTCGTATGTATTAAAATTTTTGTTATTACAACAAGATCTATTTTTCGTTTATTTTTACCAATTACTTTGTTTTCATTCCAATTATTATTATATGAGTACAGAAGACCAAGTTGATAATTGATCTATCTGTTGAACTATGTGCTTTATTTCGATTTAGCATATATATTGACTTTTTACCATAACACTATTATTTTGAATTATAAGATGAATGATAGGCATCTCCTCTTAATTTTAAAATTTGATTATTGGAGAATTTATTCCAACATCATATCACCAAATACATTGAGACAGACTTTTTTTGTTGAAACTTTATCTCGATTTTGTTTCATATGCCATTTCTTCCAATATTGATTAAATTGAACTCTTGCTCTTCATTTTGCTTTGCTTTTTTTTTTCTTTTTGCTGAGCTTTGCTGGTTAGTTTCTTTTTTGTTTTTGTTGTCCTTTTTTCCATTGAATTTTCGCGCTTCGTGGGGTGTACAGTGATCTCTCTGTACAAATCACTTTTGCGCGCAGTCGCGCTGTCCAAATCGGGAGATATCGAAGAAACACTCGAAGAAAACTGATTTCGGATAATAATTCTACTTCTTTTTACTTCGATTTAGCTGGGTGCAATATTGCTTTTATTTTTTTTTTCGCGTTCGCGTCCTTTTACAATTTCTTCAAAATCAACAAACAGAGAGAGCAACATTTCGCTCCTGTCTCAATTACTCAAACGACAACAATATTCGATACGATATTTTCAATTTCAATAATAGAATTATTCGTTCAAGCTGACAATCTCTTTTTATTCTTCTGATTATCACGCGGTGATTTCAGATATTTCACGAAATGTTAAACAAAAATTTCAAATGACAATGAAGAAAATCTATTTTTCACTCAATTGCCTCTGTTTTTTTTTTGGTGGTGATATTCTGAGTGGTAATGGTATTCTTTTTTCAATTGTGTTTACATCAAGTAATTATATCTCATGATTAACTTCATATACCTACGTGGGCAATTAAGAAACTTTCTGGTTATTTTTAAAAAAAATACATGTCTGTCTTTGTCACCTTTTCAAATGATGAAATAAATACTCAAGGGTTAGAAATTAAAAAATAAATAAAGATTGAAAGCTCTTAGTTTCAATGCTTCCTTTTCATAATCACCAACGCTAAGAAGGTTAGCAATAATTGAATTCAAGAGATATATCACAATTGAAAAGAAAAAGAGAGGAACAAAAAGACTAGGGCAAAACCTTCAAATTATTACCAACTGTATTACATTCATTCATTAATAACACTTTTTCAGTTGTGCTTATTTCCAAATAACTTTCTATTCCATTTTAAATCAAGAAAGTTAATTGAAAACAAAAATTTACGAAAAACATATTATCTATTAACGTTTCAACCATAATTATTTTTACTAACAATAAATATTCCTTTTTCTCGAATTATTTTTAACCAGTCACTAGGCAAAAACTTATAAATTAACAAATAATTATCAACATCCAATTTAAAACTATTTTTATCTCAAATTTCCTTTTTTAATTAAAACAATGAAGATTTCTGCTACCAAATTAACTACTGCCCTAATGGGTGCTTCTGTTGTCGCTGCTTTACCTCATGCTGACATCAACGTCGACGAATGTACCACTACCGTTGCTGCTTCTCACCACCACAACAAGAGAGCCATCGCTGTTGAATACGTCTACGAAACTGTCATTGTTGATTCTAACGGTAACACCATCTCTGGTCTAACCGCTCAATCCACTGCCACTGCTTTCGCTAAGACTGCTTCCACCGGTGCCACCACCACTTTAGCTCCAACTACCTCCAAGACTGCTGCCACTGCTTCCACCTCCACTGCTTCCACCTCCACTGCTGCCGCTTCCACTGCCGCTGCTTCTTCTTCTTCTACTGGCGGTATCTACGGTGACTTAGCCTCTTTTGTTGCCCCATCTGAAGCCTTTGAAGATGGTACTATTGCTTGTAGCTCTTTCCCATCCGGTCAAGGTGTTATTTCCGTCTCCTGGATGAACCAAAACGGTTGGACTGGTATTGAAAACACTGACACCTCCACTGGTGGTTCTTGTGCTGAAGGTTCTTACTGTTCTTACGCTTGTCAACCAGGTATGTCTAAGACCCAATGGCCAAGTGAACAACCAGCTGATGGTAGATCCATTGGTGGTTTACTATGTAAAGGTGGTTACTTATACCGTACTAACACTGACACCGATTACTTATGTGAATGGGGTGCCGACACTGCTGAAGTTGTCTCTGAAATCTCTGAAGGTGTTGCCATCTGTAGAACTGATTACCCAGGTACTGAAAACATGGTCATTCCAACTTATGTTGAAGCTGGTTCCACTTTACCATTAACTGTTGTCGACGAAGACACTTACTACAAGTGGGAAGGTAAGCTAACTTCTGCTCAATACTACGTTAACAATGCCGGTGTTTCTGCTGAAGATGGTTGTATCTGGGGTACTGAAGGTTCCGGTATCGGTAACTGGGCTCCATTAAACTTTGGTGCTGGTTACACTGACGGTATCAGTTACTTGTCCTTAATTCCAAATCCAAACAACAATACTCCATTAAACTTCAACGTTAAGATTGTTGCTGCTGATGACAACTCCGTTGTTAACGGTGAATGTTACTACGAAAACGGTAGTTTCTCCGGTAGTTCAGACGGTTGTACCGTTGCTGTTACTTCTGGTAAGGCTAAGTTTGTCTTGTATTAAGCGAATATTGACAGCTTAAACTTTTAACTTTTTTTTTTTATGTGTTAGTTATAAAATGATTAATATATATATCCAAAAGGGTTAAATTTTTTTTTTTAAATTTTCAAAAAGAAAAAATCAATTTGTTATTAAAGAAGGTTCCAAGTTAAATTAGATTACATTGAACAGGAAAAGAGTGAAATTCATCTTTTTTTAAGCAGGTTGCTAAGGTTACACGGACTTTATTATTGTTATTATACTATTATCTATATTACGTTTTTTTATTTTAAATATATATATTTTTCTCACGTTTTTCTTTTTCTAAATAATTATTTTATTTATAATGTCAAAATATAAATGTTTATTAAACAATCAAGCGAAGGCCATACTCTAATTTAGAATATCTGTTTCTAAGTTTGTATGGTTATGAAAATGATTTACACTTAAGGTAACTAAATACATAATCATTTTTAACATTGTTTTGTAGTTTTCAAATTGTGTGCTGAATGGATATCAAGTCATTGGTTACCACTCTTATATATTTCTAATTTTTATCTTCAAGGTATAATTGTTGAAAGTAACAGTAACTAAGTTGTTTCACTTTTACTGTGTGCCAAATGTTGGTCCAGAACTTTGTTCGATCATCTGAAATATAGGCTTAATAACCATTCTTGGCGAAAAAAGGAGGCTGTGTCCACGTGATGTTTCAAATTTAATTTCTATGATATATACTTCGGGGTCTCCCGCATTTTAAGGATGCTTCTACAACGTCTCTGTACGTCTTTTTGTCTCTCTCTCATGAAAAGAAAACCTAGAACTACGGATGTTTCACTGATTGAGATAAGGTCCAGATCATTTCTACGTATATACTCTATATTTTTTTTTGTTCAATTCTAAAATAGATGACCGTACGGAGTATAATCAAAAGTTCTAAAAAAAGGAAAAAAAGCTACAACTTGAGAGCGCACCACCAGATCGGGAAAGTGATGTACTACGAATCAAAATTGAGTGTTACAGAAATGCTTGCAGGAATGGCATAGATTTTGGAACTTCCATCTATGCTCCGAAATTTCACCCGTAAAGGGTAATGATCTTCCACGCACTATATCGTGAGAAAGTAATAACGTTTCCTAATAGGGTAAATGGCGTCTGGGAAGAAACCTATAATGATGACCCTTTTGGGAAAGGGATCCTTCTAGACTTGTTTTAAGGTGGCCTTAATTTTAGAAATTATGACAATATATGTATTGAAACTTCTTATCATCACTTGTTTTAGCCTTTTATTCCCAAATATTTTTTTTGTTCTCGTAAGAAGTACAAAAGAGATAAATTTGAATAGAGAGGATGGAAGAGAGTGTAAAAGTATAAGTACGAAATAGGGTGATATAATTGAATATGGAATGGGGAAAAACATATAAAGAAAATTAACTTAATTCATCTTTGCAGTAATGATCAATTGTAATAAGCTTATGGATGTGGTAAGGGGATACTTCAAGTAAATTGCATTTTATTCTCCCATTTATATAATGCTAGAACATTACGGAGATAAAATATTCTAATGGTTAAGGAAACATAAATGAATTAAATTTTTTCAGTACTACATTTCTCTAATCAATATGTTTTAAAAAATATCACTGTTCTTTAAAGGGAATGTTTCGTTTTATATATCCCAAATAGAATTTATACTTCTTTTTAAACCGTATACGGCCACATATCACATGTGTAGATATTTTGTCTTGTACTTACTTCGGGTTAGACAAATATCCTTTTTTAAAAGGACTCACGAATTATAGGTTGGCATTGATTCAATCCTTTTATTATTCAATCAATCTACTTAATGAAAACTTCTTTTGATACACATATTACCATACTCCATTTCCTATTTTAATGACATCTGCGGTAATTCTATAAAAAACAGGATATTAAATAATGTGACGCACTGGAAAAATTACGAAAGATGTTTTTCTTTTAACAAGAATCCCTTCATACTTAATTAGTACTATATATAAGAATATATATATATAACGTAATTCCATACATATTTATACCTTGTCATATGCCCTCCCTAAGGGACCGTTTTTTTTTACTTTATATATTTAATTTACTTCTAAAAGAACAATTGGTTTGCCAAAATAAGTTACTGAGCAAACACATTGAATCACATTCAACAACATATATTCATATTTTTAAGATCAAAATATTACAAACAGCCGAATCTTTATCTCTCTGTCTCTTTAAAGAATCATCTAAGAAACCTTAACTATTTTTAATCTGTACGTTCTCCTTTTTCAGACGCCATCATTGTAAAAAAGAAAAGTACGCACATTTAGAATAAAATACTCCTTGCGAAGTCGCCTTCCGCAAAATTTTGTTAGCAATTTTTTTCTGGAAAGAAAAAGTTTTTCAATTTAATCAATTTTCTTCTGTGGATCTTTCGCGGAGAGAGAGGAAAACAAAAACAATATACGCATAATAAAGCTATAAAAAAAACAGAGGAAGACACCAAACTTTTTTTAACAATACAGTAATTTGTTATATTTATATTTATATATAAATATTTTTCTTTCTTTCTTATTGTTGTTGTTTCGCCTTTATCCTTTGATATTATTTTTACATTCCATACTTGATATCTTTAGAGTCTTTCCATTTTTTTATAGACCTACCAGTTTTAGCTTGCTTTCTATTGTTGAATACACTTTTAAATAGAGGAAAGAAAAAGCACACCGTGAGAAAACATAATAATAGAGGAAAGAAATCACCACAATTTTATTCGATTTCATATTAATTACCCTGTATCAAATCATATGATCTCATACTTTTAATAAATTTATTTTCTTCTTCTTATTTTAGTTCTAATTTTTTTCGTTCCTTAATAAGACGTGACGTGACTAGTTGACCCTCATCAGAATACCCTCATATATATCAATACTATCAGAGGTGTCCTTAGTTCTTTTATTTTGGCTCTTTCGTTACAATATTAATTTTAAGAAACCAACTAAAAGTAAAATCATTCAAACTTTATTATTATAGCTTTTAAATTAAAGTAGAAGATTATTACATTGCTCTCCGCAACTTCCTACTTATAATACTTCATATTTATTTTTATTTTTATTTTTCCATCCCATTCCATATTCAAATTTTAATTTATTTTATTTTGCATTTCATATCCTAAAACCAACCAAACAAGCAGATACTGATCCAATAATTCCTTTATAAATTAAGGAATATTCATTTTACATTTCATAGCAATTATCATAAGAATGGATACAAATCATCCAACTGCAACATCATCGTCTGGAGTCACAGATGATGCCACAAGAATAGAAATTAATGATAGGCAACATAGTCCCGGAAAGGATGATCATCATAATACTAATTTAAATACTGGAAATAGCAGTAGTAATGTGAAATCATTGTTAAATTCAGATCCAGCAACTGCTGAATCTGTTCCTGTGAAAAATCAAATTACTTTAAGATCACAAATTATGGAGGAGTTTGGTATTAATTCTGCAAGTGTAGCAGGTAAAGATAATATAGATCCAGATGCATTCAATACTCTTGTACAGATACGACTTATTAAAGAAAGAAAGGCAATAGAAACAATGAGAAAAGAAAATTTAATAATGTTAAATGATTTAGTAGATAAATGTATTTCGAATGATAAATTTGACGAAACTAATATTAATAAATTATTGGATATTATTATTGAAAAACGAGCTACAAATATGTCAACAATAAGATCAAGACAAGATACACTGATGTCACCAATGATAAAGAAAAGAAGAATACAATCACCACATATGTCTGCAACAAAACAATCTACTGAATATCGTGGACAAAACTCAGATTTACATGCTATTAATGAAACGGATGCTGGCCAATCTGAAACTGACCAATTTCAATCTGTTGCCCAATCATATAAATTACCTGTGCCTCCACCTACATTACATCAACAAAATATCGGTAATACACCTGGTGGTGGTGGTGGTGGTGGTGCAGTATGGACATCTCAATATCAAAATCCATCGTTACAACCACCATACATGTATCAGACAGGTGCTGCGGGCAGTATGCAAGGAAACTTAGGACCTCCAGCACATCTAATGAATGACCCACATTACCAACAACAGGGTATGATGACATCAACATATGACCCTCAGATGGGGAAACAATATTTAGAACCGCCACAGTATATACAAAATTATCCACAAGGTGGTTATTATCCACCTAATGGTAGAGTAATGAATAGTGTGAATGAACAAGCATATCCAGGGATACCGCAAGGTCATGCTACAACTATAGGTCAACAACACTCACCCTACAGGGGTAATATAGCAACAGCATCTGGTCAAACAGGCCGGAAAGGTCATAGGAGAACACAAAGTGCTATTGTATCTATGCCAAATGAATTAAAATCACCTAGTCGTAGTGTACCACAAAGACCAGTGAATTTCTTAATACATACACCAAAGCATCCTCCTCCAACATAGAAACTGAATAAGGAAATCCGACATTAATTGAAGATACTTATATTATAAGGTTCTTATCCACATTATAAATAATACCTTTCGCATTCCTACACTCACACACATATATAACTTTAAATGCATGAACACAAAAGAATGAATATATATATATGTATAAACACACACACACATATATATGAATTATGAGATCAAATTATCATCACACTGTACAGCCTGTACACCTTAAATATAGTTTCGTTAGAATAATGTGGAGAAAAAAAAATGAACAAAATTTGTGAGTTCAGTCTTATTAATAAACAAATAATTTTAAAATAATTAATTCCCAAGCTAAGAATTTTCCTATTGACGCAAGGCATGTCGACACCCCCCATCGGAATAAGTGACATCAAGGAAGCATACATATCCATTCCACTTAATTTTATTATGTAACCAATATATTTCTTATTTTTCTTTGCCTTTCAATCTAAGGAAACTTTCATCGATTGTAAAATGTCTACCGACATATTTGTGAAATCAAGTGCCATAAACATCAAAATTTTTCACACTATACTCCAGACAAATAGTACCTTCATATAATTTCTCACTCCATTATTTTAACTTGAATGTTCTTCATTAAAGTTAGAAGAAATGGTGTCAACTACAAATTTCGATTATTATTGATTGACACAAAAAAATAAATACAAAAAGAGTAGATCGAAACTCGCATAACTACTTTACCTTGATTAGATGCGTTCTTGAATTTCCGATCATCGGACATCAGAACACCGCATATACATTTAGTCTTCATAAGCTGGAATAGTTCCTGAATCGCGTAAAATTTGAAGTTTTTTGTGTCTTCCCTAAATAGAAGGCGCGAAGGGTCTTGGCTCTTTCAATTTGGGTTTCCACGGACGTTGCTATGCGATAATTGAGAAATTATGTGTTTGCACCAACTATGCTAAGGAAAGAACTGACAAACTGAAGAAGGAAACGAGGAAATATGTTTAATATGTCAAAGAAAAGAACAGTAATGACATCAAGATACTCAAGGAGTGTCTATTCATAAAGATTCCAAATCTATCCCTAGCGAAAATGTTAGTCAGAATTAAAAACGGTTTGTCATGAAAATCGTTAGCCAGCCTAGTTTCAATCCAATACTAATTTAACAATATCTATATCGGAACACTGTAGAGCGCATATACTAGATAATATTACGGGGGGGGGCGATGAAAATGATGCCATACTAAACAATTTCCACAATTGGAATCAGCAACATGCATTACTGAAATCTCAGTATTATTATGGTCGCCCCAATTATGGCTATCTTTTATTATTTTTTTAATATATGAGGAAAGTAGCTGTTTCTCACATCATAGTTTATACATTATGTATATACTTCGACAAGAATTAAGGATTATACATATTATAGCAATATACATAAATAGAATGCTGCCTTTGGTAAAAAGGGAAATCCCCAATTGATCTGGAGACACCTTTTAATATTCTTAGCCTTGTTAGATTGTATCATTTCACTAACAGAAGTGACCTAACCTTATCCAAGAGAAAATAATATAGACAACAATATATTGAATATCTACAAGGATAATGATAAAATAGCATAATCTTATCGGGTATCCTTGTTTATAATTAATTCCCTTCTTAACTCCATAGCTGCCCCTTGTCAGTCATTTTGATAATAATAGTCATTGTTACTATAACATGGTCATCAATCTGTCTCCAAGTTATTGCGTAAATATTATTTTTCCTTTATCAAGAACACTAAAATCGTTTACAAATGTCTGATTAGTCTTGAAATTGATCGGAGAAATTCGGGATTACCCAATCGGAAATCAGGACATCCGAACACCTCATCCATAAAATATTAAATAATATTTTTTCTCGATCCCCGAAATAATCATCGAAAAAATGAGATTGTACGGACAGTTTACTGGAATGGGCGTAAGTCCGTGGAGATAACAACTTGAAATATTTAATGTGCCTCTTTGCCTTTCCAATTCTCCGTTTGTACGTTGATCTCTGTGTTCTCTCTCTATAAAGAACGCGAGTTATATATATTTTTCTTTCTTTTTTGATTATGCGAAAAGGATTAAAATGACAAAAATGAAAAAGATTTCAGTAATATTGACACACACTCATACTTTGAAGTTTGGAATTTTTTCTTAAGCAAAATGGCTAAGTAGTCTCTGTATAACTGGATTTAATAGACATGTATAATTTTTGTGTCTATCATTGTTTGTATGGGAAGAACAATAAAGGTGATGCGATATTCGCTCCACTCTCTACCTCGCATAAGGCTCCTTTTTTCTTCTTCTTTATTATGTAATTGAAGTACATCGATACTATAACAAGTGAATAAGGTGTTCATGGTTAAATTATTTTTTTTAAAAATAAGAAACATATATATAGGAATGTAAATCACAATTATTTTATTTGAATAAGTCTCAGAATATATTAATTTATAGATATATATGTATTTTCTGTATTCTTTGTTTTTTTCTGTTATCATTGCTAAAGATTAGAATTATACTCTACACTACTACAGCATTACTACATGTTATTAATATAGCGAAAGCAAAACAAAGCAAAACAAGAAAGGTTTAATATTCTAATTAAACATTTTATAGAATTGATTACTATTATTCAATATTATATTTTTTAACGAAAAGTAATTAAAAATATTTTTTCGTTACTGTTACAATGTCTACACTCAATCAAGATATTAGAATTACTACAGTTAAATCCAATGAAAAGGTTGAACCTTCTTCATCTATGGATTTAGGTAGTGGAAGTGATATAGAACTATATGATCCAAATTGTTACTCTGGAGAAAATAGTTCAATTGATCAACCAAGTGATAGTGAATTTTGTGAGATTGTTCGTACAAAATCTGTTCATGATGATAGTAAGACACCAATAGAATATGAAGTTCCAAGATCAAGATTTGATAGACGTGCTAAAATGATTTTGGTTATTCAATGTGCTTTTACCGGATTTTTTTCATCAATTGCTGGTGCAATTTACTATCCTGTTTTAAATGTCATTGAAGGTGAATTCCATATTAATGAAGAACAAGTTAACATTACAGTTGTTGTTTATTTCTTATTTCAAGGTGTTGCACCAAGTATTATGGGTGGATTAGCTGATTCCCTTGGAAGAAGACCTGTTGTTCTAACATCTATAATATTATATTTCTGCGCTTGTATTGGTTTAGCTAGATCTCAAAATTATGGACAAATTGTTGGTTTAAGATGTTTACAAGCTGCAGGTATTTCTCCTGTTATTGCTATCAATAGTGGTATTATGGGTGATGTTACAACAAAACCTGAAAGAGGTGGTTATGTTGGCTATGTTTCTGGATTTCAAGTTATTGGTAGCGCATTTGGTGCACTAATTGGTGCTGCATTAGCAAATAGATGGAGTTGGAGATCAATCTTTTGGTTTTTAGTTATTGGATCTGGTGTTTGTTTACTATTTTCAATTATAATCTTAGCTGAAACTAAGAGAACTATTGTAGGTAATGGATCAATTAAACCAAAATCAATTTTTAATAAAGCACCAATATTAATGGTACCATATGTTAAAAAAGTTCTTCATTTAAATAATCCAGATATCGAAACCTTAGAACCACCAATGAAATTAGATTTGTTAGCACCATTAGATATTATTAAAAATTTAAAGATGAGTATATTATTATACGTTGCTGGTATGCAATTTGCAATGTGGTCAACACATCAAACTGCTTTATCAACCGCATTAAGTTCAAAATACAGTATGTCGGTTATTGACATTGGTCTTTGTTATCTACCTACTGGTTTATGCACAATGGCAAGTGTTGTTACATCAGGTAGATGGCTAAATTGGGCCTATACTAAAAAATTTAATAAATATAAACTTTGGAGAGATTCTGAACGTGCAAGATTATTAGAAGAAAATAATCATAATGAGTCTAAAGTTGATTTTATAATGGATAATGATCCAAATTATACTTTTAACCTTTTCCGTGCAAGACTTGGTATGGCCTTTATTACATTAGTATTAAGTTCAGGTGGGTTTATTGCATTTGGTTGGTGTTTAGAAGTTAAAGCTCCTTTAGCCGCTGTATTAGTATGTAGTGGGTTTGCTTCATTATTTTCTAATTGTATTCTAACAATGTCTACTACAGTAATTGTTGATTTATATCCATCAAAGACTTCTACAGCCACAGGTTGCTTAAATTTATATCGTTGTTTATTATCGGCTTTATTTATCGGTTGTTTAAGTCGTATGATTACTGCAATGGGCTATGGTGGTGTATTTACATTAATTGGTAGTGTTAACGCCGCATCATCCTTTTTAATTCTTTGGTTAGTTAAGCATGGTAAAGAAATTGCGATGAATAGACGTCATGAAGAAGACGCTTTAAAGAAGCCATTAATTAATGATGAAGAAAAACAAATGGATGAATTAGACGATGATTTAAGTTAACCTAATTTAGGCAAGATTATTTTTTGTTTCCCTTCTTTCCCTCACCTACCTTGATAGATAATAGCATTGCATTACATTTTATTTTACTTTACTTTATTTTTAACTTTTAAGCACATTTAGTTATCTATATACACATACATCAATATTCAAACATAATATATTAATTTATTAGTTCATTTTAATTTGAATTCAATTATATGATACTATCAGTCTGCTTAGTAGATTGAATAAAATTTTGAAACATTTTAAAGGCTGTCAATACGCCCCCTCCCCCAGATAATCTACATATAATAATATATGAAACGTTTGATAGAATAAAGAGAGACGCGTTTTTTCTGCGTGGTGGTAAAACAGTTCAAAAATTTCATATTTCTTCTGCTCTCAGTTTTCATAATACACATAAGAATATATATATATATTTGTAAATTTTATGTTTTTTGGCGACGCGGCGGCGAGGGGAAATTGTGATGATTTCGTTGTTTTTCTCTTAACGACAGCCAGACTTGACAAAGTAAATCAATATTGAATCAACGAGAACTAAACTGATTTGATTAAACTATTGATACTTCAACAAGTAGAAACTAAGAATCTAGTCATATACATAGAGATATTTCAAATTGTAATCTTAGTTATAAGCTGAGACTGAACATTTAGTGGTGGGTTAATTTTTCTATTTGATTTATTCCTTTTCGTATTTTATTTTTCACACTTTGAAGTAACAAAATAGGACGATATATTCGATGGGATTTCTGTGTGGGTCAACAACGGAGTCTAATAAGGCTATTGAAAGAAAAATTGTGATTTTAGGTGATGGTGCATGTGGTAAGACATCTTTATTAAACGTGTTCACTAGAGGTTATTTCCCTGAAGTTTATGAACCTACCGTTTTTGAAAATTATATTCATGATATATTTGTTGATAATAAGCATATTACACTATCATTATGGGATACAGCAGGTCAAGAAGAATTTGATCGTTTAAGATCATTATCTTATTCAGATACTCAATGTATTATGCTTTGTTTTAGTATTGATTCGCGAGACTCCTTAGAAAATGTAAAGAATAAATGGGTTGGTGAAATTGCTAATAATTGTGAAGGTGTAAAACTTGTATTAGTAGCATTAAAATGTGATTTACGTAATAATGAACATGAAAGCAATGTAATTAATCCAAACAATATAGCTGATCAAGAAAATCTTTCAAATGGGCGTGGTGGTAATAATAGAAAAGGTAATAAAGATTTAGTAACTTATGAAGAAGGTTTAGCTATGGCTAAACAAATTGGTGCTTTACGTTACTTAGAATGTAGTGCTAAATCAAATAAAGGTGTCAATGAAGCATTTACTGAAGCAGCTAGAGTAGCCTTAACTAGTGGACCTGCCGCTGGGGGGAATTCTAAGGACAATGATACTGACGAAGATGACAGTATTTGCACCATCATGTAACATTACTGTTAATATCAAATATACATATATATATGTGTGTGTATATACTTCTTTGCCTTTACTTAATATGTTGTGTTTTTTAAAGAATCACACATGTATGTTTTAAATGTATAACTAAGTATATCTAATTAATATATATATATATATATATCATAAATATTATTAAGCAAAACTATAAAAAAAAAGATATTGTTTAAATATTTTCTAATAAATCTTCCAAGTACATTGAAGGTATTTTTTTTCTATCATTTATTATCTGAGGTGGTTTTTGTAATCTCAATTGAGTTTGAAACGAATAATATTTTTCATTATTTGGACTTTGTAAAGGACTTAATAAACTAACTCTATTTGAAACTTGTTGTTGTCTTTGTGATTCTACACTATCAATATCTATTAATGATAATCTATTAAATGGGTTATTCTTTGAATCATTATGTATTTTAGTAATAGCTACAGTCGGTGATACAAATAATGGACTTGGTGATATTGATACATCAGATTGATTCATTAATAATGATTGACTTTCAGATTTTTTATTTACATTTGTTTTTTCAAAATCATCATTATCATTTTCTTTTGAAATTCCAATATACTTTGGTGGAGTTGATGAAATATCATGACTATTATTATAATTCGTTTTACAATTATAACTTCTTAAACTTATTGAAATAATCCACCATATTATTAACATTATTAATATTATTAATATAGTAAAACCTGTAGCAATGAATACAGTACCTTCCCTTGGAGCATTTTGTGAATGAAAGACAAAAGGATTATCATTTGATGAAGGCGGTGATATTGTCGGAGTTGTGCTGGCTGTGCTGGCTGTGCTCGAGCTTGAACTGAGACTTGTGCTGGCGCTGGTGCTGGTACTAGTACCGCTACGACTTGTCGATGTTGAAGTACTGAGTGTAGAAGAAGAAGACGAAGACGAAGACGAAGACGAAGTTGTAGTAGTACTTGTTGTAGTTAATTTCGGTAAGGCTCTAGGAAACAATTCGGTTATAATCATATTTTATTATTATTATTATTATTATTATTTTCGGTAATATTATAATTTAAACATCAAGAAATAGAAATTACTGTATATAATAATGATTTATACAATTGTTTAATAAATTTCAATAAACAATAAATATATATATTTGTTCTCTCCATGTGTATTTAATCTCGATATCAAAAAATCATACATTAAGAATGAAATATCGTTCAATCACAAGTCACAAATTTAGTTTGGATGTCACTTCAAACAGAATATACAGTTTTGAATACATATGTTTAACAAAAAAAATCTATATATAGATCAACTGTCATAATTATAACAATTGAAAGTTGAAACTGATTTGCGATGATGTCGTTGATAGAGAAGGGTAACAGATAAATGTATAATTATAGCGCCAAGAGAAAAACGAATGATCTCTTTCCATATTTAAGTAACAAATTTCTGGGGAAACATCTATATATAGAGATGTAGCGAGAGAGGATGTGTGTGTGAGTGTGTGTCATGGGCCCAGCCCCAAAGTCAGCTGGCCCGGTTAAATATTTCTCTGTATGTTTACGGAGAGGGACGGAGAGGGACAGAACGTGGTTTTATATCCATACATTTTCTGTTAAAGTTCGCGTGCGGTCTTTAACGGCATATTTTAGCGATAATAACCGGAATTGATTTAAGACAATGAGCGGCTATTTATCCACATATATGTAGATGGACAGATATGTTTGAAGCATGTTTAAGAACAATGTGTGTGTAGAGTAAGAGCAAACTGTAGAAGAATTAAAAGAACTGTTTCGTCAATCATGCTAGAGTAATAACTGTTTGCATGTCGGTGGCTTTTTTTTAATATTTTGTTCAAAGTTACTGAAAAACTAATAAATTCTTTAGTTTTATTATTATAATATAACAATATTTTTTATTACTAACTTACAATATTTAAGAAATCAGGTTGAGTTAATGATATTTATCTGCTTGCATTGTGACTACGATTGAATATAAAATTATTCACCCCCATTTTTTAATCGAATAAGTACACACACACTCACTCTATATGAGGGTGTACCACTGATCATGTTATTCGACACATAACACATTTATAAGATTCTATCTACACTTAAACAACGAACTATATTCTAATCCCCTTTGCTGTCATCATAATCTTTGTCATTTTAAAGATACTAGTAACAGTAATTCTGACTTATGGGGTCTATCTATATATCTACTTGTCACGCTGTTAAAAACAAGCAGAAATGGTAATTTTACGCACAAACTTCACTCAATTAATTCTTCGGCAACGGGAAACCATTTTAATCCTTCACAGTGCAAAAACCTGAAAACAACACGGAGAGTGAAAAAAACAAACAGAGAGAGAGAGAACAATAAAATAGAATAAAATAAACGGAGTCAAAAAAAATACAACTTAAAACTGAAAAATTAAATGAATTTAAATTAATTTGAAGAATTTAGTCTATTAAATTATATAATAATAATATCTTTACGTACTTCTTCCCTTTGTGTACGTTAATCATTTTCTTTACTACTCTCTTACTTTGTTTTACGTATTAGGCAAGATCTGTCAGACTGTCTTTTTTAATTTTTTTGCTTTTCGTGATAATATCTGCTCAAGGTGTTTAATATCGTTAGTGTTATTTAGAAGAAGTGACTAATAACTACCCTGGTTTATCCTTTTTTTTTTCCTATTTGTTGAAATTTGTATTGCTCTCTTCTTTTTTAGCTCATTGCATTTATTTCATACATACATATATATATATACACCCTGGAAAATTTCAAGGATAATATTTTATTTTTTTAGAGTTATATATCTTTGTCAAGATTTTTCTTTCAAGAAACAAATTACAGTAACGAATAACTAATCATTACAATAACAAACCCTTTCGTTTTTTTAACAACAAAAAATGACTTTCGATTTACAAAAAATAGTAAGACCAAAAATTTATAATTTAGAACCATATCGTTGTGCAAGAGATGATTTCACAGATGGTATCTTATTAGATGCAAACGAAAATGCTCATGGTCCAACTCCAAAAGAATTACAAAAGGATTCTCAATTACATAGATATCCTGACCCACATCAATTAGAATTTAAAGAAGCAATGGCACAATATCGTAATAAAACTTCCTCATTTAAAGATGATACTAATTTAATCCCATTAAATGCTAATAATCTATGTCTTGGTGTTGGTTCTGATGAAAGTATTGACGCTATTATTAGAGCTACCTGTGTTCCAGCTAAAGAAAAAATTTTAGTTCTACCACCAACTTATTCAATGTATTCTGTTTGTGCTAATATAAATGATATCGAAGTTGTTCAATGTCCTTTAGTTGTCGATGATAATAGTTTCCAAGTAGATACCGAACGTGTTTTAACTATATTAAAATCAGATCCTTTAATTAAATTATGTTTTATAACTTCTCCAGGTAATCCAACAGGTGTTAAAATTGATACTGATAAAATTATAGAAATTTTATCAAATTGGGATAATGGTTTAGTTGTTGTCGATGAAGCTTATATCGATTTCTGTGGTGGTTCTACTGCTCCATTAGTTACTAAATATCCAAATTTAGTTACTTTACAAACATTATCTAAATCATTTGGTTTAGCTGGTATTAGATTAGGGATGACATATGCATCGAATGAATTATCTAGAATCTTAAATGCTATGAAAGCACCATACAATATTTCTCGTATGGCTGCTTCTTATGCTTTAACAGCAGTACAACATCACAACTTACAATTAATGGAACAAACTACTGAAAAAATGAATATTGAACAAAGACGTTTATTAAAAGAATTAACTGCATTGAATGGCGTCGATGATCAATATGTAGGTGGTCTAGATGCTAATTTCATCCTATTAAGAATTAATGGAGGAGATAACATAATGGCTAAACAATTATATTACAATTTAGCTACCATCTCTGGTGTTGTTGTTAGATTCAGAGGTACCGAATTAGGTTGTACTGGTTGTTTAAGAGTCACTGTAGGTACAGAAGAAGAGAATAATAGATTGATTACAGAATTTAAAAAGACTTTGGCTGAATTAATGGCAAATAAATAATATCAACGATTTTAACCCAGTATATTTATATATATATATGTATGTCTTTATAGATTAATTATTATGATTTTTTATTTTCATGAAACTTATAAACAATATCTATATCTTATATTAATTAATTAATTAAATGACCTCTTTATTTAGTCTCTTGAAGAAACTACCAAGTTGTTTCTTGGTATTTTGTTCTATACCAAGTCCAACTATATCAATTGACGTAATATCTTCCTTTGCAAAATCTTCATATTTATCCAAATCATCCGTTTTCTCCACCCTAGAATTCATATTCAATCTCTCAATATCTTCCTGTAGTTTTTTGATAGTGGCTAATACACCTTGATGGTGTTTCTTAGTTTCATCCATTTTCTCGATTAACATATCCCGTTCAACAACACTATCCTTCGAGATATACACTTTTAATATATTCAACGATTCAGTAATACTTTGTAATTCATCATACGTTCTACTCATCTTTTGACGTAACTTACTTTGCATCTTGGTTTGATGAAGACCTAATCTACAATACTTATTATTTTGTGCAGTATCAGCCATGTATTCAACTTGGAAAATAAATTCTTTTAATTCATCCATTTCATTTTTAGTTTTCAATACTTGAACTGTAGATTCTGAAATACTTTCACTTAACTCTTCTAATTTGTTACCGTTAGATAAATAACCATCCTTTAAACCATCGATTAAATCACATAATCTTTGAGTTTCTGAAATTCTCCAAGTATATAAATTTGGAAGTGTCTCAACAGTTCTCTTTTCAAGTTCTAAGGTATTTTGATCAATAAAAAATTTGTCCAAATTCGTTATATTATCCGTTAAAACACCCAATTCTGCTTCTATCAAATAGTAAGTTTTCTCCATAGAGCTCATAATAGGATCTTTACTTAAAGGTGGCATAGATTTAATATCAGCATATGTGTAATAATCCTTTAATGGAGCTGGCTTATGAAGCTCAGCAAGATATGATTCACCACCTTCAAATGCCTGCATCTCAAAATTACATGTTCTATATTCTTTTGTTTGGACTTCTACATCGATAGAAGTGGTTAGCGGTATACATTTATCATCAACTTCCGGTATTTCTGTCTGTATATCTATTGAATTTGTTTCTGAGATAGCTTGAATTCCATTCGATACCATTTCAGATTTTGCCTCTTCATTTTCACCATTAACACCTTCTCCATCTGATGTTGCAACACCAGATAAATCTTCAAACGATTCAACTTTTTCATCCGATTCATTGAGATCATTTCCAAGTGGAAATTCACCTGCAGCTTCAGGGGAACCTGTTAATTCTTCAATACTTCTTGGCGAATCACCATATTGCAAAGTTGAAGAAGGAATAGAGTCATTACTTTTGAGTACATTTTCAATTGATTTTGTCTTTTTAATTACTTCCAAGTCTGCGTCTTCAGGCAATATTTCATGGTTTATAGTTTGGTCGTCTTTTTGCTCGGCTAAATCGGATTCAGGCTCATTCTCCGATTCTGTTGCATCTAATTCAAGCTCTTCGCTAGACTTTTCCATTTCAGGTTCTGATTCTCTTATTTCAGGAACAACTTCATTTTTGATCACATCTTGAGAAAGATCTTGTTCTAGTTCTTCATCATCTGTTCCTTTTTCATCAACTATATCTCCCTCCGAGGTTTCAGAAACATCTTCAGATACCGGTGAAGAGTCCCTCAACGTTATTGCCGGATTGTTTTCCATAGAAAATGAAGTAAATGCATTTGATGGTTCCTTAATTTTATTGGCAAACGAAGAAAATGGAGATGGAGAAAGAGCTGCATTCTCTAAAGGTGGTTTAGTGAAAGATGGAAATTCAAGGCTACCAGCTGAAATATTAGCAGACTTCTTAATTTTGTTAGTCAATGATTCGATAGTCGATTCTTTCTTTTCGTCAACACCATCTTCATTAATAATTTTCTTCTTCTCTGAATCAGCATGATCTTGGTTGGTTTCTGTATCTGAGCTTTCTTCATTCTTTGTTTGTTCTCCGTTTTCTTCTTTATCTAAATCTGGCAAAGCCTTCTTAAAATCACCAAAAGGTGATTCCTGCTTACCTATGTTAGTAAATGGAGATTCTTGTTTTCCTATGTTAGCAAATGGAGACTGCTGTTTTCCAATTTTAGCAAATGGAGACTGCTGTTTTCCGATGTTAGCAAATGGAGACTCCTGTTTTCCGATGTTAGCAAAAGGAGATTCTTGCTTACCTACGGTAGTAAAAGGAGATTCCTGTTTTCCGATGTTAGCAAATGGAGATTCTTGATTCCCTATAGAACCGAATACTGATCCTGTTGCACCAAAAGAAGGAGCTGGTTTCGTAGACTGCCCAAAAGATGGAGTTCCAAAAGAAGGTTTACCAAACGCCGATTCAGTGGGTTTGACCCCTGTATTTAATGTTGACGTCCCAAAAGATGGTGCACCGAAAGATGGAGCCCCAAATGAAGTATTGCCAAAGGTATTCTGATTTTGTTCGGGTTTGTTTTCACTTGTTGCATTCAAATCAAAACTTGATACTGAGTTTTCCTGTTCCTTCTGTTCTTCTGTGCTATTTTCTGCCGTTGGACCTAAAGTCAAATTTCCAAAAGCTGGCTTTCCAAATGCAGACGATGTAGTATCTTGTTTCTCACTAAATGGCTTTTGACCAAATGATGTTTGACCGAATGATGTATGACCGAACGAAGTTTGACCAAGTGACGTTTGACCCAATGAAGACTGCGGTGTTGACGCTTGTCCGAATGAAAATGGTTTATTCGCAGTAAAGGCTGACGATGCTTCACTTGCAGTTTTCTCGTCAGAATTTGATTTCGTAGAGAGACTGGCAAATGGTGATACTAAATTAGAAGTATCTGCTTGAGACGTAAATGGGTTTTCGGTAGTAGATCCAAATGGTTTACCAAATGTTGGCTTACTTTGAGAATCATCTTTATGTTCGTTCTTGATGCTTTCGTCAACTTGGGCTGGTTGTTCATTATTAACATTTACAGCAAAGGTATCTTCAGTAGTTAAAGGAACAATTCTATTATTTTTATGCAAATCATCTTCTAAACTGGATAAATTAAATTTTCCCTCTTTAATAGCTGTTGAATGGAACAAACCTACAATTTGTAAATCACCTTCATTATTTAATATATATATCAATGGTAATCTTTCAATTTCATCAACTCCTAAGCACACATCAAAGATTTTACCACTAGTAGAGATATCCAATGCTAAACCAGTAGGGTTAGTATCGTTATCTGTAATTTGACTTATAGGCAGTACAGCCCTTTCACTATCCTGTGATGGTTGAACAACTTCTTTTGAATCATATATTGTTAATTCACTTGCGCAGGATGATCCCAATACGCTAATGAAATCACAATCTGGGATTAAATTTTTAAAAAGGATATTGTAAAAATATGGATATCTTAATACACTACCGAAAGGTGGATCAATATCAAAAGATTCATGGAACGTAAGAGATGTTTCATCGTCATTTAATTCAGCGATATACATTTTTTGATCATAACTTATATCTTCATCATCTGGAGACACATTATTACCATAAACTATTAAAAGTTTCTTTTCGGAAACGACCGAAATACTTGTTGGTTCCATGGAATCATCGTTAATTGTTTCATTTATTTCATCTGGATTTGAGAATGATTTTTCTAGTTTTGGTGATCTTTCACCTTTAAATATTTGAATATTTTCAGTTTCAGTATTTAATAATAGGTATAATTTATCATCATACAGGTCAAATGAACTGACATTATCTTTAATAGTTTCAGATGTCTTATGATTTATTGGATCAAAATAAAATAAAGTGTTTTGGTCGTCTAAAATCCATAATAAATTATGAAATAATTTTGCTGTGATTATTGTTTTATTTAATTCTATCGATTCTTGTGATTTTTCAAAAGAATTTGTATCGATTGTAATTATTGCTCCTGATTTAGTAACAAGAATAGCTTTACCATTTGCATTAAAGCCACAAAATATTACATCTGGAATAGTTTCTTCAAACAGTTTATCTAGCTCATCTCTACTAAGTTCTTCTTTATTTTGAACAAAATCTCTTAGGATTTGTAAATCCCCAATTATTAATCTATCATTAGAATATGCAATGTATAATGATTTACCATTAAGAATGCTAAAATGTTCCAAAGACGCGAATGGTAAACTTTCTTCTGACGAAGGTAATATATTCTTTTGACCTAAACTTTTAAAACCGAAATCTTCAGAAGTATTCGTCGGAACTTCTTCTTGTAATGTTGACATAATGCGTGTATTTGAAAAAAATGAAAAGAAACACAGATATGATTGAGTAGGATTCTTATTATTGGGATACCCTTTAGCTTATTGTATTATATTTCTCTCTCACTTATGATGTAAGTTTATTATAGATCAAAGATACTTCCTATAAATGCAAAATTAAAAAAGAAAAAAGAAAAAAAAAACTGTATTTATATCTCTATAACACAATTGAGTCCCTCTATTAAAATGTAAGGTTATATTATGCACTTCTATCCTCTAATAGATATATTCAATTCTACTTGTAATGTTTACCTGTAGTTTGACCATTTTCGTCTCCTTCCATCTCTTTTCAGTTTTGTATGTAACTTTTTTTTTGTTTTCTTCTCTCTTTGACTTTTCACGAATGTCTTGCCATAATAAATAATATCGATAACCCGAAAATACTAAACAGTATATCCTATGTGTTACCATAGTAAAAATGTTTAAAAGCGCACAACGTGCAAAACGACTTGTAATATCGTATATATTGCCAAGTGATTGTTCATTTATTTTATAAAGTTGAGATACTATAGGAAATTGGTTAGACAATCTATATTTGTATATATTGTTTGAAATGCAATATTTCATCATGAATGATATAACGAGGAGCATAGGGCTTTTCGAAGGGGAGGGGTGTTCAAATGCTTTTTTTTATACAATATAAAATATACGTTTTGTATATCTATTATGCAGAGAAATTCAAGGACCAACCGATCTTTTGAACAGGTTCATTTAGTTTCAAAGCATCCATAGATGCACCAATACCTAGGGTGATCCCCGTTCTAATTGTTTGTTTATAAGATACAGTTAATTTACCAATATCAGTAATTTTAGCTTTAATTTGAGAAGTTTCATCAGGAAGATAACGTGTAGCTAATTCCATATTTACATTTGAAGAAATCTTTGGATTTAAAGTAGCTTTTGCACCAACTTGAAGATCTTGGCTGACTTTTTGAAAAAATGAAACGGATGTTAATTTAGAATCATCAATGAAAACACCAAGAGTATATTGTTTAGTGGAATAACCTAATGCCACAGCATAACGAGAAAGAGTACCTGATATAATATCGTAACCGAATTCTGCACCACCAACAGTACCTTCATGTGATAAAGTCAGATTACCAACAAATGAAGGATTCTTTAAAAGATCGAAAGTACATCTACTTGCAAAAAATGGTTGAACAAAACTTAGATTAACTTTCGCTGTTTTAGCACCATTAGGAATGTAAGTTGAAGCTAATTCAGTCTTCAAGCCAGGAGCCAGATCTTTAAATTCTATTCTTGTATTAAGTTTATTTTCGTTAGACCAACCTTGAGTGTATGTTAAACCGGTAGCCTTATCAGACATTCTAGCCTCCATATTAGTGATCAATGGACCATCTCGAACGTTCTGTCTAGCATTAACAGAAAAATTAACATTGCTCTTCGTATTAGTTCTTAATGAGAAGGCAGTTGGGGTATTATGGAAGTAGTCTCTATTTAATAGACCATTGATATTTTGTGAAATATCAGAAAAGAAAGGTGGGGCCATTGTTGATTCTGATCTTGGGCGTGTTCAGATAATTCAATTACAGAAAAATAGACTGTATATTTTAGTTTTTGAATTGATCTATGTTTACATCTCGAAATATCAATTGTCTTTATCACCAAAATCTCTATTTTTTTTTGTTTAGTCGCTCTTTAATTTTTTGGTCTGTTTGCTTCTAGGTTAGTTCAGTAGAAATGATTAAGTAAATTTGTTACCAAGTAACAGCGCAATGTTAGGTAAACTTATATCCATATATAGTCATAGTGTAATACAATGACGTTTTAACTAATGTCCTTTCAACCAACTACATTGCTCAGTTTTAACGAAATGAAGATCGATGGTTGTATAAATTATTAAACACATCGGCTATTAATTATGCGGTGCACGGGTGGTTTTCCATCATCAATATATAGTTTTCATTTTAGAAATGTCAAAATAATTGTTGAAATTTATGAAGAAACAAAAACAATTGAAATGACAACTCAGTCACGATAAAACATTTTGGCAAAAGAGTGAAAATTAAATAAGTGAACATTATTAAACATTATTAACTCTATCTAACAAAGGATTTATTCACGTTTCGGAGAACGTGAGTTGTATTATTTTTTAACCGTTTTCGATTAAGATTAAAGGAATCCTATCCTGTTTTCAGCTTTGAATATATTTATTGCTCACAATTGCATAAAGGTTAGCCATTAAAGTAATCGACAAAGGCGTATACACAACAGATTACATAGATATTACTAGAAGTGTATCATGAGTGATCAATCAGATAAACAACCGATTAAGAAGAGGTCGTTGAGCAGCTACCTATCGAATGTAAGTTCTAGAAAAGAAGAACTTATTAAAATTGCACAAAAGGAAAAAGAGAAACAAGAACATGAAAAACTTGAGAAAGTTAGATTAGAAAAAGAGAAAATAGAGAATGAAAAATTAGAGAAAGAAAGAATAGAACGAGATAGAATTGAAAAAGAGAAAATAGAGAAAGAAAGAATTGAAAATGAAAGAATTGAAAATGAAAGACTTGAAATGGGAAGATTAGAACAAGAAAGAATTAAGAATGAAATAATTGCTAAGGAGAGATTGGAACAAGAGAAACAAAATTTAGAAAGAATAGAACGAGAAAGATTAGAAACGGAAAAATTACAACAGGAGAAACTATTACAAGGAAAACTTGAGCAAGAGAAACGAGATCAAGAAGAACGCGAAAGAGAAAGGATTGAAAATGAACAAGAGATATCAAAACAGAATACTGATGATGAAAACCAGAAAGTTCAAATAGAACAACCGTCCACTTCAAATGATAAGAATACAATAACGAATTCTCAATCAGAGGATCAACTAGTTACAATTCCCGAGATTCATACAGAAAATATAAGTCATATAATTCATCATGTGGAGAAACGAAATGACGATCATCTAATAAAGGATAATCATGATGAAATAGTACAAGATCAAAAACATTCGCTGAAGACAAACATCGACTTACAATTGCATCATACGAAATCTCATGATACAATATCTCGTGATACTTTGAAATCTTTGTTGAAAGAGCCTAAAAACTCAGATGATTATAAAGAAAGCGAAAGTGATAATCCGCCTACTAGTACCAAACAAGAAGGGGATTTTGAGTCATTTAAAGAAATAGAAAGTGAAGGTGAAACAGAAGAAGGATCTCCAGTAAAATTAAGAAGAGGTAAATTAGTTAGAGGAGATAAGATGAATGCACCCCAAACAAACTTAGATGAAGACTTAATGTTTGCTAATAACTCTGACTCCGATCTCTCAGATATTGATGATGACATGAAAAGTGTAGGGATTACAAGTAGCTTCTTACATGATAATTCCTCTCCACAAAAGGGTACAACCATCTCGACCGAAAAAACTGGATCCACGAATGAATTGTTTCCTTCTTCGCCTATCAAACGTGTCATTTCGTCAAAGGATCGTAATAAGTCTCATATTGCTGTTTCGAAACATAGTAAGACTAAAAAAGGTCTATACAGAGACTCTGGAGGTAGAACCAAACTTCAAATCGCTTGTGATAAAGGTAAAATTGATACTGTGAAGAGTTTATTAGCTGAAGGTGATATAAATATTAATGATCAAGATAATGCTGGTAACACACCACTACACGAAGCTGCATTAAATGGTCATATAGATATTGTAAAATTATTAGTCGAAGAAGGTGCAAACATCAATATGCAATCTTATGAAATGTTTCAAGATACTCCTTTAATTGATGCATCTGCTAATGGTCACCTCGAAGTTGTTTCATATTTATTAAAAAATAATGCCGATCCGACAATTACAAATGCAAAGGGTATGACAGCATACGAAGCCATTGAAGAGGATTCAGATCTTGATGAATCAGAGAAAGAATTAGTTGATGATATTAAGAAAACATTAAGAGAATCTACTAAGATCTGGAATGATGAACATGAAAGTGATGCTAATAGCGACCTTATATCCAGAGGAAGACACAGCACACCTGGTGGCGGACACGAAAATAGCCGTTCAGGTACTACAAGTCGTCATGATTCTAGTGAACCATCTGGGTTACATAGGAAGAATGGAAACAGTTCAATAGATAAAGACCATCTGACTAATGAGGAAATACCATTTTACTGGAATGATATCACTACGTCAACTGGTAAGAATAAATTATTGAAAGCTTCTAAGGAAGGGAATCTTGCATATGTTGGTCAATATTTAGAAAATGGTGGACGTCCAGATTTTAAATCATTTTTCGAAGCAGTTAAATTTGGCCATTCTGAAATTACTAGTTTATTCCTTGCGTTTGGTGCATCAATTAATAATACTGCTAGAGATGGTATAACTCCACTAATGATTGCAGTTGGTCGTGATCATTTAAGTACAGTTAAACTTTTACTAGAGGCTGGTGCCGATGTACTTGCAAAGGATAAAATTGGTCACAACGTTTTATATTATGCCAGAAATAGCATGGTTGGTTTAAATACACCAGAAGAAATTGAATTGATCGAGGAAGCTACTAAGAAAGCCGGTGGTTCTATTGAAGTTGAAGACATAGAAACACTTGAACCACAACCAAGATCTATTGAGAACAACTTCTTAGATGAACCACCCAAAAAGGAAATTACAGTTCATAAAAACAAACCTTGGAAGAAACATGAACCGGTCATTAACAGTAAGGAAATGGATCAAGAAATGTCTGATGAGGAAGATGATGATGTTGCCATACCTATCAGTAAAAGAACGGCTTCACCAGCATTAAATGTTAGTCATGATCATAATAGAAAGAGAAGATCGCCTGAAGCTCATAATAATGATAGTCATAATAGTAGTAGACATCAAACTCCTGTTCCAAAAGAATTTGAAATTGAAAATGAAGAAGAATCTCATGGAGGTACGCATGATAGTAAACGTATAAAACATGAATTATTAATTGATGGTGAACCACGAACTCAAGGACCTGATAAATCTAAGAAAGTTAATGAAGAGACTGCCGAAGAGAAAGAATTACGATTAAAAGCCGAAGAAGAATACAGATTACGTAAGATTCAAAATAAGAAATTAAAAGAGCAAGAGATGCTACATAAGATGCAAGAAGATGAAAAGAAACGTGACGAAGAAAAAGCAAAACAAAAAGTTGAACAAGTTAAAAAATTAGAAGAAGTTAAAAAACAACATGAATTAGAAATACAGAAACAAGAAGAGGAAGATGAAATATCTAGGAGACGCAATATTAGATCTAGATATCCCTTGGGTCTTAAGATTATTAGTGATAATTTGAATTCTTCCTTGGCAGACGATGATTATATGAAATATCTTCCTTTATATTTCACAACTTTTGAAGATTCAGGAGATAAAAGGTTCATATTAGATTTACAATTACAAATCATATTAATTAACAGACACGAACTGTTTAATTCTATTGTATCAGAAATACAAGATGATAAAATCCCTATAAGCTTAATTCAAGAGAAGACCGCACTATGGAATATGATGAAATTCATATTTTTATACGGTGGTTCAATGAATGATAATGATACTTCTTCTGGGAATATTCAAAATACATTAGAACAATTAAACATTGATACAAGGCTAGACTTTGAAAATCAAGAGTTTAATAAATTTTCCCAATTACCATTAAATTGGATTCCTTTGGACAATATTTTATCTTTGATCCCTCATGACCTCCTTGTACCTATTGAATCCCAAATGATTCAAGTGCAACCTCCTCAATTGAAACAATCATCATTAATACCGCCAACCACGAACTCAAACAAGACTGTCCCTGCATCATCATCATCATCAACGCCATTATCTCATTTACCTATTAAATTACAACGTCGTCACGTGGTCACGAACCTGTGCTATCACTATAGACGGGCACCCACAAACCCTGCTCGTACTCAACGACAATTTACAGCTCTGTGGCAGTGAAAAGAAACCGAAAATTCCTTCACCCGCCGTCCCCGAAAAGAAGCTTCGCACAAACTGAAAATATTGTTTTTCTGTTGCATGAATGGGTTGGCTACGGCTCTTTTCAGGGCAATTTCCACAAGATTAGTTATTTACATGAAAACTCCCGGTGAGTTTTATCTCTCTTTATGCATTATACACGTTATATAGTAATACAATCCTTAGAGCTGATTGGTCCATGCTTGTTAAGTTCAATATAATTGTCAAGTCCGCAATTCCCGAACCACTGCGGCAGTTATTGTGGAGATTAGGAATTCACATATATATTTTCTTCTTGCCCTCCCCCCCCCCCGGGGAACTGCTTCTCTTGCTGCCAAATTTTGCATGTCTCTTGCTGTTTGCTGTTTCAGTACTTCGTCCTCTGTTATGACAATCTGTCTGCAGAACAAAACAGGGACTATTGTAATAACGAATAATGATAATAATAATTTTATTAGCGAATCCAGTGATATTTTCTTATTTTTTTTTGCAGTTTTAATTCCCCTGGCTAGAGATATACGTTATATTTTTTTTTGTAAATTAGATATAAATATATAAACATAATAAATAGTTCGAACAATCATTATATATATTTTTTCTCTTAAACGCTAAAACGTTACGAATATTTAACACAATTCTCGAGATACTTTTCTGTTTTTTGTTTCAATTATAAGTTGTTTTCATAATAAATAAGGACATTTTACAATTTTACGTTCATTATTATCAAGTAATATTCACTATAGACAACTTTCTTTTTAAAACTTACACAAACATACACATACACACACAAACACACAATGTTACGTAATACTATTTGCAGAACAAGAGTTGCTCAACTATCAGCCAGAAGATTTGCTTCTGTTCAAGCTATATCGAAGGCTTCTATAACTGATTTAGAACATAGATGGGAACATATGCCATCTACTGAACAAGAATCTTTAGTTGCTAAATTGACACAGCGTCAAACATTACCTTGGAAAGAATTAACAGAGTCTGAAAAACAAGCTGCTTGGTATATCTCATACGGTTCATGGGGTCCAAGAAGACCTGTACTCGCTAAAGGTGAAGCTTCTTATGTATTACAAGGTGTCTTATTAGGTCTAGCTATCTCTATAGGTTCTTTTGCCTTTATTAGACAATATGGTGGTGAAGATGTTAAATCCATGAATAAAGAATGGCAATTGAAATCTGATGAATATTTGAAATCTAAGAATGCTAATCCATGGGGTGGTTATTCTCAAGTTCAATCTAAATAAATTTCTAATTGAAAAAGGAGAAGTTGAATCTTTCTAAATGATGATAGTTAAAAAACTTTACCATTACTTCATCCTTTTTTTTTAGTTTATTTATTTTGATCTTTACGCTTTTTATTTTGATTTTTATTTTACATCAAATTTTTTATCAAATATTCTTCCTTAGAACTACTACTACTACTACCATACACTAACAAAAAAGAAAGGATTTTTTTTATAGATGTGTAATTGACACATACTATTTGAATTTCTTTTTGCCCATTTTTTATTTATTTATGATTTTTCTCTTTTAGATTAAAAGATTTAAAATCTTAAATTCACAAAAGAACGAATATAATTGCAATTTATATCTTTTTGTTCTATTTATATACATCTATATGTACAGTCTAGATGACTATTTAATACTACTATTTTTTTTTATTGCGTTGTCCTTCTCAATTTACTACGTTTCTGTTACTATTATTAATTGTTTTTATTGAGATGTTAGCTTATTTCCTCTATATTTTGGTTAATTAATTACAGCTTTATTTACACAAGCTACTTGTTCAAAGTTACTCTATATAGTAGATGACTATAAATTCGCTTTTTAAATTTGTTCCAGTGGTAACCGGATCGTCTTTATGGGCATCGCAAAATTTTTCACATACATAACGATTTTTTTCTAGCTTTTTTATTTTAAAGATTAGTAACTAATAATGATTGACTTCATATGAAGCAATAAAGAATAATAAATTGCTAATTGAAATAACTAACATAAAGATTAACATATCATATTGAATTAAAGAAGAACAAAATATGAGTTTTTCATTTGGTTTTACAACAGATGATTTAGAAAATGATCCTTCAGGAACATCATCTACTACTTCAAATATAGATCCACAGACTAATGATAGTATTAATCCATTAGATGCAACGGAACTAACTGGTTCAGATATTATTCAACCAAAGATTGAAAATGTAGATGATATACTAAGAAGTTTGAAAGATGTTAGAGTCTCTTACGAAGCTATTGATGTACCCTCAATGGATAGAAATGAAATAAATTCTGCAAGATTATTTAGAAGAGATTTATTCGATATGAAACATCAATTGATGTCTGAAGATAATAATACCACTCTTTCAAAAGATGATGACGATGAATTAGATATCTTAATGCACGAAGATCTTAGAAAAAATATATACGAAGGTGGTTTAAAATCATGGGAATGTTCAATTGATTTAGTAAAATTATTAAATGATGGGTTCAATAATACACAAGAGTTGAATTTTGATCAAATTAATTGCATCACAGAAATTGGTTGTGGTACAGCATTACCATCACAATATATTTTTAGTCAATATTTAAAACAAAATAGATCCTCAGGATTAAAGCTAATATTGACAGATTATAATTCTAGTGCTCTTCGTTTAGCTACAATTCCAAATATAATATTAGCTTGGGTTAATGCCGTGTTAGATAAAGAACAATTATCTAAATTACAACCTGATGACATATCAATGAATTATGATGAAGAAATAATGTTTTCCGCAGCTTTATTAGAAGCTTTCAATCAAGATATTAAAAATAAAAACATTTCATTAGAATTCATATCAGGTAGTTGGGGTCGTAAATTCTCCAATTATTTAAACGATATGTTAAGTTCGACAACAACTTCAAATGAGTTACTAGTATTAACTTCCGAGACCATATATCAACCAGATCATCTACCTCTCATATCGGAAACATTGATTGAATTAAAACAAAATACTCATTTTGAAAAAGTTAATACAATGGTAGCAGCAAAGGATATATATTTTGGTGTTGGCGGAAGTTTGATAGAATTTGAAAACTATTTAAGGAAAAAAAATGTTCAATTTGATACAAGGAAAGTCAATGCAGGCTTGAAAAGATCTATCGTTTTAATGTAGGTGGTTACTATTTTAACCAACCCATTATATTTATATCTTATTTTATGTCTTCAAAAAATATAAATAAATTAAAATTATGCACTAAGCTGTTTAAGATTATATATATGCGTATTTATAACAAATGTCCTGATTTGTTTAATTATTTTATAACAACGGAATGCAATGATTCCAAATATTTTGCGTACGACTCGGTGTTTAAGATTGGGTCTTCGACCATGCAATTAGTGATACAATCAACAATATCTTGAAATATATCTGTAGTTTTTGATAATGGTATAATATGATATCTGTCATCAATATCTCCAACAAAAATGTATAGCGATTGGTATTTGATTAAAGTATCTTGAGATTTTTCTCTAATCTTTTCTATAAGATCTCTGGTTTTGTGATTTATAGGTGAGTTGGAAATCTCTGGTATTTCTGTAAGACCCTCAACTATATCCTCTGGGCTATCTACGGCAAATAAACCCGTTAGTAATTCCGATTTAACACTGGAACCTATCCACAAGATTAAATCAATAGAATTGTCTAGTAGGTATATACCTTCAGTAGAACAATTCAATATGCTATTATTGATTGGTTTAGAGATGCCTTGATTGAACTCCATTTCGTGAATAGGATACACTGTCGGATATACCATTTGAATTAAATTAGGAAGATATGCAGTATTCATTATATTGAGAAAGTCAGCTCTACGATCATCGTCTGAACATTGATCTCGAAATCCGGTACATTTTTCAAGTGCGAGAACCAACATTGGTAATAACTGTATAGCCCTTGGCAATTGGAAGGTATCCTGAAATTCTTTGCTTTTATGAATATTAATAACATGATGTGAATATGATGATATCAATTTTTTAAACGATTCACTCAACGTATTCCGTACAGATGTTGCAGGATTGCTATACATCTGACTTACAGCAATACGGCTAAAATAAAAGAATACTACCTTTTGATCAATTTTATTATACAATTCCCTTATGGAGCTGGTAGTAGGTAATGGCAAAGTCATGACACGTAGTCTTCTTTCACCATTGGTTTGAGTTGAAAGGATTGACACTTGAAAGAACGCCATGTCGCTTACATAATCGTTATCCAAAGTTATATCAAATGCGTAAGATTGGTCTCTTGCCATTATTGGACTGTAGTATACCCCAGGAGATCTTTCAAATATATTACCATAGGGAGTTTGTACCTTCATACCATGCGATGCTTTTACTTCCATCAATACATCTAGTGATAGATCCATTGTAAGTGTGCTATATAATTCAATGGAAAATCTTACATCATCAAATTTATCATCTTGAAGTTTAATATTTGTATAATAATGTGTCTGCCCTGAGGTTATTTTTGTTAGGTTGGATAATGTAGCTATATCCAGATAGTTACCATCAGATGAGTAAAATTGATCAATGGAAACACCTACTTCCACGCATTTCATTGCAAAATTCTTATAGAATATGTCTTGGCAATCCATTGTTGTCTGTGGTCTTAATATTCTCAATTTTGTGTCAGTTTCATTAGCTCTATTATTTTGATTGCGTCTGACCTTCAATTTACCACAACCAATATTCGGTAAAGTTGATCCAAGTATAATGATTTTACCCCCAGTTCTTTGCATTAAGAGATAAGCAGTTTCTAATGCCGGGCCTAACGCAAATTGGGCAGATTGAGACACCGTAAATATTTTTTCCAAACTTTCAAGGAGTGTGGAGATACTCTTTTTATAGCCATGAATTGGTGCTCGTAGTTGTTCTTCGGGTACCGGGAGAAATGCTTCATCGATATCAAACACGTCATACATCGAAAAGCTTGATTTTGAATTTCGTTTATCTACGACTTCGTCACTCAGTATAGAAAAGAAATGCAAATGGTTATTTACGCAAATGAATGAAATTGTAGTCCCATTATCATAATTGGGTATTCTATCTAGTGTTTGTTTTATTGTCTCTAACGATTTTTTTAACATCCCACTTTTTATAGAATTATAGGAAACGTCAATAATAAATAAGAGATTTAAGTTTATCTTAGTTTCTTCAACGTCTGTACGTTTCTCTAAGTCATATTCAACTATTGAATATTTTATCTCCGTTCTATTTTTATAAATTGTGTTGTGATTCACATTGTCTGATTCATTTTTGATATCGTCACTATTGTATAAAATAGGCAGATCGTTTGCCAATTTACAGAAATTGCACCTCCATTGGTTTGACTGTGGCGTAAATTTCACATATGGATTGATATATGAACCACATCTCTTACAATTTATAACTAAACCATCATTACAAAGGGGCACAGGATTCTTGTTATCGTAAAGACTAGTGTATGGTTTTAAGACTAATGCAAATGGTATATTACTCTGTTTCAAAATAGAGGCCTTGGTTGGGACAGCTGAAAGCGTACATCTCATGTACTCCGATAAAGGTATTGTTGAGTCATAATTAAAAGTCGTATCTCCATAAGGTAATTCTATAGCAGGCGGGGATTGGGTAAGACCTAGAATGTCAGGTTTCAACTGGTTAAGCAAATTGACACGATTTGAGGATACATTTAGATTAGATAATGTAGCTGTTTTATTCAGAAAAAATTGGGAACCCCTTATATCATTGTTTTCATTAAGATCTGTTTGTGATGGTGAAACTTCGCCCAAGGTAGATAGCGAAATATTAGACGAGTTTGGAGTCATTGAAGAATAAAACGTACCAGGATTAATAACAGGAACATTATGAAGGTCGTTTAGCGATAAAGTTGAAAGGTTTATTTGATTATGAAGTTGTTGATGTCCTAAAGACATACGAGTTTGAGGTCGCGAGTGGCAAGATGATGAGAGTGATGTACTTGACATATTATTTGCACTACTCATCAATGAGTGCGATTGCTGCATTGGTACATTTTTAGCATATACATCTCTGTTTATTAAATTGGCTGTCGATACACTTTTTTTCTGTGGGAATCCTTGTCTTTGAATAGGAAGCTCAGACATTCTAAAAAATAAACTGAATAATACAATGTAAACTAATTTAATCACACATGTAAACTCTTCGTGGTCAAACTTCCAGTTATTGTTCAAAAGTTCAAAAGGACTACGTCTAATTCTAAAAATTGATGGGAATTGTAAATTGTATTGACTGGTATTAAGTTTTCGAAAAATCGAATAGATCAATAGAGTGCCAAAATTAAAAAAGGAATAAAATAGTAACCAGTTGGCAAGAACTGTAAGTTGCCTTTATCAGATAGAAGACTTGGTGCGATGAAAAGTAGTCAGGTTGAACAACAAAAAGAACTTTCAAATGATTGTAATTCGAAAACGTAGAGCGACTGTTAGTGATCTCGTAAGATTTATTGTCTCCTTTACGGTAATATGACCACCTTTTGTAACGGAGTTTTCTTTAGATAGTTATACGCCGACTTGAAATGTCTTAAGGCCTACTGAAGTTCTTGATTAACTTTCTAATCTGTGGTTTCTTGATCCCATCAACTATTAAATCTTACGTAAAAGGAAAAAAGAAAGCCAAACGACGATTTCACAATCATCGGAAGTTCCTTTTTTTTTCCTTCTTCTGTATTTGTTTACTTCGCACAGAACGGCAAGAAGGAGGAGGAGGTAAATAGGCAGATTTGTCTTAAACTTTCATCGAGGCTTAACTGTCACATTCGAAAGAGGTTTGAAGTGATATAAATATAAAGGGAAAACTTAAGGACAAACAAGTGAAGAGAAGTCTACAAAAGAATCCATATATAGTTCAATTACATCAGCATAACCAAGGAAAAAGAAAAATGGGTGATCAAATCGAATTTTTCAATCTAAAAAATGACGAGAAGGTTGTCTCGCCCTGTCTAACTATTCATGGTAAACTGAATAGTAAAGCTTCAAATGCTAAGAACATTCAGGTTCAACACCCACAGTTACCTGCCTTAACATTTCCAATTAATGCCCAATACTTTAAAGCTACAATATTATTAAGTCCAGGTGAAAATAGGCTGACATTTATTACTGACACAAACATCGTACAAAACATTACTTGTACTTATACACCATTGACTCAAAATAAACCAATCCATTTATGTTTGATAGTGGCAAAAGATTCTCCATTAAAATTTGACTCTCCTAAGACTCAGATTGCAAAAGAAGGTGGTAATGATCTGAATTTAGCAGTCAAAAAGTTACGAATCGCTGCTAGATTGATGCAAGCTTTTACTAACGAACAAATGATGCGTAATGGATTCGGCAATCGTACAATGAATTTTGTCGAAGAGTTTGCTTACGATACACAGTTCAAGAATAATCAAACAATGAGAAACACCGTTAAAATTCATATTGTAAAATCTCAAAGATCCTTAAAAGAAATTAGGGATCCTAATGTAGCACAACAAAATAGTAAAGGTAATAATACAGGTGCATTATTTGGTTGGGCTATGGATGCCCTGAGAGAATACGGTGGACCATTTGCAACCACGGAGCCTCCAGTACAAGCTGCCTGTATCTATCTAGATGGTCATTGGGATGGTAATATGATATTGGGCCACGCTGCTCTTGGTGGTGGTGACGATAATATTAAATTAGCAATTTTTGGTTCTCATGGTTTGTATTCTTGGCCAACTTGTATGGAAGATATCGTTCCATATTTTTTGGACCCAACCAAGTCGTCGTTAAATGAGGTTGCTAATGATTGTAACGAATGTGGGTCTCATTGGGAATGTCTAACAGTTACTCTTGGTGCCTTTATGCACGAAGTGGGCCATTCGTTAGGTTCACCTCATCAAGAATCTGGGGTGATGTTGAGAGATTATACAAAATGGAATAGATCATTCTTAACTCAGGAAGCATATTCTATTAGAACGAATTCATACGGTGCCAAACCACCTATATTCCCCTCTGAAGAATGTACTTGGCATAGACTCGATATGCTGAGATTTTTATTTCATCCAGCATTTACTAGAGAGGTGGATTACTTTGATAGGTCATTTAATAGACCTTCTAAAAACGGACGGTACTCTGTTCCAAAACCAGCCATGTATTTATTAGGTAATAACTCCTGTAAGTTTTCCTCCCAAACAGGTATATACTTAATTGAAGTTATTACTGAAGATTTAGCTAGAGGTCACCTAGAGTATTTACCATTATCATTGGGTGGACCAGGGCCTCAAAAGGAAGTTGTCGTGTCATTAAAAGAACTACAAAATTTATTACCAGCAAATCATGCGAAATACAAAGACTCGTTTAATATTAGAATCCTTGCGTGTAACTCTCCTGATGCTAATTTTGATAACTTCCCAAGTTTATTAAATGCATCAATGATTCCGATGGATAAATATGGCTTCCCTTCAAAAGTTCAAGGTATTAAATCACAATTACTCGGTGGTGCCAACCGTGGTATGGAAATCGGTATTCTTGGTTTTGATATAACAAAAGTATTCTCTGTCAGAGTATATCATGGAGGTGCACTTGATGGTGTACGCTTCTTTTTACAAAACCCAAAGGAATCCACTTCTCCTCAACCTGTAGAAAAATCACCTGTGGTTCCACCAAGAACTTACCTTGGTAAGCTAACCAATAGTTTCAAGTCCTCTCCAACACCACCTGCGAGACCATCTTCTAATAGTAAAAGTATCTTATTTGGTAAACAAACTAATAATTTCTCTGATGTAACTTTGGAGCCAAATGAAATAATTACTGGGTTTAACGTTAGATGTGGTGCATGGATTGATGGTATTCAATTCATTACAAATCATGGTCGTATGACAGAAATGTTTGGTAATAAAAATGGGGGTGGACTTGCTGAATTAATACCTCCCCAAGGTCAGCAAATTGTGGGTATATACGGTAGGGTCAGCCAGTGGGTAGATGCCATTGGTATTGTGTACGCTAAGGTATAAAGCTTTATATATTTGATATATAATAATAAATAATGGAAATGAGCTTTCAACTTTTTTCAGTTTTACATAAATCATATAGCGAATAGAAAATAGTAATAAAATATGAGTTGTAATACTAAGTACTAGTGATAACAAAAAATATCGCAATATATATCAAATCAACTTTGACTATGACTTCTTTCCATCCTTGTAGGACTTTTGAGAGTAGATGTGTCTTTAGCGTACCCTTTGCCTGGATCCTGTCTTTTATTTAGATTGAATTGCAATTTGGCAAGTTTATCATTTAACTCCTTTAATTCGAGAGAATTTTCAGGTCTTTTCCGATTTCTTAGGTTATCAACTTTAGTGTCATTTTTTAATAAAGAGGGTGTATCCCCCTCGTTATAGTCCTGTCTCAATAAGGAAGGTTTACTGCCATTCATATTTGTGGTACGATAGGGTCCTGCCGTATCAGTCACTGGATTGTGTTTTTTAAAACGGTCATGTGTATCTCTAGTTGTATTTGCATGCATTATATTGTTGTTCATTAGAAGATTGCCTGGTGCCGTGGTAGGTATACGGTTGGAATCTGCCTTAAGTGGTTCTCTATCTAAGTGAACTCCAGAATCAGAAAAACTGACACTTGCTCTCCTCTTGGATAAGAAATCACTCCTGAATGCATCTGCTGTTGTTGGAGCGGTTGGAACAACCGAATATTTTCTTTCCTTATGAACAAGTCCAACTTCTTCTACAGTAGTTGTATTTAAATCAGTTTCGGGAACCAAATGGAACGTATCTGTTTCAATGTCATATTCATAAAGACTCCAGGTGATACCATAAGGTTTTGTCTCTAGACAATACACACAATGTAGTGGAACATCTAAATTCGCGATAACATCTACGCTTAGATTCATATAATACCCCAACAATGCTCTTGCAACAACTCTGTGGGTAACAATTAAAGCACTATCGCCGATTCTTTCTAATTCTGTAATAACCGGTCTCAATCTATTAATTACATCCATATATGATTCCCCTGCAGTACCAGGGTAACGATAACGTAATTTATCATGTTGCCTCTTTTCGAATTCATCAGCATGATATTTTTGAATCTCGGGATATGTCATCCCTTCGTAATCACCTGCATTCAATTCATCCAACATTTTCATTTCTTTTTTTGGATAATCTTCATCATTAAAATATTGAGCTGTTTCGATAGATCTTGTTCTCATACTAGTCCATACAAAGAAATCATGAATTGGTGGTGTATTATTATCTGTCGTAGCAATTTCTTGTAAAATATCATCTTTACTCTTTATTTGGTTTGTAGATTTCATCTTATCTACCTGAGTGTTATAAAACAGTACACGCTGTTGATCAATAAATTTTGATAATGCTTTTGCATATTTCAATCCACGTACAGTTAATTTAGAGTTACCACCAATTTTACCTAACATATTATCTTCACTTTCACCATTTCTTGTTATCCAAATTTGTCTCTCAGCAAGATTAAAATTCAATAAGTAATACACTGTTTGAGAAGCTAAAAATCCTTGTATATCATAAGCGATAATTTTTTTACCGACATCTATCATTTTGATATAGGGGATATCTTCGTCATCTTCAATAGGTTCATAAGCCTTTAGATAATTTTTTAATCTATCTTTAAAATCTCTTAGTGAGTCCTCTGGATTTTTACCTTTGTAATCTGGGCCAAAAAGTTTCAATTTAATATTATTCTCTACCACTGCTTGATTTGTACATACAGATTCCAAATATAATACTTTCAAATGTTCACTTCTTTCATGAATTCTCTCTAAAACTAATTTTCTACGTTTCTTTGTAGTATTAGTTGCATCAAATATCCCAACAGATCCACGACCGACAGTTAAATAGTCTAATAATTCATCTAATGTATCCAATGCCCATTTATCTCTTAAATGAGTTGAGTCACTATTATGCGGATCAAAAAAATTAGAGTCCTGCTCTGTTAATCCATGTTCTTTAGCAAATCTTCTTCTTGTATTCCCCACATTAAATACTTGACAATAATACATTGAATAATTCAAATAACGTGATAATTTATTAGTAATAAATGATTTTCCAGTAGCTGGTAATCCAACCATAATAATTATTAATTTAGATCCTAAATCTTCATTTGAAATCATACCATCTGGTGAAGTCTTGGATTTAGTTAATCCTGGCACATCAATTGTTGTAGGTCGTCTTTTAGAATATACAGCTTTATTTTCTTTTTCTTTAACAGATTCATTAACATTATTCGTATTATAACTGGCGTGATCTCTATCATTGTGTGGTATTACTTTATTTTGTAAAGTATTACGTTGTGTTTCACTATCATATTCGATATCGGCATCTGAAGGCAAATCTTTCAACTCTGTATGACTGGATATAGGGGAAGGTTTCCCAGAAACATTTGGAGATGTCCAACTACTATTAATAGGTGTATCACTTAAGGGTCTAATTTTAAAAGAAGGAATTCTTTTAACTGATGGTATTTCATTATTTTCCACTATATCATTACCTGTAGGATTATGTGAAGAAGGTAAATTTATAATAACATGTCTCGGAGCATCAATTAATAAATCTGTATTAATATCAGCTAAATCATCAGGAGAATGTAATCCTTCTAAATCACCCAATGGAGTAGAATCTTTGGGTTCAACATCAGAATCATAGGGACTCTGACTAACCGAACCATCTTTATAACTAATTTTTTTAAACATATCTTAACCCAGTGAAATGGGTGAGTATAATATTATAATTTGTGTTGTAGGTATATTACTTCTCCTTAGTAATCGGGGCGGGGGGGGGAATAACCAATAAAATTTAAAATTAATAAGGTTCAGAGAGAATAAAATTCTACAGATTTATTATCGAAGGAGTCAATTATGTATGTGTGTTTTTAATCCCAAGGTATATAAAATAAACGTTCTGACGTATAGTATTCAAATGCTTTAAAGTACCTTAATAATGATAAATTTGGATCTGTCTATCTCTGAAATAAATCTATAAGTGTAGGAGAATTTTTTAAAGTTTAGTAATGTTGATAATTTCGTAATCTGTCTTTCACCTAATCATATAAATGTAGATGACGATTACCACTCTTGTTTACCTGCTTTTTCCTTTATCAACTGATTAAATGGCTCTTCATATATACCTTAAATTTATTATAAATCCATTTTCCCTTTTTTTTGTCTTTACCTCCCAAAACAGTTAAAAATCATTTCAAAATTTCAAACTTCTGCTTTCCGATTAAAGGAAAAAGCACTAGGTCTAGGGCGGTGGAACCCTAGGGTTGGGCGCCAGGGCACAGCCAGCTGTTTGAATATTTATTTATTTAACCTGATCGGGCTAATAGAAAACAAAAGGAGAAAAAATACCCGTAAAGAGAGAAAGAGAGATGAAAACAAATCAAAGGACTTAAGACAGAGAGAAAGAGTAACATTCACAATTTTTTAAAGATAGGTAAGGCTGGAAGTCTGTGAGAGTGAAGTCCTTATATTTGCACAATTGGTAACAAACTCTTTCGTATCAGTACTATAGATATATTGTATTCGGCAACAACTTTTTCAATATAATTGTCTTAACGCGATAGAAGTATATTTTATTCCACATTATATTTATTTTTGAACTTTATCCTGTTTGGTTGGTCTCTTTAAACTAATTACTTTCAAACTATCGTATTTATACCTTTCATTATTCTACAAAAGCAAGATGTCCTTTTTACAAAACTTTCATTTAAGTCCAGGTCAGACTATACGTTCCACAAGAGGTTTCAAATGGAATACTGGAAACAATGAACAACCACAAGGCCAGGGTCAAACTCAACAAAATGGTCAAAATTCTCCTTTGGCTAACAAAGGACAATCAGATTTTACATCAAATTCTAATTTTATGACAACTCCCATAAAACAAAGAGGCACAAATAACCCATCTTTATTTAATGCACCTGCTGATCAGCAACAACAAGTTACCGATTTTAATTATACCCCTTCACATCAAAAACCCTTTATACAGCCTGTATCAGGAACTACAGTTACTACTCATCAAGATATTAAAGAGATTGTAGAGACAACTTTAGGTTCTGAAGGTGTACTAAATCAAGCTGTTAAATTACCAAAGGGTGAAAATGAAAATGAATGGTTAGCTGTTCATGTTGTAGATTTTTATAATCAAATTAATATGTTATATGGTACTATTACAGAATTTTGTTCACCAGAATCATGTCCAAGAATGATTGCTACAAATGAATATGAATATTTATGGTCATTTGAAAAAGGTAGATCTCCAGTATCTGTAAGTGCGCCAAAATATGTTGAATGTTTAATGAGATGGTGTCAAGATCAATTTGATGATGAATTAATATTCCCAAGTAGGAGAGATGGTGTGTTCCCAGATAGGTTTATTGATAAAGTTATTATTCCGATGTTAAGAAGATTGTTTAGAGTCTACGCTCATATATATTGTCATCATTTCAATGAAATTCTAGAGTTGAATTTACAAACTGTACTAAATACCAGTTTTAGACATTTTTGTCTATTTGCACAAGAATTCAACTTATTACGCCCCTCAGATTTTGGTCCTTTACTAGAATTAGTTACAGAATTGAGAGATAGGTGAAATTTTTTACCGTATTTTTAGTTGTAACTTATATGATTTATTATATATCTATGTATGTGTATGTATATATAAGTTTGATATATTATTAGAAGTAGTCGTACAATGTTACTTATTCTGTATCTAGACCCTTTTGTGCAAGGTATTCACTTTCTGTTAATATTTCCATCTCTCTTAGTGTCAAATTTTCAGTGATAGGCTCAGCTGTTTCCAAATTGACATCAGAGATACAATCAAAACTGATATTTTCTTCAGTAATTGTATCAAGTTCTTTCTTCATTTGAATGGCAAGACTTCTTATAATTACTTCATCACCATAGCTGATGAACCATGAACAAAGATCATCTAACAAAACTTTATTGTAAACATAATAAATATCATGAAATCTAAAACATTCATGGATATCTAATAGTGCTTTTATCACCAATCGTTTACCACCTCTTAATAAATAATATGTATTTGTCCATGCTTTTTTAGATAATGTAAAGTTTCTATGGAGTGGATATGATAGAGATCTTTTAATACCGATCTCAATAGCTAATCTAATAATTGATTCTTCATCGCTATTGTTTTCGGTGGTAAGGTTGTTCTGTGATACTTCAAGAATATTGTTTGTTTGAGGTTTATCTAATTTCAATTGTTGATCTAAAAATGAAATTTGTGGAGTTAGTTTACCAATTGTCCAACTTGTCTCTGAGTTATGTGTACCTTCGTTTTCAATTTGTTCAAAATTGTAACTAAATAGTAACGATAATATTGTAATATAATTTGTCTTCACACATTGTGGATTAACAAAATATTCCTTCTTAGGTAAATTGTTTTGCATTTGTGTTTGTTCCTTTTCGTTGAACTGTATTGGCATAGGATCATCATTAGTAGGATATTTTTTGTACCATTTTAAAAATTGTTTAGCTAAAGGTGGATTAAATTTCAATAATTCATTTATACCATTGATTTCAATATCTTCCTCATTACCGTACTTAGAAGTCATATATTCAGATATATAGTACTCGGCATCAAATTTAAAGTTACCTTTATCTGATCTTTCCTTCACCCTATCATTAGCACTCGTATGTTCAGGGTCATTAAGTTCATTTATATCATTCCCATTAGATAAAGAGACTCCGATTATATCATTATAATTATTATTGAACCCGTATTTAAAGCCTAATAGGTCGTTTGCTGATTCAGTATGGGCCGTTTGTTCGATTTCCCAATCAAATAATCTACCTGTCTTTTCAATATTTTCTAAAGATTCAGTTTGTTGTTGAGAATCAACGGAATTTTGTCCATCTATCTCTTGGATAAGTGGACCCTTTGGTACAGCTGTATTTTGAGCGCCATTCTCCCCGAGTCTTGCTAACAGTTTACTATGTAAATCCAAATCTTCAAACACTTGGCCCTTATTTAGCTTTGGAACTTTAAGTAGAATAGCTTCTTCTCCAGGTACAAATGTGGCCATTGATTTTTCTGTTATGGTGCTATCAGTAGAATCATCTTCCAATTCAGGTTCTTCTTGAAGTTGGTTATCAAAACGAAGACGTAAATAATAAGGTGATAGGTGGAATATCAAAACATTTCCGGTTACATTTAGTTCGACGTTGTTAGAATTAAATCTAATGGATGAAATATGAACTTTCACGAACAAATAGGAATCATCTTGAGTAATTTCAAATCTAGGAGTAATCATGATCAGTTATAGCACTATTGGTATGTAGTGGGTATCCAGCTGATTATTGGATATATTAAACTGTTCACTTTTATAAACGTGAGTGTATTTATTATTTTATAAACTTGACACTTAGTTTATTAATTTATCTTTACTATTCAATATTGAAAAATTTTGACCAAAGAAAAATTTATTCGATGAGTTCGTTTCTTTTTCTATTTACAAAGGCCTTATTTTAAACCGAAGAGCTTTCGTTTGTAAGCTCTTTTATTTTTCGGTCAGTAAACCGTGCAAAAATTATATTAAAAAAATTATTTAGCGAATATTATCGATGTGTATAGAATGTATTTAAGTATGGGTGGATATCAGGAATATATTCAATTAATTCTAAAAAGTCAAGAATTTCATTGTCATTCCATTAAGCTCAGCAGTAGGATTTTATGCAAAATTGGAGCTTGTAAGGTTTCGTGAGTAATATAAAATTGCAAAAGAAATTGAAGTTCCTCTCAACAATCTCTTGATTTTTCTTTTACCTTTTTAATTGCTCGTTCATTCGGGGGAAATGTCATTCATTGTCCAAGTTTCTTAACAGTAGGTAGATTTCTTGTTTAGCGACGGCCTTCTATTTTGTTTTAGACTTAAAATGAATGCCATGGCCTTGAACATTATTTGAGATCCTTTGTTTTCTTTAGTCTTCGGTAATTATATCGATCTAAAACTTTAGAACAGTGAGAAAAATTGTTCATTTCATTTTCAATAAATCAATATTATTATAATAGCTCGCAAAAGATTGTAGAAGAAAATGCAAATAATATTTGTATGTAGACAACAAACCATTTGAAATTTTATTCTTCTGGCATGTAGAGTATATTGTTTTAATACATGGTATTGATCTTTTTGTGACAGAATTTTGTAAAGCCATAAAACCACACTCTCAGTAAAAATATATTTTATCGAAGTACATGTGGAAACTATTAGTATTTCTGTCAAATTAGATGTATATGGTCAGCATTGGAGTTTTAGAAAGATTCAGCCACTCATGCAGAAGATGATAGCCATCAAAATGAAACACTTTCTTTAAAATATCATTATACGCTGAACCTCATGATGATATTTTTTGTGGATAAATTATCGAGCTATCTTATCTCATGAAATATAAGAACAATTAAACTAACAGCAGATATACCTTCTGCAATTTTTTTAGGAACTATAATAATCCTGATAGATTTAATGCTATGTCACATAAAAACAAATAGAAATCTTTGATTTTATTTTTTTTCTTTTTGCTTGTGCTTGTGCTTTTGCTTTTGCTTTTGCTTTTATTTGTTGTCGCAGCCAAACAACATAATAGTCAGGAATTAGTTTTTTTTTCTATATGTACAAAAGATAACATCAGAAAAAAAAAGTAAGACTATATGTCAAAACAAAGCAACCAACAAGTAAGTGTGCCATGTGGATTTTTCATCATAGCCAACTGATTGGTTTAATAAATAAGGTGAGAATACCGAGATTTTTTGAAATAGAATAAGCTTTAGTAATGACAGAATTAAACAACATTTCATTCGTTTGTGCCGATAACAATAACGATTCATTACTGAGGAGGACCAAAGAACCAAAACAAAATTATTAAAATTATTACTATTATAATTATTATTACTAACGCAATAGTTATACGAGTTATTAGATAATGCAACATTTAAAAAGTGATATATGCTATTGATACCTTCCGTCTTGCCAGTAAGGATTTTGTTGTCCAGTTGGGGGTAATTGACCAGGATGATAATACTGCTCTTTTTCTCCGTTTGGTCTCTGGATAACATACGGGCCAGCATACTGTACATTTCTATTTTTGTTTCCTTGAGAAACCATTACTGCATTGTTAATATACTGAGGAGGAATATATGATTGCATTTGCCGTTGTATCGCCATTGGAGTTCCATTATTATTAGTTGGCAACATCCGATTGTCTTCCATTGTTGAATATTGAACAGATAAAGAAGGATTGGCAGCTAATTGGCCAGGCTGATGAACATTATCCGGCATGATTTGTTGAGGAATAATATGATGACCTTCATTGATGTACACCATTTGGTTAGGTGTGGGAACTTGACCTCCAGAGGGACCTTGTACTATTTGATGCGGTATGTAGACAGTTTGATGTTGATTAATAATGGGTAATCCTTGATGGTTCGTCGGCGTAGGAATAGAAATAATTTGTCTACCCATTTGGTCAATGTTATTCCTCTTGTTATAAGGATCGTATGCAAGTGGGAGGGGATACTGAATAGTTGATGGATACACTGGCGACGCGACATTATCGTACTGTGCAGACATAGCATACACTGGTTGACTGACGCCTCTTGCACCGTCTAAGAATGTTTGATTCATTGGAATGTTATTACCAGGGTGAATATTCACAGTGTTTTGAGGATGTTGTAAATAGGGGCTTTGAAAAGGGGCCTCTGAGGGCTCATTATTTTTAGGTGTTTCGCCATGCAAAGAATTGATTAAGCTATTAATATGTGGTAAATATGGTTTGTTCTGAATTTCCCTTGATATATCTCTATTTTGTGAACCAGGTACTCCTGGATAAAATTGAGGATATTGGGGAGTGGCCACAGGATGCTGGATATACTTTCCATCATATTCTTTTGCAATTATGCTAAAAGCTTGTTGAGGTACGTCCCTATTATTTAACCTCACGAGCGATTCATCAGTTGCAACTCTTTCTGACTGAGTACTATTTGTATTGGATAAAGGTTCTGTATCCGTAAAAATTCCCGAGTTGAGTTTGTGCCCTGAACGAGTTTTTTTAGTAATAGGATTATAAACGGCTTCTGGCGAGCTATTACTATCTAATGCATTATCATAATTTTCTTGATTCTCCAGGAACCAAGCAGCACAGTGATCAGGAAAATCTGCTCCAAATATAGGTACCAAAAAATATCGGATAGGGAAACAGAATTTAATACAAAGTGCTTTTGCAATTTCCATTGGGATCCAGGTACCTTGGATTTTAATGTAACCACCACGGATGCGATGAATCAGTTGTGTCATATCAAACCCATTGAAAAAAATTGATGGTACATTTTTCTCTTTAATCAGATGCTTCTTGAAGCTCTCAAAGAGTTCTTGTCTTAAAGAACTTGGAAGTGAGTTCCAATGAAGGTCAGTATATTTTGACTTCGATTGGGAAAATAGTTTATTAAATTCATCTAGAATATCAGAGGAGGTTGCCGAAGATTCTTTACTTGACTCTGAATTTTTTGAATCTGTAGATTTCATTGAGGTCGAGTTTGGATATTGTCTCTTTTTAGATTGTTGAGGTTTGGAATCATTTTCTGATGCTAAATTGAAAATTGTATGTGATAGGACTTTCTTAAATTCTTCAGCACACAGTTCTTGTAAGTTGCTATCATTGTTACAATTTTTACGAGGTATGGTTATGAGACCTTTCATTACGTCCTGGTATAGTCTCCAGATACCAGTCAAAAAAACATAACCACCCTCAAACGTCCATATAATACAATTGTTTGGATTGATGATTTTTTGATTTTTCTCTGAGTTATGATCCATTTTTTGTAATCGAAATTTTTGATTTTTGGTTAAAGAGTAACTAATGTTTTCGAGCGTTGTATCTTTGGCTGAGGCGTCAGGATGAATCAGATTTTCTAAATTTGCATCACTATCTCTCTTTATAGGTACTTTATCCCCTCCATTGTCTGGAATTACATTGTTTTTGGTGTCTCCGTTTGAATCATTCCTTTCTTTTTCATTTTCTGATCTTTTATCATCATCAGTGGGATCGATTATGAAACCATCCAGTATGAAAGTATCCGATTTTCCCAGACATAGATTTTCTCGATAAGTTTGCATGACTTTCTCTGTAGACTCTAAATTGGTGAAATCCTGTTCATCAGTGTTATCTTTATTAAATGATTGTCGCAAGTTTGGTAGTTGGTATTCAAAACATTCTAATAGATGTTTTGAACGTCTATGCCCACCTGCATTTCTTCCATGTCTTTTTGAATGCTTTTGTTTACTTTGATAAATTGGTGATGTGAATTGTTCTGCTATACTTGTTCGATAAGTGGTGTATTCTATATTGAGATCCAGATCTTTGTCATTCAGAAGTGTATAGTTAAAGAAGGATCTCTGGTAATCATCCAATGGACTGTTAGTGAGTTTGATTATTGATGGATCCAAATATGAAACTGGGAATTCTATGTCTTCATTCGAATTCCACTTGAAGTTCTTGATATGAATCGTGTCTGCTAATAAAGTATTCTCACTTATTGGTGTAGAGTCGCTTTGTGACGGTATTGAACTCCCTTTATATCTTGTTCTACCTTTGGTTTTCCCATTGTTGGTCATGTTTTAATGTAAAATATGGTGTCTTATTTAATAAAACTTCTTGTTCTTGCTTGTTCGTATTTGTTTCTCTGTTCCTTAATTTTTTTAATAATGTTTGAAGTTGCCTAAAATTCTTGATTTTGCGATTATAAAAATTTGTAATGTATTTGTGGATCTTTGCATTCGTCTGTTCTTAATTCAAATAAAAAGTTGAAGAAATAATAAAAGGATTAAAACAGTATCTCAAGTAGCTTGATGTTCTGTAAATGAAATGTCTGTAGTAGACTATTGTGTGGTTTAAGATGCGATTTTTTTTTGCTTATTATGAATTAATATTTTTTTTTTTAATCAAACTATGTTCTCGAGATGCGAAAAAAGAAACAAGCTAGATCTATGATAATATCTATAATAAAATGCTAATAAAAGTTAATGTGATAATATAGCAAACAAATATTTGTATTAGGTAGTTAACAAACTGGAATGTATTTTCAAAAAAATATAGTAATTTATTCAATAATAATAACAATAAAAAATAAATATGAAAGAGAAGGATAAATTAATGAAGATAAAAAATAAATAAAAATATTCCAGTTAAAACAGATATATTTGGAATTTGTAATGGTTTGAAAGGAGAGTTCACAACAACGTTTTATGGCAATATATATATATATATGTATTCGTATTTATATATTGGAGTTTGTGTTGTTATAACTTTTTTTCTTTCTTTCTTCCTTTCTTTCTTTATGTGTTAAATCTACTTTGGTTTTATTTAACGAAACAAATATTTTGAATTAATCGATTGATCGATTTAACACGCATATATTTGAACTTAATTGAAAGCCTAGTATCTTATGTATTTATAATGATATTAGCAGTTTTTAGTCAGTTTTTTGTAGTTTTTTTCCTTTTCTGTAATTTTTTTGTCTTTTTACTTCATCTGCAATGGAACAAATAGAAGATAATAAAATTTAAAATAGTAATAGAAGCTACAATTGATTTCATAATATTAAATTAAACTGTGAGGGTAGTGATGTTAAGAACAACCATGCTTGTATATAATGAATTACTCAATGCAAGTGTTTACAATTATGATTTATACATAACTTTCTTAAGAAAAGAAGTATGATCTTTTATCACCCCACTCAGCTGATCGTGGGGATTAAAATTATTGAAGAAAAATGAAGAAGAAGAGGAGGAGAATTAAAATAAATAAATAATGAATTGAAAAGAATGTGCCGTGTCCAATCAATAAAAAGATTCTTGAGAAAAGGAGGGCTGCTTCCTTAATACTACTGCACTATAAAGTAAGTATAAGTAAAAGTATAAATAATTGGAAAACATCGAGAAGATTATAGTTTTTCTTTAGTAATAAATTTTAATAAGTTTAACAAAGTAAAGGGTGTAAATGGCCCCTAAGATCAGGGGAGACCTGTTATAGAAAGCAGGTACTACGGGAAAAAGTGAATAGAACTCTAATTTTACGATAATTTTTCTGTGCACCATTTAATTTAATCACATGAAATAAACAATAAGTTCTCAAAATTCTCTGAATGTAATCAGAGATAAAATATCGGACAACAATAACTAAAAACCTTATAGTTTAATTAAATGATCTGGTACTTCAAGGAGTACTAGAATGTTGTAGAAAAAGATATTGTTCCTTAGAAGAAAGATGGGAAAAAAAATAAAGTATTTTTTAAAGAAAAAGAAGATCCACTCAGTCGCCAAAATTTTATTAAAAAATAAAAAATAAAAAGAAATAATTTTTTAATTGAGGCTGTTTTCCCAAGAATATGAAAGTTTTGTTCAATGAATTCGCGGAGGAAAACGATTTTTGGATAATATTCATAGGGTAATAGACTTGATGATAAACAGTATGAGTCGCCGAACGGGTTAATAAAAAACTATTCTGTGAAAACTAAGTTGTGGGGAGGTTTCTGAACAAAAATCTTTACAAGTCACGGAAGAAAATCGTAATATAGAAAAAAGAAAACGATAAACTAGGATCACTTTACTGGAAAAAAAAAATAGAGAATGCAAGAGACGATATAATAACGTTATGCTTCTTCCCATTCTTCTCTGTATTCATTCGTGACAAGATCCAGCATTTTCGAGAACCCTACAGACATTCTTTAGAAACGTCGGGCGCAAATGCGCGTTCTTTTTGTTTGATGTTTGTTTGTTTTGATTTTTGATTTTCTTTTTTCTGGAGATGTGCGGGTTTTTTATTAAAAATTTAAGATAATAGATTTATGCATTTTACTTGATTTCCTTCTAAATGCATTAAAAGAAAAAATACACAAAGCTGATCCTTAAAGAAATGTTAAAACAACAATAAACAAATAAATTTATAAAAAAGGTTTTTATTCTCAAATTTTAAACTCTGTAAGGTGATTTAACTAGCTTGTTCTTCCTAATTTCAGTGGAATCCTAGTGTTACGTCAGTAAAATTAAGTAGCAATTTATTGATTCCACGTTAATATATCGTAGATGTGAAATATCGTTGTTGCTTATTTAAATCTATATTTTAAGGGCAATATTTTTAACTTTACCTTTCCGTGTCCGCTCAGTAACTTCACCAGGTGGATTGATATATGCATATATTTTTTAGTTAAAATATATATGAAAAAAAAACCTGAGCCTGTTTCGTATGAGATTCAATTATATTTTCCTTTGGGTTTTTAATTCTATTCTACATTTCTGCTACATTTATCTTTAAATGTTCCAGTAATCACCTGAGTGTGATGTGTTTCTGGTAGAGTTGTATCATTTTGTACTTAATATGTCTACTTGTTTCCTCTCTAACTATTGCCGATAAAGTTTTACGAAGTTTAATTTAATTCTAAAAAAACAAACCACACATTATATTTTACTCGATTCACTTTTAAACTTTTTGTTAACTTCTGGTGTTTAGAGTTCCTTAACAATGAATTGATTTTGTAATCAGTATTACTAAGACATTATTAACATTGTAGAGAAAATGCATTAATAATATTTTGAGAGGGGGTTATCAGTGACGTGTTTGTTTATATAAAATAAAGTTTTAACAAACTAAAAAGAAAAGGGAATTAAGTAAGTATCAAAATTTTATAATCCGTTATCTAACTACATAGGTAATAGGAAAGAACTCCTATGCTTGTTAAATTTTTAACAGGCATGACCGAGATTTTATACTTTACTTTGATAGTATTTACCGTCATATATACGCTTATTCTTTTTGATTGTCTGAACTTGAGGGAGTAGATCATTTTAAAATTTAGTCTGCGTTAAACAAAAAAATTATTAATATCTAACTCTTTCTTTAGTAAACAACAGGTTATTATTTTCAATTACTGATTAGCAATGAACTAAGAAGGGATTTCAAGAACTTTTTTTTTTATTTAAACGAGAATTGAAGAAAAAGAATATTATTTTGATAGTGACCATAGTAGTAAAATACTAAATAGTAAGAATTAAACAAAATAAAGCGGTGTATATTTTTGATAAATAGAAGCAAATAATTTAAATTTTTAACTGGCTTAACAGTTGAATTCAACAATTCAATATATTTAGAGGTTGGGTAGCCCAAATTTGTGTACCTGGTCACATATGAAACAATTATGGTATAATTTACTACATATTCTTTGATTATTTCTCCATGTGAATTGTTATACAATATGATTTTATTTGATAAATCTTTGTGAGAGAGAGTACAACCAAGAAAAAAGAAATTAAGCTTTCTTTTAAACATCTTCGGCGTTATTCTGTGACCCAAAATCGGTTACTGAATTTCCCTATGTAGAGCAACATATGTAAAAAAATAAAATGGTTATTTTCAATAAATAATATAGATTTCAGACAGCATAACCATTAAATTAGTAATATTTGAAAGTATTATCTAATGTAATTAAAATGTGATAGAACCCAACAGTATACAGGGTTGCAAAATGATTGGATCAAGAAATAAATATAAAATGAGGCCTCTTACTCAAAGATATTTCCTTTATTCAATAAGTTTGGATACAGTAGTGACTTCCATTAAATGATTGATGGAGGGGTAAACTGTTTTATCAGATTTTAAGATATTCACTAGTAGTGGTACGGTTTCTACGAGTCCTAAGTTTATACAATAAATGACAAATTTTAAAATAAAATATTTTATCAAAAATACACTTTACTTAATTAGAGATATTCATTCTTTAGAATTCTTTAAATAATGAATTAATCAACTCCGGTGTTGTGGAGTAACATCCCTCTCTCTTCATTATTCTCGGTGGAATAAAGGTCATCCTCTTAATGAAAGTGCATCTATTGTTGTTCATCTTAAAATAATATCTATTGTTGTATTATCGGTTATAATTGTCAACAATGCTATTATAAATACCAGATATAATATGCACTCTGTTAGGAACAATCGTTATATAGGTCATTTCAGAGGGTTAGATATGTTTCGGATGAATGTTTTTTGAACAATACCCGCAAAAGTTTTAAAGAAGTTACTATTTTTCTTTTTCTACTTTTTGTCAATCTGTGATTTTTTAAAACACGTTGAAAAATAAACAATAGGAAAATAATATTCATTCATACTTTTAATTATAATACTTTCAAAAATATAATAACCTGGCAAGAAAATTTTTGATCTTCCTCTTCCGCTTTGAAGATGTTAAGTAAGTGTATATTCACAAATTGAAAGAATTAATTAAATCACTGATTAGTTTACATGCAAGTATATGCATATATGACATATACATATAATATGTTTTCTATTGGCGTGATCCTTTCTATGAGAACTCAAAAATTTTATAGCACAGCGCAATAATGTACAACTCAAGATTATAGAAAAAAATTGTTATTCTAATTCAGATCAAAATGCGGTGTCTCCTGTCATTTGCTTGATTTTTATTAGGGCGCCTTGTATGTGAAATTCTATAATGTATGTAATACAATCTACATACGGTTACGTTAAACATAGAAGGAAGACCTGCATGTTAATAAACAAGATACGAAATAAATTAATTCATTAAACTCATTTTTTCTCCTAAACAAGCGCAAAGTTGAGGGTAATAACTTTAATTACCAAATATTTGTCGCACAGGAATGATTAAGAAGTGATTTTTATTCCAAATAGTTAATTCTATTTTAAAATTTTATGTTTTTACAGTTTTTCATTTATTATTTTTTATAGCAAATAGCGTTACTTTTCAAAATAAACTTCACTGCGCTGTCTTCCGTTGTTATTAGTTGTTCTCCTACGTTATACTACTACTTTAAAAGGTTGTCTGTTGTCCAAACAATTTTTACACACCGCTAAAATTAGGTAGTACAACGGAAAGTTAAATAAATAAAAAGAAGAAAATATGCTTTTTGTGAAAATAATCCTATTCCGCGGATTAATTTGTCATTAAAATGGCAGAGGATGCCAATATTAGTTTCCATTGCTATTTATAGAAAATATAAATAGATATAATGGTACATATATTCATGCGTAACTATAAAAACTTAAGTTAAATGCACACATGCAATGATTGTGAAACGCGGTTAAACAGATTTTTTTTTGAAAGACCAACATTGTAACTAGTAGTAAAAAAATGAATAATAATCTCTGACCTGCAATGCTTTTCTGTAGAAGGAACTTGTTATTAATATCTCTGTCTTTTAGAAATTCTTCACTCAACAATTAGGTTAATTACATTGTAATATTTTAAAGATCATTTAATATGTACTAAGTTGAGTATTCCAAGGGTCTATATACAGTATACGATATTCGGATGAGCATAATAATTAATGGTTAGTAATACTAATGTTAACGTTAATTAAAGAACACATAGAATATTGTGCACAATCATTATAATTGAATATGCGTATACTGCGATACTTGGATAAGAAGTTTATTAATGTGAAGATTAACAATTGCGTCACCAAATCTGTAATATAAAAGGACAGAGGTTTGAAATACATAATTTTTATATTAAATGTTCCATTCCGAAATATATTAAGAGACATTCCCTGTATAATATCTATATAATAAAAAATGAATGAAAATATAAACGAAATCAATGCTCAACAAGATAGAAACGAGGATTTCTATCAATATGAAATGAGGTTGAATTTTAGGAATAAATTTTATCCCAAAGTAGACGAAGTATGGTGGTTACGAAGAAATATTTTCTTGTTAAATAATATTTTGTGTAATAGTAACAATTTTTAACTTTCTCGGCAATTTGATGGTAATCGTTGTTGAGTTTAGTTATTTTTTTGTATTTTGTATTTTTTCGTTTAGTAAAAATATTAAAATTTTTCCAAAAAAAGAGAGAGCTGGCACATCTTCTAAAGGGACTCGAAAGGTGTCATAAATAATACTCAGTTGAAACAATTTAAATTAATGCAGAAATATGGAATATGTTTTTAAAATTTAATTATCAAAAGGTATATATTATGTAAAAGTCTATATATAATCTCAGTGAAAAATAAAAATAAATGGTATATTAAACAATTCATTATTTGTCATGTAATACACCTGTATAAGTTATTAGAATGTTATTTTTGTGTTTTTTTTATTTGACATACAATACTGTTAGAAGAAAAATTAATGATGTTTTAGGATTTTCTCTAAAATGATCATGTATCTAATGATGTATGCGAGGAATGATGATTAAGGAGTTTATTGGTAAGGTTTAAGTTGTTTAAATTTTTGTTTAACGAATTTCAACTTTCTCTAGAAGACCACTATCTAAATTATAGATTAGACCATGAATTCTTAAACCACCTTCTTGAATAGCTGTTTTAATAAAATCTTTTTCAGCAATCTTTTGTGCTTGTTTTCTTACATTTCTATAAGCTAATAATTTTGCTTGTTTAGTAATACTAGCATCTTTTTGAGAAATATCATCGAAATCATCACGAAGATCTTCAATATCTTGTAAATAACTGTATAAATGAGAACAACTTGAATCCTTTAAACCGTTTCTTCTATTTAATAAACATGTATTAATACCACCACAATCAGTATGACCACAAATAACAATCTGTTTAACGTTCAATACATTAACAGCATATTCTAAAGCAGATTGGGCAGATAAATCTTGTTCAAGCACGATATTTGCGATAGTTTTAAAGGTGAAGACTTCACCTGTTGCATAACCTAAACAACTTTCATTGTAACGAGCATCAGAACAACCAAAAAATAATGTATGTGGTGTATGATTTGTTGTGGCAAATGGTGTGAACATTGCTGGATTATTTGTTTTCATAGAGTTAGCCCATTCTTTATTAGCCACTAGTAAATTTGTAGAAGAATATGATGGTTCAATTGTAGTTAAAATATCGGTACCCATTTTGTAAGTGTATTTGTAAATGTGTTTGTAAGTGTTTGTATAATTATTTGTATACTTTATATTATATATGTATAATAATAATAAACAAAGGGAAAATAATATAAGAATTAAATAAATTTTGAAAATAATGAAAATCGAAGGTATTTATAATCTTAGATTAAAAAAAATACATAAATCAAGAAAAGGGTATAAGCTAAGGAGTCATCGGGAATTTAATTTAATTACAAAGCGTATTTTTCATGTCATCAAATATCATCACTATTAGTAAGTATGATACAATAGTTAACTTTTATTTTTTTTGCCTTTTAGTCACCCTGTGGTGAAAATTATAGGAATTGATAACCAGAAAAAAAATAATTAAATAATAACTATGGGCTCAAAATTGAGACACGATACCAATATAGAAAAGAGGGTTTTGGATGATGTCAATTAGTTCCGCCAACAAAAATGCTGAAACGCCTCATCTCATCATCATCATCATCATTACAATTAATTTTATCATGAGGGCGGAATAGTAAACCCACAATCTCTTTATGCTCTGGTATCCCCGCACTACTTTCAAAATTTGTAATAGAAAAAAAATCTATTCAAATTTATTTCAAAAGGAAAATCGGGCAGAAAGAGAATCTGAATAGGGTAGTTTCCGATATAATTGTTAACGACGGAAATAAAAAGCGAAGCACACCAAGCAGAAAAAAGAAAGAATGGACCATGTGGGAACAAAACATATTCTCCGTTGCGTATTATTGACATCATCGATTTGGGTTTATGCCAACCCACGCTTTAGTTTTTTTTGTCTCTGTGTGCGGGTTAAAAAATCAAGTGGGAGAAAATATTTGAAAATTTGAGGAGCTTGGCTTGGTACTAAAATAAAGAAAGGCAAAAAATATTGCAACGGTTACGTCAATATGATGAATGCATGCAAGTTTATACCACAACTAGATAATCCTTAGAATAATTACGGAGAGGAGCTTATCTATCTTTACAAATTAAGATAATATATAGATTTGGTAAATCATACCAAGCCAAAAATTAAATGAAATTAAATTAAATTAAATTACCGGGACTAAAATCCGTGAATTGTTTTTGTTCTTTCATCTTTCAAGATTTTAGTGTGAAATAAAAAGTTATCAGAAGAGGCGGGAAATAACTTACGAAAAATATTCAATACATAGACCTTAATTCCCTTTAGAGGGAACTGAATTCAAAGTAAGTACTCTTTATTCTTACAATTTTTTGAATATTGATTTTAGACTAATTTGTTAAATTAATCTCGATAGAATTATATATGATCTTATGATGATATCATTTTTATCTCTTGTTATGGTTTATACATAAATATTCATATTCTTATTTGATTATCCTGGTGTGTCAGCAGTTGAATTTTTTTATATCAATTGAAAATAGTTTCTTATTCGAGAAAAAGACTTACAGAAATGTATATACTTTAACTTAATTTTGATTTTTAACAATGCTAATTCTTTTTTGTTATGTTTTAGCAATTGTTTCTCGAGAACATTACAAACCCGTTCACAATTAGAATTAGAATTATTACACGATAATAGCTGAAGAAGCAAAAAAGGTATTATTCTACGTATATCTTTACTAATAATAATAAACTAATAATTTGATCTATTATCCACATATGTATTTATATAAATGTTTGGTGGTATGGCATAGGACATTAAATACCGATCTTCCTATACTTTGTTTTTGTTATGTATTTGTACAGATGGTTGATGATAATTAGTGACATGTTTCGTTTAATTTCAACAGTTTTTTTTTTAAAAAATATTTGCCAAGGAATGAATATTAGTAGTGGTGGAATATTGTTAGAACGGAACATCTAAACCTACCCTGTTAGCTGTAGCTTTTATTTTTTCTTGTTGTGTATATTTATTACTTAAATCATATAATTCCATTAATTCATCATATTCACGTTGGTTATTTAAAAAATTAATTGCGTCTTTCCATGATTCAATTAAACGATCGAATATTTCATTATTAGTGTTAGTATTATTACGATTAATTTCAATTAATTCAGTTTGAAATAATTGTTTAAATGGTGAACTATCTTTAAGATATAATAATGATTTATCATTATTAATATTAAAATTTTTCAATGATTTAATCTTTTCATTTAATTGATTTATTTGTAAGAACAGGTTTTTTTCATCAATTGATTTAATATTTTTTAATTGTTGCTTTCTTGTTATTTGCATCTTATCATATATTGCTAAAGATATTTGACGTTTATTTTCAATCTTTAATTGTGATAATCTACCACGACGCTCAGATTTAACCAATGCTTTAATTAATTGTTTATAAGTGGACAATAATTTTATCTTAGACATTATGAAAACGGTATATGCTTAATGTTTATATTTTCCTCGAGGTTTTTCGTTAGTCGATAAGAAGAGAATAAGGATACTCTTTTTCTTTTGATTTCACATTTCCTTTTAAACATAAATATATATATATATATGTATATATTTAGGGATACAATGTTTATTATTATTACTATACTACCGTTACAGAATTATAATTTGCTTTCAAACAAAAAAATAAAAAATAAAAATTAAAATTTTTGAAGCATGTGACTTCTGATTCACGTGACTTACAAACCCTAACTTTTTCAGATACTCAAACCCTAATTTTTGTGTCAATTTGAAAAAAATATTTTTGTTATTTGTCTTTCCCGAATTCTCGGTCGATCCATGATGTTTGCATATATTTGAGTGAGCCAAAAAGACATTAACTTATTCTAATAATGAATGACCGATTTTTCGGAAAGTGCCAAACCAGCCAATAAGCGTGCAACGCGGCAATTAGTTATTTAAAAAAAAAATACATATACCGTGCTCACGCATTATGTTTTTTTTACCACCAAAATGATATAATTTGCATGCATCGTAGACTCAATGTTTTTTCATTATTCTGTCGAATAAGAATCAAGGAATTGTTAGCATATTATTTTTCTTTGGGGGGGGGGGAAGTAGTAGCATTGAGGGGTCGGGGAGGGCAAGAGAGAGAAAGGCAGAGTGTGATACTAGTTATTTTGAATAGCAATAATAATAATAGGTGATAATAATAACTGGTAATATGTGTGATGATACTTTTGTACTTCAATTATTTACGTACAACAAGAGCAGTCTTTGGGTTTCTTATACTATGGTACAGTCAGTATTACTCTCTCTAATTGTTACTATTATTATTTAGTCTCACTTGTATTGGGGGAGGAGTGAAAGTAGGAATACTCAAAGGACAAATTAAAATGGTTGCGATGATTATGATGAAAATGGTGCTCACTATTACTTTATTTCACTTGACTGTAAAATTGCGTTATTCTTTATTTCTTTTCATATTTTCATATTTTATATTTATATATATATATATACCTCTATTGATCAACATTCATTTCTTGTTTTATATTTTGGTAATTTTTCCCTCATCATAAAGGACTTCGCTATTATTATTTTATTCTAATATAAATAATCGATATTTTTTTTCCCCTGATTAATTAATTTGATTTAATTATCAAAAACTAACTGTACTATTCATACACTAATACAAAAAGAAAGTTGCCCCCCACCAATAATTATGTTGAAGAGCGTTATTACAAAGAGAACTTTAGCTACTGCAGCTCAAAAAATAGTACCAAAAGAATATGGTGGACGTTTCACTGTTACTTTAATTCCAGGTGATGGTGTTGGTAAAGAAATTACAAATTCCGTTGTATCTATATTTGAATCTGAAAAAATTCCAATCGATTGGGAAACTGTTGATATTTCTGGGAATGATGAAGCTGATAAAGTAAACGCAGCTGTTGAATCCTTACAAAGAAATAAAATCGGTTTAAAAGGGATTTTACATACCAATGCAGCTGATCAAGCAGGTCATGGATCCTTTAACGTTGCATTAAGAAAAAAACTAGATATTTATGCTAATGTAGCTCATTTTAAATCTTTAGAAGGTGTTAAGACAAGAATACCCAATGTTGATTTAGTTGTCATTAGAGAAAATACAGAAGGTGAATTCTCTGGTTTAGAACATGAATCTGTTGAAGGTGTTGTTGAATCATTAAAAATTGTAACAAAACCAAAATCTGAAAGAATTGCTAGATTTGCATTTGATTATGCTAAGAAAAATAATAGAAAACATGTTACAGCTATTCATAAAGCTAACATTATGAAACTTGGTGATGGTTTATTTAGAAATACTGTCACTGAAATTGGTGCTAACGAATACAAAGATATTGAAACCTCAGCAATGATTGTTGATAACGCTTCAATGCAATGTGTCGCTAAACCTCATCAATTCGATGTTATGGTTACCCCATCCATGTATGGTACTATCCTTGGTAATATTGGTGCTGGGTTGATTGGTGGTCCAGGTTTAGTCGCAGGTGCTAATTTTGGGAGAGAATATGCAGTCTTTGAACCTGGTTCCAGACACGTTGGTTTAGATATTCAAGGTCAAAATGTAGCAAATCCAACTGCTATGATTTTATCTGCTACTTTAATGTTAAATCATTTGGGTTTGAACAATGAAGCTGATAAAATCTCAAAAGCTGTCCATCAAGTCATTGCTGAAGGTAAGATCACTACAAGAGATATTGGTGGTTCTGCTTCAACTACTGAATTTACACAAGCTGTCATTGACAAATTAGCTACTCTCTAAAATGTATACATATCAAACCATATGCAACCTACCCCCCTCAATAAAAAAGTGATAATGTAAAATGTATATTTATTAATAATATATAAAAACAATTCAATATAATGTCATACAGGATTAAAATTCTAAGAATTATTTAGCACTCTCACTATATAATACAGCAATCAAGCATATCTATCATGTTTGAGTTACCTTCTTTTTATGGTGGCCCCCCTTCTCTTCTGATACTTCTTTCGCGGATTTCGGGGACAATAAAATAATGCCTTGATAAGCTTAATGAAGGCATTTAAAAATAGGTACAACTTATTCATAATATTGAAACAAATGACAATAAAAGAATCGTTGAAAGTATAATCTATGGAACCAAATTGATTAAAGGATTGCATAATATATATAACAATAACAATGGATCATTTGGATTCTAACGATGACAAACCTGGGTTTAAATATTTTGACTCATTTATGGCTTTGAACGAGTCATCATTCACCATCCCATTCTCCCTATTAAATGCAAACTTAAGACAACATGAGATATATGTTGAACAAGAAACGAATAAATTGAAGCAAACATTAAAGGATATCAATGATATGATAACAACAGGTACTATTGATGGTGAAGAGCAAGCACTCGTGGAATTAAATACTTTGATTAAGAATGTTACAACTTTTGAGAAACAACTTCATTTAAAGGTAGAGAAGGAAGGTGCATTGTTAAAGAGAATCAAACGTAGGGCGGCATTCTACAATGAAATGAATGATAATTATTCAAAAGGTGATAACATCAGTATCATTGATTGGTATCAGAAATACACAAATTTATTGATTGCAGATTATCTAATACGGAATTGTACGTTAGAACAGCAACAACATATTATAGGAGAGACCGGCGATAAAGATATATGCAACCCTGGTGTCTTATTTTTGAAACAACAGCATATGGAGGATTTACTGGACACAGATATATTAATAGGGGCAAATACTATTAGCACGGCCCTAACGAGTAAACATGATTTAAAAGCACTAATGGAATGGATAAGAGTTAACAGACAGAGATTATTAAAGAGAAAATCTCCATTGGAGTTTAAGGCGAATTTTCAACATTATATTGAATTATTACTAAGATTTGATCTCGGAGGTGCTATTCATTGTTTACAAACATGTTTATTTGCATATGTTGGAGATCATTTCGATGAAGTGACCGGTGCATGTGGATTACTAGTATATATGGAAAGATGTGTTGAACAAGTAGCATACAATGAAAAAATAGTACAAAACGAAAGAGAAGACCGCAATATATCTTACAATGAACATAAATCTGGAACTGTCTTTACGGATCAAAATGAAGCATATCGATATTTTTTTAATCGTGCTCCACCAATGGATTATTCACAGAGTACAAATTCTAAGAATAATATTAATGCAACTAATATCCAACATCTTTTTAACGCCAAAAATCTTGAAAAATATACAACATTACTGGACCAGAACAGTTGGTTGAAATTGAATGAATTATTCTTGGAGGAATATTATTCAATGTATAAGATTCCTAGGAATGATCCGTTATTGATTTATATTTCTATGGGTATATCAGCAATGAAGACTAAAGAATGTTTACATAATCATCCCTCAATCGATCCACGCTATGATGTCCTTGAACATTATTCTACCGTTGATAAGTTAGAGAATCCTTGTCCCGTATGCTCAAAGCATTTTGCCCCATTGTCGGAGAAATTACCTTATGCACATCATACCGAATCAAAACTTTTTGAAAATCCTGTGATGTTACCAAGTGGGAATGTTTTTGATTCTTCCAGATTGAAATTACTGGCAAAAACACTTCGAAAAAAGGGTATTGTGAAATTAAATCGTAATGAAGTAATAGATCCTATTAAAAAAACTGTGTTTAATGAATCGGATTTTATTACGATGTACCCTACATAAATTGCATATATAAATATATATATATTAATGTTATTTTTATTTTTTCATTTTTTTTTTTGAAGATGCATTGCTATATTACATGGATTGAGTAAATAATTAGGACATGTCTATTAATTATACTTATTCTTCGTCACTAACTTCACCTCTATTATTTTGCCTATTATTTCTCTTTCTTTCAAATTTCTTAAAAATGTATGTTCTTGCCTCTCTTTCGTGTGCCGGTTTTGTAGTATTTTGTTCACTGTTAGTTCTCTTATGATGATATTGAGGATAATTCTCCCATGCAAATTTACTGGAACTATCTAGCATTAACCCATTATCTTTGGCTAATGCCTTGATTTGCCATGAATCGTAAGGTTCACCAGCAAATACAGATAGTAGGGTCTTCCCATAACCTTCTGCTGAAATACCATCTGGATTAGCATTCTTACCTGTCTTTTCTAAATTATAACCAAGAGTATGATTGTTTTTTGTACCTTTAATATGAGAGTTGACTAAAGAAAATAGTTGCTTACTGCTATCAAAATATCCAAATACTAATTCTTGATGGTCTCTTATATTTCTGTCTTGATCTTTAATACCTTTCCCTGTGTGTGGGAAATTAAACATAATATTATTTAAATATTTGTTTCTCCACTCTGGTCCCATAATCTTTGTCCATGGTGTATGTTTTGAAATTTTCATTGATCGTACTAATTTAGTAGCATCAGTTTGAAATAATATCTTCACACCTTCTTCAATCAAAAAATCATAATTATCTTGAAAAGTATTAGGATATTTCAAATTCAATTCTGTAATTGACGCATCATAACTTGTTGCAATTAAATTTTCAGGTTTCATATAACCTTGTTCAACAATAGATCTAGCAAATGAGAAATCACCTTCACCTATCAATAGTAAAGTTTCATCAGATTGAAATGGAATCACCGATGCTTCGCGTTGTTTCTGAGCAGCAGCTTGTCTCATAGTCTTCTTGGATTTCTGAGCCTTTTGTCTATCCGCATTCAGTTGTTTCTTTCTTTGTTGTTGAATCAAACCATCTTGCATCTTATGTTGAGCTAATGCAGCTTTCAACCCTTTTGAATTGGATTTCCCCTTCAATTTTCTTGCCATAATGTAATAGCTTTTGGTGTATGTCTACTTTTTGAATGAGAATATTTCAATTTGAAATTTAGACAAACGTTGTACTATTTTCTTATACGAATCAACTCCAAGAGGTTCCAATAAAATCGTTAATAAGTACCTATCTTAATATAAAATGAAAATTTTCTTGCATTCGATTTTTCTTTTTCAGTGCCGATGAGCTGAGAGATGAGCTCGGCTTTAAAAGAAAAAGCTTTTGTTTACCTCTGTTATCTCTGCAAAGAAGAAGTGAGACACCTATCAGTTAAACCTCCTGTCATTTTTATATTATGTAAATTAAATTTTGTATAATAACTTCAGTATATCTGAGAAATAACCCCCTTATTAAGTTACTCTCCGAGATTAATCAATGTTTAATAATTGGACATTATCAATTTCTATATATTGTGTATATAGCTACTTACAAAGCGTTAAGTTGCAGGTAGAGTGTGTAACATATTTTTTACATGTAAAAACGGTCCACAAGAAGAAATACATTAACCACATTGCTCTTGTGGAGATCGCACAGTATCCTACGGTAAAACTTTCTTATCTTGTATGCTTCTGGGCTTTAAAGAATGATTTGTTAAGAATGTATGCCTGTATATGTATCACTGAGGGTGAGCATCACCACTGCGTTGATGTTCATTAACTTGCATAACAGCAGATCGCGTCTCTATTATTTGGGATGTTCACTCAATACATTTAGTTGTAGATGTATATTTATTTGCATTGGCATAGCATAGGTTTATTATGACAGAAGACTGGCTACTAGCTGAAACATAAAAAATCAAGACAAATACTGCAGAGAGGGAGAGGAGCGAAAAAAAAAACTAAATAGCAAAAGAAAGATAAACAGAACGCGGTGAGCAACCCATAACGGAAATTAAAAATAAATAATAGACCAAGAAATCTGGCAACAAAGAGGACCAGGAAGGTGAAAAATGTATAGGAACTTTTTCCATCAAGAATAAAAAAGAAACAAATAGAGAAATAATATCAATAATATATAACTGATTAGTGACAGTATTATTGTCGTGATTGTATTTAGAAAAGAAGGACCCTAGCAATAGTTTTGTTTGTTGTGGCAACTTTCGGGATATCAATAATCTGTTGAATAAAATCAGTATTATCATCATAACTGTACCAGTATTAAGTTGAAATAGATCATCCTAGAATACCTATCCTTTTTTATTCATCACCATTAGAAACTTCCCAGTATTGCTTTTCTTTGTTTTATCAGATCAGAGTTGTTTAGGATTTTATTTTAGGCACTTAAAGAAAGAGACATACTATGAGTGGACCTAAATTTACTAGTAATACACCAGATCCGAGTGGAACTATTCTAATAGCCACTAAGTCTTATTCACGCCGTATGGATGATGAAATAACGATAAAACCAGGTAATAAGATTGAAGTCATAACTAACGATGAAGAATTTAACGATGGTTGGTATGTAGGACGTAATATAGAGACGGGTCAAGAAGGTTTATTTCCTAGATTATTTACTGAACGGTATATTAAACCAACAACACGAGATAGTATACCTGAACGCCAAGAAAGGATAGTTTCTGTGAAAAATACAATGGAGGATATAGATAACGCTTTGGCAGCATTAAGGAATAGCTCTCTAGATATGCTATCTACTGAACAGGTCATGTCAAATAATACATCAGATTTACGTAGTTATGATCTTAATGATAATGACAGTGCATCGTTATATACACCAGGTCTTCAAATTGATGAAACAGAACAAATACCACCTTTAAAGACCCCTTCAACGTTCAATGGTAACAAAGAGGATGTTGTCAATTGGACTCCATCTCAAGTAACTGAATATTTTCATTCCAAAGGATTTGAACAACAGGTGGCTTCAAAATTTGAAATGCATGGCATTAATGGGAAAAAATTATTAGAGTTACAATTATCTAATTTGAAGAAAATTGAAATAAACTCTTTTGGTGCAAGATTTGAAGTATTTAAAGTGATAGATGCATTAAGAGCTCCTGTAATTAGACCAGCGACCCCAGTCCATCATACAATGCCGACAGATGGTTTAGCTATTAGTTCAGAGACTGATATTTTTGAATCTCCGGGAAGAGCACCTAACCCACCTTCATACCCAAGTCCCGTGCAACCATTGGTCTCTCCTTCCTTGAATAATAGAAACAGCATGATGGCATCCTCTCCAACCTTAAGGTATCCATCACAGGATTATTTCAAATACCCACCCATTTCAGAAGAAGGTAACGGACCTAATACAATTAATGGTAGCTCTTATAACTTTCCAAGAACGAGATCGCCAGCTTTATCACCACAACATACCAGATCAAGCTCGACTTCTTCTTCATTTAATAATAATGATAATGGGAATGTTAGTACAGTGGTTGGTAGTCGTGATGTGTCATCCTATGTTTCCAAATCAATGTCGAGCACAACAGGTCCCGTCACCAGTGATAGCACTAAAAATGTAATGTTACGCCAAAGCCAACATAGAAAGACTGCATCTGGGGGTTCGTTTGTTGACTTGTTTAAAAGAATCTCCATGTTGTCCACAAATGATGAAGATTTTGAAGGAGATAACACTTTGACTAACGCATATAATAATACTTCAAATCATCCTACTAGACCATCTTCGACCGTATATCATTCGTCTCACTCCAGAAATGTTTCAGAAGCAAAGTATCATCATCATAGCACAAGTACAAGTAAACATCATCCTAGGACCCCATCGACATCCAATTTTATGAATGAACATTCAAGGTCTCCATCTAAAACTAACATAAATATGTTTACGTCAGGTGCTCATTCCCGTACTCCATCTGGTATCAATAATCATATAACGCATTCCAGAACACCGTCTGGTATAAACTACAAGGATACACATCTACGGACACCTTCTGGAATTAATTATACTAGTAATAATGGTAGCAGCGGTCAAAGACATAGTCATATGAGGACTCCTTCAGGAACCACTAACGATGGTGGGCATTCAAGATCTGCATCCGGTATTAAGTCACATATCAGAGGGGTATCTCAGGGTAACTCTGAAATTAAAAAGAGTAGAAGATCGTCTGTTTTATCCTTTTTATCTCCAAGTAAAAAAGATAATGATACAAATTTGACCAAATTAGACAGCTATCCGAGCAATAGAGAGAGTCTTCCTAACAATAATAGAAAAATTTCTCACTCCAGAAAGAGTTCAGCTGCAATAAATTCAGTAAGACATCAGAGTCTAAGCAATGATGCGGCAAATACCACAATCGGTACCATAACGTCAAGTGCAAGCAAACCTAAACTACCTCTACAGAAAAAGGTTACAGGCGATAATGCAAAGTCTAAAGGGATGTTCACCTTGCAACCATCCGCCAAAAAACAAACATCGGCATTCCAGGAAGGTATTCGTACTATTTCGGTGGATAAAGCTATTAAAAGTGCAGAGTGTGCCGGTTGGATGAGTAAAAAGGGTAGTGGTGCTATGGGTGTGTGGAAGACTAGATTTTTCACATTACACCGCAACAGACTTTCTTATTTCTCAAATACAACCGAGGGAAAGGAGAAAGGTTTAATTGACATCACTGGACATAAGGTTGTTCCTATTCAAGATGACGATACTTTGATCTCCTTATATGCAGCAAGTATTGGTCGTGGTAAATATTTTTTCAAGCTTGTTCCACCACAACCTGGGTTCAAGAAAGGTCTGACGTTCACACAACCACGGGTTCACTATTTTGCTGTTGATTCGAAAGAAGAAATGAGACAATGGGTTGCTGCCCTAATAAAGGCCAACATCGAGGTTGATGACTCGACACCTATTATATGTTCCTATAATATGCCGACTGTATCATTAAGTAAGGCTCAAGCTATGTTAAAAGAGGCTAAGAAAGAGATGAGTGAAAGAGACAAAGAACAAGCCCTTCATGAAGCAGATGAGGATGAAGTGATGTGGGAAGAACAGAACAAGAGGAATCAAATGCAAGCTGCTGGATTTATCTGATTCTGGTACCAAACAGGGACTTACTTCCTTGTATATTCATGGCAACTCATAACATTGTAATATATATATTATACATTCCATTGGGACTTTCTTACATAAGGACCACATAATAATATTTAATTTTTAATTTGTTTAATAAATGAACTATATATCTATACTTAAAAGTTTTCGAACCTTTTTTTCATATTTTTTAGGAATTGTTGAACTTTAAGTTGTCCCTCAAAAAAATCAAAAAATTATAACAACAAAACTACATAAACAAACTAAAAGAATGAAAAAAAAAAATTATAATAACGTCTTAAATTTTTGGTTTTTAATGCAAACCGTTACGAATATTTTAAATATATCAAAATAAATGTTCTCCATAATACACTACTCTTGCATGTGACAACTCTCAAGAGCTTCAACTACAAATTGGTTTCCTTTAGGATCCAAATGAAGTGCAATTGTATACTCTCTGATGGCATCTTTTTTCCTTCCAAGTGCTTGTAGAATTTTACCCAACATAAAATGCAAATTTGGATTTTCTGAATCTAATTTAATTAAATCTTCGAATTGTCCTAGTGCTACACTGTATCTATTCATTGAATATAATAATTCTGCACGTCTATATTTTGCCAATACAGATTTTGGGTCCAATTTACAGGCAATTTCATAATATTTTAACGCCATTTCGTTATGAAATAATTTTTCTAATTCTGTACCACAACAACATATCAACACAACATTTACAGGGTTAATCATTCTTGCTTTTTCAAAATATAACAAAGCTTCTTCGAATTTACCCAACTGGGAGGCACAACTTCCTAGCCCATAGTAAGCATTATAATGTTGTGGGTCACATGCTAAAGCCTTTCTGTAGAATGTTTTTGCAACATCAAAAAGTTCATTATTAGCATGCTCATGACCCAATAACGTGTATGCATATGCAAATGAAGGATCTAACCGCGTTGCTTTACTCAGAGCCTTAATGGCTTGATCATGATCCTTCTGAAGTGAGAAGTAGTTACCCAAGACACACCATGTTTGAGGTGAATTTGGGTAGGCATCCAAAAGTTCTGAAGATAAATTAGATAAGTTTACTTTATCATCTAAATGCCACAATAGAGTTGAAAATATTTCCAAATCTTTTAATCTTGTATTTTGAAGACGTCTTAAATTGGTGAAATATGTCAATGACATATCATAGTTGACAATTTCAAAATGTAATTTTCCCAATTGAGCTTGACACCAAGGCATATTATTCAAAATATGAGACGGTAGTTGTGAATTCATTACTCTAATTGCATTATAAGAATTATATTGAGATGATGCCTTTAATACTTTAGCCAAAGTATAAATTAATGTTTTAAATTCTTTGCATTCAGTGACACTACTAGGTTCTTCCCCAAATACACCTCCTTTAGTATTCAAACTACCTCCATTGGGGACGTTGAAATTTATTGTATTATTACTACTCATAGCTTGTCCTGACAATACTCTCTTTGCAGTAGTGGCAATTCCTTGAGAATTGAATCCCGTCTTATTTCGTGGAGTCTTAAATGTTGTCCTTTGAGTTTCGATATTAAGTTTAGCAGGAGGGGTAGTTAATATTTTGTTTTTGATTATAGTTGGGATAGATCCTAAACTAATATTATTATTGTTATTATTGTTATTATTGTTATTATTATTGTCATCAGTATTGTTACTGTTTCTAATTGTTGACCCGGTTGAATGAATATCTAATGTATTGTTAACATTCCCTGTAATATCTCCATTTCTTCTTGTAGATCTTGTATGCGATTGATGTTGTGGTGTATTCATTGATACATTTGTACCATTATTAGAAAACAAAGGATTTGATTGTTCTTGATGCATTGATAAGACAGGTTGACGATTACTAGAATAATTGGTTTTCCTTATTGAATTTAAATTAATATCTTGTGATGATATATCATTAATATTATCTTTACCAGTCTTAGATTTATTACTATTAGATCTAAATGGAGATAATGTATTATATAATAAAGATTTAGTATCATAACTTCTATTTTTATCCTCATTTGATTGTCTATTTATATTCCCATTATTATTGGTAGAACGTTGATTGACGCCATTATTAACTTGTTTAACCAAATCTGTTTTCAAGGGACCTAATCCATTTTCTAATGATGAATCTAAATTAATATTAAATAATTTTTTTAAATCAATTATTGCTTTCATGTCGTTTAAAGCCATTAAAGCTTGCCATAAATAAGGATCTTTTTTAATTGCTTCTAAATAATGATTAACACTTGATTTAATATTATCTGTTTTACGATATAATTCACCAATTAATGAATGTATTGTAGCTAGATTTGGCATAAATATGAAAATATCCTTATCCTTTAATTCATTTTTAATAAAAGAATCTAAATGAATAACAAGATATAAACATGCATTTTCTTCATTTTTATTTAATTTTAAACAACAACGGGCATATAAATAAGCAATAGCAATATGTGTACTCTTATAACGTTCAGAAATTTCTGTAGCTGTTTCATATTGTTGTCCCATAAATAATGATAGGGAATAAAGATAAACTGATTGAATTCTATTCATTGAAGATATTGGTAAACCTAAACATTCTGTATAATATAATTCTGATAAAAAAATTGCAGTTTCAAAATTTAATTGCATAATTGCTTTATTAATATGAATCGATAAGTTTTGTTGTAAATCTGGTGAAGATCTATAATTTGAATCATAATAATTTGTGGTGTTGTCATTAGTATTACTAGAATTATTACTACTACTATTATTATTTCGATCAAATATTGCTGTATCCCTTAAGAGCAATTCTGCAGTTCTAGTGGTAGAACCATCTAACAAATTTTGTTCAGCTTCTGATGGGAATAACATTTGCTCTTTTTCTCTCTCTCTCTCTCTAAAATGTTTATTACTAATGAAATCAAAATAAATATTACAGTCAAACAAATCTTTTCAGTCTTCTATCTGGTGAAAACTAATTTGTTTTTTCGTTTGAAATATATCACAAATACAAATACAATTTTGTTTAGAGACCTAAGTAAACAAATAGTAACAATTCAATTTCTCTTGATGTCGATTTTGAATTCAAATAATATACCAAATGAATGAAAAGAAAAATGCAGATGCACCAGTTAAAATCAACTAATACAAAAAGCTCGAACTCTTAGTGACAATAATTTACTAGTAATGTGTAATCACTTTCACTCAGACTTCTTAAGTGTATGGAAACCAAATTATACTATTGTAGACGTTTTTTCACATATGGATATATATTTACAAAAAAACTAACATAAATTATTCACTAACAATTCCAAATGAGGTAAAATCATATTTTGCTTCTCCTTCTTTCACCTGTTTGGCAATATCCACATAGCTGCAATTCCTAAGCTTCAGTTTTGCTCACAAAACAGCCAAAAGAGCAATTGACGGCGCGCACAGAAAAAGACCAAAAATTCAGTTTCTCAAATAAAGAAGAAGAATTAGAATTGTATTATACAAACAATCATATCGCAATCGCATCCTTCATCTGCATTTATATCAGCACCATTCATTCAAATGTGCAATATTCCCAATTTTTTTTGCTAAAATAAATTTATTATGTATACATTTGTGACATGTACTAGTCTCGAACCCTTGCCCTTTGTGCCACCCACACCCACACTACATTAATTTAATTAACGCGTCACTTTCCTAATCAGGAGATAACTCTCTCCCCTTTCCATTATAACAGAGACACCAAAAAAAGCGGAAAATTTTTCAATTTTTTTTTTTTTCATCTTTCGTCGCTCTGTCTCTCACACACTGTGAGTGGGAAGTGCAATTTATATGAAATGATTGATTACTTTACTATGTTAGGCGTTAATTGCGATCTTACACACACACACACAGAGGGAAAGAGACGAAATGTGAATTCTTTCAGTTACCGCCAATTTTGGTGTAATCAGTAGTAATTGGTAAAAGCTGAAAAAGAAAATCGCTTGAGCAGGTAATTAAATTAATTAATTGAATATAATCTAACTCTATTTTCGATATTTGTTTTGTTTTCAATTATCAATTCTTAACGTTATATAATTTTTTATTAAGATTCAGACAATTCATAAAAAGCTTTGATCAAGTACTCTAAATCAGCATTGATTGGAAAGTAAAAGTATAACAAATAGTGTTCTCTTTTGTTTGTTTGTTTGAGGGATATCATTTGATCACTATTTTGCTATCACGATATACATAGATACACAGATTTAAATCCATTCCAAAGAGAAAGATATAGTTATTGTATCAACTGCTAACATTATATTCAATTTTTTAAGGATTTTCCACTTCAATTTGGCTTTTCTTATTATACTAATATTATGCCGTATACTTCTATGTTGATGGATTCAACTAATGAGGATGAATCAAATCAAATGAATAATAATAATCAAACAAATATGATGATACACACTCAAATACCTACAATAACGACAACAAAAGTTGAAGATATAAATAATCATCAAAATAATAAAATTAGTAATAATAATAACAACACATTACATCAATTACAACCTCCACATCCAAATATGAAGGATCCAATTATTGAAATTGCAACATATGCAGAAACTGATGTCTTTGAATGTTATATACGTGGTATTGAATCACATATTGTAATGAGAAAAGTTAAAGATGATTGGATCAATTTAACACAAATGTTTAAAATTGGAAATTTTTCAAAAAATCAAAGAACAAAAATTTTAGAGAAAGAATCAAGTAAAATTCAACATGAAAAAGTTCAAGGTGGTTATGGTAGATTTCAAGGGACTTGGGTACCGTTAAATGATGCAAGAATTATTGCAGAAAGATATAAAATTAATGACCCTGTGGTTAATACAATTGTTAATTTTATACCTGATCCAAATAATCTACCACCAAAGAGAACAAAAAATAGTATATTAAGGAAAACATCTCCAGGTAAAAAAATTGCATCACCTTCAAGTTATAAGACAACTCCAAAGAGGAAATCACAATATGAATCTAATCCACAATATTTAAGTAGTGCTGGTGGTAATACAAATTTAAATAATAATACAGCATCTTCAAATTATAAAAAATTAAAGAAACAAAATAAAAATCATAGTAATATTGGAGCAAATCCAAGTCCATTACAAAGTATTGCATTTCAAACTCCACAACAATCATATTTATCAGGTCATTCTGCAAATACAATTAATGGAGGAAATTTTCCTAATACAGGAAACTCTGCATTGATGGGTACAAACTCATTTGGTGTTACCATAAGTGGCAATTCCACAATATCACATATAAGTTCTAATGAAACCCCACAAACAAATGGTTATTCAGCGTCTCAAAAACCTTTACAATTTTATCCAGTTCCAACAACTTTACGTCAAAATAATAATAATAACAATGGAAACAATAGTAATAATAACTCAGAATATGAACAATCTTCCCAAAATTATCAAAATCATACAAAGAGTAACCCTACAAAATCACATCAAGCATCATTCCTAACATTTGTTCCCGATGGACCACATACAAATCCAGACAATAATGATTATGCCATGGAACAGTATAAAAATCCACCAAATGGAGATAATCACATCTCCAAGAATGAGATGAATGATAGTAATCAACAAAACATTGAACAGACGCAACATTTTCAAAATAATATGATGGAAGTACAACCTATACCTCCACCACCTCCCACTTTGAATACTGAAGATTATAAAAATTTAATATTGCAAACGTTATCATCAGAAGTTAATGCTAACGATGAAACATATTCATTACCTGTAGAACTATTTTACCCACCTTCAAATTTTAATATTGATTTCTTAGTGGATGACCAAGGTCACACGTCTTTGCATTGGGCTGCAGCCATGGCTAATATTCCATTAATTCAATTACTATTGAATTCCAATGCCAATGCCCTACAATGTAATTCAAAAGGTTTTAATGCTGTGACAAAAGCATTATTTTACAATAACAATTACAAGAACAATTCATTTCATAGTTTATTATCTGCATTGAAAATATGTCTAATTTCACCAGACCAAAATGGCAGATTACCTTTACATTATTTAATAGAATTAAGTGTAAATAAATCAAAGGATCCCGCTATTATTAATTCGTATACGGAAACTTTATTACAAATTTTGAGTAATGAAAATTATTCCTTATTAGAAATGACACTTAATTGCCAAGATCATATTGGTAACACCCCATTACATCTAGCTGCCTTGAATTTAAACATATCCCTATTCAATAAACTATGTCTATTGGGTGCATCAACAAGTATTTTAAATATTGATAAACATTCTCCTGTAGATATTTTATCAAGCTTTAATTTAATTATCCCATCTAACCCTAAACCACAAAACACGCCTGAGGCTCCTGATGACGAACAACAAGAAGTTTTAAAATCACCTAATGTGAAAAAAACAAGAAAGAAGATTGGAAAGAAGAAGGCCAATAATAAAAAACATTCGACAAAAAATGAAAATCCTAGTCACGAAAACACGTTGAGTACTCCTATGGTTGACTTGAAGCCACATTTAACCGAGGATCCAACTAGTTCATCCTTAAATATGATAAGCGTTGAGGATATTTCTTCTGTTGATATTTTCGCAAATCCTTCCATCCCTATGTCATCTACAGTTACCAAGAATTATAATAAACAAAACCTCTTAAGCCCACAAGGTGCTATGACTCCAAGTAAAATACCTAATATCAATTCTCCATTCCCCATTGAACAACAACATTCATTGTCAAATGAAATTAATGGAAATGTGATAAATAATACTGGTACTATTAAAAAACATAACAAAGTTAGAAAATCTACATTCTTGGCTTCACCTCATTTTGCATCTTTGAATGAAAATTCAAGGCATTTTGCTAACCTTGTCTCGGAAGATGCTATCTCACGTGAAACACAATCTAAACTTAATGAAATGGCTAATTTAACAGGGGTAAGAAAAATGGTTTATGATTTGAATAAGATGATAAACGTTATGACAAATAATATTGAGGAAAAATTGGGTACTGTAATTGACGACACAAATAATGTAAAACAAGAGCTAGAGATTGTTAATGATAGATTTAATTCAGTAAACAGAAAATCTAAAGAAATATATCAATCAATAAACATAGAAAACGTTGATAAAGTTGAAAATGTGCTCGAAGAGCATATATCAGATAATAAACAATATCAAAATCAATTAGAGAAAGCCATGGAACGTAGTCAAGCTCTAAAGTTAGCCAAAATAATGCATGAAGAAGAACAAGTCGAAGAAGAACAAAAAGACAATCCTGGTGACGCAAAAGAACAACTAAGGTTAGCTACATTACTATCCTTGTTACAATTACAAAGACAATCAAAGATGAGTAAGATTCAAGAGATGACATCTTCTTTGACTACAAGTGGTAAAATTAGGAAGTATGGGAAATTGATGGGTATGGGATTTGAAGATTTAGAAAATAAATTGGACGAAATTGAAAGAGACCTTAAAGTTGAGGTATAATTCATTTTCATCTGTCAAAAATGAACAAAATCAAACATTTTATATATTAACATTTTTTTTTGTAACCATATAGATATTATAGTAATAAGAAAAACACACTATTTGCATGCACAATTATAAAGTGGAGGGGACCGAGTATTTGGCAAAATTCACAAGCAATCAATATATCGAATCTACGTTTTTAAATAGAGAGCTTCTGCGAATAATTAAAGGAGTTAAGGATGTATCGCTTAATTTCAAAAAATCTGAAACATAAAAAAAACGAAGAGGCAACTTGAATCAGGAACAGAAGAGTACGCATAAAATAGAAACTGAGTATATTAAAACTTAGAAAGGAAGAGATAATTAGTATTCACAAAGATACATATAAATAAGACAAAGTAAATTATATAAAAAGGGATTAACCAGTTGTATCGTAATAGTACCCAGATATTTTTTGTTCAGTACTAACTAAAGAAAACAACAGACATGTCGGAAGTGCAAGACTCTCAACCTGATAGTGTCCCTGACTCGATAGAGAAAAAGGATGAGCCCAAGACACAAGAATTTGTGAGACCACCATTAACCTTAGGTAAAGATATTCTTCAAGGTATAAAATATGTTATTTTCAATCCCGAGGCCAATCTTATTGTGATGCCAATTTTATTACTTTTAGAATCAATGGCTCTTAAAGTAATCATAAGTAATGTTAAGTACACCGAAATAGATTATAAAGCTTACATGGAACAGATTGATATGATCAATGAAGGTGATTTTAATTATGATAATATTAAAGGTGGTACAGGTCCATTAGTGTATCCAGCTGGTCATGTTCTCATTTTCAAAATGATGCATTGGCTTACCGAAGGGATGGAACATATAGAGAGAGGCCAAACTGCTTACAGATATTTTTATTTACTTACATTATTTCACCAATTTATGATCTATTATAAGTTAAGTATTCCACCATGGTGTGTTGTTTTAGTTTGTCTATCCAAGAGAATACATTCAATCTATGTATTAAGACTATTTAATGATAGCTTTACTACATTTTTTGTTATATGTTCGTTCTTGGGGTTAATTCGTGGTGGTACAGTTAAATCTAGAGGCTTAAAGATAGCTATTTGTACTTTGATTTCATTAGTTTATAGTTTTGCTGTTAGTGTCAAGATGAATGCACTATTATTTTTCCCGGGTTTTGCTATTGGAATTTATTATATTTGTAATGGTACTCTACTTTTATGCTTATATTCAATGATTTTAATGATTGGTTTACAAATTTATGTTGGTTATCCATTTTTAAAAAACTTTTCATGGCAATATATTAACGGTGCATTTAATTTTAAAAGACAATTCATGTATGAATGGAGTATAAACTGGCAATTTATTGGTGAAGATGGATTTTTAAGTACAACATTTCAAAGAAGTTTACTTTTATCGCAAATAATTATGTTATTATTTGTTTTTATAAGTAAATATCCAACTTTGGTTAAAAATGTATCAAGATCAATTATTCATCCATTTAGTTCGGTTGTTGAATTATCATCCAAGAATTATTTTGAATTAATTCCATATTTTTTCATTATGAGTAATTTTATTGGTATAATATTTTCAAGATCATTACATTATCAATTTTTAACATGGTATCATTGGACATTACCTATTTTAATTTCTTGGTCTGGATTACCTGTATATTTAGGACCAATATGGTATATTGCTCATGAATATTGTTGGAATTCTTATCCACCAAATTCAACTGCAAGTATAGCATTGGTATCCTTAAATGGTTTATTATTAATTCTAGTGTTAATAAGAAAAGGATATCCCGTCAAGGAAGATGAGGATTTACAAGAGAAGAAAAATAAATAAAGTTGATCTCAATAATGGCTTTTTTTACAATTTATAATTATACATAGCTATGTTAAAAAAAAAAATAAAATATGATTGTTATTATGTACACTACGGAGGAACGAGCGCAAATCTGAACTCTCGAACAATAGTTCCTTTACGTAAGCACACTCAAAAAAGAAAACAAACAAACAAACTAACGAAAAGTTGCTCCTGGACGCAACAACATATGTGTGCCACCTACCAAACCCTCAATCATTTTTTGAAACAAGAAAGGTGAAACTGCAATTACACAAACATGAAAAAAAAAAAATTGAGAAGAAGCATCTCTCTGCAATTCATAATCAAATAAACATTCGAAAGACCATTAGTTCGCTCGAAGATATTTTGCAATGCATGCAAACATTCCCGCCAAACCTCAATATGTTCCATTCTCTATGTTATTCCCAAAACGACTTCACAATTGCATGGAAAATACACACGCCTCTCTCCCTCTGTGTATCACCATCGCTACTGTTCCACCGTTCATCGGGTCCCTCATAAGCATGGATAGGGTTTTAAACTCCTGCCGTGGGAGTTTGAGGGGGGATTGGATTTTTTTTGTCATATTTTTTTGGGAGCTTGAAGGGGTGCTTGTTTTAGAAAAATCCACCCTAATAGGACGGTCGGTCACGTGATATATTGGGCGTGAATTATTTAATTTAATATTCCTGTATCAAGCAGCATTACTCATAGTTCAATTAAGGTAAGTTAGAAAGTATGCTAATATACCTATAACTCAAGAACAGTTGTTTAATATGACCGTAAAAACTTTTCTTAGTAGTTAATTGTGACAGTTGTTTTTGGGAATTTGAGGGGGTTGAAGTATTTTTTGGGACCTGGGGTTTGAGGGGGGGTTTGGGACAAATTTTGTGAAAATGGGGGAGTTTTGTTTTGAAAAAAAACCAACCGTGCTTGGTCCCCCAAACAGAAAAAAAACACGAAATATTGACAGAAAACAGAGCGAAAGCGGCAGCGAGCGACGACGACGACAAAAAATTATTTCAAAATTAAATTTTACCGATTATGTCAACAGGTGGGATAGGCAAAAGGATCAACGAGAAGTGTGTTCCCCGAGATAGCTTCTGCTTCTGTTTTTTTTTTTTAGGTTATTTATTTTATTTAAACAAAACAAGAACTATTTAATTTCTTAGATTTTTGTAAGAACCCTTGATTAAATATACATATACAGCCCTGTATATTACTTATTGTTGTAATTTTTAAAGTGAACCATCCTCTTTTTTCTTTTTCTTCGTCGAGCAAAGGCCTTCGTCCAACCCCCCCTCAAACTCTACCTATTTCTATTTCTACAATTTAATTTTGGTGACATTGCACATAATATATTCTAAAAGTAATTGGAACACGAAATAGTGGATGAATTTATGATTAGCGTTTTGAAAACGAAATTTTAAGTAAGAGAAGGACAGTCATATAAACAGATCCATTGTAACATTTAAATAAATATTTTTTTTCTTTGAAGAGAAAGAACGAAAAATAATAATAAGAAGAAAAGAGAAGAAGGGAACGAAAAAAAATATTAAGAATTAAACGTAGTCATTTTCTTTTTTTTTGAAAATTTGATCAAGGTATTATGGATAATCGATTTGTATCTCAGGGATCTCAGCAAAGTCAGGGTCAACAACAGATCCCACAAGGAGAAGCTAGATCACCAGGAATGTCAGGAAATTATCAACAATTTCAATCTCAGCAACAATATCAAATATCACAACAAATGGCCCAACGAATGGCTCAACAACAGCAACAACAGCAAATGATGGCTCAGCAACAGATGATGACTCAACAACAGCAACAACAGCAGCAGCCGTTTCCGCAACAACAACAAACAATACCTTTACAACAACAACAAATACCACCAAATAGAATACCAAATAATGGTAATGGAATGAATTTCTCAAATAATGAAAGACCTTCAACTGGAACAAATAATGGTCAATCAAATACTATACCTGCGCATATAGAACAACTACAAAATCAGAAAAAAATATTGAATACTTATATTCAAGATTTTTTACTAAAATCAAATCTAAGAAATTCTGCAGATTCATTTAGTAAAGAAGCTGAAATGGATCCTAAAGGTCGTTTATCAACAAATGATCGCGATTCTTCAACATCTCCTGAAATGAATAATACCCAATTTAAACCCTTATATGATACAAGACAAGGCTTTTTATATGAATGGTGGCAATTATTTTGGGATTTATTTAATATTAAATCAAATAGAGATGGGTCAGAGATTGCACAAATATATTATCAGATTATTAATAGTCAACGACAAGTTGAACAAATTCAAAGAAATATTGCTATTCAAGCTGCAAAGACTCAATATATTGCTGAACGAAGAGGTGAATATCGTAATGAAACTTTAGAACCAATGGAATTGGCACAATTGTTATCTAGACAACCTATTTTAACAAATGGAATGTCTTATCCACAATTTACAAATCAATCTGTTTCCAACGCTCAATATATGATGCAACAACAACAGCATCAAGGCCAACTAAATGGTCATGTTCCAAATAGTTATATTCAATCACGAACACCACAATCAATGAAACCCCAAATGCATGGTTCGGCTACGAGCGTAAATTCATTGAATAACAATGAATCTCCAAATACTAGTATTAGCAGTGCACAACAAAAGAAACAATTATTACAACAACAGCAACAAATACAGCAACAACAATTATTACTTCAACAACAACAAATTGCACAACAAAGACATCAAAGTCAACAACCGTCATTTAATGCAAGACATTCCACTCAACCTAATCAATATTCAGCTCAACAAGGTTACGATTTGTCAATGGGAACACAAGCAAACGCTGTATATGGTGTTCAACTCATGAATAACAGTAGTAACAGTAGTAATAATATGGAAATGATACAACAAATGGGTCAAATTGATACTAATCAACAAAACAGTATCGGTTCTGATAATAATAAAAAGTCAAATGATACAATGCAAAAAGGGAGAAAAAATAAAAACAAACAGGATATGGCTTCTCTAGACACCAATAAACAATCATTGAGTAATCAACCTACACCTGGTTACATAAATCATTACTCTAATGACAATAGAACTAACCAAATGTCGAATGAAGGCAACAATGCAACCTTTGTGAAAAATACAGGTCATACTAAGAGGAAACCGACTTCAACTAAGGAGAAGGCGAAATCAACCAGACAACCTGCTAAAAAGAAACGTTCCACCAACCCAAATACAAATAATAATAATACCCAATCTGGAACAAGTGTAGTGAGTACTCCTGTAGAGTCTAAAGGTACACCTAATTTCACTTTTGCAGATAATAAAAATCTCCATAGCAATACACCTGGTACAATGAAAAAGATTGGGAAAAGAAGTCAATCTACTACTCAACTTATATCAGGTTTATCTAACCCTAATTCACCACGAACGATTGTTGGTCATGCATCTACTTCAACTGAACCTTCAATGAATAAAAAAGACATGTTACCTCCAAATGGAGTTTCTCCACACGTTATATATTCTCCACAATATAAAGTTATGACTACACAAAACTTGAGTGGGAAGAATCAAAGTTTTGATTCAAATGTTCAAGAAAAGCCACAAATAACAAATAATCAAGGGCAAATTAGAAGAAAATCTACAACTTCATTGAATAATAAGGCAGGTCTTACATCATCCTCTAGTACAACTAATAACAATATAACGTGGGAACAATCTGTTCCAGCATCCAAAAATGTTAGAAACGCTAAATTTTCAACATCTGAACCTGTTACACCTATTTATTCGACTACTGTTCCAGCTAGTGGAAATTCTACTAAGCAACAAAATTCTTTATTATCTACGGTAGATGAACATGCTGCATATGACAATTCACAGGGAAACAATTCAAACAAAAGTGATAATAGTAAAATAAAATTTGAGAAATCTCAATCAACCACTACAAAGAATACCAAAAAGAAAACTCAGAGAGCTAGTAAGAATATAAAACAAGGGGATGCTGGTCATCGCACAAATGTAAATATGTCTCCAATGAAAGGTGATAATGATCCATCTATAGGCGGTAAAATATCTAACACTGAAGAGAGTAATGAACAAATAAACGAAAAGTCTAATAATAACAAAAATATTGATAGCAGTAATACAAATAATCAAAATAATAATTACAATGTAGATGATGCTGCTTCCAATTATATGTTTGGAAATGATATACAGGATGATGATATGTTGTTCATGAATACAATAATGGATAATGATAAAGATCATTTTGGTATGGACATGAATATGAATATGGGCATGGACGTTGATATGGAAATTAACGATGATGATTTGCTAGTAAAAGATTTAGATACCGAAGGCCACCAGATCCATTCAAACAAGACAGATTCTGACAAGCACTCAGATCCTTCTAATAACATGGAAGCTGAACAAGATTTTCAATTTAATAATTGGTCATAGTACAAAGAAGAAAGAAATAAAACACACACACACACACCTTACATATTGCATCGACTCTTTATATTCAGATTTACAATTCTAAATAGTACTTAGAGCGAACTTTTATAGTTTTAATAATATTTTAGTTAGTTCACTTGACCTGCCCAATGGAAGGTGATCTATTCATTAAATAATCATCCGTACTTCGCAGCTCTTTGTATGACTTCTCTACAATGGTAGCCAGACCAAATTGAGAGGTACTTAATCCAGATATCCCCCATACATATTTTGCCCCATTTGGTGAATTTTTTCGATTTTTTTCACCGCAAAAAAATCGAAAAAAAAAAATGATTCGACTGCAATTCTCTTCTGCAAAATTTAGCTGAAACTGAGAAAAAACCCGCTAAGAAACATGTTTTTCTCACTTTCTTCAGTTTTCGTTCTCTTTCTTTGTTGGGTTAACTATGTGCATTGAGACATTCGATATATTTGGCAGTGAATAAAAAATTAGATCGGCTATTTTATCCAATTAATACGTAGATATATATATATTCACATAACAGAATACGAACTAAAGTCTCATAATAATTAAACATTCCAGATACCTATATGCAGGTTTAATAGATTTCAAGTATAGTAGATTTTCATAATATCATATATTTTTTTACACCTATTAATCTGGTAATTTATCTTTTTTATCTCAACTTCTAAAACGTACGAAATCAGTGCACTCTATACATCCAAAAAATAAAAAAATAAAAAATCAGGAAAAGTTTATCTAAATTTATAAGTTATAGAATCCCAAATTTGTTGTTTTGGTATTACTAGGGCTTTAGCATCATATATTTTAATAACTAATCATTTTTTGATCATGCCTGGAAGAATCATCGCAGTTCCGTTCTTAGATCAAATAGAAGACATCGAGAACTGTTTGAAAAACAATAAAGACATTAAGCATACAACAAGCAATACCTTTTCATATTCAAATAGTAATAAGAACAGTACTCATAATCATAATAATAATACTTCGACTGTGAATAATAATACTTATAACAACAGTTATAATAATTATAATTACAATAATAGTTATTACTATAATAAAGGGAACAATAGTTACTATAAAAAATCTACAATAAATGGAAATAAAAATTTCTCAGTAAACGGTAATAATGGAAACTATGATAATTATAATAAGAATTTTGATTACATGAGATATAATTCTAGAAAGAATAATAGTAGCAACTCACCATATGCCTATAATCAACAGCTTACGTCAATCAAAGCTCAAGATATCTCAGGTAATGACCCAGCAACTAAATCGTATCCTATTTATCAACACAATGAGAAAGATACAGACTTCAATCAAGCTGTTGCTGAACAATTAAAGCAGACTTATCCTCAAATTTACCAAAATACTCATTCAGCTGTTTACTCTAATGGTCAAACTTTTAGTCAAGCAGATTTTGCATTGAATCAAGTAACTAATAATCTTGGAACTTTACAACTACCAGATAGACCCGTTCAAGACACATATTCAAATCAAGGACAGTTAGGTAGTAACAAATACGTTAACGGTCATACACCTTCCAATTTCAGAAGTGAGTCTGATATTAATATTCTAATGTCACATACTGGTCAAAATGTTACTGTTGATAATAACAACAATGGCAACAACAACAACAACAATAATAATAATAATGAGGATAATAACATGGCTTTATTCAAGTCTTACATACCATCCGAGTTACTAGATTCAACTAACGGAACTTTCGCTGTTAATGATGGTATCAACAGGAATTTAGGGCCAAACGATCCGAATACTTCAAACACTTTTGTTCCACAACCTCAAACTTCATCATTAACTCCTATACTGGGAACTAATAGCATAATCGCGCCCCCTTCAAATATCAGTGATACTGCATTGAAGTTTACTTCTTCACCTTTTAGTAACAGTAACATTGCTCTCAACAATATGCGTTCTTCTGGAGCTCAGCCAACTCAGAAGTCTGATTTATCCTCTATTGGTTGGGGTTCTAATCAAATGGATATCCAATCATCAATTCCAGGTAGATCATCTCTGAACGCCTCTAGCAATAGCAACAGTGGTATGTTTGGTATTTGGAACAACGATATGAGCGTTTGGAGTTAACCAAGCATTGGTATAAATAATAAATATATCAAAATTTCCGTTCATTTATGGGTTATTGTGAATAGTTTATTCTCATTTGTGTCTACTTTCTCATTTTTTTTATCTATTTATTTATTTTAGGGTATATTATTTCAACACTGGATACAGGTACATAATCATATAATCATCATATATTAATGAGACTATCGTCATTATTAATTCGTTACAATCACATTTTCTTATTGTTGTTTTCAAATTTAAGAGCAGAAAATATATGAATAGCGAGATGAAAGGGAAAATAAAAAGAATATTAAATTACTACATTATTTACATGTATTTAAAGAGTGTCATTTCACATTTAATATTTTCTTGAACATTGTTTCTAATTCTTGAGCTTGTATTTTACCTTGGTATTTCCTCATACCTAACCCTACAAGATATTTGATCGAGTTCTTTTTTTTTCCAGATTTAATACTTTCAATCATCTTTGGATTATTGAGAGTTTCGATGATTTCCCTACAATCTGCTTCTAAAGTATTATAATCAATATTTTTTGTGACCTCAAGATCGTATTTTTTAATCAATATCATAAAGTCGATATCTTTAGGTTCCTTACAACTACCAAGTTTATATTCCTCTAAAATATGGAAAAGTAACTGTTTCGCATTTGAATTTGAAATCACTCCACCGTGAACGATATTTAAAAAACTAGCTAACTTCTTGGGAGATAATATATTTTGCGAAAGTTGATTTAAAGGTATTTGTAACTTTTTCAAATTACCCAATAATTCGTGTAATATCCAACTTACCACAATTTTAGGGTCACTTATTTCATTATCCTCGGTCGAGCCTTTGTACGCATTGAATGTATCTATATAATACACCCGTAATTCCTCATTATTGTATAATTCATTAAAGTCGTTTTGAATGGTCATTATCCTGGCGTCCTTCTTTGATAAATTGTAAGGGTTCGACATTAACTCCCTTATACAATCATCGGCATCTTTAGAAAGTGTCTTTGCAACTTCGGATAAGACATCAGAACTTAACGCAATTGGAGGTAATTCTGGATCTGCCATGTATCTGTAATCCATTGTTGACTCCTTGGATCTTAATACCGTAGTTTTAGAACCATCCCAGCCTCTAGTTTCAACAACGGTAGAAGAGTCCTGTTCGTTGTTCTTCAGTACATTTACTTGCCTTTCATATTCATATTTAATGGCATTGATAATGGAGGATGTGTTAGGTAAATTTTTTAATTCAACTCTAGGATGTTCGTTTACCGATACATTCACATCGATACGAATCGAACCAGCTTCTAAGTCACCTGTTGATATTTTGAGTTGTCTAACAAGATTTTGATATTTCTTTATAAATGCCTTAACCTGTAATATATCATGGAAATCTGGTTCAGTAACAAGCTCGATTAGTGGCACATTTGATCTATTGAGATCTATTAACGTTTCTTCACCAGAGTTCTGTTGTGACGACTGGTGGTATAGAGAACGTGCTGTGTCTTGTTCAATTTGTAATTGTGTTATTCTAATTTCCTTCGAGAGTTCTTTTATTTCATCGAATTCTTTAGATAATCTTAGATAGCCACCCTTTGAGAAAGGATGATAGTGTTGAGTTATTTGATATCCTTGAGGCTGATCACCGTAGAAATAATGCTTCCTATCAAATTGTGAAGAAAGATTGACAGTGCTATTCAAAGACAAAGCAAGTTTAAGTGCAAATAGAACGGCTTCGTAGTTCAATATGGGTTGCGTTCCTGGTAAAGCAATGTCAAAGTAACTAGTATTCACATTAGGACTTGATATTGACTCAAAGGGATTATTTACAGATCTTGAAAAAAGTTTATTCGTTGTATTTAATTGCGTGTGAATCTCCAAACCACAGGTTAATTCAAATCCCTCTATTGGATTTCCATTTGAAATTCTTCTTTTAATTGTAAGGGGTATCAATGACTTTAATCGTAACATTGTCCTTATGCGTAATCGGTTGATCTTACCCAAAGGAAAAACAACAACAAAAAACAGTTAATAGTATGTTTATTAAATGTAAAAAAGTGTTAATATCAATACACTGCTTCTATTTTGTTTAGTTTGATGTCCCTGGTAGTTATATCCTCATTATTTGCATTTATTATAGAATCTTTCTGTCCAATATGGCATCGCTTTTAACGAACCGGTCTCGAAAAGTTCTTATTTTATTATTATTGCCATAGTTAATTTTTTTATTTTTTTTTCCAAATAGCTACAAAACAAATTATTATTATTTGGAATACCATCGATGTGTTGATTTCTATAATTGAATCGATTAAACAGTAAGTAAAATAATTTAGTAGGATTCGAATTGTTATTTTGAAAACTTTACAAGTGATTGTTACTATTCGACAGATTTACATCTTTTGAAACGAAACATTCTTTTGTTTATCCTGCTTCTTTCTTTTCAATAGGAAATTAAATCATGTTCTCTACTCCTCTAAGAAGTAGGGTTGATTATCACAACAACGACACATTTGTTGGTTCAAACACATTGTCCAATACAAATGGAAACCTTCCTACTACTGGTCCAATCAATGGATTAGGAAGTGGAATTTCTGGTACGAACGGGAACAACTTAACAAGCGCAGGCACTAGGGCAATCAACAACAGTAATAACGCCATGGCATCTTTTGCCAGCACAACTGGTCCAATTGGCAATTCCAATTATATGCAATCAGGACTATCATCCAACAATGAACACATCAGACTGACTGGCTTAGGTACTAAAAAACCCCTGGAATTAGCCAGTGAATATATCGATAGTTTAGAACGTCGTGATTCCAACACTCCTGTTCTAGACGAAAGATCATACTATAATAATGGTGTGAACTACAATTTCTCGAAAGAGGTTGGTGGATTAGGTGCTTTTACACCATTTGAACGTCAATCTGTAATTAATATTCCAGATGTGTTATTACAAGAAGCTTCAAAGACAGAAATTAAAAGTGATATGGGTATTTTTCCTGAATTGAATAGATGTTGGATCACTATTGACAATAAGTTAATCTTATGGAACATTGATTCAAACAACGATTTCCAATCAATTGAAGAAATTAAACATACTATCTTAAATGTAAAATTGGTCAAACCAAAACCAAATACATTTGTGAACCATATAAACTATTTGTTATTAATCTCTACCCCCTTTGACTTATATATCCTGGCTCTATCACACAATGATGTATCTAATGATATAACGGTATACAACACGGGTCTATCTGTATCAATCAGTGGAATGGGTTCATTAGAGATTGTTTCTTGTGAGAAGACCGGCCAAATATTTTTTGCCAGTACAACTAATGATTTGAATATCTGGGAACTACAGTACACAGGATCAGATGACTGGTTTAATAGTAAATGTAACAAAGTTTGTTTGACCCAATCATCCTGGTCGAGTCTACTGCCAACAAATGTGTTGAATAAGTTACCAGGTAGTGAGTTAGTTCAATCATTTTTCGAGGAAGATTCAAAATATGCCCAAGAAACAATTGTACAATTGACAGTTGATCAATCGAGGAATATCATTTATTCCCTATCATCCAAGGCAACTATTAGAGCATATTTAATTAAAGATAATTCACTAGAGGGTCCAATGACCGTTGGACCTTCATACATAAGTAGAATAATTGGTACTACTACAGCAAGAGCAGCTGCAATCCTAGGTAAAAAATACTTGAAAATTTCTAAAATTATCTCGGTATCCCAACAGGAAAACAATAACTTATTTTTGGTTGCTTTAACCATTGGTGGTGTCCGTCTATACTTCAATGGTTCAGTTGGTAGAAACTCTATTGAGGCACTAAGACTAGAATCAATAAAATTCCCTCCAAGTTCTGTCACACCCGAGGCAATGCAACAAGAACTTCAACAACAGCAGTTGGAACAACAAAAGAGAAACATACCGTTCTACTCTAGTTTGACTTACTCAGAATCGATATTATTAAAATTACAAAAGAAATCTTCTGTCTTGTTAGAGACTACCAGCTCTAGTACTATTATATCTCCGGGTATTTTCTTTTCTTCCTTGATTAAATCTACCCAACCAACACAACATGTTGACCAGAAATCTGCACAATCTACAACAACCACTGCGACTGCCCTACAGACTCCAGGCCAAAAGATTAAAGCTACACTACAGGCAAGAAAAACTAATGCTGAAGAAAAGGCCAATGCACCAAAAACTCCTGTGAATCACCGTTTGTTTGTTAGTGTCCCTGATTATGGTATTTTAAAGAACCACGGAAAGTACGTCGAAAATGCAACATTTTTGGATACCAGAAGCCCTGTTAAACAAATCGTCGCTTTGACACCAACATTTAATGCTACAACAAAACCTGGTGGCTACGCCAATGAATTTGCTACACAATATAGTGCCGATGATTTAAGGGTTGCTGTACTTACCAAGACAGCGGTTGAAATTTATAGATATCGTACCCCGGATGAAGTTTTCGAATCACTAATTGACAATCCTTTACCATTTGTTTTAAATAATGGTCTTTCAGAAGCTTGTTCTAGCGCTTTATATGTTACATGTAAATTTAACAAGTCCGAATTGATCAGATCCAAAGCACTAACTTTCTTGACAGTTGGTATCCCAGGAGTGATAGATATTAAACCTTCCTATAATCGTTACTCTGCTTCCACTGTTACATCACTACTATCCAAACCATCTTTAACTAGTGCGACCCAAAAGACTACAAATAGCATTACGTCATCAACTACAAACTTCAACCTTGATGATGTTATCTTATCGCCAAGATTCTACGGTATTGCCATGCTTATTTCAAGACTTTTCCGTGATATCTGGAGCAAAAATATTTTCATCTCAGATACCAATGCAAAATTTAACAAAGTAAACAATTTAATTCAAGAATCCCTACAAACTGGTAATTATATCAATAGCGTCTCCATATCAAAAATGGACATCGAATACTATTTGTCTTCAATTTTAATCCTGAATGAATTCTTCTCCAATTATGGTGATTCTATCACACAAGTAATTGCTCCATCCTTACCAACCGAAAATTCCAAAAACAAGTATGACGAAGTTGCTAACCAAGCTGAGAATATCGCTGTCAATTCGTTGATCAAGTTAGTTCATTCTATGAAAGAGGCTCTATCATTCTTGAATGTTTTGTATGAAGAAAGTGAAATAGAAGGTTATGAACATCAATATCTCGCATTTAAGGATATCATGAAGTTTCTGAAGATTGATGTTCAAATTAGACTATCCAAATTGACTTTTAAGGATCTGTTTGCTCCTAATGAAAATTCTAAAAGTTTGATTAGAGAGATACTTTTATCTGTTATTAACAGAAACATTTCAAGAGGTGCTTCTATTGAGTTTGCCGCTACTACCTTACAAGAACGTTGTGGTTCCTTCTGTTCTAGCAGTGATATCTTAAGTTTTAGAGCGATGGAGCATCTAAAGAAGGCTAAGGAAATTGGCCTAGGTGATTACGATACTGTTTGCTATCATCTTGATAATGCAATTAAATTATTTGAAAAAATTGTGGATGATATCGCATTTGATAAGTTGAAAGAAGCTGTTTTAGTGATGTTAAGTCTAAATTACTTCCCTAAAACTATTGAGTTTTTATTGAATATTGCTAACCTTATTGATAAAAATAAATTTGCTTATCAATATATTGCCAACGGTTGTATGGTAAATGACCAAAGAAAGGAATACTATGATAAACGTATGATGATTTATGATTTTATCTCAGAAGTCCTTGTTAAAGTCGATGAAGTTGCGTCAAAAAAGAGTACCAATATAAGTGGGTTGAATATGACTTCAGGTGATGTCAATACATTGAAGGACCAAAGTTATGCAATTGCCTTTAATTATAATGATAAATTATTCCACTATCACATGTATGATTGGTTAGTATCGCAGGACCAAGCTGATAAATTATTAGACTTAGATACTGCCTTTATTCAACCTTACTTGGAAGAAAAGTCTAAGGATTCACTGAAAATTTCTAATCTGTATTGGGTATACCAATCAAGAAACTCGCAATTCTACAAAGCTGCTGAAATTCTTTATTCCTTGGCAGTATCTAACTTTGATATTACTTTAAGTGACAGAATTGAATGTTTATCTCGTGCTAATGGTTTCTGCAATGGTGTTTGTCCTCCAAATCAGAAGCAAAATATGGTTCAATTAACTGGTATTATTCAGGAATTATTTGATATTGCTGCTGTTCAGGATGATTTAATTAATCTAATAAATACAGACAATAGGATTGAATCAGAGACAAAGCAGAAGTTAATTAAGGAATTAAACAATAAAGTACTGCCAGTAAGTGATCTATTTAATGATTATGCTATTCCACTAGGTTATCATGAAGTCGCATTGAATATATACAAAGTTTCAGACTTCCGTAACGAGGAAGAAATAATGGCAACATGGAATGAATTATTTGAATCGGTAAAGAAGGAAATACATTGTACTAACAAGATTGAAGATTCTTTGAATTTCATAAACTTGTTGTCCAACATTGTAATTAAGATTGGTAGAACTGTTCACACATCCGAATATGTCTTCCCAATAGCAGAGCTATTCCCAATTATTATGCATTTGTTTGAAGAATCTCTACCAAAGGGCCATGTTAAGGCTGGTACCGTTGCATCCATGTTCATTTCATCAAACGTTTCATATAACAAACTGTACCATGTACTAAGAAGCCTTCTAGAAACATTAGACTCTAAGGATAACGGATTAAGCAGAGAAATGGGATGGTTAATTAAGGAATGGTATCAACATGATAGAAAATTGAGGGATGTTATCACATTTGATGAAGTATCAAAACTTGACGAATATGACATAGAGACGGACCCAATTGAAAACTACACCAAGAAAAGTGGTAATAATATCTGAGTAGAAATGATTACATACGCTTACGAAAACTCTCATGCTAGTATTTTAAGTCATAATTTGTATAATAAATAAAATGTCAGAACATATTTAAACATTTATTTTTCCTTTATAATTGTGCCATTCCCAAAAGATATGCAGAAAGTAAATGGGGAAAATAGCTATTATTTATAGTATGTTATATTAATATGTATATATTTGTTATATAAAATTGGCTAAATCCATCTAATGTGCAATGTACATATATATTGTCATTTGAACTTGTAACGTCAACCTCACTAGTAGGTCATAATCTTTATGCCCAGGATAGGTTACAAAATATCATATAATTATACTGTAATGTGCTACTATTATTTACTTCCGAAGGTATTCTCACCTGAATATGTGATATACAAAAACCCATCTTTGTCTTTATTTTCTTGATACACTGCGGACATAAGAGCGGCTGTAGGTGGAAGAGTATCATTCACAAAGATAAATATTGCCTTTTCTGGTGGAAGCATTATCCTTTTCCGTATAACATATACAAATTGGCCTACTGTTAAATCTGCGGGTACCAAATATTTACGTTTGTCAATTTCTGGTATATCCGATTTTTCAGCCTTCTCACAAATTACAGGTATTCTATTTTGAAATCTATTTAGTATTCTCTCTGATTCTGTCTTCCTTTTTTCAAATGGATATTCTGATTTAAATGTAGATTTCATATTTTAAGTAATAATAAAAAAAATATGTTGCGCTAGTGTTCTGCGTTTTCCTTATGTGGTTTTATTGTATTATATTTGTAGTAGTTATTCTTGTAGTAAACTATCTTGTTACTATCCTTTAAAGTATCAAATTTTGTATCGATTTCTTCTTCTTTACCATTGTCATTTATATATTAAAGGAAAATGGAATTTCTAAGAGAAAGCGGGGCTCTGCGATAACACACCCCTAAAAAAAGTTGTCACTTGATTGAAATAAAGAATAATTTCAATATTGATATTTTTAAATTTATTAAAGAGAATAAAGTTGTTTGAGTTGTATGTTGTACAAAATGTTTATAAATTGGTATGATATGTGTATGTAAATGAATGTATTGACTATTTTATCGGAAATGATTTTAAGCAAATCTTGACTTAGCACGTAGAATGTGGCCGTACTTATGCAAAACGAATGGGACCACAGATAATGCTAAAGCTACAAATCCAACAATGGTAGACCCCCACCCCACTGGGTAGCTATCAATGGCCAAGTTGTTGTACATTGCTCTACCAAATAATGGAAAAGAACAAGCAAACCCTGCTCTGAATAGACCATTACCTGCAAAGACAGACGCGACATAATTTGGGAAACTTAGGGCCAAATATGCATAAGTAACTTGGAATAAATTCCAACAACAAATAACAAATAAGACTTGAGCGATAATAGGAACAATCCAATGGGTACTTGCTGCCCATCCGAATAAGAATAAGGAAGCCGGAAAGGCCCAAAATACTAATAATAAGACAACCAACAAATCTTCAGGCACAAAGGTCTTATCTTCGAATTTTTGTTTTAGGTATTTCATTTGGAAGACACCTAACAGTACAAATGCCAGAAAACAACCAACGCAGAAACCTAAGTAAGATAAACCAAGTTCGATTAATGTAAAATGATAAACGTTAACAAAGACGATAGGAAATGACTCGAAAAATAAATAAAAGGCACCGTACGCAAGACCTGAATATAGATCAAATGCTAAAATAATCGGTTCTTTGGCAATCATTTCAAAGGGTCTAACTAAGGTGTTTTTTACAATTGTTTTAGTTTTTACTTGTTCATCTTCTCTGTCATGAATAGAATAATATCTATCATCCCCGGTTTGTTTTCTAATTCTACGTGCTCTTCTTGAAAGGATAGCTTTATGTGAAGTTTCCTGGAAGAAGAAGAATGTGAAGACAAAAGTGAAGGCAGATAAGAACACTAAAAGCCAGAATATCCAACGCCATCCTTTAGCAACAACCATAGATGCACCTAGTAATGGCCCAATAATTGGTGCTACCATTGTTCCAACAGACCAAATACCGATATATAGATGAATCTTTTCCGGGGCAATTATATCACCAATGGTTGCACCACCTGTACTTAATGGTGGTGAACATAAGATACCGGTTATAAATCTCATAACAATCATTCCACCAATATTGTGAACAGTAGCAATCCCAATATTAAAAACGAAGAACATTATAAATGTAATGGTATAAATTGGTAAACGTCCAATTTTTGATAATTCAGATAACGGTGAGAAAAGCAATGGACCAATACCGTAACCTAAAATATACAGAGAAAGATTTAAAGTAGCAGTAACGTGACCTATCTTAAATTCATCTCTAATTTGATTTTCACCTGGGGTATAAATTGAAGAACCCATATAATTTACACATGTAAGTAACATGACTTGAATAACCGTCAGCGTTTTTCTTGTTGAGGGCCAATTCATTGGGAACTCGGGATCATTTGGTCCCCTCCATGTCACCAAGAAAGGATCATATTCTGCTTTATTTTTATTAGGATGGGTTTCAACTTTATCAATAGTGATGCTGAAATTATCGTGTTCTGCAGAATCGAAACTCTCATTGTCTGAACCACACAAACCTTGCTCTCCATTTTTGTTTGGGAGATTGTGTAATTCAGGAATTTTAACGAGTTTTAATAGCTCTAAGACATCAATAAATGATGTATTTTTGAAATATTGTAATGACATTGCTTAGTAGTATTGATAAATCTTATAATTACTGTTACGTTGTTATATATTGACCCTTGTTACGTGTTTTTTTTTTTTGATTTATGACATTTTAGTTTAACTGTTCAAATGTGGTTATTATTTATACTTTTTGAAACTAATTTGCTTAATAAGTAGTTACCCATAACATGCATATCAACCTTCCTGAAAAAGGGCTTTATTTTCTTGTGGTCTATTATTTATTTTAATCTTTTCTCGATTAATAAGACCTCATCGCAATCTTGAAATGAATTTGTACCTTATTTCAGTATAGCTATTTAGACTCTTCTTGGAGTACGACCCTGACGGCTTTTAAACGGAGAAAGCCCCTTCTACTATGTTTTCTCTGTAGGTAGAACAAAATTATATTTTGAACATCTCTTTTTTTCTGTTCAGTTCTTTTCACTTCGGGAGTTGTTAGGTATCTCCACATAATATCCGTCACGTTAACGTCGATTTAGCAATTACTTATCAATTTGCATTATAAATAATTCATCATTACTAAAAAGTTCATTCAAGACCATCCATTGAGACCCTTTTCTTTTTCGATTTTTAATTTTAAAATCAAGACTTTATTAGTGTGACATGATTATTAAGGACTGTCATTTTTGTTGCAACATTAATTCACGAGAAGTTGAGTTCCCACCTTCAATGGTGTGAAAATTAATGAAGATTGTAATCGTAATAAAGTTCGCTCGTCTGTTTGCTATATATTTTTCTTTGTGTATTTCATTCTATATGTATCTGGTACAAGAATAAAGAACATCAAATTTCTTTATTATCGCTGAAATCTCGTAGGTAAATTAAATATGAGAATTAATTTATAATATTAGACTACAATTTATTTATTTTTTATAATTATTCATTTTATGTTGTTCATCATTCACAATCTAAATATTTTTAATTTAAAGATTGTGTCATTGATAGATTGTTCTTCGTCAGCAATTGAGTCAGATCTGGAAGAATCAAATTTGGAAATTTCAGATCTACAAGTCTTTGAAACCATAGCATTATGTTCTTGTAGAACCTTTTCGAATTCCATAGTATCCTTGACTAATTCATATTGTACTAAAACATCATCGGTGGCTTCTAGACCAGCCTTCTTTCTCAACTTTTGGATTCTGTTAATGATTTCTCTTGCTAGACCTTCAGTCTTTAATTCGTCATACACATTGGTATCTAGAATAATTAAAACATCATTATCAGTTCTAGTTTCTCTACCACTTTGAACAGCAGATTCCGGTAAATCTCTAATAACGTTCAGATCACCGGTGACAAGATCGATACCATCGACAGTTAGTTTACCAGTAGCCAAATAAGCCTTGACATCATCGGATGATACCTTTGGTAAACCAGCCTTGACCTTCTTGGCGTCTTTCTTCAATTTCTTACCTAAGACAGGCCAGTCAGCAACAGCCTTATATTCAACATTGTAAGCTTCTTCGTCATCAGTGATGATAACATCTCTAACATTCAATTCTTCGATGATGTAGGCCTTTAGAGCTTCGACATCCTTTAGATAATCCTTGTCACTATGTAGGATGACCAAGGTCTTCAATGGAGTCTTCAGAGAAATCATCTTTTTTTCTCTGACATTTCTACCTAATTCAATAACAGATTGCATTCTAGCGACAGACTTTTCAATAGCTTCATCGAATAATTCTTCTCTGACAACTGGGTAAGATAAGAAATGGACAGATCTACCATCTTTACCGAATTTGGCCAATACATCATCTGGAATATAAGCCTTCAATTGTAAGTAGATGGAATCAGCCAAGAATGGAGTAAATGGAGCCATAGCACGGACAAAGGTAAATAGAGCTTCAAATAGAGAGTTCAAAGCCTTGATACAATCTTCGACACCATTTTCACCCTTTAAACGACGACGGTTAAATCTAATGTACCAGTTAGTCAATTGATCAATGAAGTTTAATAGTTTTGGAACAACGGTATACAATTGATATTGATCCATTTCTTCGTGGATTTCTTGAACTAAAGATTGCATGGAGGCTAAAATCCATTTGTCCATAACATTTTCACCAGTTAAATCTGGGTTGTATTTGAAGTCGATGTTTGAGGTCTTCTTCAATAAAGCAATTTGACCATCCAAGAATTTGAAAGAATTGTACCATGGTAATAAGACCTTGGAAACAACTTCCTTGACACCTTCTTCCTTGAATTTCAAACTTTCAGCCTTCAACACTGGAGAATTGATTAAATATAATCTTAAGGCATCTGCACCGTATTTCTCCAAGACAATGTTTGGATCTGGGTAGTTCTTAAGAGACTTAGACATCTTTCTACCATCAGAAGCCAAAATGATACCGGAGACAATAACGTTTTGGTATGGAACATGACCAAACAAATGGGTACCTAGAACAGATAAAGTGTAGAACCAACCTCTAGTTTGATCTAAACCTTCAGAAATGAAATTGGCCGGGTTTCTTTGCTTGAACAAATCCTTGTTTTCGAATGGGTAATGTTGAGAAGCGTATGGCATAGAACCAGATTCAAACCAACAATCAAAGACTTCTTCAATTCTCTTTAAGTCACCTTTACCTTGCTTAGATGGGATAGTAATATTGTCAATAGAATCACGATGCAGATCCTTGATACCCTTAACACCAGAAAGTTCTTCTAATTCTTCAACAGAACCGATACAAACAATTTCCTTGTAATCTTCAGAAACCCATAATGGAATTGGAGTACCCCAATATCTGTTTCTGGAAACGTTCCAATCACGAGCGTTAGCAATCCAGTTAGAAAATCTCTTTTCTTTGATAGTGTTTGGAACCCAGTGAGATTGTTGAACAGATTCTAATAATTGTGGAACGATGTTCTTAACACGGATGAACCATGCTGGAACAGTTCTGTATAGTAAAGGAGTATCGGATCTCCAACAGAATGGGTAAGAATGGCGAATTTGGGTAGCGTATAGCAAGTTACCAGTTTCGGTCAAGTGCTTGATGATTAATTTGTCAGCATCCTTAACATAGACACCAGCGTAGTCTGAAACCTCTGGGGTGAACTTACCTAAGTCATCAATTGGGTTAGGGAAAGAAGAATCTTCATTGATGATACCGTTGGCCAAACAGACGTTGTAATCCTCTTCACCGAAGGCTGGAGCGTTGTGGACAATACCAGTACCTGAATCAGCACTAACATAATTGTCAGAGATGACTCTGAATGCAGTTTCCTTGAATTCTTCAGCAAAGTAGGAGTATAGTGGTTTATATTTCAAACCAACCAAATCCTTACCTTGAATCTTTTCAACGATCTTATATTTAGCATCCTTTGGCTTCTTGTATAGAGATTTGATCAAAGCTTCCAAAAGAATGTAGTAACAATCTTTAGTTTCATCGTAGATTTTAACGTACTCGAAGTCAGCATTGACACAAAGAGCCATGTTAGATGGTAGAGTCCATGGAGTAGTGGTCCAGGCAACTAACTTTGTCTTTTCTTGACCGATAACATCGAAACCGATGGTAACAGCTGGATCGTTAACATCCTTATAATTTTGTTGAGCTTCGAAGTTACTTAATGGAGTAGTTAAACCAGTAGAGTAAGGCATAACTCTGTAACCACGGTAGACTTGATCCTTATTGAACAGTTCCTTGAAAGCCCACCATTCAGATTCCATGAATGAAGGGTACATAGTCTTATAATCATTATCAAAATCAATCCAACGGCCTAGACGGCCAATAGTCTTTCTCCACTCAGCGGCGTAAGTCATAACAATAGCTCTACATTCATCGTTATAGTTTTTCAAACCAAACTTGAAGACATCATCTTTACCCTTAATGTTCAATTTCTTGTCAATGATATGTTCGATTGGAACACCATGCGTATCCCAACCGAATCTTCTCTCGACATGATGACCTGTCATGGTTGCATATCTTGGAACGATATCCTTAACGGTGGAAGCTAGGATATGACCATAATGAGGAGTACCAGTGGCAAATGGAGGACCATCGTAAAATGAAAATTCAGGTTTACCTTCAGTTAACTTCATAGAAGTATGGAACGCATCAATTTCATCCCATAAGGCTAGAACTTTTTCTTCTTCCTTAGAGAAGGAAAAATGAGAAGAACTTTCAGACATAATATATGTGTGTTTGTTTTTTGGAGAACTTTCTTAAGTGATTTAGTATTCTACATAATAGTTAAAATCAAGATATAAAAACAAACTCTGTGTTATATAAGATATATAGGTAAACGTATGTGTAAGTGTGAGATGTCGATGCCACTTTCGTTAATAAAATTTCATGACAAATCTGTCTCTCTCGGTCTAACAAATTTTTGTTCAAAAGAATCAGTCATTTCTGCGTTGTCTTTTGATCTGTCTGCTACCTTCCTCTCTCTGTCACCGTTTTGTTGTCTAATTCAAAAAGTAAGAAAAAAAAGCACTGAAAAAAATGTGAATTTCGTGTAAAATAACTGTTAAATACGTAGTAAATGCATAAATGCCTATTCATTTGACTGGCAATAAAAGAGTCAATAAGCTACATATCTACCTTACTGAACGTTTATAGTTATCATTTTAATATTGTGATGGAATAGAAGACGTGATAAGAATGATTAGGTCAAAACTATATGTTGTTTCTTCAAGATATGGGGAAGAAATTGAGCTATGTCATTGTTGAATCTTCGTAAAATGTCTTATTTACTTGTCTAATGAAGTTACCCTATTATTTAATATCTAAATTAGTTTATAATTAAAGTATGTTCCTGAATAAGTAGTATATAGAAATATAAATTGTAGTAAATTTTACTGTTGACCTTGTTGATATCTGCGACAAATTTTAAAATATTTATCACATATTTTATGTAAAGTCATTAAAAGGTGACAAAATGTAAACTTTCTTAGCAATAACTCAAAAACTAAAACAAAAAACAATACATTTCAAGACTGAACGCAACTTCAACTCAATATTTACTATTCTAAGAACACTATAAACACTGTACCGGGTACTCCACTTGTATCCTCTCATCGTAGAGGTATAATGGTGTTAAGTTAACTGTAAATAAACACTTATATAACGACACAAATAATAAAATAAATATCCACATAAATATAACTATATGCTAATATTTATTTATTATACTTGTTGTTTTGTAAACTATAAAAATAATGCATTGAAATACAAATTATTTAGAAAGACAAGAGATATGATGATGTCTCTTTTTTATTTTATTTGTAAAAAAGTAAATAGATTTTTGATTATTTCAAGAAGCTTATTTCTTAGCAGTCATTCTTCTTAGGTAGAAAGCTAATTCTTCACCTTCTAGAATGTAACCATCACATCTACCGGATTGACCTGGTCTGGATGAGATAACAGCGTATAATCTACCAGCAGTGAATTGAGATTCAACAGCTTGTTCAACCTTGGCAGAAGCAGCTCTGGAAGCCCATTTCTTTTCAGCACTCTTGGACTTAGCAATAACTTCTTCTTCCTTGCTGTTCTTCTTCTTACCTAGAGTAACACCGTAATGAGCTTGGTACCATTGCTTGAATGGAGTAGCATCAATTTGAACAACAGCAGCCTTGGTTAGAGTGTTAGTTCTGACCAATTCGTTGTTGGATGGATGGTAAGCAACACCAGCAATTCTGGTCTTCTTGGACATACCTTCGGAAGCCCATGAGAAGTTACCAGTCTCAATTCTTAGAGCTCTGAACTTCTTGTTACCACCTCTGGTTCTGACAGTGTGAATTCTCTTGGCACCAATCTTAGTGTTAGCTGGTTGACGACCTAATTCGAACTTTCTCTTCTTTCTGAATTGAGCACGCTTAGCACCGGTGGCTGATCTTTTGTGACGAGAATCACGAGAAATACCCATTTTGATAACTGCATAAAAAAATATGAATGTTGATAATATATAACTTTGGAAAGTTATATTGTTTCAAAATATTTAACTGTTAGTAAAATTGAAATTCGATAAGTTTCGAAATTTGTTTTTTTTTTCTTAAGAGAATATTCATTTAAAGCTATCTCATTACAATAATAATCATATCTATTTATGGATAAAGTCAATAATCGTTAATATTCATACGCAACCAGTTCGGAATTCACTGAACATTTTAATACAATATATATAAATTATCTCTCTCTTTCTTAGTTATTTTAAAGTTCGATTATAAAAAATATATTCACTCTCTCTTTTCCATATAAAAAGTTGGTTTCTTTCTCAGTTTAACACATTAATATTTAAATTTCTCAACTCTATAGTATTAATAATTCATTGGAGTTATTATTTTGTCTCTGGTTATCACAATACTTTCTTGATCTTTTTCTTATTGATTAAGTATAGCCAAATTCTCTCTTAATATTATATCATTTCAATAGTACATACGTTTTGTCTGGTGTGATTAGTTTACGGTTTTATTTTGGAACGTAATTAAAAAGTAAAGTAAAAATAGTACTTAAAATATATATGTTACTTTTAACATAGAACAAGATTATAGGTATATATCTACAAATTCAATATGGTAAAATGTCTTTCTTCCTAGTTTAGCTTCTCTATCCCATAGTACAATTACCTCTACATAGTAAGATACTATCATTACCAACAAGGATTGAATAAAATTGTTAGTGAACACAAATTAGATAGTAGGAACTCAATGGTTTGCTAAGTTGAAAGTAATTTACTACGTACGCAATCATCGCATCGGTCGATGGATTTTTGCATTAGAAGGCAGAAAAGGGTTAGGAGAGTATAAACATCATTACAATAATCTGCGTGGTTAGCCTGCAAACTGGCAGTCTTTCTTCCCTCCATCCTTGTTTCCCTCTAACTCCAGGACTTGGTTAGAGATTTTACTAGGTGGAGTTGCCGGGGAGTGCCCACCAAAAGAATTTCAATTAGTGGGAAACTGTAATTAATTCTCTGTTCTCCCATTGCCCCGTCCACGTAAACTTAGTTGAGTAGGGAGCTGCCTTTCCATTCGGGGAAAAATCTCATAAGAAAAAGCAAATCTCTGCGGCATTTTCTTTCTATGTTACGTTCGGGCTAAAACTATGAACTGTTTCAAAAAAATAATGATAAAAACAAAAAATAAGAAAAAAATCTGAGAAAAATAATTTAAATTTTATGACAATTTGCGGATGTAAGGATGTCATATTTCAGGTCGTCAAAAGAAATCTAAACTTTCTACGTCACGTGCAGATTTTTATCAAATTTTTAAAAAAAGAAAAAAAAATTGGAAATTCAACCAAATCGATGGCCATTTTAAAAATGGAACACAATGCAAATAACTATTTAGAAAAAAATTATACCAATAAGAAGATATATTTTTAATACTTTCGCATATCCAGAAGTAGAATAGCCTCACACCAACAACAACACTATACACATACAAGATGTCTACCTATGATCAAATCGAAATCGAAGATATGACTTTCCATCCAGAGTCTCAACTATTCACATATCCATGTCCATGTGGTGATCGTTTTGAAATCCTTATTGATGACATGTTTGATGGAGAAAAGATTGCTGTCTGCCCAAGTTGTTCGCTGATGATAGATGTCATCTTTGAACCTGAAGACTTGGAAGAATATTACACTGAAGCAGGGATTACTCCACCCCAACCATTACCTGTCTCATAATTGTGAAAATAAAATGAAAAAATAAAAACCATCCCAATACTTCTGAAATTTAAGATAAAAAATATTTTAATCGTAAACTTACAGAATTGAACTAAGTAAATAAGTAATGCACAATCTTCAGTTACTAGGAATGATCAGGATGCGTTTTTAAAGTCATCACCATGATGTTAATACTAAAAGTTTGTTTAGCTAAATGAACACCATTTAGCACAAAAATAGTAAATATCGAATACCTTTCGTCCGATCTAAATGCAACTTAAGGACTTCAAGAGTTATTTATTATTATTAAATCCAAAATGACACAGAAGAAACTGTAATCACTACTGAAAATACTAAAGCATACCTATGTTAATTCGTTAACTTACCAGCATATATATTCTAAAAAAAATATGTATATATATATATATATAAATATTATATCAAACAAGTACTTTACTGAATCAAATGATGCGTGGATCAATCGGAGTTGAATATAATATTGGTGCACCCCATTATTATCTATCAAAAATTATTAAATTAGTTTATTTTAATATATAGATACTGTGCTTCCCTTTTTGTCAAATTTCACTCATTTTTCATCGCTACATACTTGTTTAATGAAAACAAAAACATCGCAAAATGGAATGACAACAAACAAAACCTGGAAAATATTATGTAAAACGACTAAGGAAATACTGCAGGAAAATATGTAGAGAGAGTTTAAGCACAATGCCCAAAATAGTTTAACTAAAATTTAAAAAGTTAGATAAAGGATTAATACTAGCTCCTCACCTCATCAATATACCTTAGTGTTCATCTATAAAATTCTTTTATTAGAAAGATATATCTCATAACGATACTTTTTTTTGGTTCTTTTAGTTGACCTTAACTTAACACTCATACACAAACCAAAATTATTTACATAAAATGAGTAAGAAAGTTCTGAAGAATATTGATCCAAAACTGGAAACTGAGACTTATTTACCATCTGCTCCAGCTCCATCAGAGATTAAATCAGATGAAATAAAACTTAGAAGAGTAGCCAGACCTATTAGAAACGTTAGACACATCCCTATAAAATCTCAAGTATTTCATTCTAAAGAGGGTCCATTAGAATTCTCTTACGAAAATAAGATTAAAACACCAATCTCCAAAAATAAACTAGTTGTCCAGGTATCTCACGTTGGTCTAAACCCTGTGGACGTCAAGATTAGAAATGGTTACATAAATGCAACATCAGGTGAGATTGGTCTAGGTAGAGAGTACTGTGGTGTTGTGACAAACGTTGGTTCAGATATTGCTTATGCTTGGCATGAAGGTGATGAAGTGTTTGGTATTTATTACCATCCCCATTTGGGAACAGGTGCTTTACAATCCTCTTTATTGATCGACCCTAAGTCCGATGCAATTACACTTAAACCTAAAAATGTCAGTCGTGAAGAAGCCGCAGGTACAATGTTTTGCTTGGGTTCTGCATTTAATATCCTTGATAGATTACAAAAAAATAAATATCTGACAGAAGAATCCAATGTCTTGATTAATGGTGGGACCAGTTCTGTTGGTCTGTTTGCTATACAATTATTAAAAAATTATTATAAAGTGAAACCTAAATTAGTCATCGTAACATCAAGTAATGGTCCAGAAATTTTGAAAAATGAATTTCCTCATTTAGTTGACGAAATGATCTTCATCAATTATTTGACTTGTAGAGGTAAATCGAGCAAACCATTAAGAAAAATGATAAAGGAAGAGAAAATAGAGTCATACAATGGGGATAGTGTAAGTTCTGATGCAATAATTCCATACACACAGGGTAAATTTGATATCGTTCTAGATTTTGTTGGTGGGTACGATATTCTATCTCATTCAAGTTCATTAATTCATGGTAAGGGTGCTTACGTTACTACCGTTGGTGATTACGTTGCAGATTACAAGGAAGATATCTATAACTCGTGGGATAACCCAAGTGCAAATGCTAGAAAAATATTTGGGTCTATCATTTGGTCATATGACTATTCACATTTTTATTTTGATCCAAGCCCAAGCACAGCGTCTAAAAATGAATGGATTGCAAAATGTAGTGAATTCTTAGCAGATGAAACAGTTAAATGTGTAGTATATAAAACTTTCCAATGGAAGAAAACTGCCGAAGCCTTGAAAGTATTACAAACCCAACGTGCTCAAGGGAAGATTATTATTGAAGTTGAAAAATTCTGAGTCAACTATATATGAACACACTAATAAATTAATAACTAATAGTTCCTTTTGATAATTTCTGATACACAATCATCTAGTATTCGCAGCGAGTATAGTTGGATATTAACGAATCCTTTCATTATCAAAATAACTGATATAGATTAAATAATCAATACAAAATGACACAAAATATAAATATCATATCTATATTATTTTTTCATAATTATTATGCTTATTTTATTTACCACTACTTGAGTTACATAAATAGCATAAATTCTCGTTCATTTAAAAACGTTCGAACCTCTTATTCGTATTTAATACTCACCATTTATAACATCTTCATTTTAAAATACGAATTATACTAGGGCCATATATATTTCACTGGTTGCGATTTTATGATTGAAGAACATCTCTTTAAAATGCTTTTCCAGAAAAACACTTGAAACACAGATTCAAAATTCTGATATTTTAGTCTTCACTCTATCTCCGATAAACCATCACCAATCATCAAATTATCTATTTCATGAAAATTCCGAATAGAACGATCAATAACGCAAAACCAATATAATATATTGATGATGATTGTTGATCCTTTCTTGAATTCTTATCATTTTGTTCACGTAAAGCTTCTTCGGCACGTATACGATCTTCCGGATCTTCAATATCTGTTATATTAATTACCTTTTCCTTAGAGGCTTGAATAAGAGGATCTACACCTCTTGCAGCGGCAACAGCTTCAATGTCATCATCGTTTGATTTCTCGTTACTTCTTTTTTCTAGCACTTTTAGATTTTCCTCTACCAACTCTGGAAAAACAGTTTTAAATCTTCTATTTGAATGTGTGTTATATTCTATTGATCTTCTAGCTAAAACTTTCTTTTGTAGTTCTGTTGTACTAATTGACCCAGTAGTTCCTTCCTCACCTGTCATGAAACTTAGTAGACCAGTCAAAATAGTTGCAACAGACCAACTAGGGTTCCACAAATCTGGATGGTAATCACTCATGGAAAGACATAATCTAGTATTCTCTTTAAATCTACCATTTGGAGTAATCATACGGATGGCAGGTGGTTTATAAGGATAATCAGAAGGGAATGTTAGGGTACCATGGTATTGACCACCTTCATATGGTGTTTCAGGTGGACCAGTAATGACATAATGCCATTCTAATATGTTATCTTCATTTGGTCTAGCAGATATGTAAGGAGGTGGATTTTCCACAAGAAGCTTATATTCTTTGGTCAACCGTTTTAGTGCCTGTTTGCTCGCCATATTTATATTTTATTATAGTATTATATCTCTATTTTATATTTTGAATATGAACCACTTTTATTATTGAGTTAGTACCTCTAAACCAACGACTTTGAATAACTATTTCTAGAAATATCTTTTTAACTCAAGTTACTTTTTTCAATTTCTTGAATTGCTTATCTAGCGACCGTGTAGACTTTAATTTTTTCTGGTTTTCCACAGGAAAAATTGCTGTATTCGGCCGGGTACAAGAAGTAAGTTATTCAAATTCAGAAATAGATATTTTTAATTACTGTCGTCGCAAGAAGTGGCCAGACACTGAGCTCCTTATACAAAAATAATTAATTAAAAATCAGGTAATGCTATAAAAATGTTTGAGATAGGTCATATTTATAAATGCTAATCATTTCTTTGCGAAACTAAAAAATTTAGAGGTTTTTTCACTTATCTTATTCTTTGATAAATTAGTCTTCTCACTGTTGAATGCTTCAGCAATCTCAGTAGATTGCTCTCTTGAATAATTCGGAACTCCACAGAAATCCTTCACAAAATTCTTTCTACGTACTATGTCATCTGCATGGATCAATTCTGATACATTTTCAAGATGAGTTGGGGATTCCCGACTGTTAGTCTCACATGTATTAGTATCCTCAGTATACATCAATAGATATGCTGTGGACATACTTCCATTGTCTCCTGAATATTTTAAGACATCCTCATCTGATACCGTTTCAATAGTCTCATCATCAAATAACAACCAACCATATTTTTCTGTCTTGCATAGTGCGACGTAATGACCATGTTGTGGTCCACCACCCATATGAACAACAAGACCTGTCATTTTGTAATTTTTGGATTGTGTTTCGTCAAATGTAGTCTTGACATGCAAAGTTGATGGATAATATATATTGTTGAACAATTTAATATTTGCATTTTCGGCCTCAGAATACTTAAAACGTTTTAAATGTAGTAGTAGTGTACTTGGTAAACTCTTCAGACCAACAACCCTTTCAGCCTCTTGGAGTCCGCAACATAAATCGCAATAGAATTTATTTGATCCATTTAGTAGTTCTCTTTGATGAAATTTTTCGAGTACATCTTGAATATTAGTCTCATTTTTCCCTTGTACTTCAATAGGAAAATCGAGGAAATTCTCATCTCTTGTGGTTATATTATCGCATGTTAAACATTTTACTCTGTAAGTTAATGAACCTTGAAACATATCTTGAACAAAGTTTGGAGCATTTCTGTTGTCAACACTATCTAAATTTGTATCACTAATCTGGTTCAAGAGGAAATTAAGAAATTCATGTGCATCCTGATGCATCATACTGTTAAACAAAACATTTTCCTTCTTAAAAGTGTGAATAAATTGATGTGGGGACACAACACCTGTCATATAATCATTTTCAGTAATGCACTCAAATATATCCTTTAGACTTCCAAATATGGCTGATCCAGTATCATGTTGTGATATTTTGTGGTCAATATTAAGAACAGGGCCATTGACTAATGCAACTTTTTTCCTCCTTTCAATGGTCCTATAAATAGTTTGCGTATCAGAATTTTTCCTTTCAAAGTTATCGTTTGATTTTTCATTAATATTGAAATTGTTATCATTGTTTTCTTCGCCTGTTGAACCATTTGTTTTATTCGAACTTCCATTGGAGGGTAAACGATCGGCCTTTATTTTTGAGATACTATTGTCTAGCTCTCTTCCAACTATTACTATCCTAGAATTATTATCATTATTGATTTGGTTTGGGCTTATTACATCAGCAGGTTGTAACATCGTACTCTCTTTTGGTACTGTATCAAAAATTCTTATAGCTGATTCATTTTTATTTATCGTTTCCAAATTTGACGTTGCCATCGTATTGACACTATTTGATCTTCTCATAAAACTTGACAACATTTTTTTACCTTGTTGTTGGAATGATTTCTCTTCCTCATTAAAATGATTGTTCGAATCTGTTAAATTACCTGATGGTAATTTTGTACTTTCTCCATGTCCATTTAGCTCCTGTAACAAGTTATCATAAGTCCTTGCATTTTTGGCTACAATTTTCAGTTTCCTTTCTCTAGTTTCATCTTTTATTATTGGGTATGTTAAAACATTTGTTCTAAATTCTCTATGATTGTATAAACATTGTAGGACTGAGTTACAGTAACATGTATTACCAAAGTTTTCAAAACCGAATACCTTATTGGACCCATCTCCAAATGGCAGATCATCAGTTCTCTTACTATACCAAATAGGAGGATAATCCTCATTTGAAAAACCTTCTTCTGAAGTCGTCAGCGGTGGAATATCCCTTTTGAATGGGTTATTAGATTCATTACTAAATGGATTAGTATTATTAAAACTTTTCTCCACTTCTTCTATTATTACCATGGATTCTTGCATTTCAGATATAACCTGTACATCCTTATCATTTGAGTGTTCATAAAATATACCTTGGTCTTCATCCAATGGATCATCAATTATTGATCGCTGTTTTATGGTAAGGTCATCTGATGAGTTATTCTTGACCTTGGACCCTTTATTAACTGATAGGAAGCGCTTAAACATGTTCGTTTATTGCTTCTTCTAATGGAGAGAATATCACCCAGATAAGTACAGTTATTTATTATATATTTAAATAAGTTAGTAAATAATTATGATTATCAAAGAGTTTCATTTCACTATATCATTATATGTATATATATCTATACGATGAATGAAATTTGTTCCATATTTAACCTGGCATTACCTACGCGACGCGTGTGTGCAATAAAATTCAGCCACCATCGAATATCTACCAAATACGTCAAAATAATTGGCAGATAGAGGGAAAAGACAGTAAAGAAGGTAAAAACTGTGTCATACGACTACAAATCATCTATAGAATAATCAGAAAGAATGTAATAAAATCATTTCAATATAATGAAATGGATATGTGTTGACTAATGATAGGTAATAAATTTTTCTGATAAATACAATAAAACAAAATGGAAAGAAAACGTGAAATATAATATTTTATTAATAAATATTTCAATAAATAAAGTTACATTAAAAAATAAATATTTGAGATGAGCTTCTTATTGGTTTGTTATTAAAATTCAGGCCCCATATTCATGTCAAACCAACCAAAAAAATCATCATTACTTAGATTACCTTCAGTCCATCCAGCACCTTGTTGCTGAAAGAAATCGTTAATCGGATTAATGAAGGATTCTTTACCATTATGCTTATTTTTAGGAATATTATTACTATTAGTATTATTAGGTTGGGAATTTTTGTTATCATTTGGAATTTGGTGTTTAGAATAATGTTGTTTCTTGTTTAAGAAAGCATTTAAATTGTTTGAATTCGAATTTCCTTGGTTTGGAAAGGAACCATTATTATGCTGCATCCTATTATCTTGTTCTGTTTGAACATTTTTATTATATATTGGGATATTTACCACACCATTAACAATGTCATTGTTTTTGCTGCTAAACAACGATTCAGTTTTGATTGATGATCTGTTGGATCCATAAGATAATACACCATTATTGTTATTTTTAGAATCATTACTATTATTGGATCCATGGTAGTATGTACCATAATCCGAATTAGGTGTACCAAAAGAGGTACTTGATTGACTTTCATGTTTGCTAGTGTTTAAACCTGAGTACTGATGTTGCATACCATTTGCTGCTGTATGAGAGGAAACAAGGCCTATACCATCGCGTGCAAGGACATCATCAATCTTAACACTACCAGTTTCATCTAACATGAACAATGGAATCCCATTAATTTCAATTGCAGATCCTCCTTTCTTGTCATTTGTTTTAGCCATTTCTTCTGCATGTTTCAAAGCAGTCTTAGTTGGAACAAGTGTAGTGACAGTGGTCCCGCCAGGTGTAGTTTGTGTAATAGTCTTGAAGTCATCCCTTGTAATATGATTGTATAGTGGTAATGGATATAGTTTTTTATCCCAATTATTTGTGACATTCTTCCCCTTATTTCTTAATTTTCTTTTCTCTCTTGCATTCTTAAGGGCAGCTTGGTTGTATTTAGGATCCATTTCTCTTCTTCTTGCTTCATGCACACACCATACAAGGTCATAAAATAATGAACCTGTTAAATGCGATCTCATTCTAGAGATGACACCACTTTCCTCGATAAAAACTTCTGAATGCGTGATCAGTACGAGGTTCAATTTTTCTAACATGCTAGCCGTTCTAGAAATATCATTTTCTACTGTTGCCCATGCGGTAAGTTGATTTCTGAACAGTCTATGTACAGTAACTATAGATTGTCTTGCGGAGTTGAGATATTGGTTTGGCAACAAGGGGGTTAATTGTAATTTGAACAGAATTAAAGCCGAAAAAGTTACACTCTGTCTTATGAAAATTGGTAAAGAAATTAATTGGTGAACTTCTAATAGGTTTGTTAACAATGTTACAATCTTTGTAGCGCAAAGATAAGAATCTGTAATATATTTAGATTGGTCCTCAATAGGTGTCTCTGGGAAAAATGCAAAACAATAAACCATTAGTCTAACATATAGATAATAAATATGCACATCAATATTTTCTTCAAATCCAGATTCATTTGCTAATGAATCTAATTCTTTGTTTAAAACAGAAAGTACCCCAGCTCTTTCCTTTGGCCCAATAAGACCATCGGGACTGGATACACTAGAACCCATGACGTTACAAAGCTTCAGTTGGAAATTTGATAAACCAATCATTTTTTTAAACCTACTTGGTAATTTGAGTTCACAAGGTTCGGGTATATCATTAGCAAAGGCATTGATACCATCCTTTGCAGAATTTTTACTTTTATCATTTGGTTTACTTTTTGTTTTTGATTTTTTGTTAGCTGTGGTAGATTCAAAGGACTCTACTGGATCTTCTTCAATATCACATTTTAATGCCTTTTCGACCAGATAATCTGTCTTAGAAGTTGGTGGGAGACCTAGGATACTTGCCCAACACAATTCAGCAAAATAGATACCTAGCCAAGTTCTTGTTCTCCATTTTTCAGCATTAGGCATAGATGTTTGTGATCTTGTAAACTCAGTAATGAATTCGCCTCTATGTAAACCTAATTGATAAGATAACGATTTCGCTAGACCGACGAATCTATAGGAACAATCATCTAAAACTTTTTGATTTGGTAGAGGCCAGATACATAGAATCAATAGAGCCTGTGTAATATGAGTTGATCTTGGTGTTCTCATCCAACATGTTTCAATGGCCAATTGTTTAATTACAACACTTAACTTAGTGTATAAAGATGGCTCTGGATCAGAAAGGCACGCCGTAAGCATGACAGTCCAAAACAATAACTGAGATTGAGAATATAGTTCTGTCACAGAATTTGTGTACATTATAGGGAAATAAGGTAAATAATCTTTAACAAATATTGTATGCAATCTTGTTGCAGCGGCTATCGATAAATGAACATCTCCAAGAACAAATTCATCAATGTTGGTGTATGGAGATGGTAATGGATTTAAAGTTTCTGTTGTTAATACAACAGGTGATTTTTTATTAATTAAAGAGAAGCCTCCATCGAGACTATTAGTTCTGTTATTATTAATATTATTACTTGTATTTCTTGGTATTTGTTCGATATCATTAGAATTCGATTTAACTTGTGCTATAACGTTCTCATCTGTTTGAGCACCACGTTGTAAAGCTAACTGTAAAGTATTTGGAATTTCATCTTCCTTATTCTGTTTACTTTTACTTATAACTGTTGACACATTTGAATTATTTGATGTTGTTCTTTTAAGGTCATTATTTGAGTGAATATGATTCTTATTTAATAAAGCTGGTTCTGTTACCAAATATGTTTGTACAGATATTTTTGTACTTGGATTATTATTACTGTTCTCATTATTATGATTTTGATTAGGAGCAACTGATTGTGGTAAAGGTGTATGTGATTGATCTAACGTTGATTGATAAGGTGACATTATTGATAAATCAGTTTGTGTTGCTAAATCCTTTGGAGTATTAAAATTACTTGTTGTTCTACTTAATAAATTTTCACGTCCAATTGGATTTTCATTAATATGTTTAAATAAAATATTTTCATTAGATAATAAATAATTCACTTTAATCTTTAAATCATCTAAATCTCTTCTCATCATTTGTAATTGCGAACCTTTCTTTGGTTTAAATTGTGGATCAACTTCACAATGTAAACCATATTTTGTACATCTAGAACAAGGTGCTGGAAAATTTTGATGAGCATCACATTTTATTTTATGTTGTCTGCAATGCGAACATGAAGTCACAGGTCTATGATTTGCAGCAGCTGCAGTGGCTGCTGCGCCCGTTACTGCTGATTGTGAAGTAGATATAGTATTATGATTATGATTATTTGTATTTTTAGTGATCATTCCATTATTATGAGACATTGGAAGTATTGGTGGAATATGTTGTTGTGATGAAACAGTTGAAGATTTTATCTCGGGATTTAATTTTTGTTTTTTCAAGTTATGTACTTGATGATCTTTTAATTCTTCTTTCATACTATTATGGAAGAAGCAGACAACTGGTTACTTCTATTCAAAAAAAAAAATATAAAGGAAGAATAATTAAAAATATATATCTTTTCGTCACTGTTGTTAATCGAGCTATAATTAATAGTTTTAATAATGATAAAACTTTATTGTTAATTTCCACTAAAATAATGAACGATGAGAAAGTTCCAAATATATATGTATATGGTCTGAAGCAGGTTATTTTATTTTTTCCTCTTCTCTAAATAACCAATTAACTTATTTCCTCCGCACGTTATTTTGCACTTAAAAAAAAAAACATAAATAAAGGGCCCTGCGAACCATATGAAGAAATTAAAGAGAAAGGAATACTGAAAATATATAAACTTTATTAAATTATATCGGATTATATATATATATTGATGAACCGTTGTAAAGTGGAAGTGAATATTTGTTTTTTTATAAATTTTGACGTATATTCAAGAAGAAAAAACAAGACATGCCATCACTTCCCTCCCCCTCCCATTCAAAGGACGATAGTATTATTAAATTGACGTCGAAAATGAAACCTTTTTCTTCCCTCTTACCTTCTTGACTTCAATGAAGAAAACTACCTCTTGTACCTTTAGTGATATTGTAAGAAGTTGCATTAAGAATTACCTACGTACAAAAATTCACAAATTATCCAGAGATTTATTTCATTTCAGAATATTAGTTATGGCTGTACACAGGAGTTTCCCTCCATAATTATTAGTAGATCATATCTTAGTGTCCCACTAAATTATAATAATCTTCTTCCAGTGATTGAAATAACCCAACAACTTAGACAATGATATCCATTTCTTTTATTTTTTCCTGATATGTTTCAAGAATATTTACTTATTACAGGAGCGTTAGAAGATATTGACAGTAAAAGAACTATCAAATGTATAGCATTAATACGGATTTTCACAGTGTTTCCAAATAAAATAATGCAATTGAATCATCCTCTTCTACAAGTTTTGCAGTAATTACATTTTGTATTTTGCTTCTAATTGCTGCTGAAGTGGACGGAGTGGTCAACTGGCAAAGCAAAATGTGTGTGTGTGTGGGGGGGGGAGGGAAGGGGAACATAATACAGCAATTCTATTGTATTCTCTCTTTTATTTTCTGCACTACGTCTATTCTCTCTGTGTGCCCCGCCATGGAAAGTAGAAAAAACAAAATAAAGGGAAATCTGACCAATGAACGATGCGATAGCTCCGCCAATTAAAAGGAAAAATAACTTGAAAAGAAGAAACTGGAAATTTGTTTGTTTAATTGAAAAATGCGACTTTTTTTGTTATTTTATCTCTGGTAAAACCCAATTCAATGAACAACAATTACTACTACTGAAGAGAGCATGAGACTGTTAATGGCATTGACAACTAAAAGTAATTTGACTTTTCCTCAACCATTTAGGTAAGATCATTTTAATCATGGCTCTTACTATTTATGCACTGGAAGAAACAAATTATACGGATAATTGTTGTGTATGTAAGTTAGACAGAAAACGTTATTCATCGCACAAGTAAAATAGAATACGTTTCTTGAAATATGAGCTATATTGTCAAATTCATCTTTTTGTTACTCATTCTTATAACGTAAAACGCTGAGATAATATCATTTGAACTAACATAACTTTGCATTTTATGAAGAGGGTAATACAATGTCTCTTGTTTGTTGCCGAGTTCATAGAAATAGCCATTTACTGCTCCAATCCAAACAATTTATTGTGTGCATTTCTTCTTTCGGTTACTTGCCGCCCGTCTTCCTGTTCTTATTAACAAAAATATCATTTTCGTTCTTTTTTGTTTTTCTACCAACGAAGCGAAGACTTCGCTCTTATTTACTGTTTTGTATACAATGTTACATAAACGTAGGAAAGCTAAGGAAAATAGAAGCAAAAAAACAACAAGCCAAAATGTAAACAAAGGTATAATTTTAAATACATAGAAAACAAACAATGACAATATATTTATATTAAACAGTACAAGACTAAACCAAATCATTTCATTAGTACGCACTACATTACCATTTGCATCTTCTCGTACATATATATATATATATTGAACCATTGATCCCCAGAACCCCCCTCCAAAACTCACCCACATTACAAATGTCATTTCAAAGGCGATCTACTAGTTCTGTTACACGATCTTCAAGGACTAGTACTACACCCAGAGACGTTAGAAGACGTACTGTATCGGGACAAAATACAAGAGCTAAATCTGTTACATATTCTAATAATACACAAAAATTGGTTCGATCTAGTAATGAACTGAGTTCGAATATTCAAGTTTATGTTCGTTGTAGGTCGAGAAACCAAAGAGAAATTGATGAAAAGAGTAGTGTTGTCATTTCAACAATGGGACCTAATGGGAAAGAAGTTATGTTATCAAATTCAACAAATTCTGGTTCCTTATCATATCCGAAGAAGACATATATATTTGATCAAGTGTTTGGTGCTGAAAGTGATCAAAATCTCGTATTTGATATTACAACAAAAAATTATATACAGGAAATGATGGATGGTTATAATTGTACAGTCTTTGCATATGGTCAGACAGGTACTGGGAAAACTTATACGATGTCCGGTGATATTAATATTTTGGGAGATGTTGAATCACAGGATAAAATTTTATTAGGAGAACATGCAGGAATTATACCAAGAGTATTAGTTGATCTATTTCAAAGATTGTCGAATGAAACAAATAATGATTTTTCTGTTAAAATTTCATTTTTAGAATTATATAATGAAAAATTAACAGATTTATTATCTAATGGTAATTCAGATGATGAAACTATTAGAATATTTGATAATCATAATAATACTAATAATACTAATCATCATAATAATAATATTAACAATAATCATAATAGCAATAATATCAGTAATAGTGTTAGCAACGGTAGTGGAAATAAACATTATGGGTTAACTAATTCAAATTCTTCTTCGACACAAGGGATGAAATCAAATAATAATAATATTAATAATAGTAATAACAATTCTCATGATCCTAATAATATTTCAAGTAACCATCATTCAAAAGTAAATTCAAATAAAAATGTATCAAATTCTGCCATTATTGTAAAAGGGATGGAAGAAATATATATTAAATCTGCTTATGAAGGTTTACAACTATTAACAGAAGGTTCTTTGAAAAGAAAAGTTGCCTCCACGAAATGTAATGATCTTTCATCACGGTCTCATACAATTTTCACAATTACTACCCATATTACTAAGATTGATCCCATATCTGGTGAGCAATATGTTAAGATTGGGAAATTAAATTTAGTAGATTTAGCAGGTAGTGAAAATATTAACAGATCAGGCGCCGAAAATATTAGAGCTCAGGAAGCAGGTTTAATAAATAAATCATTACTTACATTAGGTAGGGTTATTAATGCATTAGTTGATTATTCTCAACATGTTCCATATAGAGAATCGAAATTGACAAGATTGTTACAAGATTCATTGGGTGGTCGTACTAAGACTTGTATTATCGCTACAATATCACCCGCAAAGATATCGTCAGAAGAAACTGTAAGTACGTTAGAATATGCGACTCGTGCTAAATCTATTAAAAATACCCCACAAGTCAATCAATCAATGTCCAAGGACGTATGTCTCAATGAATATGTCCATGAGATTGAAAGATTAAGACATGAATTGAGGACATCGAGACAGAAGGATGGAATATATGTAAGTCAAGACCAATATGATTTATTTGAAAGTAATGAGATTCTATTACAAGAACAAAAGATGAGAATACATAATATGGAAGAACAAACTAACAGATTTAAACAAGAATATGTTAAACAAACCGCAATCAGTAAAGATTTGGAATTAAAATTGAAGGAAACTGAGAGTACATTACAAGGAATACAGGAACAAAAATTTTCATTAATCAATGTATTTGAAGATTATGAAAAATCGAATAATTTGTTTATCAAGGAAGTTCAAGACATACATTCAATAAATTCAAATATATTAAACAATATTACAAAGGAAAGAAATGAATATTTCGATGAATCAAAAGATTTTATGAAACAAATATGCAAAGCCAAAGATATAACATTGGAACAAGAAAAGAAGCTTCGTTCGGTGGTTGGAGATATAATGCTTTATAATAACACTTTTAAGGACGTCATTGAAGGTGTCTATAGTGAATTACAAACCAACTCAACTGTGTTAACAGATAATGTTTCCACACATATTGCAACTATTGATTTTGAAAATATATCGAAACTATTATTGAACATGAAGGACTCAATCCACACACAATTAGTATTATTGAGGAAAGAAAAGAGTAATATGGTATCTGATCCTTACAAAGTACATAGGGTTATTCTAGAATCTTGCTTCCAACAAGTGACTAAGTCGTTAAACGATTGCTCAGAGATTCTTCAGAAGGAATGTAATACTATTTCCAACAACGTTGTGAATGATTTGAATGTATTGGATACCAAAATTGTAGATGACACAAACATCACCGTAGGTATTATTATTAAACAAAGGCAACAACTAATCGAATTAGAGAGTAAACTACAAGAGGAGCAAAAAAATACAACACATTTAAACGAAAAACTGGATATACTTACGAAATACTTTGAGGAATATGTTACCAAGGAAAAATCTAACTTGTATGACATCTTATCTGATACATTCCAAACGTTTAGACTGAAACAAACCGAGCTTGACAAACTCTTCCTGAATAAGGCTAAAACAGAGATCATCTCACTTGGGAACAGAAATAATAAAACTATGAAGGAGAGTATTAAAAATATAAAGGAAGTCTCTATACATTCATTTGATAGTATCAACGAAACGGTCACACAAAACCAATCACATATTAGCGCTTTGCTCAAAGAGAGTAGTAATAATGTCCCTGATCAAATATCGAAACTTCCGATAAAGAAGTCAGTTCAACGTATTCTAGACACTGTTACTGCAGCTTGTAACGAAGACTCATCAAAAAATCTACACAACTTATTGAAGGAATTGAATGAAAATAAGTATCAAGATGATGTAAACATAGCAAACAACATACAGCAAATGGTGACATCTTTGGCAGAATTAGTCAAGTCTGACAACCAAAAAAACCAAATTGCATTCAATGACATCCAAAATGATATTAAACAACTGGATGAATTTGTAACTAATGATTTCAACTCCAACATTACCCAAATAGCCAAAACACAAACTGACATTATAAAAAAACATTCTGACCACATTTCGGTTGTAGCTGAAACTTTAAATAAAAATTCACAGTTTTCCATTGAAAAAGATCTCCAACAATATGACAGTCATCCACAAGTTGTAAAGATGTCTAAGCTGCCAGATTTCAAGAAGCCATCCAATTATGATCTGTATGACAACATGAAAACAGAGAAAAATGTAGATGTGACACATATAGATGGTATTTCACTAGATAATATTTCTCCTGTTCATATTTCGTTATCAAATATCAAATATAATCCAAGTACACCAGTGCCTGTCCCAGATCATCCTTTACCGCAGTCAAAAGTTTTAATGCCCAGAAGTGTGAATACCAAAAATATTAGATCAAACACTGTTTCGACCTCAATTAAACAAAGTTCAAGTAGAGTAACAAGTCCTTTAAAACCAAATAATTTAAAAAGAAGATTTACTTTAGAACCACTTGATAGTGATATATCGGCTGCCGAATCAAAAGAAAATAAAGCACCTTTGGATAGCATATTTGAAATAAAGAAGGTTCACCTGGATCCTAACATGCCGCATTTGAAAAATACCAAATAGTGTCCAAAATATGTTTCTTAGATGTCTTTCTCAGGAATAGAGGGAGCGTTGATTATATGTATAAATATATCTATAAATTTACATAAATGTAGAAACGGTTTTAAGTAGAATTCACAATATTCAATATGTGATTAATGAAGTAAAAAAATGTGCATAGAATAAAAACTAAAAGAAAAGATTACAACCTTGGAAAAGTACTAAAAAAATTGCTTACATTATGACGCAATCTTTCTTCTTTTTATTTTTCAATTTCTGGTCCTTCTTTTTACTATTTTCAGACATTTTATAAGTGTTATCATTAACCATTCCCATTCCTGTGGAGTTGGTTATGTTATTTGCAGTTTTATTAATAGTATTATCAGATGTCTCTCCCAATATATTGTTTTTTGATGCAGTGTTATTTATGCTATTTTGTGGAGTATGTTTATAATTTGGATTGCTGAAAAATTTTGGAGTATCCATTTGTTGAACTTCAAGGTAGTCATTATCTTGAATATCCTGAACATTATCATTTAAAGGATCTTCATCTAATTGATTGTTGTTGGAATTCATTGAGAATAGATTCATGGTGGTGACACTTTTACTCTTTTTATGACCATGTTTTTTAACGGGTTGATTAGTTGAATTATCAGTTTCGGTAGATTTATTTAAATTTTCTTGTTTTCTTATCTTCCGTATAGCTCTTTGATCATTATTTCTAGCGGCTTTAGTATACCATTTTTTAGCTGCGATTTCATCTTGTTCACAACCTTTCCCATTTTCATAGAAATAACCCAAAGTAAATTGGGCTTTTGGAAGTCCTAAATTTGCTGCCTTTGATGCCCATTGGAATGCTTCTGTTTCATCTCTCTTAAAAGCAGGTTCTGCTCCCAATAAATACCATGCACACAATCCCAACATTGCTGTAGGATCATTTCCTTGTACAGCAGCTTGTGTATAATAATGAACTGATAAACTAACATCTTGTGTGATAACAGAGTTACCTGTTTCGTATAATTGACCTAATAAAGTCGCTGAAGGAGTATGACCTAATGCAGCTGCTTGGATGTATAATTCCATTGCATATTTTTCATCGGGGATAATTAAATCTAAAAATCCATTTTCATAAATCTTAGCTAATTCATAAGGTGCTGCATTAGTTAATTCATTAGCTCTTGCAGAGGCTCTCGATAACCATTTAATCCCATTTTGTTTTGTATTTACATCATTTGGAAGACCCATTCTTCCATTAAAGGAATATAATCCTAATTTAAACATTGCTGAAGGGTGATTTCGACTAGCTGCAAATTTTAAAAAATTCAAAGCTTTACGAGCATCTCTGGTAGTACCTAAACCTTCTTCATAGCAATGTGCAGTTCTATAAGCACTTTCAATATGACCATGTTTAGCTGCAGCTTGAAATAATATGAAACTTTCTTTATTTGAAATTTTACCAAATGCCCCAGATGAATACGCATCACCTAATAAATATTGCGCATCAGAGTAACCCTTTGAACTTAATTTTTTCAAATAATGTTGAGCATCCTTAAGAAATTGTTTTTTAAGATCCTTTGAAGATATATCTTTTTCGTTAGAATTGCCAGTAATATCATTAGATAAACCTAAAGAACTAGTATTAGAGTCAATTGTTAATGCAGTTTGTAACATATATTGAGCATATTCAAATAATAATTTTGGATCCTTTGATTTTTTAACATTTTCTCTATACATTTCGATTGTTTTCAATCTTGGCATTAAGGAAGTATTATTATCTGTACCTAAATATCTTGTAATCATTTGATGAGAAATATCTGCAACAGATTCATTAGTTGAAGTTAATTGTGTATCATTGCTGTTATTCAACATATACATATGTGAAAGATCCACAGATTTAGTACGTTGTTGTCTTGATGATCTAACTGCATCTGAGCCTAATGATAAACTAGAATTATTATTTGAAGTTGGTTCTGTCAACGACCTTTCATGTGTGAATTGAGGAGGTTTAACTAAATCTTGATATAATTCATTAAAATCTTCGGAGTTTGAAAAATCTACATCCTCATTGCCATCAATCGAAAGTTCATTCAAGTCATTAGTAGTCACTAAACCATCTGCATTACTAATCCTTTCAGAATCAATTTGATCGGCACTGTAATTTAAATTCTGTGTATTATACAGATGCTTCTTGTATGGATGCATTGATTCGGTCATGTTTCAATAAGGTATATATATATGTATATATCTATCTATCACTGAGGGGAGAAAAATACAAAAAAATAAAGGATAATAGGTATAGATATATTAATAGAACCAAATAGAGTCACGTTTATATATAGTAGTAGTACACTAATTCAAAACCTCTTAATAACTGGGTCCAAATATAGATTAATAAGATAATAAATTTGTTTTCTTTAACCTCTTTGCCTGCTCATCACTCTCACTTTATTTATTCGTTTCGTGTGTACTCTCCTTGGCTGAAAACGACGCGCAATCTATATATAATAATTGCTATCAAATGAATGCCTGGCCAGCGGATTCTTTCTTTTGTGCAACCCGCCAAACACACACCAAAATGAGAATGTTTACAGTGTGTGTGAACGGCTCTCCCTCCGCTTCTTGGCCCACCGCGCGCGCCACGACGCGCCCGAACGCGCTCATTTTTGCGAAAAACTGGAAATGAGGGTTAGGGTTGGCATGTTGGGGCTTCATATGCAGTGCGCTTTTATTGTTTTTTTGTTTTCGCTGTGGCAGCCGGTCGGTCAATTTTTTGGTTGAAATCTGTTTTGGTAGCATTACAGTTTAGGTGATGATGAGGCAACCAATAACAAATAGTCAAAGGTTAGATCCAACAATAACTGGAACGACTGAGCTAGTAATTCTGTTTTTTTTGTTTTTGTTTTAATTGTAAATTGAAGCTTTCACTAAGGTGTTACAGGTTATACACACTTTTTTTTTAGAATAGCACAATAGGAGAAGAAGAAAAAGAAGTTGAAAAAAGGTCGTACTTTTTGCTATTAATTGAGCCAAACGATGCCTGTTGCTACTAATCATGAACACGATCGGCCTGCTTCCATTCTAGTACCCAGTAGACGTGCCCCTCCCAGTTTTAGCCAGTCTTTGGATCCATTGCATCCTAGTACGAAACTTCAATATAATAATTATCTTTCAAGAGATACTATAATCAGCAATAAAAACGATATATCGAGAAATAGTACTTTAAATTCAATGGATACAATGGAAGTAGTTGCATTGAATAATAGTGGTAGTAATCATACCAGTGGAAACAACAGTCGAACTAAATTAGATAATGAAACTTATGAAATTGCATTGTCAATATATCAAAATAAATTTAAAAAAGTTTCATTTAAAGGATATGCAGATTATTTAGGACAAAAAGAACATTACAGAATATTATGTGAGTATATTCAATTATTAAAACCATTACCTTTATCATTAGCATCCGTTTTGATTCATTTTTCTAATAAAATATATTTTATCGCAGAAGCTCAAAATATTGATAGAATATTAGAACAAATAAGTAAAGAATGGATTGCAGAATATCCAGATACTTTATGGGAAACAAATTATGAAATTGTTCATATTATCCTTTTTTCAATTCTTATATTAAACAGTGATTTACACAACGAACATATTATTCGTGGTAAGAAAGATAAATTTTCTGCCCAAACTTTTATTGCTAATACTTGGTATGCTATCGAAAAAGAAGTCAAGACAAATTATCAAGAGATAGATCTTGTTAGTATTAAACAGCAAGCCGATATATTGTTTAAAGAATATTATGATATTTTAAAAAATAATCCATTGCCATTATTTAAAGGACCAAGACGTAGTTTTTCAAATTCACGTAGAAATTCTTTAAATTTATCAAGAAGAAATTCAATGAGATCAATGTCACATGTTAAGAAAATGAGTTCTGCAATGTCTGATTGTGATGATCATAATTCTCAGACAAGTCTAAGGACAAGATCACAATCTGTTAATATATCTAATGCATTGTCAAGATCCAATTCCATTTCTTCTAAGAAGACAATGAATTCAACTTTTTCAAAAGGCACAGCAAGTTGGAAATATAAGCATAATCAACCGTTACCACAATTATATATAAAGCAATCATTTGACGAAAATATGAATAGAATGAATAATACAATGTGGTTAATGGATTCGATTATTAAGATAAATGAAAAGAATTTAAATAAAATGACTAGTAAAAGAAACAATAATAATAGGAATCAGGAATCTAATGGGAATAATAATAATAGTTTGAATATCAAAACAGATTCAGTAAATTTAGCAACAACGTCGTCATCGTCATCGTCGTCTGCAGTATCAGCTGTTTCTTCATCAGTGAAGTCTCATTCAAAAGGTATTTTTAATTGGTTGAGAAGATCAAAGGGAAAAACTATGTATCAGGAGTCCGGGAAATCAATGACATACTTAGACAGTTCTACCAGATGGACTAATGCTAGAATTCGTATCTCTGAGGGTAGAATATTCATATTCAAAACTAATAATGGCAACAATGCTAGTAGTAAGAGTCAGAATAGTAATAAAACACGTCATGTTTCAACAGGTACAGCACAAAATAGTGCTAAAACTCCATTACCGCAACAACAAAAGTCTGCATCATCCTCATCCTCAAATAATCGACTGTTCTCAAGTGGTTCAACATTATCATTACCTTTGACTTCAAGCAAAGGCTCCCACACAAGCAATGAAAGTAAAGATTCGGTCCAGAATATAAACTGTGTCGTATTAAACCTATTTGAATGTACAGCATCTGTTGTTCAAGAAAATATAATTACAGGAAACCAATCTAAAAAAGCAAATTTCACATTGACATTTCCTAAAAATCTTAATGGTGTTCAAACGACATTGGATTTCGAGACTCCAAATTTTCAATTGGCTCATGACTTTGTTGAATGTTTGAATTTTTGGTCAGGTAGGTTAAGTCCAGTCCCTGTTGAACAATTTGAAATTGTTTCCAATGAAGAATATGGTTGGAGTTCCAGGATCTTAAATGATGAGCATACAACCTCACAGTCACTAAATAATGCACATTTGTGTGAATGGAAACCTCTTTTAACAATGGAACTATTTTATGATCATATGGACGAAATACCTGGAAAGTTGCCTTTACAACAAAAAATTGAAGAATTAAAAATTTTTACTGATAGATTAAGTAAATTAATCGATGAACACAATGATTTGAAACCAAAAATTATAAGCATATGGGATCGTTCTGTGAACTTCGACAAAGTTATGGACAATTGGAATGCTAAATACCTTTTCTTGAACAGTCAATATAATAAGAGAGTGATTTATTTAGCTGCATTAGAAGAGTCTCTAGAGATTCTTCAAGAGAGAGACTTAGAAATGGAATAGTGTTAAGTTATATTTATTTAATTATTTGAATCTATACTGTATATATACATGGACTTTTTTTTTTCATTTTTTATCGTTATTTGATTACCTGATCTAGTTACATTTGGCCATCATATAACCCTGTATTTACTGAGAATCTTTGTCATTAGTTGTTTTATTAATCTTCTTTTCTTTCATCCTTTGCAGTAATATTTCAAGAACCTTATCTTCACCATATTCTTCTTCATCGATTTTTTTCCATTTATCCTCGATGATAGTACGTTTAGATTTACTTTGGACTATAGCTCTCTTTTTATTTTCCAAACTAGCCTGCTTTAGACATTGTGATAAAGCTTCTTTCTCGTTATTGCAAATCCCAAGAATTCTCTTGTAATAAGCCTTTTGATGACATTTATCGAGGGCTTGAATAAAATCGTAACACGCTAACGTTAAAAAGGTCACAAATATTGCACATTTGTAGAATAATGTTAGTAAAATTGAACAAAGAAGGACTATAATGATTATTATATGACATCCGTGTTTTTATTATCATATATACTTTTCATAATGGAAGTATAACATACAATGAAATCTTTCAGCTTCTAATTGTGGATGCATTTTCTAAGTTGCTTTATTTATTGAGTAGTTATCTATTGTCGAACAATATTTGAATATTGATATATTGCTTGTTATTTTCTTCTCTTCTTATATTGCTCTGTGTATGTAATAAGTCTTTTAATTGAACCTTTCCCCTTAGAGCAAATTAAACCGTAATTTTCAATTTTTTACATAGTGAAAAATATAAATATACATATTTAGCGGTAACCACATATAATAGATGAAGATTAAATAAATGAGATGTAAATGATTTGATGGCATAACTAATATGATTATAATTAGCATATGAAGTCCACTAGGCCCATTTACAATGATTACTGACTCTGATAAATTTAAAGCTCGAAGGAAGCAACAAATGCTTCGATTCTTTGGAGCAACGCTGTTAACGCTTCTTTCGTTCAAAATAATGTTGAAACAACTTCAAACAGTAAAATGTATGTGCTACTGATATTATTGGTTGCTAATTAATGGTATCAATTTCTAACTTAATACACTATTGATTTTAACTACTAACAAGATTACATATATGTACATATTGATAGATGTTCCAAATTTGTTCCAACAAAATATAAAGCAAGTGCCCTCCGCAAAGAAACAAAAAATTGGGAAATCATTAGGAGGAACTGTAGGTATAACGCTTGGTGGATTTCTTATGGGAATCACCGGTACTTGCTGGACATTAGATATTGGGACTCTTGATGAATTCAAACAGAAATTCCATGGTATAGATAGTCAGCCAGATGTAGAATAAAAGGTATTCAACAAAATTTCTGTCATTCCCATATATTAAATTATATTCCAATGTATAAAATACATATTTACGTACCGATATCTCTGTATATAGCAAACAAACATGTAAACACATCAGTTACTAGAGCTAGAACCGTTTCTACAATCTCATAATACAGTAAGCTCTACTGCGCACCCAAATAATTAATTCTTTTGCCCTTTAATTTTTAGTCCTACGATGAACCGAATAAGTTACGGAGTGAGACTATATTTTCATTGACTTCATTATATATGTATCTATATAGAAAGAGGAAACTTTAACACAAAACATGTTGACTTATATAGTAATATAAATAAAAGGAAAACTGAGACATTAAGTGATTGGTGAACATATTATAAATTGCTGAAATAGCAGATATTAACCTGATATCCATTTAAGTTTTTTTTGAAATATACTATCATCTTCCAAAAGCTCAAAAAAACAACAAGAAAGAAGCATGTCCAATAATACAGAAGAAATTGATCAATTCATTACGATGACAAATGCCTCTCGTAAGGTGGCAACAGAATATATTAAGACCTTTGGCGATCTTGAGAGTGCTATTGAAGGATATTTCGCGGCTCAATCAAACGAAGTTCTCTCATCATCTGAAAACGAGAGAGAAGCCACCAATGATACTATGAAGTCTATGGAATCTTTTGGAGAGCGTCCATTGGGTATCGAACATTCTGGTATACAATCATCGGGCTCTGTTCACCAGTCTAGTAGGAATAACAAAAGCAGTTCTAACAATAACAGCAAGTTTATGTCATTCAGTGACATGGTCAGAAACAATGCGGATGAAGAGGACGATGAGGATCGCCCTAGAAATACTTTTGCCGGTGGTGAAACATCTGGTTTAGAGGTTACTGATCCTAATGATTCGAATTCCTTAATTAAGGATTTGTTAGAAAAGGCTAAAAGAGGTGGTGAAAGGGCTTCTAATGGTAATTTTGACGACAACGAATCGGCTCAACCTCAGCAAAGCCAATTTGAAGGAAGAGGGTATAGATTAGGTTCAGTGGTTGATGCCCCTAGTTCAGTAGTTGAAGATAACCCGCACGTAGCATCTACTAAAAAGGAAAAAGTTAAAAGAGAAATTACATTTTGGAAAGAAGGGTTTCAAGTTGGTGATGGTCAACTATATAGATACGATGATCCCAAATATGCTCACTATCTACAGGAATTAAACCAAGGTAGAGCACCATTGAATCTTTTAGATGTTGAATATGGTCAGGATGTTGATGTTACTGTCTTTAAGAAATTAGACGAATCATTTAAGCCTTCTAAAAAACCTCAAGTAGGGTTTCAAGGTAAGGGACAAAGACTTGGTTCTCCAATACCTGGGGAACTAGAGGAACCTACTTTTACTCAACCTGTTAAGATACATAATGCAAATGATGATAAATCATCCTCTGTTGAAACAGAGAAAGAAAAACCAGAGGTTAAAGGTGATACATCTATCCAAATCAGGTACGCTTCTGGAAAGAGGGAAGTTTATCGCTGTAACAGTACTGATACTGTTCAATCATTATATGATTATGTGAAGCAAAACACATTAGATCAATCCAGAGCATTCACGTTGAACCATGCCTTCCCAGTAAAAGTGATCGATCAATATGATTCCACTATTGCAGATGCAGATTTGAAGAACGCAGTTGTTGTTCAAAGATGGGTAATGTAAAATAGAAAGAAGAACTACCAATGAATCTTCGTTAATGCCTAAAGCTTATATATATTTATATATATAAATATAGAATATAGTTAATAATATCATGTACTTTTTTTTCTCATTTACTGTCTAAATAGAGATTACCTTAAACAAATCAAAGTGATACATTTAAACGTTTTAATTATTCTTTTTTTAAATCCAACGAGTATTAAGTTATATGCAATTAATTACATGTCTATATCTAAAATTAATAAAGTTTCAAGTCACCAGTGATTTGATCTAAAACAGATTTCGGAGCAGGACCTATGCCTAAGACTGTAGCACTACCAGCCGCAATTTGTGTTCTACCTGCATCATGGATAACTACGGCATTGACATCTAATGATAATGCCTTTGCATACAATTCATCCATCATCTCTTTGTTTTGACATTTTAGAGTAATCTTAGCTTGGCCGCCATGTAACCATCTATTTGTTAGAACTGGGTTATATGATTTCTTTGAAGGATCTGTAGCAATTAAACGGAAGCACCCAAGAGCTGCGTGGGCACATTGGGCTGCAACTTTACCTTTCTCCATCTTTAAGTCGGTTCTTATAACCAAAGCCATTCTAACTTCACCTGGGATATCATTCAAAGCTAAGGATTCAATTTCATAATCTGATTCTTCTTCTTCTTCTTCTTCTTCTTCTTCTGATTCCTCACTTTCAGGATACTCTTCATCAGTGATGTTCTCTATATTTGTGGATAATTTCTTACTCTCCTTCTTTTGATGTGACCTTTTTTCATCTTCTTGAGAGGTTAATTGAGGAATAGTTTGTCCCAGGTAAAACCCGGTAGCTAACGCAACAAACGCAATACCAAAATAAGTGGGTATATTACTGTTTAAATTACTCATTTGTAATAGTATATTATATTTGGCGTGTATGTAACCCAATCTGCTTCGGATCTGTTATACTGACATAAGATGATCTCTGTGTCTTTCAATGACTGAAAAATTTATTTCAATATAATTTATTTATTATGTATGCATTTTTCCATATCTCTGTTCAGTGTTGAAGGCGAAAGCACAACGATCCGGAACAATTCAGCGATGCCTGTCGAGATGATTAAATCAATTCAATATTCTGCAGGCAGATGATAAAGGGAAGGCATTTAATTTAATCGGATACATTTGTTCTTGTCGATGTGTTTGAATCGTGAGATCTATGTCTTGTATTGTGAGCTAATTTTCATGTATCTTTCTGGATCATTGACAGAGACAGAGCAAGAGAACCCAGTAATAGAATAAAGGAATAATTTCTAACTGGGGCATCTACATCAGTGGATTTTGAAACTGAATTTACCAGGTAAATACAATTACATATATGTGCCTTTTTGGTCCATTTACAGTACAACAATTCAAGCATAGTTACCAAAAAAGAATGGCAAGAATCATTTAATTTGTTTCCCGCATAAACAATTCATTATTACAAAGGGGAATAGCCATATATACCAGCTAATACTGTTCTTACGATTATAATAAGAAAAGCATCTAACTCGTTTCCTCAACAGTCATCTGTCTGAATTGCACATGCATGTGTGTCTCTCTCTCTCTTTCTCTGACTTTAACTCTCTTCACTATAAATAATTCGGAATATCGCAGATAGTGACGGAGAGACAAAATGTTCTTATTATAGGAACAGTTTTTTTTTTTGTTTCCTTAAGTAACAATTGCTGAAAAAAGGGGATAATAATAGATTACAGAAGTGAATACAAACCATTTTTAATTGAAAAGAGTCAGAAGACATTCCAGTATTGTTACAATTGTTTATATAATTAAAATAATCAGTATCATAGTTGGAAATTCAACATATTATAAACGTATTAAACAAAAAATAAATTGAAACAATGGGACAAATACTTTCTAATCCTGTTATTGATAAAGAAAGAAGCGAGGGTTCAGATGAGTTTACTGCCTTCGGGTTATGTGCTATGCAAGGTTGGAGAATGTCTATGGAAGATACACATCTGACAGAACCTGATGTACTCGATTCTAAACAAGATAAACTAGCATTATACGCTATATTTGATGGGCATGGTGGAAGTGGTGTCTCTACGCGATGTACTACAAAGATGACACCCTTAATTAGACATTTACTGCATCATTCCTTCGCTGAATATATTAATGTTGATGGTAAAACTATTGATTATAGAAAATTATTAATAAAAACTTTCTTAGAGATTGATGAAGATATATCTAAGAATCAAGAATTAGTTAGAGAACAAAGTGGTTCAACTGCGACAGTTGTACTCATTTCAAAGAAACTAAATAGAATTATATGTGCAAATGCAGGTGATAGTAGGACTGTATTATCCGCAGATGGGGTAGCCAAAGCATTATCATTTGATCATAAACCTAATCTAACTAATGAAATTAGTAGGATTGTTGCCGCAGGTGGTTATGTTGAAATGGGGAGAGTCAATGGTAATTTAGCTTTATCTCGAGCAGTGGGAGATTTTACTTATAAGGGTGACACTTCATTACCACCACAGGAACAAATTGTTACAGTCTTACCAGATGTCATTCAACATACTCTAAATTATCAATCTGATGAATTTCTTATCTTAGCATGTGATGGTATTTGGGATTGCCTATCGTCACAAGATTGTGTCAATTTAATTCATTTCGGTATAAATAAAGGAAACATGTCGTTAACCGATATTTCCGCTCGAATTATTGATGTTTGTTGTGCTCCTACAATTGAAGGTACAGGTATCGGTTGTGATAATATGAGTATCACAATTGTAGCTTTATTAAAAGATGGCGAATCTATTGATCAATGGTTTCAACGAATCAGAATGAAAAATATACCTGATACAATATCATTTGAACAACGTAGACGGATGATTTATGCGCAATATTTACCAAAAGATCGTAATCAATTATTTGCCATTACTACACCAACAACAGATTTTCAAGAGACGCGTGAATTGACTCATAATATTAATCCAAGTTTCCAAACAGTGACAGATTCTACACAACCATTTAATAGTACGATGAAATCAGAGCTTGAGGTTGAAAATGACAATGATTTTGGAAATAAAGAAATACCTATCCCCAAACCACAAAGAGGTTCATTGGACCTATTTGAAATTGAAAAAATAATTGAAAGTGGTATTAAAGAAAAGGAGCAACCTGAAAATTCTAGAGAGAATACGAGTAACGAGAAAAATAAAAACAATAATGAAAAACATTCAATTTTTAATCGTGGAACACTTGGTAACATGCTAACATCTTTTACTACGGCTGCAATCGGTGAACCTGCCCCCTTTCTTAGTGAAGAGGAAGAAGAAAGTGAAAAAGAGACCCAACAGAGCAAAAAATAATTTATAATTTGGCAAAAAGTAAAAAATACGTACTACTAAGTAATAAATGACACATGTGCTTCCCCCCTTTTCTATATGATATTATCATGATATGCTATGTTAAAGTATATAAGTACAAGTTTTTATATACAATACGGAATAGAGGTGACGGCCTAAGTTGTATATTTGAGACTCAAAGAAAAAAATATATACTATTACTTCTGAATAATTTATGCACCATAAACAGCACAACTAGTTTCCCATATTTTATCAACAACCTCAGATAGTGGCAATCCCTTAATATTAGCTACAACTGTGGCTACTTGTTCCATTGTACATGGTTCATTTCTAGATTTAATCATATAGTTATTCCATTCATCTTCAGAGACTTTGCTTAATTTATCTCTCTTGACAGATTTATATGGTAGAGGTTGATAATCATTCAAAAATTTATAAGCTTCATGAGTTCGTCTAATCTCACACCATGGAGCGTCTGTCTCTAAAAGTAATCTATCTAATGGTACTCTTTTCACAGATTCTATATTTTCTTCTAATCTAAATGAAGCACCGTTCATTCCTATATAACAATTTGGAGTCAATGAAAGTAAATTTTCCAAGTCCATAGGTGAATCTGTGAATGAATGTACAACAAATTTTTTTGTTGATGGTAATTTATAATGAATTGGTTCTTTACTACCAATGATTTCTTTTAAGTTAAATTTATCCTCATTATCATGGAATCCAATAATAAATTTTTTCAATACAGTAATAAAATCATCACAACAATTTCTCATATGTAAAAATAGTGGGATTTCTTTATTCTTTAATAAACAACATAATTTTAATTGTTCTTCAAAAAACATCAATTGTAATTCTTTACAAGAATAATGAAAACGATCATAATCGAGGCCAATTTCACCAATTGCACGTAAATCTGGGTCATTCAATTTTATTGACATAAGCTCATATAATTCCTTTAATTTTTTGGATGCGAATTTTGTATCTTTATTTAATGATTCATAAAGTTTATAATTATAACTTTCATCATTCGATGGATTATCAATTGTACTCGATGATTCTAAATTTTCAATATTTTCAACAAATTCATTAACACAACATGGATGTACACCAATTGTATAATATAATTTTACTGGAGATGTATCCTTCAATTGATCTTTCAATTCAATTACTTGTTTTGATTCAACAATTGATGAGCCCGTCAATAATGTAACTTTAACTTGTCTTTCTTGAGCTCTATATAAAATATTAGATATATCAGAAGTATGATATTTTTTACCGTGATATACACCCTGGAACATGGGATCAGATAAATTAAATCCTATATCATAATATTTCATTCTGGGTAAATATCGAGGTATCTGACGTATTGCAGTATTATTCATCAACAAATTGAGTAATTGTTTGAGAAAATATTATATGTATTTATGTACATATAAGAAATAAACACAAGAAACAGCAATTGAAATTGCTAAAAATTCGAACATTTTTTGTTTAAAATATGATGATGATGAGATCTAATTAAATTCTTGAATGAGCTATTTTATTATTATTTTTTTTTTCATTCTAGTGTCTTTAAATGTGGGAACGGCGGAACAATTCCAAAAGACCCATACATCACGTTCAATAACAAAATAGGACCCTTTTATATGAACTACAAGATCATTATAAGGTAAAATAAAACTGTTTGAAGACAGTGCGATATATTCAAAACGACGTATTGCTTCAGTTATATTTACAGAAGAAATCCGAAAAAATGATGGAGCTTTCTGGAAGTATTTGACATCAATATATATATTTAGATTCTAAACGATAGATTATTTTGTAAAGAAGGATTCCATTATATATATAACCAAATGTTTGAGGTTGTCCCAATGTCTTTGCAATGTTATGCATATATGAGTACTTAAAATTTAAAAAAAAACAAAAAAAACAAGAGGTCTAAAACTTATATAGACATAATGTATAAGTTTAAATCCCATTTGGGAATGATTAAGAAAGTTTAAGTACATTTTGACTTTTTCGAAAACACAAAAAGTTACCAAAGATAGAAAACACATACTTACAAATAGTATAGTAGTGTCGCTATCATATAAATGAACAAAGATTGTTAATAATCACAAAATGAAAACATTTTTGCCGCTGAAGAAGTTTCGCCCTCTTTATCAACGTTTCACTTTTGGCTTTTACGTATTGTGCGCAAAGTTGCATAAATTACCCTAAACGGTACAAATAAGTGTTAGAGAGGCGGAATAAATAATCAAAATGAAAAAAAAGTTGCGAAAGAAAATTTAAAAAGAAAATATGTGTTTTCTTTCTAGTTTAAAATTGTTTTGCGTGTTCTCTTCTGCTTACTGTTTGAAACAGGACGCAAAAAGGTGTTTCTCGTGTCAATTTTTTTTAGACTCTTTCTGTGTAAAATTAACAGCGGTGGCGTTTTCTTTCTAATTAAAAAAAAAGATAATGCTCCCTTTTGTAACGTTCTCCTCCCCACCCCCCGCCCCGCTGAACGGTGAAATACACTGTTAAGCTAGCGGAAAAAAAAACAAAAAGAGAGATGACACTCACAATGAAACGCACATTTTGTACGACTATTTGCGTTACCGCAGTGCTAATTTCGTTTTATCTTTTTCAAATCTACCACCATATTAATAACTAAATAAAATTATGGGGAGAAAAGGGCCCACCTTTCCCTTTCAACTTGCGGCTCACACACAAAAATACAAAACTAATCTTAATACATCATCCGACCCAACGGCCAAACTTTCAACCGCAGTAAAAATAAAGAGAGAGGAAGAGCAAGCAAACAAAAAAAACATGTCTTGACGAAAAAACTCATCGGCCATCACATCATCCATCGGCCATCGCAAAAATATTGCCCATCACCACATAGTAAACTACTATTTATCAACATTATATATTATATTTTAGTTATTTCTGTAACTACAGACAATAACAACTAAACTTCATTAGTCACTATTCGATTAGGATATTAAATAGCCACAATACATAGATACAGTTTCAAAGAAAAATTTTGACCTATTATAATTTATTAAAGATAACGAAAACATATTTCATTAATCACGAAAAAGAAAAAAGATAAAAAGAAAAAAAGTCTTGGTGATTAACAGTAATATATCATAACTAATACTATTGTCAAAGACTATCCTGTTACATCCTACCAACTTCGTCATTACAGTCATTTATAATAGCTGTCATAAGAGAATAAGAATAGATATCACTTAGTATTGACATTACTGTACACTATATTTTGAAATTTTTTTTGCTTTAAAAAATAATTAAACAATATTGCCTATATTATTAAATTTAGTACCTAATTTATATCGATTTCTTAATCGGCAAGTTTTATGTTTATTAATTTTTGAAAACAATTTTCATTCATTATCATTAATACTTCAATAGCCTTAAAACTTAATAAAAAGAAGTACAATATAGAACTAGAAGGGACAACAAACTATTCACATATATCATCTTTTTTTTTGAAAAAAGAGAAAGAAAAAGTAAACCCCTAACAAAAATAATATGCCATCTTCAAAATCGACATTTTCAACAATGACGTCGCATTCAACTTCATCGATTTTAAATAACCATCCACATCCACAATTGCATAATCATGCTTTAAATAATAATATAACAAATTTTCATTCAACAATAATTAAGAAAAAAGATATTATTAATAATGAACCAAATTTATTATCAAGAAGTAATACGATTTCTTCGCCATCTCCTTCTTCTGCAACTTCACCTTCAACAGCAGTATCATCATCAATGTCATCACCTACTACGAATCCAAGTACAATTAAAGAAATAATTATAAACTCAAATGAAATTAATAATAATAATCAAATTAATAACGGTGGAACAAAATCATCCTCAAATACTGCAACAAAAATAGAAGAAGTAAAATTAGTTAATTATTCAAATACAATCGCTCCAAACAGTGCTGGTAAGAATCCTTCTTCATGGGATCCACAAGATGATTTATTATTACGTCATCTAAAAGAAATTAAAAAACTTGGTTGGAAAGATATTTCTCAATTTTTTAATAATAGAACACCCAATGCCTGCCAATTTAGATGGAGAAGATTAAAATCTGGGAATTTGAAATCTAATAAAACTGCTTTAGTTGATGTTACTGATTATACAGCAGTAATTAAAGCTTTAAATGAAGGGAAATTAAATGAATACAAACTAATGGAAGTTCCAGAAACCGTTAATCATGAACCAAAACAAAGACAGATAAATATCAATGAGAGTAATGATAATGATATGATTTCTCCAAAGAAAAAAAATGAAGAGATTAAGTTTTCTACATTAACTAATAAAGATAATAATTATCAACAAATTGTAACTACAAAGAATGTATCCCCTTCTAAAGAAGTGTATGCCTCGAAGTTTATTTCTAGTAGTAATTTATCATTCTCTCCAAATGATAATATAGTCAACACTCAAGATAAAAATCAAAATATTGGTAATAATAATTTCGGTAATGATTCGCTTGCTAAGCAATTTAAACCCCAAGGCCAAGGTAAACTTCATCCGATTGAGCAACTGAAGACTCATAGTAATATTCCCTCATCACATTCTACCACCAACAGTAAGAAATTTATTAAACCAAGATCGTTTTCTCATTCTGTAACAAGACCTAAACTTCCAGCTAATATGAGAAGTTCTGTAACAAGTTTTAATAATGGTGTTTTCAATGGCGGTCCTTCGGCTTCCAATGAAGAAGAAAATGTTGGTTTTATTCCGAAGATTATTGTGAGATCAAGACGTAGTTCTTTGGCTGTACCTGTTTTACAACAAAGTCAAATAGCTAATCAACCCCAATCTCATCAAAACTCAAATTTACTGTCTCCTTCAGCATCATATTCAAACATTGCAAATGCGCTAAATACTACTCTAGTCACATCGAAATCAAGAAAAAATTCAATATCGCATATGTCTAGAAGATCGTCATTCAATGTTACAAGCGGAACTTCATCAAGAAAACAATCAATTATATCAGCAGCTGTTTCAAACTCAATTTCAAATCAATTTCCTTTAGCTACCCACACTAATGGTGATGTTCATTTAAACGTGCAATCAATGAAACAGAGGAAAGATTCAGCACATAGAAAAGATTTTCATGGTATTGGCGCCATCACGTCAAAACCAGAACACAGTTTTCCATCTACGTACGGGTTTGTTGATACACCATCTTCTAATGTGCGTCACGAATCGTCAGCTACAGGAGGAAATATCCATTATGCTTCTAAAGACGGTAGCCCATCTCCTTGCGAATGGACAAGTCAGGAAGATGCTATATTATTGGAATGTTATGGAAGAAATTTATCTTGTAAAGAAATGTCAATTTTATTAAATAATAAATCTGAAAATGAAACTCAATGGAGGTTAGATTACCTTAAGGCTCAAGGAACAGAAAATAAAGGGCAGTCACCTGAAAACGAAAACGTAGATCCGTTACATATAGGTAATGTTTCGAACCAATATACAGGAATGCAGGTAGACAATAAGGACGAAGTCAAACAGCACTCAAATACCCATTTACCTAGTATAAATAACATACTTAATAACACAAATTAAAACAAATGGACACAAGATACCAAACCATTGAATGTTTTCTCTTAGGAGAACAATAAACAAAGAAATATGGAAAGAAGATAATAATATTCTAAATTTAGGACAAGGCTGAAACATATAGTTTCTTTTAGGGAGAAACTATCCATTTTTATTATTATTTAATTATAAAAGCTCGAAGGGTTATAGTCGTTGATGGTTAGATAGATTCGAATATGATGTTTCAAAACATAGATAAAAACGCTGTCGGGCAGAGTTGTACGTTGCAGGTCGTTAATGATACATATTTTTATGTAAAAATATTTTATGTATATATACATCTGTTTGCATTTAATAAAAAACTATATATCATCTTATCCTTTGTGAATTGCCGTAAATAGTGTTACAAAATAGGTTACTTTCTTTATTCCCTATTGAATGAATGTGCTCTTTTGCTAAATTAAGAAGTGACGTATCTAAATATTAAATATCAGTATCATCAGCATCGTCATATTCATCCATTCCATTTTCGTCGTCGTCATCGTCATCATCATTGTTTGTATTTTCATCACATGTGTTGTAATCTTCATCATTGCTACTGGAGTTGTCTATATTTTCTAAGGTTGAGGTCTCCTCTTCATCGTCTGCAATTTCATCTTTATCTTCATTTCCAGAGGAAATAGGTTCCTTTATTGGGCGTGTATGAGCGAGATTTATGGAATGTGGTTTGGGTTTTGTACCAGGTGCTAATGGTTTTATTAAACAAGAATACCATTGTTCATTAGAAGTTATATTGCTGTGGGGAAGATTTGTTGAAGAGGATATTCTGTTATTAATGTTATCAAGTGCAATGCGCTCCATATCTCGTGTATCTGCTATGTCGTTCGTCATATAGTCTACGACTACCGCCATATGTCCATTAAATGTATCCAAGTTATTGCCGTTGATACTCCCACTTGATTTTGCAAGTTTATTGCTCTGTAAATCAATATTGATATTGTTATTGGTGGCATTTATTCCGCCAGAGGGACCAAATATCAGAGGTTTCCATAATAATTTCTCCATATTAATATGCCATATCATTTTATGTCTCCATTTTTCATTCACACGTTCAATATAAGACCAATCTCTAATTGCAATAATAAATTTTGTTTTATCAGTTGTTGTGAATAGAACATCTAGTTGCTCTAGACCGAAAACCACATCTGTCGTCGTAAAACCAGTAATATGAGACAGCTCCTCCAATGAAATATTAATTGATTCATCATTAACGGAATTTATGTTGCGGAGCATTAATAACGTTTCCGCTATTTTGCATTTCCAATAATATCTATAAGTAAGTAGTCCTAAATCAGATAGAGGTTTCTCCGGCGTACCAACCTTGAATTCTCTCCTTGATAAGAGATATGAGAATTCCATTAATAAATTTCCGAAACCTTGTCTTCTGAAGGTTGGTAGTGTAAGAATACAACTAAGGTTATAACCAGTTGAATTTAATTTTTCTTTGGAAAAATATCCAACTAATTGATTCCCAGAATACAATACATAAAAAATAAATGGATCGACTTCATAAAACAATGTCTTTGATCTAAGAAAAAGCATAGAGAGCAGACAAAGATTTCGACAATATGTTTGGTTTTCTCGTCCATCTATTTCAAATAGTCTAATCGATTGATCACAGTACACAACAGACCCTGGAGGAGTAGAATGTGATGTACATTTTTGTTTATGACGCCAATATTTAAACCTCGAAGAGCAATACGATAAACAATTTTCACAAATAAAAATTATGGATTCATTATTAATATGTTCGGGATAGGGACTTGGGAAAAGGGTCTTAATTTCATTATTATTAATACAGATTGCTTTTACTAGTGATTTCTTAGTGAAGGGGGAACTTTTCGTTGCCCGTTTAAAATCAAAAGTATAGCTTGATAATACATTACTATTGATATACTTTGATGCCCTAGATCTAACGAAGGTACTGGTAAATAACTTACGATCGTTCTTTTCGGGCTTTGTGTGATCTATGGAGTAGTCTTTCTTTTTAGAATATATGGATTTATAGAGAATATCACGAAATTCAGAATCTATCTTGGTGTATCTCTGGGGAATTCTATGTTTATTGTTATCTTGAACCACAAACTCATTGTTCATTAACCTTTTAAAATTCAAAAATTTTTCAGGATCATATTTAATTTTCACTGATTGTAAACATTGAGTATACCTGGATTCATATGTTATCTCTCTACTATATTGAAATTCGATATTTGGATTTAATTGGTTAGCTTCATATCTATTATGTGGAAGTTCCCAAAGTTTAGGTGATTGTGAACTAGATTCTTCTGCAATATTTCTTTTTAGAGAATGTCTTGAAAGATATTCCATGGCGTCCTCGCGGGTTGAATTTGAAGCTAGGTCATCGGTATTATCTATTTGAAGCTGCCGCGTTGGTTCTTGCGTTTCTTTCTTGTTTAATGGTTTAGTGCGATTATTCCGTAAGCTCCTCTTTCTTTCTAGAGATCCTGTTTCTGTTGATACCACATTTGTTGTAACTGTTCCAGATCTTAACGTTCTTTTTACTTCTTCGTTTATATCCCTTTTCGTTATTCTATTTCGAAGATGCCTCATTGTATCATTGGAACGTATATGTAACTAGTTTTAAAAGTAAGAAAAAGGTAAAGCTCAGTTATAACCTTTGAGTTTTATTTGATACAATTATTAGCCTAATTGATATTTGAAGGTACTTCTCAACAGAGGAATAAACTGCTGTCTTGTAGCTTCTTCTACCCACTGTTTGCTTATTGATTTCCTTTGGGATGTTGAATTTATTATATTGTCCTTTTGTTTACTTTTCGCATGGAAGCCAAAAAATTATATAGTAACGCGATGATACCGCGGATAATCTAGTTAGATTTGTTTAAAAACAACAAGCGGTCCTATTCATTACTGATGAGGTTCAATCCCATGAAGTTAAAAGAAGATTCAGTCAATTGAATAAAGCAATATTCTTTTTTATTTTTATATCATTTTTATTAGGTTATTAAAGTTATACATTGGCATTTATATTGATAAATATATATAATAGGTAAAATAATATATTTTTATGTAGGATGTGTATATTTCTTCATCTTTCGTTATCATAATCATTAAATATCATAAAAGTTGTATATTCGGGAAATTAACAAGGTTGACCTAAAAACGTGAGAGGTACTATTTGTACATTTTTTTTGGAATAAAATACATTGTGCGATTGTCATTGTCCTGTTGAACTAGTAAGTTAAAATTAGAGTGTCCAAAGAACGATTCATGACTGGTAGTTGGTGCGGTCTGGATAAATAATACAAAGAAGATGTGGATAAAAAGTAATAAAGAATTAGATATCAAGCGTCATTGGCTCAGTCTGTCTTCTATAATTATTAAAGTTCTGGGAATTTGTCAAACTAAAACAGAAAATATATCTTGGTTCAAAACGTAGATAAGGAATATTTTATCACAATTAGTCTCAGATTTGTTATAAGACTTATTACATCACCGGCTTTGTTAATTTTACCACATGCTTCTCTTCATATTTGGCGTGTTACTGTTGCTATTATTATTGTTATTCATCGTACCAGAGACATCCAATCCACTTAAAGATCTACTCAAATGGTGTTCTAGACCACTGTCAAGACCAATACCAGAAGTACCACCATAAATAATATCAACATTGCTATTATTATTTGCATTTAGAAGCATATTGGCTGAATCATCATGGAAGGAGTGAGCAGAAAAGTTAGATTGAACGGAACCACTAGTATTCTGCTGCAATAAAGGATTGTCAGATTGGGTAGGAACAATTTGATCATGAAGTTGAGATGGAGAGGATGAATTATTATGCAATGATGATAAAATTCTTTGTGTTGTAGCAGTTTGAGGTGATTGATTATTATTTACCATGTTAGAATTTCTCAATAGTGGATTCGACGAGTTCAATAATTGGGTGTTTGAAGAATAACCAGATGGAATTCTTGCTGATGGGGTCAATGGATTAGGTTGTCTCAAAAATGCTTGCTGTTGAGCAGATTGGGAAGAATTGGCAGATTGGGATTGTGGTTGTTGTGATTGACTGTTAGAAGTAGAGAGTAAAGGAGATTGTAAGCTTGGATTAGAACCTTGAGCTTGATCATTACTGTAGAAACTGCTTGGATAAGCAGGTGTAGGGGAGGAAATACTTTGAGATTGGTTTTGGAAACCTCTTGACAAAGTTTGTGCTTGTTGAGCAGCAGCAGTTTGAGCTAACAAAGAAGCAGTACCATTACTATTCAAAGTTGATGAATTATGAGAAACAGTACTGTTGTTATCATTTGTATTGGAAGCAGCAGCGGCTGCAGCTGATGCATGGGCTTGCAATAGACTAGTGTAAGAATGAGATCTATTCAATGAACCACCAGTAGAATTTGGTTGTAATGGATGCATAATTGGCATTTGACCTTGTTGTTGTAAATGTGTTTGTAGACTGGCTTGATCTAAAAACTTTCTTCTAATTATAACAAATCTTGGATCATACACTTCAATTAAATTCAAATAAGAACAAAGAACATTAATCACACGTTTGTAATTTGCGCTGAGACCTATTGGATAAGCTAGTTCACTATAATATTTTTCTCTATCTCTAAATAATAATAGCTGGGAGTAAATCTCTAAAGTGTCAGGATCATTGAAATCCAATTGTTGTGGTGGGATAGGAATAGTTGATGAAGATGGTAATGGAGCATAGTAACGTTCACCATTGGAGTTTCCGTTAGATTGACCGTTACTATTGTTGTTGTTACCAGCAGTAATGTTTTGAGAGCTTCCATTGTTTTGAACGTAACCAAATGGTGGGATTTGTTGTTGTTGAGAGGTTGACTTTGGTTGTTGTTGTGATCGAGATTGGTACTGATATTGAGATTTCTGAGAGTAATACGAATTGGAAGTACTTTGTTGTGCAAGACCATTTGAACCACTATTGTTATTATTCATATTATTATTGCTATTTCCTGTTTTGTTGCCATTCATTAAACTTGAAAATATTTGATGGCTAACTGTGGCAGCATTATTACTATTGTTAGCAAAATTTCCATTCGGGATATTACTGTTATTTTGATTCAGGCTAACAGATGACATTTTGCCTAAGGATTGTAATGATAAATTTGAAATTGTTCTATGTTGTTCTTCAAGCTGACCTCTCTTTTCACGCTTTTCACGTTCAATTCTTTCTCTTTCAGCTTGAGGTAACATTTTCTTATATTCAACTTTCAATTTTCTGCCATTGATTTCTTTTCCGTTTAAATTAGTAATAACATCCAGAGTTTCTTCAGCAGTAGTAAAATTTGCAAATGCTAAACCTCTAAAGATCCCATTATCAAAATGATAATTAAAGGCATATGGAAGAGGTAAATTCATTTCGTCGATAATATCCAATAATTGTTCCTTCTTGATAGCAAATGGGATGTTTTTAATTACAATAGCATTAGGAATTATATCATCATTTAATCTATCATTTTCACTCATCGAGGTGATACTGTTATCCAAAGTATTGTTGTTGTCATTTTCATTATCGTCATCAGTTTCCTTTTCAGAAAGTTTTTCTAATTGAGCTTGATCAAATTCGTCAGCATCGTTTTCATTAGAAACATCAATACCGTTCTTATCAATGACTGGGGTTTCCAAATCATTAGAATTCATATATTCAGAACCCTCGTTAGTGCTCATCGTAGGTTCTAATAATACAGTTAATATTTTGGATAGGTCTAATATATATATAACTTAGTTTACAGGATGGTAATATTTTGCTTCTATAAAATAGCTAGTATAGATGAGTAATAACCGTAGTGCTATTAATCTCGAGAACGAATGCTATAATTGCTAACTTTATATTAATAAATGTACTCTTAAAAAGTTTATCAAAGGTTTGTAATGTAAACTTTCCGAAATATCTATTGGAAATATCTTGTGAGACTCTTTTTATTTCTTTTTTCCTTTTTAGATGTTGCTTTTGTTGTTTCTTTCAAATAAAATGAAGTAGTTTGAATCAGAAATTTACTTGTTGTTCAAATATTCATTAAACTCCAATACCTATAGTAATGAAAAAAAGAAGTTTGGTCTTTGTGGAGAAGATGTGATATGGAATATAGCTCAGAAAGTGGTATTGAAATAATTTCTTCTTTGTGAGTTTGGTAATTCTAAACTTAACTTGTAATTGAACTTCTTTATTGTCTTATTGTCCTAAGTAATATAATAGGAGTGTTTTCAAAAAAAAATAGAAGAGGAGGAATAGCCGGTTTCGTTGTATTGTTCTTTTTTGTTTTATTAAATGGTTTTGTTGTATTGGTCTCCTTAGAGCCTCATTTATCATTTAGATTACCCATCGCCTAAAACTTCAAATTTTGTGAATTTTTTTTTTTTCTTTTTTGCTGCGAATAATTTTTTTTTCTCTGCTGGAAATTTTTCACTTCTTTCCAAATTGGTAAGAAGTTGCGAAGGAGACTAGAAAGAAATTTAGACAGCATTCGTTGAAAGTGACAGTGTTTTGACGTATATGACATAATATTAATAGAAAACTGACTAAATATTAACTAACGCTACTTCTTTGATTGGTAGTTCCCAAGGATGTTTGGAGTAAATCCCTTTCAACCATCTAGTAAAATTTCTTAAAGTAATTATTTAATTTATGAAATGATTGAAATTTAAAAGAATTATTTTTTTATGGATTAGTTCAATGCTGATAAATTTTAATATATAGTTTCGATTGCAAAAGGTACTAATAAGAATTTTTTACTTAGAAACTGTTAACAAAAATTAAAATACGTAAAAATTAATGGCTACATTCCACAATATATATATATATATGTATATATTCAATCAATTCTTGTTACTGAAGAAAAGTGACTTTCTATGGTATTTTAATTCTTACCAATTGGACATGAAATGACCAGCAATACGCTATAGGGTCTATAAATTTTGGGTATTTATAAAAATATCGTAGCCTATTCAATCATGGTCAACTAATATTTATATGCATACTGAAGTATATAAAAGAAATATAACTACCAAAAAATCAGATGCCCAATAATTTTAAGCTAAAATTAACTGTAATTTATTACTTGCTTTCTGATTTTTAACAAATTTTCTACAATTTAGGATTTTCACCGTATCATAGCAAATCAAGACATCCAAGTACGGGAAGATATTACATAGCTGCAGTATTTACCACTTTCAGAATACTTGGTACCACAATAATATTCGGAACTGCCATTAGAAATGAAATTCAAAGTGACGCAGCATTTTCCCTTGGTTGAGCACTTCGTATAGTTTTCACAGATTAAATTGATGGGCACACAGTAGTTACAGTTAATAGTCGGTTCGATTGGGTTACAACATCCGATGGTTCAACCCCAACAACTTTAGTAATAGGACAACAGTTATCAATAATAACGACAACATATGAAGCAACTGGTTAGCTACAGTAACCATCTTGACCAGTTTGTTTGGATTTGTGGAACTCAGAATTGTTACTGTAGGTTTTCGTTCTGATATTGATGGAGTTCAGCAAATCATTGGGAAAACATCAAAGAAATCGAATCCTCAAACTGTTCAATTGTCATGCACTTTACATATGTCTATTAAAAGGAACATTACCCACAAACCTATATTACTGACATATATCCAAATTCACTCTTTGCTATTGATACCGAAATCTATTAGCAAATGAAAGAACACTTTTACGTTATTATTGCTGACATCTTTAAAATCTGTCAAAAGTATGAAGAGGGATTTGAAACTACTTAAAATAGCAGCCTCTCTCTGCGCGATGTTCAGACGGCGACCACTGACTCATGAAAGTACATTTTTATACAAACCAACCGACTTCGTGGCATCTATGTAGACAAAAGCCATATATTATATCAATACAGAGAACTTCTTCTTCTTAAAGCACCGTAGATTAACTACACAAAAGCGAAAATTCGCAAAATGTTCCTATGTTATGATATTTTACATTGTATAGAATCTATATACCTTTAAAAAAGCAAGAGTCGCTAACTATTCTGGTCTTTGTCTCTTTCTGGACCTGTCACTATGATTACTTGAGTCCCTACCGTGCTTCTTGTTGTGTGTTTCACGGGCCTCATTACGGTCATAACGGTCGTTGTGGCCAGGTGCCACCACAGGTTTTTCTACAGGTGGGAACAATTCACGCTCTTGGTCCTTCACAAGCCCCTTCCAGTCCCATCTCTTACGGACATACTTCTCTAGTTGCCAGTTCTTCCATACCTGTCTACCGTAAGTACTATTCTTCACCTTCTCGGATTCTCCCACAAGTGCACCTGCGATTCTCTCCTTGTACAACATCAACTTTGCAGTGAAATTCCATAACTTGTCCATTATATGAGAACCGTAGGCGTTACAAGCCATGTTGACAACATCTTTACATAGGACGTTCAATAGACGTCTCCGCTGGATGATTTCAACACGTTTAGGGTCCAGGACGCTCTCCACAACATGTGAAAACACACCGTGGTAGCACATCTGCAGTAATCTCTCCTCTGGCAACGCAAGCATACTCTCGACAGTGACGTCCATGAACTGTTGGTCGTACGCGATAAGTTGCTCCAGGAAGATGGACCTCCTTCTTTCCTCGGCAGTAGGCCAGTCATCACGGGTGTTACCTAGAGTTGACGAGCTCAGTTGCAGACAGCTTTCCAGAACGTTCCGTTCCTCTTGTTCCGCTGGGTAGTATTTCTTTAGTAATTGGCCAATGATCTCGTCCCTTAGATAACTATCCTGAGTGTTACTAGCATTGATAATGGCAGTACCAAAATCGATGTTCGAGTTAAGAAGCACACTCAACTCCGGCACAATGTCGTCTAGAATTTGTCTTATTTCTTTGCCCTTCAGGTGCAGCAGCAGAGCCTGTACTACAAACGCACCAGTGGTGTCTCTCTTTGCCAGCTTCACCACACGCTCCCTCATATACAGTCTGTACAATCTCTCCACATATTTCTGTCTCCCGTAGCCGATCACGTTCTGCAAGAAATGGGAACCAACAGCATCTGACAACAGGTACTCCACAAACGACTCCTCCTTGGCGTCTCTCTCGTCATTGGTATTGAAGATCAGTCTCCAGAACGACCGGTCTCTGTCGAAGATACCCTCGACCTGGATAATTAATTGGATTACAGGAGATGCCACCTTATCCACACACAGCTCCCTAAACTTGGTGATTGTGGATGGACTCACATCGGAACGCGATGCGACATCACCTGTGAATGACTTGTACAGACCTGACACCAATGCACGTAGTTCCAGTTTGAAGGATTCCGGTGTCTGGTATGTCTTGTTGAACTCGTCGTTGTCCTTGATATCGATCATCTTACGTGCGATCTTAGATTTCTTCGAACGCAGGTTGGAGTTGCTTTGCGTACTGCTTGGCAATATCTTGGAAGCCAGGATCAGGATCACCAATCTCAATGTGTGGGACCCGTACTGGTCTGACATCAGCAATTTGGCATGTGGTTTTAGCTCATTCAGCATGAACAGAAACATGTTTTCCATAGATCCGTATTCATCATCACCGTTGCTTTCTGCAGCAACATTCTCGTCATCAAAGCTCGGTGTCAGTAGCTCCTTCTCGACCAAGGCAGCTGAACGCACCAGCAGTGTCTCCAGGACGTGCGAGGCGTACTTATGACAAGCCATACCGTAGAAATTCCCGTTAAACGCTTTGAAGAGTCCCTTCAACTGGGAGTCGTCACAGTCCAGGATTAGTCTCTCCACCAGTTTGGAACAGATCTGTGATGTCACGAGCTTCAGCTCCTTGCCTCGTGCTTCCTCGATCACACTCGTCACAAATTGTCCCTTCTCCTCACGGGACTCGAAGGCATCCATCCCCAGGGTGGCTTCTGCCTGTTTGAAATACTCCAGTTCATCTCTATCTAGTACACCGTAAAACATGGCCTGATTGGAGGATCCATCATTGTCTTGCAGTGTCTCTGTTGGTAGCTCATCGCCTTGGGCATGGTGGTCCTTCTCCGGTGCAAATTCGTCCCTCTTTTCTTTCTTAAGTAGTTTCCTACCTCTAGCCTTTGGTGCCATATCTGATAGTGTTTGCAGTGAATTCTTATTACAGATTTGAGTGTGTATGTCTTACTGCACTCTAGCTCATCGGTCTTCCAGATGCAGAGACCTTTTCCTTAAGTACGTAAAATTTTCTTGTTCTTGAAATTTCATGCTCTTCGCTTTCTCGCTCTGCTTCTTTCACGATCCGAAGAGATGAGAGAGAGAGGCAGAGGGAGAGAGACAGAGAGAGAGGACCATGAACGGTGAATAATGCATTATTATATATTAATCTATATTTTACAGATGGGGGTTGTAGAGGTAATGGTAATATGAGGTATCCTTGGACCAATTGAGTAGAAGTTATATAAGCCGCCAATCAATCGTCGTGGTCCCAGTTACCTGGCTTTGGACCTCTTGGTGGAGCTGCTGGACCACCGGCCTTCTTGGCCATAATGATCTGGTCTACAGACAACACGGTACATGCAGCCTCCGTAGCTACGTTCACTGCAAACTTCTTCATCTCCAACATATCGTATATATTTTCTTCCCTGATATCCTTGAGCCCATCCGCACTCTCGCTGTCGATGTCAATACCCTTGTAAATCCCGGATCCGGAGTCATCATTATGGGCGGCGTACAAGTTTGGCAGCACTTCATTCACGTCTTGACCAGACGTCTCTGCCAGTGTGCGTGGAACAATCTCGAACGCCAGTGCGAATTGTTTGATGGCTAGTTGCAATAAACCAGGCGTCTTTTCACCGAACTTGGTGATGCGTGACACAAGCTCGATCTCAGTGGCACCAGCACCAGGTAATAGCTTCCCACCATCTGTTTTCATTAGACCCTTGATAGCTGACACACCGTCATCAATCGCACGTTCAATGTCGTCCAGGTGGTTTTGGGTAGCACCTCTCAGGATGATGGTGGCGGTCCTACTGACCTCGTCGTCTTCTTGTTTGAACACAGTGACCCTGTCGCCACCGATCTCCATTGTCTTCACCACGTCGACTGTACCGGCTTCTTCTGGTGTTGGGGCACCTAGACGAGCCAGTGGAGTAGCACCACACACACGACATATTCTTCTTAGTTCGAACTTACTTGGAACCTTCAGCACCAGGATGCCGTAACGGTTCAAATAGTGCAATGCCAACTCTCCGACACCGGCACCAGCAACAACACACTCTACGCCCATGTCAGCAATGGCCTTCATCATGCTATCGATCTGCTGTTCTTCACCCTTTGAGAAGTCCAGCATTTCCTGGGCATTGTGCAGCAATACAGTTCCCTTGGTCTCTGTGGCTGCAATATCCAATGGACAGGTAAACACTGCCACTTTATGCTTCTTACCACTGGTCAAGGTCTTGACGTGGCCCTCAGGTTCGCGGTTGAACACCATCCCCTTGATAACACTGGAATTGGACAGAGAGCCACCCATGATCTTAACGACTCTGATGGAGTCCACATTGAATGAGGTGAAGCCGGTGTCTTGCTTGGAAGGCAATACATGAGAGACGGCCTCTGCGACCAACTTGCTCAGTAATTCTTCATGGCCGTATTGTTTTGCAGCAATCACAGAGCGTGTAATCTTAGCCAATTGGTCCGGGTCGTTCTTCAAAGTGATTTCATCCACTACTAATTCATCCAATGCTTTCAAAGTGTAGTTCATAGCCATATTATAACCTTGGATAATCTCTACTGCAGATAGACCCAACGCGATCAGTTTTTCAGAGACGTTCAGCAACTCCCCAGCCAGAATCATGACCAGGTTTGTACCGTCCCCCATATCGATCTTTTGTTGTTCTGTGGCCATCACCAGGACCTTGACAGCCGGGTGGACAATGTCTAATTCACGCAACATAGTGGCAGCGTCATTGGTGACAACAGCCTTCCCTAGATGGTTCACGATGATCTTGTTTCTCCCACAAGGGCCCATCGAGGTAAGACACATCTGGTGGATCTCCCTGATAGCGGCGATGGATTTATTGATTTGACCATCAGCGTTGGAATAACTGCTGTAGCCTTGTTTGAATAGACCCGCGTTTGGAGCCTGTGGCAATTTCATAGACATTCTTGAAAGTAGTCGTAGACGTTGTGTATGTTGTTCCCTTTACTGGTTTCCTAAGGTGATTGTAATGCAATACAATTATTGGATCCATCTCTTTTAAAGTGAAGTTTATGAAATTGGCTTTTAGTTTGCATTATTCATTGCTAACGCCTCTTCCACGATGAAGTTCGCTTAGAAGAAGGAAAAAAAAAAGTGACGAAAATTCAAATACCTTGAAATAAGCTAGATACATATTAAACATATACATATTAAACATATACATATTAAACATATACATAGTATAAATAATAAATATGGATAGACATCATAGACAAAACACGATTGAACACACATATATCTTGAATATCTATAAGAATGATAAGTAAACATATATATACATATATATATTTTCTTGTGTAATTTTCAGTCTGGATTATGAAACCCACATGGCGATAGTTTGCCAAGAAGTATAAGCCATGACACATACCCCAAATACGCATAGCACAATGTCAAGAACCATTTCCAATTTCATTTTCATGGTCAGTGGCGAGGAAGTATCTAACATTGTAGCCTTAAAATGCAGTAACGGTGGATGTATATATATAAGAGGGATACAAGCCAGAGATCCGACTAAAGAAACAAATTTATCTAGATCATTAGCCCCAATCCAAGCCATCGTTGCAGATAGAATGACCACAAATGTTCTAAAATAATTCTTGAGCCATTTAACCTTTGGGTTATGTTTTCCTGAGGCATTAGCTGGGAAGGTCCAATGTTCAAGGATTCTAATGGCTGGAAACAATTGTAATGGTGTTGATAAAAGAATTGCCAATGCATATAACAATTGTACAATCAATGTCAATGAACTATCCTGTGGGAAATTTAATAACACGACAGTTTCTACTTTAGCACCAAATGCACAATAACAAATTAAGCCACATGAGATAAAGATTACAGTGACGATAACCATTACACCAGATAAAGATTTTTGAAATTTTTCAGGATGGCGCATAGATTCTTGAATTGGGATCAAAAGACCGATACCTTCAAACGTAAATATAGCAGTTCCAATAAAAAGGGACCAATCTTGTTTATTAAATAGGATCATTGATTGCGCTACACCGTTTGTTACAACATAATAAGAAGCATAATAGTAGACATATAGTAACCCTAAAAGAATAAACAAATCTGCGATTAATGCAGTACCACTTAATTTAGCAATGTTTCTAGTTAATGATAATGGGATAAATATAATTGCTTGTAATATGATATATATTGCTAAATTTATTTGTTCTTTGTTAAATCCAAATACATTATCAACGAATACTTTCAAGTTTGTTGCCGTAAATACAGTATAAGCTGCAGCAAAACCTAATTGAGATAATGTAATCGATGCCAAAATAGCATATTTCATTGAATTCCCATATAATGTGAATCCCATTTCACCATACCCATTAACGTTAATTTTGTTTTTGGTATTAATTAATAGGATAAAACAATAATAAGATATCCATGCACAAAATAATAAACATAAGGAACTAAATGCCCAACCACCGTTATGAAATGCTCTTGGTAAAAATAAGACACCTGTTCCAACAAATGATTTCAATAAGAGCAGCACAGCTTTAAATGTTGAAGATTTATGCTTTTCGGCATGTGATCTTGTTTCTGTTAATAATAAACTTGTAGATTCAGTATCCGATTCAAGGACTTCTAAATCTGTTATAACATTTTCGTCCTCTTCACCATCTTCTTCTCTTTCTGAATCAGAATCCGAAAGATCTTCACCTGCAAAATGTCCATAAAGTGTTAAAAATTCAATAAAATTACGTGTAAAAAAATCTGGTGTTCTTAAATTCTTCTTTCTACGAGAATGTAAAATATAAGATCTTCTAAATCCACCTGGTGCTCTAATTTCTTCATGAGTCATTATCACAGGACCATTACCGTTATTTTGCCCAATGTTATTATTATTATTCCCACTATAAGTACGACCATGTGGTGTTGGTAAAATTAAACTATTCAAAGTACTTGAGTTTATTGATAGAGCAGAGAAACTCATCGACCGTTTTCTATGAGATGCATTACAATTTACAATTGTATTATTATTATTATAATTATTTTCTGGGAATAAATTGGTGGTTCTAATAGGAGAATGTGCCAAATTACTATTATTGTTGTTATTAGTATTATTTACATTTGAATTTGAACTATTATTATTTTCCAATATTGAAGGGTGATCATTTTTCCATTTATATAAATCTCTTGTGATATCACCACCGGGTAAACTTAGATCATTTGTTGAAGGAGATAAATATTTAGAGACTTGGTCAACGACATCTTGAGTTGGATTGTTTAAATCAAATGATGCAGATTTTGAAACATTAGGCGTCCCTGAATTAGATAGATTCAATGGAATTTGAGGTTGTTGTTTCAATGGTGTAGTTCCATATATGGATGTATTACTATTATCTATAGAAGTGCTGTTATTATTATTACTATTATTAACATGCAACGGTCTTGGATCCATTCTTAATGCAGCTGTATGACTTGACCTTCTAGAAGATATTGAAGTAAACGGTTGAGGAGAGGCCTTAGGATCATTATTATTAGCACCATCTGTAGCACCAATGGAAGCTAAAGAAGAAGGAGGTGGGAGATCTTTAGCCGTAACCATTATAGGTTGCTGTTGTTTTACAGCATTATTTTCAATTTTATTAGCAGATTTCTTTTTCCTCCTTTGAGCTTTTTTCTTCCTATTATCCTTTCTAGCCATATCTAATACTTTTATCTATATATTTAGTCCCTTGACTGAGTAATATAAGTTCCTATATAAGATTCAAAATAAAAATATTGGTATAACTCTCTCTCTCTCTATATATATAAGCCTAGGGCATCCCTTCAAATCAATATAGCGGTACAACTCCTTCACCAAGAACGCTTTTTCGTCTCTCTCTAATTTTTTTTTTCACTCTTTCTTCCAAATCAATGCAAGTAAGTAAGACAATTAATAATGGTACGGCACCACTAAAAACTGAAATTAAAATCTTTTTTATTATCTAGATCGAATACAATACAATTCATATTATAAGAACAATAGAAGTTTATGCTTTGCTGTAAATGGCGTGATGGAATGTTTATAATTACTTATTTACAATACATATTTATATATTCTGTTATTAACTGAAGGGACACACTATGTCGACATTTCCAGGAAACTCTGTTCATATAGATGAGCCATATCTTGTTCTAATAGACCAGTAACACGTAAAGAGTACCCACCACTGACTCGACATATATGTATGTATATATATGTATATATATTGATACTATACTGAATATATGGTATTGCTTTGACGCTCGCTTACTCCTTCCGTTAATTGCAAGAGGGCATGAAGTGAGGGCTTCCATTAATTTTTGGTTTGGCTTTTGGTGACCCAATCAAATCGAATCTGCGCTAAACAAAATGCGTGCATAGAAAACTGAATCATATAGTTAATGGATCAATAAAATGTAAACAGAGTGAAGGCTGATCCAGTAGTGAAACAACAACTTTGAACCAAAGGAGTTAGTTTTTAACTAAAGTTCATCGATTACGTAAATAGAGAGTGATTACTTAATATATATATATATATATATACATAGTTATATAGACAGGTAAGAGTATACTGAATCTTATATGAAAGGAGTGAATTATTAACTATATACAATATGGCAAGTTTAGAAGATCTTATACCCACAGTAAACAAATTACAAGATGTGATGTATGCATCTGGTATAGATACATTGGATTTACCTGTATTAGCTGTGGTTGGTTCTCAATCATCAGGAAAATCGTCAATCTTAGAGACTTTGGTTGGTAGAGATTTTTTACCAAGAGGGACAGGCATTGTCACTAGAAGACCTTTAGTATTACAATTAAATAATATTAAGATTAAAGTTAACGAAGATACAAATGATGATGAACCGTATCATAATGAAGAAGAATGGGGGGAATTTTTACATTTACCTGGTAAAAAATTTCATGATTTTGATGAAATTAGACATGAAATTGAACATGAAACAGCTAGAATTGCAGGTAAAAATAAAGGTATTAGTAAATTACCAATTAATTTAAAAATTTTTTCACCACATGTTTTAAATTTAACTTTGGTGGATTTACCTGGTATTACAAAAGTCCCCATTGGTGAACAACCAATTGATATTGAAAAACAAATTAAAAATCTAATTTTAGATTATATTGCTACTCCAAATTGTTTAATCCTAGCTGTATCTCCAGCAAATGTGGATTTAGTTAATTCAGAATCTCTTAAATTAGCTAAAGAAGTTGACCCATATGGGAAAAGAACCATCGGTGTTATTACTAAATTAGATTTAATGGATTCAGGAACTAATGCAATGGATATCTTATTAGGGAAAGTTTATCCTTTAGAACTTGGATTTGTTGGAATTGTTAATAGATCTCAACAGGATATTCAATTAAATATATCTGTGAAACAAGCTTTAGAAAATGAAGATCATTATTTTGCAAGACATCCCGTTTATAGAACAATAGCTAATAGATGTGGGACAAGGTATTTAGCTAAATTGTTAAATAAAACTTTAATGGCTCATATTCGTGATAAATTACCTGATATTAAGACAAAACTAAATATGTTAATTAATCAAACTGAAAAAGATCTATTATCATTTGGTTCAATGGGTCTTATTGATAAGAAAGAAAGTAAAGCAGGTTTAATTTTACAATTAATGAATAAATTCGCTACAAATTTTATTTCTTCAATTGATGGGAATTCTTCAAATATTAATACAAAGGAATTATGTGGCGGTGCTCGAATTTATTACATTTATAATGATATATATGGAAAGACCCTTAAAACCATCGATCCGACAACAAACTTAACTACAGATGATATCAGAACAGCTATTAGAAATTCAACTGGACCTCGTGCTACATTATTTGTTCCAGAATTAGCATTTGATTTATTGATTAAACCACAAATTAAATTATTATTAGAACCGTCACAACGTTGTGTAGAGTTAGTCTTCGATGAATTAATGAAAATCTGCCAATCTTCAAGCACAAATGAATTAGCAAGATATCCAAATTTAAAAGGTACTTTAATTGATGTCATTAGCGATTTATTAAGAGAAAGATTGACACCAACTCATTCTTATGTGGAAAGTTTAATTGATATTCAAACTGCTTATATTAATACAAACCATCCAAGATTTTTAAGTGCCACCGAAGTAATGGCTGATATCATGCATATCCGTGATAGAAGAACTATACCTTATAGTAATCATTCACAACAACAACAACAGATGTTTAATTATGATGCTGATGAAACAATTAGTAACATAAATCCTGCTACCACTTCAAATGAAACCGATGACATCGATGAATCTAGTGTTGCATCTCCTCAAGAATCAAATAGTGGCAAGAATCCTACAAGTTTGGCTGAAACTATTATAAACGGTACTAATAGTGTTAATATGCAAGACAACAAGAATAAAATACCAGGTATGAGTCATTCTGAAATTTTCTCCAATTCTAGCACTGGTAAACCAAGTGGAACTAGTGGTATATATGCTAATTCTACAACCTCTTTGAATAGTCAAACCGATGGTAAAGACTCATTCTTAAATTATTTCTTCGGTAAAGAAAAGGGAAGCTTGAATCAACAAACAGGGCAACCCCACCAACAACAGCAGCAACAACCAACTGGTCAAAGAATGATGAATGGGATGAATAGAGCACATGATATAAATACTGCTATGTTTAGTGGGTTACGTTTAAGCGATAATAACTATCCTGATTCAGGAGTAACTTTTGGTAGTGATAACACCAACAGCGATGGACTGACCGAACGTGAACAATTGGAATGTGAATTGATTAGAAGGTTAATTATTTCTTATTTTAATATTGTAAGGGAAATGATCGAAGATCAAGTACCTAAGGCCATCATGTGTTTATTAGTTAACTTCTCGAAGGAAAACGTTCAAAATAGATTAGTCACAGAATTGTACAAGGAATCCATGATAGATAATCTGTTACAAGAAGATGAAACATTAGTCCAGGAGAGAATAAATTGTGAAAAGTTATTGGAGACTTACAAAAAGGCCAATTCACTTGTTCATAATATCCTATAATGAAATTGATGAAGTATTTAATGCTTTATTTGTCTAGAAATGTATAAAAAGAATTTTAAATACAAAAAAATAGATACCTAGATGAGATATACGTATCTGTACATATACATGCATGATTATAGTTATAGTGCTATATAATTAAATTTATTTATTACAAGTACAATCCAATAAAGAGGTAGGTAAACCTGGTTCAATTTCTTGGTGACACATTTATTGGTGTTGCGGTAGAATTTGCAGAATATGCTTGTGCAGCACTCTTTGAGCAATGTGTTGGAATTGTGCTAGAATTTGATGGACTATCATTGGATTTAGATGTAGCGCCGTTGAAACTAGTCGGTGTTCTGACCATTCTGTGTTGGTTTGTATAACTTCGTACATTATTACCAGGCACGGATAATAATGGTCTTCGAGGATCATGCTCATCTCTTGCTTGTTCTTCGTCATTGGTATCTGTGTGCCTATGGGAAGGATCCTTTCCAACTTTTAGAACAACCATACAACAGAATAAACTCATTATGAACAAAACACCTATTACAGCACCTGTTGCGATCGCCATTATTGGGAACGAAAAATGATAATTGTAACGGTGGGTCCAACTTAATGATAATGGTCTATCAATTAAAAATACACATGCTCTTTGGTCAGCATGGTTGTTTCGTGCAGTAGAGCAACCCTTTTTCAATATTCTAACTTCATTATCGGATCCACCTTTTATTTTTAGGAATGATTCAGTATCGGAAACTTTTCGGCATTCCAAGATTTGTCCTAAATCTGTTGTTATTTCACCGGAACAATTGATCAGTCCAGCTGTTTCATTACCCTTAAGTATATGTAATCTCAAGAAATTTTCCAATTTTGTAGAATTGATATTAATATCCTCAAATATTAACGACGAATAGGTCGGTATTAAAATGGAATATAAATCAGCGTGGGGTGAATTATGAAACAATTTGTGCGATAAATCTCCAAATTTATTCAAAAAACTTATCATCTCAAAAGAATCTGTTACTCCTATAAGCTGCTTTATAGATATATTAACTGCTTTAGGTAGATCCGTCATTTGGAATGGTTGCAAAACACCTTGATTGAAAAAAATATCTTCAGTTTTGGAAAGGGTAATATTATCAAACATTGTATCCAATTCAAGTTCTATATTCTTCGAGTCATCTGGATCGTCTATTCTCTTCAATTTAACTTTCTCACCTAATATATTAGTTGTCTCCAACAATTTATCCTCCATATCTGTATAATACAATCCATTAAGAATATAATTTTTCATTATTTGTTCCATCAGGGATAAATCTCTCTCTATCAAATCCATCGTTAACGAGATTGATCCCCAGGAATTGAAACATGGCAAAAACACTGTATAACCTTCGTGATTCTGTTTTAATTCTAATAGGTTCAATTGTCTCAAAAAGGAAATCGATTTGGAACAATGTGCAAACGGTGGTACAGATAAAATTAGGTCACCAGGTGGCGTTAAGTCACCTGTAAATGTATAAATTAATTTATTACCAATGATATAAGGTTTGGATACAGTGATTTTCAATTTATCGTTAATCCAATATCCATCTCCACGTTTAGTAATTTTAACTCTTTGACAATTATTTCCTAATTTCTTCCCAGAAGAACAGAATGAAGAATTAAATATCTTGGTAAACGATTCTCCTCTACTTAAGACGGGAAAATCTTCCTCTAGTCGTATTTGTTCATTCATAAAATGATAAAGTAAAGTTGATTTTGTGAATCCCATACCATCGTTTTGATTTGCCTCTGGAACAAAAATTGTCATTTTCTCATCAATGCCCTCTTTACTCTGGATCATATCTTCAATATTTCTAAAATACATTTCACTTACAAATCCAGAGCAATTTAAACCATGTAAATAATTCTCTGCATCAAATGAAACTCCATTGGTTAGAATTGTGGTATCTTCAAAAAAATGAGCTACTCCATTACGGAATATTTCATTGGAGGCCAATGAATCCTGAGTAATATTGGAAGAATGATGAGTACCAACTCTATTACTATCAAATAATATGGACTCATTATTCAAATTAGTTAAAACTTCAGATTGGTCTATGAAGCCCCCGTGTATTCCTTTAAATATGAGGTTACGAAAAAAACTCTCCAAGTGATTAATCCATTTCTCTCGTACAGGTCTTTGCATTCTGTCTAAATTATTATATGAGTCCAGCAAATATTTAAGTTCAACTGAATTTAGATGACGTTCAAACGAATCATCAGATGGTATAATCACAGTATTACCATCGACCATTTTTTCCGACTCTGAAATCCTACTAATGAGTCTATTTAAATCGTCAAATATTATATCCAGTTGATCATGTAATTGATAGTTTTCCTCCTTTATAACTTCAGAGAGAGATAATGGCTTTTCAAGATTATTCAATATACCCTGAACTGTTGCATTTTGAAAATTCGGTGTCAAGTCAGGTTCTACAATTGGAATTTTATTTATCTTGAAATTTGTCTTAGTCATACTATCCCATGATTGTCCTATTACAAAAGGATGGTTTACACCTTCATATATTATCTTTGTTGTGTTTATGAGATCGTTGGTGTATAATATGCAATTATGGAATATATAATCATTAATATCAAATGTAGAAATATCAAACTCATCATCGTAATCAGCAAATGCAGAATTTACGGGTGCAAACAATGTAAAATTCTGTAAATCATTCAAATGATTGACATTGCCACTTCGTTGTATAAGCCTTAAAAATGTAGAAAATTGAACATTGGATGATAATATGTCTATCACAGTGGTGAATGGAAAATCAGGTGTCTCTTCTGAATCCTTGGATCTACTGATTTCATCATTAGATACTTGTCTCCTACCTATATCTTTGCATAGGCATAATTGTATCGTGCCATATATATAAAATAAAAGGATCGTAATATGCCTCATTCAAAATATAAGTGTACGATGAGCTTGTGATTTAGAAGATAGCCAATCAATATAAAATATCTTATATACAAATTAAAAAGAATTTAATTATTGATACCTTCTTGTTTTCTTTTTCCTGTATGTATATCTCTCTTTCAAAAAAGGGGTGTTATTGACAGCCAACAAAGAATTAAATAGTAATCAAAACAGTAAAAAGTAATTTTAGGTGTTTATTCTGGGTAAATTTTGTAATTTCCTTTAGAATGAATTTAATCCATAATTTTCAACGATTTTATTAACTTATTATCATTGTTTAAAACATCTCTCGATTGACAATATATGTTATGCATTAAAAAGTTGTCACCTTGCATGGTATATTGTAAGGAAAGCAGCCAGCCCAAGCGCATCGCGGAAGAAATTTAATGTGAGCAAAAAACTGAAGAGAACAAAAAAAAATCGTTTAAGTCTGTTAAGCAGAAATATCCAATTCTTCCTTTAACTATGAGTAAACGTGACCCAACCCAACCTAATAACTACAAATATCGCAAATAAAACGTCAAGTAATAGAAAAAGTAAAACTAGTTTGAAACTGAGATCACCATTGTTCATGATTATATAAAGTTTATCTCGTAAAAATTATTAAACTCTACATGCGTTACGTAAAAAACTAATTAAAAAATACTAATTATATTGCATGTAACGAGAAGTAGAACTGAATTTCTTGTAACCGTTAATGACTTTATCTACTGCCTTTAGGAAATCCTTCTCTGTGGCAACCTTCCTTCTAGCTCTGATGGCAAACATACCAGCTTCTGTACAAACAGATCTCAATTCTGCACCTGTAGAATTTGGACATAACCTTGATATTAGTTCCCATCTGATATCTCTCTCCACACTCATTGACTTAGAATGGATACGGAAAATATTTGCACGACCTTCTAAATCAGGTAAAGAAAATTCAACTTTACGATCGATTCTACCAGGTCTTAACAAAGCAGGATCAAGGGTATTTGGTCTATTAGTTGCGAACATTACTTTAATATTACCACGAGGATCAAAACCATCCAATTGTGTAATCAATTCTAACATAGTTCTTTGAACTTCATTATCACCACCTGCACCATCATCAAAACGAGCACCACCAACAGCATCAATTTCATCAAAGAAAATAATACAAGCCTTCTTCGTACGAGCCATTTCAAATAATTCTCTAACCATACGTGCACCTTCACCAACATATTTTTGTACCAACTCAGAACCAATAACTCTGATAAATGTAGCATCTGTTCTATTAGCAACAGCACGAGCACACAAAGTCTTACCTGTACCAGGAGGACCATATAATAATATACCCTTTGGTGGGTCAATACCTAATGTAGCAAATCTTTCTGGAGATAACAATGGTAATTCAACAACTTCTCTCAATTTCTCAATTTGATCTTTACAACCACCTACATCACTATATGTAACATCTGGTTTTTCTTCCACAGTCATCATCGTTACTGATGGATCAATTCTTGGGGGTAATGGTAGTTCAATATGATACTTAGATCTATCTACACCAACTCTCATACCTTCTTCGATATCCGTTGGGGAAACACGTTCTCCAAGTCCAACAACAAATTTTGCAATTTGTTTCAAATTGATAACATACTTAGATTCTTCATCGTCATCATCTCCAATTGAATCAGTGTTAGGTAGACTTTGTTCCGCTGAGGTCGTACTGGCAGAACCATTACCATTTGTAGATTGTGTATCATTATTCTCTAATGCTTCTTGACGTAATTGCTCTTTAGATTTAATAATCTTGGTACAACGTGCAACTTGTAAAGGATGTTCTTCACTTAATCTTTGTCTATCACCCATGATATCCCACATATGAGAAGGAGCTAACCCAGTATCACTCTCCTTAACACCAGCTTTTTCTTTAATTCTTGCTTCAATCTTCTTCAAATCCCCTTCTGTCTCTTTCAATTTTGATGCGTAAGGAGCTGCACCATATGTTTTCAACACTTGAATATCACCTTCAGTTAAGGGAGCAATCTTTTCCTCCTTCTTATTAGAATCTTCAGCACCATCTACTGGAGCCTTATATTTTTCCCAATCAGCTTTTGGAGGCATTTCTTCTTAATTTTGTATATAATGAACCTTAAAATATTGTACTTTCCCTTGTAAATTAATCTAGTTAAAAGATGCTTCTAATAATGCGACTATAATTTTACAATACTCACTTTCTAGATGTGCTTACACTTGTTCTATCTGTGATTATTTTCTTATCTCTTTTGAAATCCTTTTTATTAAAAGTAGATGTAGAGTGTCTTCTATATCTTACTCTTTCTTTTAACTTCTTTGGGTGGCAAAAAATGTATACATGTAATAAGATTGTAATATTTTTTGGGTTACTTTCACCTCTGAAATATATCTTAGTTTTTCTCTTCGGTGGCCGCTGTTACCATTTTTTTTATCTTGAATTTTAAAGACAAGGCCGTGCAATTTTCAATATTACTATAACCTCACAGTTAGTTAAATAAGGGAAAATTTTGTTTACAAATAGATTAAGAAGATATATGTTATTTGAATTTATTATCTGTTTAAGCTCATACGTTACACCTATTTGAATGATCTACCATCCAGATTTGAAAGTTCATTCTTTTTTTTTTTGTAAGAGATAATTGCGACGGGGTTATACGTATACTACTATATAATATTCTTTTTACATAATTGTCGAAGAGGCATATCTTAATTTCAAAATTCTTAATGTTTAAATATTATACAATCTTATTTCCATTTTTATCTTTTATTTATGTAGTTTATAGCTTGTTAGTCTCAATACCTCCAATTTTTTGTTCCAGAGCAGAAGAATTGTTATCCAAAGATTTAAGGGCATCTAAATGTGTATTCAATAATTGCACAATTTGAGCATTTTCATCTTGATTGTTTAAATTTATACTAGTAACTTTATTGAAAGTATTACTTATCTCATTAATTTCGCTTATAAGAGAGGATAAGTTCATAGATAGACCATTCAAATTTTCATCCAATTTTTCTGCCGTTTCATATGCTTGTTGTCTCTTTTGATCATTATTATTAGCACTGCTACCATTATTAGTATTTAATATATCAACAAGTAACGAATCTGTCTTTGATTCATAGTTATCTAAAAAGTTTTCCAGTTCTGTTTGTTGTCTTTCGATATATTGTAACGATTGGTCAATTCTGTTTTGTGTTTGTTCCGCAACTAATGTATCATTATACAATTTATTAATATCCTCACCACTCTTTACAAGAACTTGATCCCATTCATTAACTTTCTTGGTGTACTTGTCAAAATGAACAGCGGAACTGGTCAATTGATTAGTCCACCTCGTTACAAGGTCATCTAAAGTTTTGTTATCTAATGAAATTGGTTTCAATTCAACATTCTTCTTAGTCAAAGTTGGAGCAGCGGCAGCATTTGTTGAAGATTTGACATCTGCACTAGCAGTACCGGCGGTAGTAGCAGCAGTAGATGGTTTTTCATCCTTCTTTGAACCAAATGAAAAACCGGCACTAGTGGTTGCCTTTGCATCTGTTGTGGTGGCACCTTCCGTGGCTTTATCAGTTTCAGGTTTTTTAGAACCAAAACTGAATGATCCTAAACCAGCTGCAGTAGCAGGCTTTGCGGCTTCGTCTTTCTTCTCAGTTGGTTTAGCAGTTGCAGCACCAAATGAAAACCCACTTGGTTTAGCTGTTGTGTCTGTTTTGTTTTCGTCCTTCTTTGTAGCTGTTGCAGTAGTGCCAAATGAAAATGCCGGTTTACTAGCGTTTGCTGTGATTTCATCCTTCTTTGTCTCTGTATGATCAGAGTTGGAACCTCCAAAGGAGAAAGCAGGCTTGGTAGTCTCAGTAGATTTTGTTCCAGCAGTAGATGAAGCAGTAGTAGTTGCTGATCCACCGAATGAAAAAGCTGGCTTTGAAGCTATAGCTGCTGATTCTTTCTTGTCTTCAGGTTTAGTCGTAGCGGCAGCACCTCCAAAAGAGAAAGCTGGTTTTGGAACAGTTGTGCCGTCTTTCTTATCTTCTGGTTTAGTCGCAGAAATTGTGCTGGCCCCGAATGAGAACCCAGATGGTTTGGTTGCAGCATCAGCAGCAGTTGACCCACTTGCACCGAAACCTAAAGTTGGTTTGATTGCGTCTGTTTTACCTGCTGCAGTGGCTCCACCAAATGAAAATCCTGCTGGCTTAGTAGCCTCATTGGCGTTATCTTTATTAGTACCGATATTGAATGATGGTTTTGGAGTCTCATCTTTTTTCGCCTCGGTAGTTGCTGCTGTACTAGTAGAATTTAATGAAAATGTGGGTTTTGGAGCTTCAGTTGAACCAGAATCTTTAGCTGTGGTTGATGCATTTGCACCGAAGGAAAAGCCAGCTGGTTTTCCGGAAGATGTAGAATCAGCTGGTTTAGCTCCGAAACCTCCAAAACTAGGCTTGGTAGTAGCACCAACTGCTCCAGGAGTAGTTGCCCCACTAGCTGAGGCAGCCGGTGTGGAGTTTCCGAACATTGATGGTGCAGGAGCAGTCCCAGTTTGTGCGGCACCAAAACCACCAAAAGCAGGTTTGGCGGCAGCTGCACTAGCTGAACCAGGTAAAGATGTAGTTGAGGCAGAAGCACTATTAGTAGCAGAACCAAATCCACCAAAAGTTGGCTTGGTGGCGGCTGTCCCCGTTGGAGCTGAAGTTGAACCTGATGCAGCTGAACCAAACCCACCAAATGTTGGATTTACAGTACTAGCCGTGCTTGCAGTATTTGTATTGGCTGCTACTGATCCAAATGGGGCACTTGGTGTGGCAGCGTTGCCTGTTGTTGCCTGTTGGCCGCCAAATATAGTAGCATTTTGAGAACCTGGCGCAGTAGTTGTAGGAATACCAGTAGTTGCACCAAACGCAGGTTGAGTTGTAGAGGCAGTTGTATTTGTGTTGCTACCAAATCCACCAAATGTTGGAGTTGTTGTATTGGCAGCAGCAGCGGCACCACCAAACCCACCAAAAGTTGGCTTTGTTCCTGTAGTATTGGCTGTATTAGTTGAACCAAATGTATTGCCACCTGTATTGTTTGGAGCATTCCCAAATGCACTTGTGGTATTATTGTTTGCTCCGCCGAAGAGACTACCTGTTTTAGGAGCAGTATTACCAAACATACCACCAGCAGTATTATTGGCTGGGGCTCCAAATGTACTACCTGTGTTTGTAGCTGGTGCAGAGCCGAATGCATTGGTGGTATTACTGTTTGAAGTTGCCCCAAATGTATTATTACTGGTATTGTTTGTGTTTCCCCCAAATGCGCTGGTGGTATTATTGTTTGTAGAATTACCAAATGCACTTCCTGCGTTAGCATTAGCTGGAGCACCAAAAGCACTACCACTGTTTCCATTTGCAGCATTACCGAATGCATTGGTAGATGCGTTATTGTTGTTGTTGTTGTTATTACCAAAACCGAAACCAGATTGAGTATTATTACTTTGATTGGCTCCAAAACCAAATCCACCTTGGCCGGTACCAGCATTCTGGGTGTTGTTACCAAATCCACCAAAAGGTTGGTTGGGTTTATTGTTAGGTGTACTGAAGTTCACTAATTGAATAAAATTATAATATTGAAAAAAGAGAATTGCTTAATCATGATAAGCCATCGCAATTTCTCGATAAATATCAGAAGTTGTTAGTAAAATAATACAGAGAAATACAGAAAGAAAAAAAATTAACAATCGTGTGTAGACAGCAATATATTACTAAAGCACAATAGTTCTTGTCGAAGAATTGTTTTCCTTGCATTGGAAGGTCTATTAACATTAGCCGTTCGAATTCTTGGAGATCAATTTTCAGACGATAGTTGGGTTTTAAAGATGAATTGTCAACATACTTGTTTATAATGTGAAATAAAGCTCAGTTTGCTTGTCTTATTTCTTCCGAAGTGAACCAGTTAAAACTACTATCTAGTATATATCTTTTTAATGTATCTGGTACAGATGCCATCGATCCTTGTCCCTTCTACAATTTTAACTATGAACACAATCAACAATTATTTTGGTATAAAATTCAGTGCTTTTGGTTTTTCACTCGCCTGAATATTTCTTATGCGAAAATTCAAACAGAAAAAAATAAAAAACGAACGTGAGGGTAACAAGAATGATTACAATCTGGATACGGAAATCAAAGGTAGCAAATGCCAGTAAATAATTAAATAGTTCTTTCTGTTTCCTTATCAACAGGTAAGCTGTTGAATAGAAATTTCCTGAGGTTTTAAATGGACACTAACTATCTGTTTACACAAGGTAATATTTTTATAATTTTAAATTGGTCCCAATAAATAGCCCGGTAGAAAAGTTTACTTAATTAATATTACAGCTTTTAATTTTAAATTATACAGCATTTACATATATAGGATGCATGTGTATCAATATAGACTGCAACTACAGTACTTCTTGAGTCTTTTAGTTTCGACATATGTAAACACAAAAGTGTCAATGATTTGTTTATTCCAAATGTGAGATCTATGAGTGTGTATCACTTTGTGTAGGTATTATTAAAAAATACTTTTTATTTGAGTTTTGTTTTTATTTGATGTTATCTGGAGAGTCTGCGAGGTTTTTATTTGAAACTCTAATTTTTACTAGATTATCTAGAACTTGGTCATATGCGTGATTCATTGCTTCTTCCTCTTGGTTGTTTGTGTAATCAGCGATCTCTTTAGCATTCTTTGGTAAAGTATCACCAATCTTTTCCTTATGTGCCTCAGCTTCATTAGAAGCAATAACCAAAGAAGGAGGTAGTATAGTCTTACTATCTTCGCTAGAATCATTTTGTGATTCATTTATTTTTTTACAATCCTGCTTCTTGAAAATGTGATGGAAATGAAACCCTTGATTGTGTAATTCATCAATGACATTCAACACATCTGAGACATTATTCTTCAATAGCATATCCTTGATCTGGTCACTATTGGATGTCTCAGCAGCTTTGCAAATCTTATCTCTATACGATTCACTAAATTTACGTTTATCACTATTAATAGATTCCATTTCTGCAGATTGGTTGTCATCTTCAGATTCTTCTGCTTGATCACTACCCATGTCAGTATTCTCTCTTCTTATGATTTCCGGTTCAACCAATCTTTTCATTGGTGCATCATCATCTCTGAACTCTACCATTTCGTCTGCCTTATTAGTGGAATTTTCAGGTTTAATACTACCAAAAGGTAATAAAACACTATGACCCGCTTTGGTAAATGCCGAGGACATAATAATTGCATCTGAACGGTTTTCATTTTTACCTAATTGAGATTCCGACGAATTTATTTGAGTTAGATCATCAAGGGTGCCATTCCTAGAGCTAGTAGTAGTATTTCCTTGAATGGTTTTGCTGTGTCTCTGTCTCAGTAATCTTATACTTTTTTCCAAACTAGCATCTATGATACACAATCTTATCAAAGCTTCCTTACCTTCAATATTCAACTCACCTTGAATTCTTAAATCAAATAGATCTTGAACAACTCTTCTAATTTTCCTTCTTCCTTTTGAAACCTTAACAATAAATTTCTCTACCGTAGCATTGTATTCATCCTTGTTTGACTCATCGAATGTCTCTGTCAATAAAGTTGTAAATTCGTCTCTGATACTTTGTAATTGGGAGTTCTCATTAGAGGATTTGGCAATTTTATCGATATTTTCATTCTTATCCTTCGAATTGTTTGGATTGGTTAACTCACTTTGAATGTTTCTCATACTATATAAAGAAATTTCATCTTTGATCTTTTCTGGCATGTATACATAATCTAGATCCAACGTGATCAAAGAAGTACTCTTTTTAACAGCTTCAGCAAGGGCCTTGGAGCTAGCTAAATCTAAAGGTGTACCGACCATTGATAGATGATGTAAAGAGGTACAAAGTGGTAAAGTTTCGGCAATGGTTACAATCTCTGTTGATGTTAGATCATTGTAATTTAAGTGTAAACGTGCAAGACCCACAAAGGATGGTAGACAATCTAGTAAAGTATGCATGCATGCGGGGAATATTTTTGGATTATTGGATAAATCAAGAAATTTCATACTTTTTGAGAAACATAGAATACTTAATAATTTTAAGAATTCGTTTGTTTCACTAGTGGCACCTTCTTCGACTTGTAAATTTGTGTTATTCAAAGAAATAAATTTCACTAAATTTTTATGTTTCATAGCATGAATTTTATCAAACATTGCGTCAGAAAATGGTTGTATCTTACCTCTTAAGTCATTAAATCCAATATCCAAACCAGTGACTCTAGAATGAACAATCCACTTAGCCAAAATTTGACATTGTTCCAAAGAAAGTTGGTTATATGCTAAACCTAATCTAGATGATTTCATTGCACCGATTTCGATAAAATTTTTAAATTGTTTTAATGACATTTTAGCACCTGACAAAATCAATTCTTCTATTCCACCTTTTACTGCAAGAGCACCAGCTAATAGATTCCAATTCATCTCAGATCTACTATCCTTATTATAGTCCATTCTATGTAAAGTACTCTTTAGAGAGGATTTAGAAGGCTTTTGAACATTAACTTTAATATGTGATACCATTGTTAAATCTAATGAAACAAGCGATTCACTATGTGAAACGAAATAACATAAAACTTTCCAACCTTCTTCATCTAAAGGTGTATTACGTAATGATAATTTTTCAAAATTTTTCTTACGAGACAATGATCCTAATATGATTCTTAACATTTCTACTGTTAAATGAACACCATCTAAGGATAAACATAGTATAGGGGCAATACTAATAAAGTCACTAAATGACCAAACTTCTACCATTGAAGGTCTTGGATTACGTAATTGTAATAGTGGAATAGGATCTGTTGAACCTGGGGTTAATTGTTTCATTGTTGCAGGGATTGGTAAGATCTCTCTTAAATGACAACATCTAGTATATACAACATCATGCGGGATTTTTAAATCCTTTGGAGGGAATACAGCTTCATCAATTTCTTCAGATCCAGCTGATTGTAACGATGTATTTGAATTGGAAGAAGTTAAATTTGTTAGTGATCTTCTACTCACCATAGGTTTATCAATTGTAAGGTGTGAAGCACTCTTACTCACACAAACTTCTTCTTCGTGATTAGTTACAGTTCTTCTTAAATCATTAGGAGTTTCCTTTGCTCTTGCCTCGGCTGCTGCCTCGGCTGCGGCCAATTCCATATTTCTGATGTGAGTTGACTGGACTTCATTAGCGGTTTCTTCTTCTTCATCATCATCATTATTATCATTAGTATTGTCTTTAGTTGAATCTGATGTAGATCCACCAGATAATATATTTTCTGGTACTTTTTCCTCTAGTTTCTTTACATCTAAATTTGATTGTCTTTGGTTTGTAGAGTCACCATTATCATTATCATTATCATTATTATTGTTATTATCATCTTGTGGTACTAATAATTTTAATTGTCCTGTACCACCAACTACAATACCAGCTGTTGATTCTTGAAGAATTTTACGTCTTTCCTGAGGTGTTAATCTATGAATAACAACTGAGCCATTTGGTTTAACTTCCACTTCACCCTTTCTTGGATTTTTACTACAAATTTGTTGTGGTGGATCGTTAAAATAAGTATTTGTAGAAAAGGATACATGTTTTAATGGTTTTAAATCTTCTAAGCCTGGTAAGACTTCAAAATTAGCAGGATCAAATTTATGACGTTCTTGTAAATTTGATGATGAAATTGTTGAAGTTGATTTATCTAAACTGCCATCAGATGCAGTATTTGCATTAGCACCATGAGATGTAACTCTTTTCAAAAAAGCACCGAATTTATTAGATGTTGAACCTGTTGTTCCATTATTATTTAATGAAGATGTTAATTGTGATTGCGAATCCATTGATGCTAAGCCACATTCTCCATATGAAGAGGTCTTATTAAGAAATGCAGAAGGCCATGAAGATTTTTGAGGATGTGGTGGAATTGGTCTACCTCTTGCATCATAATTTAATTTTAAAGGCTTCTTTTGATTGTTTTCTTCATTCATTGTAAAAGTTGCTTTTGTTCTAGCATGATGTAGTTGGCGAGAATTTGATTGTTTAAATGCACTTACTGCATAACCTTTCGATTTATAATATTTTAAAAATTCAAGAAGTCGTTTGTTATCTTCATCTAATTCTGATACAGAATCATCAATTGAATCGCATGCAGATGCTAAAACATCATCGTCATTGATTTCGTTCTCATTTTCATTTTCGTTACTTTGGTTAGCAATACTATCATCTGTTTCAATATTAGTATCATTTGTTAAATTATCTTTATGAGAAATTGAATGTGAATGCAAATGTGTATGATGATGGTGATGATGATGTGATGATGTATCTCCTTTACTATTCATATCTTTTAAATCAGATTCTGTTTTAGCTCTAGTTAAAGAATGATGACTATTTCTTGTTACGGGAGATGTTATATTTGTAGATTGTTCAATATCTTCTTCGGGAGCCATTGAATTTCTACGTGATCTTCTTGTTGGTGATTTTGTATTTTTTCTTTCTGAAGTTGATATACCGGAGGTTTTTTGTTCTTGTCTTTTACGACCAAATAAAGATTTGAAAAACCCCATTTTTTTTGGAGATCCTCCATTTCCATCTTCTTGTTGTTGTTGTTGTTGTCTTTGTTGTTTTGCTTTTGAATAAGCTGTTTGTTCCGATATTGATTTTGTTCTTCTTAATTGAGGTTGTTGAATTCTATTAGATTGTTCAATATTTGGTCTAAATTTTTGATCATCTTCAACTACCCCTACTGTGTTCTCAGGAGGTGTAAATTCTCTCATCATACCAGCCACTGAATTACGCCTAGGTGCATTAGATTGTCTAATGTCGACGGTAGTATTAGAAGCAGTATGTAATTCAGGCACCGTAGCGCTAATATTATTATTTTGTTGTTGTTGAATTGGTAGCATACATTCTTTTGAGCTTGCAAACCAACCAACATCCAACCTAGGGACATGATGTTCTCTTAGTGTTTCATCTGTAACTTCCCTAGGGTCCATTATTCATAGATGCAAAAGAAATTTAAAAGTGCGTGTATGTGTGTTATTTACAAAAAAAGGCTGTAATGATATTGTGATTTTATGTAATATCTATTAGAAACACACCAATAAGTCAGATATATATATATATAGAGAGAGAGAGATGCTTAAGAAAGAATATGATTTCTGTGTTATGAAATTCTCTTGTAAATATTTATTCTATTTAAGGTCATTAAATAAATTAGTTTTATATTTACAATAATTTAAATTTCAACCTCCCCCGAAAATGCATATTGAAAACAAAACAAAAGCCCAATTATTTAATCATTTCAATAATAACTATTGGTAGCAGTAGCAGTAGCAGCAGCAACAGCGGTGTAACCGCTCTATAATAATAATATTTCAATTATCGCAATTTGCTGGATAAACGATTTGTTCGCCCCTTGAAGAGCGAGCGCATGCAGAGAAAATGACGTGGGGGAAGCGAAATTGAAATTGAAATTGAACGCGGGAGAGATTATTGGAACCGCCTCTCTGCCTGTCTGCCTGCGCTTTGTTTTAGTTGCACACGTGCCGTTGACTGGGCTTTTTTCAGTTTGTTCGGGTTACGGGGGACTGCGGCGGTTTGTCTGTAATTGGTGCGGTAAAGGTTGGACCCCGTTTTGTATGGCGGAAATGTTAAGAGATGCAAGTTAATGAGTTTGTGTGTATAGAGAGAGAGAGTACTTTTTCGGGTTCCGCGGGGGACGTACGATGGCTGTGGCGGTGGCAGTAGCAGTCGCAACGGGATGGGGCGGGATGGGATGGGACATTGGGCTCGTGAGATAGGAGTTGATTGAAAGAGTTAAATTCAATTTGTTTCGGTTCCTAATGCGTAGAGAGAGGCTTCAGTTATGTTTTTTTTGCTTTCACTCTTATAACGCATTTTTTTGTATGCGAAAGGCTTCCCCTGCTATGTATATATATATATATTTTTTTTTCAATGAGCTTGAATCTATCTATATAGCATGTGTGAGTTAGGTTTATTCAAAGAGATCATAGCCTAGACTGATGGAACCCGTTCAGTGAGTTGTGAGGAAGAAATGACTGAACTGACTCAATTGATTATAGATACATACAAGACAAGAGAACAATTGATTCAAAATGGTATATGGGGAGGGGAATTGTACAAACATGTTAAAATAATTAATAATCATGATAGATCATGGATTTGGAAAACTTTATTGTTACATTCAGAGAACCAAGACGATTCAAATAAAGATAAAAAATATATCACGAATGATTCCTTTTTATTCGATTCTTTAGATAATTTAGTACCCGTGCCTTTATTATCTCCTATAACGAAGAAAAATGAAGATGCTGATCAGTTACAAAATACAACGTTAGCTTTTACTCCTATAAAACAAATAGTGAAAATTGGTAATAAAGGGATAAGAAAATTGACACCGAAAGAGACACATTTACATCCGTTAACAAATCATGAGGATGAGGATGATTACGGTATGAATATTTCAGACACTTTAGAAATCATTGATTTGGATTTATCAAGATTAATTGTATCACCAATATTTCAAGATCCAAAAGTTCATGCATTAATGAGACAAATTATGTTTAATTATTTACTATTAACAAATGAAGATAAACAAAGAAAAAATATACCAATAGTTGATCAAATTTATCGATATAGACAAGGGTTTCATGAAATTTTATCAATAATTTTTTTACAATTTTATGATTCAAATTTAAACAATATTGAAATTAAATTTATTTTATTCATTTTCATTAAATTAATGGTACCTTTACAAAGGACTTTCTACATTGAAAAAAATTTATTAAATTGGCAAAATAATTATTTCATTAAATTATTAAAATTAAGCTCTCCACAAATTTATTCGATTTTCTATCCAACGACAACTAATACAAATCATACTAACTTAATTTGGTTAATTCGTTGGACAAGATTATTATTCTTAAGAGAATTGCCAATTCAAGATTGTTTGATTGTTTGGGACCACATATTAACATTTTCATACCCCGTTGATTCAATGGTTGCATGTATCATTATTGCAATATTAATTACCGTTAGAAAAAATTTAATTGAAATTTATCAAGATAATGAAATGGATAATGATGATTTGATTGAATTCATGTTGCAATTTGATAAACATATTAAAAATTTAAATATTTTAAAAATCTGCGAGTTGGCTGGTTCTTTATGTGAATCTTGGGAAAATGGTAATTGGAAAGATCTATCAAAAATTGTTACAAATTATATTAATCAAAATGAAATGGATCCAAATAGGAAAAGGTTAGAAGATAAATTAAAACAAAGAGTTCAACGATCTTTAAATAAATAAATCTTTTTTAAAATTAAATAAATAAATAAATAGATACAAAATAGGTAAGGAATAAATAATGGTTGTTATGTTTATGTGTGGATGAGGGGGGGTTGGTTGGAATGAAAAAAAAAAAATTTTTTTATTATAATAATGTGCAATTTTTTTATTTCTTCGTCTTGAATTGTTTAATAAGCTCTTACAGTTGGAGGTACAGATGGACATTCTTTTTCATCTAATGTGTGAGAAATAACATTTCTATATTTTAAAGAGACAGGAGATCCTGTAGTTGGTTGCCATGATAATGTATGTTTCATCCAATTCTTATCATCTCTCTCTGGGTAATCATCTCTTGCATGTGCACCACGAGATTCTTTTCTGGCAGATGCAGAAACTGCAGTTTGTGAAGCACAAGTTAATAAGTTTTGTAATTCTAAAGTTTCAATTAAATCAGAATTCCAAATCATTGATTTATCTGTAACATGAACATCTTCAAAAGTATTATCAACAGCAGTAATGTTCTTAACACCTTCATCCAAGGAATCTTGAGTTCTAAAGACGGAAACATCTTTTTGCATTGTCTTTTGCATATTTAATCTAATTTCGGATGTTGTCTTTGAACCATTAGCATTTCTTAATTTATCTAAATTAGCAATACTTTCTTTACCTAAATTAGATAAAGGTTTATGTGGTAAACCAGGTTGTAAAGTATCAGCAACAGTATGAGCAACAGCACGACCAAAGACGACTAAATCTAATAAAGAATTAGCACCAAGTCTATTAGCACCATGAACAGAAACACATGCAGTTTCACCACAAGCCATTAACCCTGGAATAATTTTATCTTCACCTGTCTTTTCATCGATTGTTAAAGCTTCACCTGTCCATTTTGTTGGAATACCACCCATATTATAATGAACAGTTGGTATAATTGGAATTGGTTCCTTTGTTACATCGACACCTGCAAAAATTGATGCAGTTTCTGAAATACCTGGTAATCTTTCTTTTAAAACATTTGGTGGCAAATGACTTAATTGTAAAAACATATGATCTTTATCTGGTCCAACACCTCTACCTTCTTTAATTTCCATTGTAATTGCTCTTGATACAACATCTCTACAAGCAAGATCTTTTGCAGTTGGTGCATAACGTTCCATAAATCTTTCACCTTCTGAATTAACTAAATAACCACCTTCACCACGTGCACCTTCAGTAATTAAACAACCTGAACCATAAATACCTGATGGATGGAATTGAATAAATTCTAAATCTTGTAATGGGAAACCTGCACGAGATACCATAGCCATACCATCACCTGTGCAAGTATGAGCTGAAGTACATGAAAAATATGTTCTACCGTAACCACCTGTTGCCATAATTGTTCTATGTGATCTAAATCTATGGATTGTACCATCTTCTTGATTTAAAGCAATAACACCAACAACTTCACCTTCAGGAGATTTTAAAAGATCTAGAGCAAAAAACTCAATGAAAAAATTACAATCATGTTGTAAAGCTTGACCATATAAAGTATGCAACATTGCATGACCTGTTCTATCAGCTACAGCACAAGTTCTATAAGCTTGACCACCTTTACCATATTCTTTTGATTGACCACCAAATGCTCTTTGATAAATTCTACCTTCATCATTTCTTGAAAATGGCATACCAAAATGTTCTAATTCAATAATCGATTTTGGTGCTTCTCTTGTCATATAATGAATAGAATCTTGATCACCTAACCAATCTGAACCTTTAACAGTGTCATACATATGCCATTTCCAATCATCCGGATGCATATTACCTAATGCGGCATTGATACCACCTTGAGCAGCAACAGTGTGAGATCTTGTTGGAAATAGTTTTGAAATACATGCAGTTTTATAACCTGCTTCAGCAAGACCGAAAGCAGCTCTTAAACCTGCACCACCTGCACCAACGACAACACAATCATATTCATGATCAATAATATGATATTTATTTAATAAAGGATCAGTAGAATTTGATGTAAATGATTTACCATTAATATTTTTACCTTGAACTTCAAGAGTTCTTGAAGTTGAAGAAAAACATCTTTTGTATAATGTTAAACTATTACTTAACTTTGAAGTTGATTGTCTCAAAGATAGCATAGTTAATTTTAATAAATGAAATGAATAAATAAAATTGTTTCTATATGCACGATTATTATTATAGGGAGTTTAAAGAAATAAATATACTAATAGATTGAATATTTCTTAATTTAGTTTATTTTCTTGTTCCCTAAAAAAAAAAAATTTACGGAGT